TACAAGGCCCGCAACGTCTACGACCCCAAGCGTCTCTTCGGTGTCACCACCCTTGATGTTGTCCGTGCCTCGCGCTTCATCTCCCAGGTCCAGAAGACCAACCCCTCCGGCGAGGCCGTACCCGTCGTTGGTGGTCACTCCGGTGTGACCATCGTTCCCCTGCTCTCGCAGTCCAACCACTCTTCCATCGCTGGCCAGGCCCGTGATGCTCTCGTCAACCGCATCCAGTTCGGTGGTGATGAGGTCGTCAAGGCCAAGGACGGTGCCGGTTCCGCCACCCTCTCCATGGCCATGGCCGGTGCCCGCTTCGCCGAGTCCCTCCTCCGCGCCGCCCAGGGCGAGAAGGGTGTCATCGAGCCCACCTTCATCGACTCCCCCTTGTACAAGGACCAGGGCATCGACTTCTTCGCCTCCAAGGTCGAGCTCGGCCCCAACGGTGTTGAGCAGATCCACTCCGTCGGCGAGATCAACGAGTACGAGCAGAAGCTCCTCGATGCCTGCCTGGCTGACCTGAAGAAGAACATCCAGAAGGGTGTCGACTTCGTCAAGGCCAACCCTTAAAATGTTTCCGTGTACAACACTCATCTTCTGTTATGCTGTTCTGATGGATGGATATGACATGTCTTACTAGATCGACAGCACTAATATCATTCGATCTACTTGATCCAAGCAATGTTCTTCAACGTAATACCTTATTTGAAACCCCGGATCATGCATTGACTACCGAACACACCAGATTCGCAATGCAAAGAGATAAATCCCGTAACTAAATACCCGAACCGAAAAAGCATAGTATCAAGCTATTTCTGTCACTAACCAGCGATCATCAATCATCAAGTATAGCTGCGCATCGCATCCAGATATCCCGTTCCACCACGCAAGTCTTGATCAAATGTCTCGGCCACCTCCAGCACACGCTTGATATGTTCCATTGATAGAGGCGAGCTCTCGTTGACAGCCAGGGCCTGCGCAGTGCGGACCGAGTTTTTAATCTATACCAGTCAGCGTCGGACAGGCAACCAAACAACCAAATCAGAAGCATTACATACCTGACGACCGTTCAACGTGTGCCTCGAAAGCATATCATAATCCTCCTCACTAAACGACGCAATGTGCACTCCCTCAATAGCACGCACACGCTCCAGGAACATCTTCCAGATGCTCCGCTTCGCCTTGGAAGTGAGATCACCGTAGCGCAGAGCAACATGAATACGCGACTGGAAGGCATCATCGAAGGTTTCAACCCGGTTGGTTGTCAAGAACAGAATCCCCTGGAAGTACTCCAGTAGACGGAGGAATATACTAACCAAGGCATTGCGATGAATGTCATGGATCGTGCGCTTCTCAAGGAAGACATCGGCTTCATCGAGGAGCAGCACAGCGCCCCAGGAATGAGCAATATCCAGGATTTTGTTCAGCTCCGCTTCCAGAGTCCGCGAGTCTGTTCCCAGCTCACCGGCGCTGACCATATACAGCGGCCGACGCAGTAGCTCGGCAATGCCCTCTGCTGTGAGGGTCTTACCTGTTCCTGGAGGACCATGCAGCACAGCAACCAGACCCTTGCCCTTACCCTGGATGACATCGTCGATGTTCTCCGCCGCATGGAAAGTATGCGACTCGACCAAAGCTTTCACGATGGACTTCTGGTTCGTCGGCAGAACAAGCGAGCCAAAGGCCTCCTTATCCCACTCGATATCACTGATGCCCGAGATAGTAAACTCCAGCCAGAGCTTCTCACTGAACGCAAAGCCCAACACAACAGGACTAGCCACCAGGAGCTCCTCCTCCGTGAACTCGCGCGGCTTAGGATCCGCAGCATCGCCCTCCAAGCGATCCATCTTCTCCCTCTGAATCTCATTTCCATTCTCATCAACCTCCACCTCAACAACACGCGGACACCCGTCTTCATCCTCAATCACCTTGTACACCGTCTGAGGCGTATCAGACGAGCCCCCGTGCTCCGAGTCCGAGTCCGACCCTCCACAGCAACACCCAGCACTATCATCATCCTCCCCACCACTGAGCCCCAACTCAGACGGATCTATTAGATCCGGATCCTTGGGACGAACCGTACTGATAGGATAATTAGGATTAATCCGACGATGAATCGCCGGATCAATCATCACTCGACCATTGATATTAACCTTGATCACGAAAGAGCGCTTCTTCTTGTAGAAAGCCATGCCCTTGTGGAAGCGGTAGTTCATACCACGCAGCGCGACAAAGCGCTTCCCACGCTCAATCAGACGGGCACGCAAGGCCTCGGCGTCTCGGTGGTATTGCAGCGGATAGCAAGCCAGACTGGTGATCTTGCGAGCGCCCTTGAACGATTCGACTTCGGCGGACATGCTTCCGAAGCCGTAGTCCTTGCCGTCATATTCCAGGTAGCGGCCCTCGACGCTATACCAGTGACCCTTCATGAACGAGGATTCCTTGATCGCGTACTCGATCTTAAAGGCGCGTGGTTCGTCCGGGTTACTGTAGGTTGGGGTGTAGGCGATGGTGTTTGGCTTGAAGAGCGCCCACAGGAGATCGAAGGTAATGGTGTTTGCCTCGAGCAGGGGGTAGAGGGTTTTCTTGGTGTCAGCGTAGTCGATGTCGAGGTATTTGATGAGGACCTTTAGATGGGCCGCTTTGAGGGCGGCAGTCTTGCGGGCTTTCTTTTTCTTTTCGCTGCGCGACTGCTTCTTGAGGTCTTTCATGTACTGGCGTGTTTCTTCCAGGTATAGGAATAGCATGTTGGGGTCGACCACGGCGGGTTCCTGGACCAGGCTGACGCCCTTGACGCCGTCCATGACTTTGGCGAGGGCATCGCGGAGGTGCTTGCTCTTGATGTCGACCACTGTTTCCAAGTATTTGTTTTCCCAGTTGAACTTGCGACGCACGGTGAAGATATATTGGTCCCATTCGTCGGCATCGGGGTCGTCCACCGTTTCGGTCAGCTTATACTTGTGGATGGTGGTGTCCCATACTAGCAAGGTTAGCACGATACAACGGACAGAATGAACTGGAAAGCAGGAGTTTCTAACTCACGTTGATCAACACGCTTGAACGCAACCTTGGACGCAGGCTTCTTCTTCTTAGAACGTTTCTCTCTCTTCTCACTGAGAGGATCACTGGCCGTCAGATCGTCGGCGGTCTGATCGCGGAGCTCCTTAGCGCGCTTCTTCAGCTTCAGCCTGGTCACCAGTTTGCGAAGAGCTTTCTCGTCCAACGAATCTTCCGACTCGACCGAGCTCTCCGAGTCAGACGCAGAGGAAGAATCCGACGAAGAATCCGAATCCGAAGCTGCAGCTTTACGCGACCGTTGCTTTCTCCTCTTACGGCGCTTCTTATCCTTCAGCACACGCTTGGCCCGGGTCTTTGCTCGTATACGGTGCCGTTTGCGCTTGTCCGTGTTGGACTCACTCGAAGACTCCGAGTCAGCATCGTCCGTGTCAGCGTCACTGTCCGAGTTGGAGGAGGACGACGACGAGGAGCTATCGCTCGAATCGGCCTTCTTAGGCCTCTTCTTGCATTTCTTCTTCTTGTCGTGCTTCTGGCAGACGAGCTTGGGGACTGTCTCAGCTGCGGGGGCAACAGCTGGGTCTTTGGCTAGGACCTCTTTCACGGCGACTTCTGGCTGGGCTGAGCCGTTGAGGTTGTCGGTGGAAGGATCAACCTCATCCTTGGCCTCAGCCGGGATAGTAGGTTCTGCCATAAAAACTACAGCTGTGGGAAGCTTGGAGAAGTTGGAGAAATGGAATGTGAGGTATCAGAAGAGACTAAATAGCACGGAGACTGGCACTGGCTTGTTACCAGAGACAGAGAGACAAGAACAGAAAAGGTAGAGACAAGTCAAAAAGGCAGAAATAAACCAGAGCAGAGTCAGGAAGACTAGGAAATAGAAAAGAAAGAGAATGACTCTGTGGGTGAGACGCATTTTATGTACGCAGGCATCACGCTGCAGCCTCAACACCAATCAGTCAGCTCCACGATGTATGCGCTGTCGCTTTATAATTAGTTGCTTCCTTCTGCCCCGTGGACATCCTAGGGACTGCCAGAGTTTCGTCCGTATTTTTTCAGACTTCCATATGCATGTTTCAGTGATGCGGCTCTGAGCTTGCTCCAGTCCGGGGACACTGCTAAGCGCCGAAAGCTGAGCTGTCGGTCTATGCGACGTGGCTGCCTAGGCTGCCTACTGTAGTCCGAGCTGTACATGAGCTGTTCTCACATGAACGGAATAATGTACATGGGCCTGCACATGAGTCACTTTTGAGCACCCCTATTTGATATGCCGGTTTCTGTTGGCTTGTACTGTACTGTATGGTGGACACGTGCCGGAGACTTGCCCTAACTTTATTGATCCACCCAGGTTGGATGTCGATGGAAAGACCTTTGTCGGCTTGTTGAAAGAGCAGTACCAATCGCTGTCTTGGGGAGAGTTAATCAACCTGTTATCACTTTATGGTCCAGATGTCTCTGGATGAATGGGTTCGACTGGTCGAACTGGACGTGCCGGACACTTCTAGGCCATCCAGTTTGGGAGTGGATGGGAGAACTTCCCAAACTGAATTCACTGCTTGGAAGAGTAGAGTCCGTGTCTGTGTTAGAGAGAGTCAATCACGTTCTGGATCTTGGACGGACGAAGTGCTCACGGAGGGATGAGTTGACCTGATCGAGAGTGACGTGCCCAGACGATTCTGGTAGACGTAACCACCAAACACCGGAAGCGCGAAGGTTAAAAGAAAAGAAGGAGACTAATATGGAGGGTATGGCCGCTGGCAAACATTTGGAGCTTGTTCAAGCGTGAACTTATGATGCTGTTAGGGCTAATTCCTCGAACCCCGAGGCCCCGCGGGGCGACATCAGCGCCGGCGAGGTCCCACGATCCCACGACCTCCCCTAATTAAAAGCGTCAAAAATAAAAAAGTATAAATAGCCAAACGTACCTAAAACGATCCTAGACTCGTCGCGATTTCTCCGAGAACCTATTCAACCACGGTGACTTATCCATCGAGATGAACCACAATAATCATCCCAACTTGCCTTCGGGCATGGATACTGTGACGGATCCTCTGTCTGATCCTCTCTCTGTCCTCCCTGATGGAGCTGAGTCTATGCCAGCCCAGCAAGGCTTCTCTCACGACAGTCATCCTGCTCTACCTGCCGGCGGCCCTCCCATCTCCATCCCAAGCCACTCTCTCTCCCCCCTCCTGCCATTGAAGTTCACGTTAACCCTGCTGTATTGTCTCTTCTCCTCGAGAGCACACATCACACTTCACCTGAGCAAGTTTCCACTGACATTTCTGACGTTGCTGTCCCCGTATCTGGGGCTTCTCTTCCAACTCTGGTAGCCTCAGAGAGTTCTGTTTCCATCCTCCCATTTGATATCTCATATTCTCTTGACCGTTTTCTGGACTCACCTTCTCCCGTCTTTGAAAACATTGACACTGCTGGTGATATTGAAAACCTCCCTGCTACTCCTAGTGGGCTTCACAGTCTACCTTCCACTGTCGATCCTTCTCTTGCTGTCACACCCTCTCCTGTCTCTGCTCACCCCGAACCTCTCATCCATACTGAAGCTTCTGTTTACGCTGAGTCCGCTGTTCACGCCGAAGCTGCCACTCCTGCTGAACTTGCTTTTGATGCTGAACTTGCTGCACACGCTAGAGCTGTTTCCCGTGCTGTAGCTGCTGCCCACGCTGAAACCTTTGCCCGCGCTGAAGTTGCTGTCCATGCGAGAGCTGTTGCCCACGCTCAAGTTACTTTTCAAGCTGAAACTACTGCCTTCGCTGAAGCTGTTACTTGTGCTGAAGTTGCTTTTCACGTTGAACTTGCTGCCCGAGCTGAAGCTGTTGCCCGTGCTGTAGCTGCTGCCCGCGCTGCAACATTTGCCCGCGCTGAAGTTGCTGCCCACGTTGAAGCCGTTGACCGCGCTCAAGCTGCTCTTCAAGCCGAAGCTGCTCCTGACGCTGAGCTTTCCGTGAGATCTGATAGTTAGTCCACTTCAATGCAGCCCACTCACACTATCACTCCTACTCAGAGCAACACTAATCCGCTTCTCTCAGATAGCTCTCACCTCGATCTAAGCATCATGCCAGAATCGACCAACATGGAGAACCAACAGCGCGCTCAATGGGAAGATTCGCCTCCTTCCCATCCCATCGTGCCCCCCGGCGGCCAAAACCCCAGCGCCTGGCTCGAAGCACGCATCCAAGCGTCCGAAAACCAGCTGCTGGCCATGATGGCCACGAACCACAATGACCCTCCGCACCATTTCACCAACGACGATGAGATGAGCGACCTGGGTCTCGACGACCTCGATGACCTGTTCCAGGAGATGGAAACCGGCACAAAGGCTGCCAAGAAGCAAAAGCCAGCCGGCACCGAGCGTCTCAGCAAGCGTGTTAAGAAGAGTAACACGTCTACTACCGCCGCCGCCCCCGCCGCCTCCTCCACCCACATGCTGCGCAGCAGCACCACCCAGAAGACGGCGGAGTCCACCGCCAAGGCCACGAAGGGTCTCTGAGTCCTGGCCGAGTGGGCCAAGGGCTCGGAGGACCAGATTTGACGTACGTATAAGCTTTCTTTGTCCTTCCTCGCCTGTTACATTTCGTTTGGATACTTGTTAGGCGGAGCTCAGTTGTGCTAAGCTCCTTGATATGAGATCTGATTGCTAACGGTTATTACCTTATTTAGGAGGCCCAGTAGGGCAATGAGGTCCCGGCGAGGGGGAGAAGCCAGGCCAGGTGGCGAAGCCTGGCACTACTACAAGTGCTGTTGTGCCCTGCGTTTTGTGTTAGAGTATTGTGTGATTATGATACCCCGGGGCTACATGATCAAGCCCCAAGCGGAGAATGAAACCTGTTCTCAAAAAAAAAAGGGATTCCCAGTAAACCTGTTCATTCGCTAGATACAATCACGGTAAATGCTAAATGCGCGAGGATATCAGATCCAAAAGAGAGAAACGCCCCGAGTCCATGTGCCCACCCGCTGGTGTCATATAATCATGAGAGCTAAAGCTGAAAGCCGAAAAAAAGTCAAGGTACCAACCGAATAATAAAAGAAAGTTAGAGAGCGCTCAGTTCTCTTCTGCCCGTGCTTCGCATGCTCATCCCCATCCCTGGTAGTCCGGCGCTCCATTCTGACGAGTCGGAGTCACCTCGACCTCGTGATCCACTTGTGGTGCTTGTTCCGATACTGATACCGGCAGTGGTGAGAGATTCTGTATCGTCAATGACCGGTGGGCCGCCAACCATGACAGGGCGAATCTTGGCACCGACGAATCCACGACGATCACGGCCTGTGCGACCACGACCGAGCCAGTTGTGTTTCAGGGCTTTACTGAGAATCTCGATCTTCTCTTGGGAGGCATCGGCGGTCTGAACGCTGGCGAGCACGCTGACACACTGCAGCATACGACCTACGGTTTCTGTGATGACGTGTGAGGTATCGGTCGAGTTGACGCGATGGATGATAGTAGGCCGTGCTGCGGGTGCCGGTGGCGATGCAACAGACTGGAAGGTGAAAGGATCTGGGTTTGAGGATGTATTTGATGTAGCGCGGCTGCGGGAGTTGCTGCTCGTAGGACGGGCGTTGTTGGCTAAACTCGTAATCCCGTCAGAAGAGTAGCTGTCTGCGACGTTGCTGAGAAGAGTCGAGGATTGCGAGTTGAAGCTGCCAAAGCCGGCATCGAGGGAGGCTGCGGTACCGGGACGGCCTCCTGTGCCGGTGCTTTTGGCCGTCACGCTGAGAGTTGGAAATCCGGAGTTGATGGAGTCCAGACTAAGGCGGGAGAATGTTGTCTTGAGGGTCTCGTAGCGGTTCAGGATGATGCAGTCACGGAAGGCGATCAGGACCAGGTTGCGCACTTCGAGTGCACCACCGACAGGGAGTGGACCCCAAAATTCAAGGGCTTCCCGCCTGGTCATCAGAGATCCACAACCCTTGAATTCGAGATCCAAAGGAAGGAAAACGGCCTGGATAAAAGGCAGGATCGTGCCAAATACCAAGAGCCAGATCTGTACAAGATGTGGAACCAGCTTTTCATCAGGTACTCCTAGAAGTGAACTGAGATTCAGAGTTGCGAACCCAGTTTCAAGCAACTCTTGCAAGTCGGTAATGATAGACGCAGGAGTCCTTTTATGCACACAGCGCTGTAGATGAACTAGGACCAGCTTGTTCAAATCCTCAATGGCAATGCGAACATCCTCACCATCGAAAATGACCAGCAGCTTCGCCTTGAGGAAATCCCACGCATCTTCAGGTGTCATGTTGTTCAACCCGAAGCCTTGCAATGTCTCCCGGAGAATAGATTCGTGGTATGTACCAGCACTGCCAATCGAGGAAGGGCCAGGGAAGCCACCTGGTGTCGTAGGCCCACCGGCGGTATTGGCAAGCCACTCCGATTGTTCCGACTCCGCGAGAGCCTTCTCCTCTTTCTTCTTCTCGCGGAGTGCTCGTCCACCATGTAAGATATCCAAACCACTGACGGACTTGCCGAATGTAGCACCCGGTGCCGGTGATGCAGGGCTTGTGAAAGAGTAGAGGGATTGCGGAGCATTTGGATCGGCCGGACGAGAATTGCTCGAGGCCGAGGACAGGACCTGATTGAAATGATCGTCGACCCGGTCCTTGAGTTTGAGTTTCTGTCTTGACAAGAAATGGTGCTTGTGCTTATCCTTTTCCTTTTCCTTGTCCTTTTCTTTCTCTGGACCAGAAGCTCGATCTGAAGGGACGACGGTGCTCACAGAGGCATTGGAGAGATTGTACATTGAGGAGTTGTTCGAAGGCAAGTCGGCCAAATTCAGGTTGGTCGTGGACGCACTGACTATGCGTGACAAGCTACTGATCTTGCTCGGAGAAGGAAGCCCCCGATCCTTGCCCAAATCCTTATCCCGGCTAATACCAATATGTTTCGGTTTGGAAAACAGCTTCTTCTTCTTCTGTTTCTCCGGTTGTAGGTCTGGTGGTTGCGCACCGGCGCGCGGGAACACCACATTCGCAGCAGTCGTCGCCACGTTTGCTGAAGTTGGGGGCTGAGGCGAAGGCACAGTGACACGCAATGGAGCAGGCATAAGCGGAGGCGATGCGCTCCCATTCCCCCGTGGCCGTGTGTCCTCCGCAGGCATGACACTCTGCACTCGTTTCGTCTGTTGCATTGCTGCCTGGGCAGCGATTCTCGAAGCCGACACGACGGGGACATGCTCGGACGAGGCACTTGGCATGGATGGTTCGAAGAAGCCCTGCGAGTGAACGCGAGAGCGATGCCGGGGTAATTCAACCGAGGGACCCCGGCCTGAAGGCCGACGGCCAGAGGAGTCTGGCATGGGGCGAGCGTGCGGCGAAGTGGTGGTGGAGCGAGGTTGAGGGGGGAAATAGCTTCCAGAGGGAATTTGCGGATTGACGGGCGTAATCGGCGCTGCTGAAACGGTTGTTACATTGGAGGAGGTGTCGCTACCGGAGGAACCGGGGCGGACCATTTCGTCTTCGTCGGAATCATCTTCGTCGTCATCGGACGGAGGCTGCGGAGGTGGAGGCCGGTAGCGGACAGGGGCTGGCACCCGCTGCCGCCCTGGCGAGTTGGGAGATCGCAACGAGGGATTCATGGTGTGTCCATTGTTGACATGAAGTGATTGTGAAGGCTACAAAAGCCACCTCGCCGATCCCTGCCCCTACGGTCGACAGTAAAGACCACTCCAACGCTATCTCGATCTACACGCAGATCGATGCTTATATATCGACTGGTTTTAGACTGGATCTCACTCAGTTCGAGTTGTATTTTTGCAAGATGGGATACTCAGCTATTGCAGGTCATTTCAGATCTCATTTGGGTTTGATTTGGTATACTGCTTCTCTCTACGTTGAGGATATCTTGCCCTAGAGTTAAATGCCGGAATAAGTAGCTATATAATATCAAGATCAACAAATAGACACATATCAATATTTGTAGCTTTCGCTTCCATTTCAATTCGCATTTCTCACCTCGCTCTGTGTGTATACTGCCCTTAGGCCGGAATATCGAAAGACCGGGCAGCTATTTCACCGCCTTCCAATCCCAGCCTAGCTCACCATCCGGCCACTAGTCCTTCTCTGGCTTAGCCTCGGCAGCAAAGAACATGGTGGGGGCTCAACTCTTCCTCCCACCTTCAACTCTCCCGTGTACAAATCCCTACAATGGCCATCTCCGTCAACCTTGAAGCGGTCTACTCCGCCCCGCAGTCTACAGAGACCTTCCAACATGCAATTCCTTCCGACGGAGCTGACACCCTGGCCGCGAAGCAAGCACACCTCAATGCCCTGCAAACCCTCGTCCCCAAACTACAAGACCAGATCAATGTGTTCCTGACAGAGCGCATGGAAGAGGACAAGAAAGCTCAAGGCCAGATCTCCGCCCAAGAAGCCAAGGAGGAAGAGAACTACGGAGAGGAGGTCGTTGAAGATGATGCATGATGTATCGTAAAATAGGCAGATGCTAGCACTGGGTATCAAAGTCGCTGAAACAGCCTCCGACAAGAATCCAACCAAAAACGACCGACCGACGAAACCCGAAAGAAGACCATGAAAAAATGAAAACAAGAACAGCTCGATGCATGCAATGCAGACGCAGAAGCACAAGAATCATATCACCCAGATCGAACACTGGGCTTCCGATTGGCACACCCCAGATGCACAACCGTGTTACTAGACCGAATCGTCAGCATCCACCAAACCAAAGCAAAGCATACGAGGACAGAAAACTTACTCAGGGAACACGTTGATCACACTCCCACCCAACCGCTTATGACAAACGCCACAAATCCGCTCTTCGGTAACCGTAACATGGCGAGCCCGCGAACCGGCTCCATTCCCACGAACGCCCTCGCCAAGAGCCAACTGCGCCTGAATCTGCATGTCGCGCGATTTGCGCAGATTGGCTACGATGCGCGCTTCATTGAAGACAGAGTTTGCAGCGCGCATGCGGCCCTTGAAATAGAATTCCAGTTTCTGCACGGCTTGCTGGTCTGGGATGAGTTTCAGGGCGGACTCGGCTGGGAGTCTGGAGCCGTGTTTGGCTAGGAGGTCGATTGCGGGGTCGTATTGGGGGTTGTAGCCGTGCGGCGGGGAGAGGTAGAGGGAGAGGAGGGTTAGGTATATTGAATCCTCTTCTTTCTTTTCGATGAGGTGGACATGGTTGCAATATCTTTTGGGGGTTAGAGTTGTCTTCTTGGAATGGAATGAAATGGTATGACCTACTCTTCTGCTTTCTCGTGAGCTTCCAGTTTGAAAACGTAGATCTCCAGCGCTTGTCTGTGCTGTCCCATCTTGCTAAACAGAATAGCGCGGGCTTCGTAGAAGTTGGGATCTGAAAAGTATGAGTATTGATCTGAATTTGCAGCGGAGGATAGACAACATACCGTCTCGATCAAGCCGATCTAGCATCTTCGCTGGCGAGTATTGTTCGCTCTCTTTCAACATGGTCAAGAACTTGTCTTTCCATTCCCCTTTATGGGATGTAAGTTGATCTAGATATAAGATGAGTAAACGCTGATGTATGTCGGGCGTCATATCGTTCCATTCATTGATGACATGTTCAAGGTAGTGAATGGCAAGCGTGGTGTCTATTTTCTCGAGGAAGGCAAGAACACGAGGGCGAGGGAGTGTCTCGGCGTTTTCAGTGTCCGTCAGGAAAATCTCCATTCCCAACTCGTGACTAGCGCGAATAGGCCATTCTGCAAACTCAAGGACCAGGTCGATCTGGTCCGGAGGTAAGTTTTGGAGATAAGCGACTGTGCGCGTGGGACCACTCAAGGGACCGTTCTCTGTCTGACCAAAGCGCTGTAGTAATTCAAGTGCTTGGCGATGTAACTTCTTGCCGTAAAGGAAGTCAATCAAGTCGTTGTATCGGCCTGTTTCTTCCAGTCGTTCCATGACTACATCTGGATCGCAAAAGTTGGCGATGCGGAATAGAGATCCAGCTAGCGATGGGGTCGCAAACATGTGTGCGCGGAACAAGGTGGTATCGACCAGTCTGGCCTTGGCTCGGAGCTGCGTAGCAAAGTCCTCTGTAGATGGGAAGTCCAAGAGTTTGAGAACAGAGTCGCTGGCTTCGTCTTTGGCTTCAGATGGTGCGGCAGCCTTGAGGGAACCATCAGGGTTGAGAAAGCGCTGGAAGCGTCGGCGGACGTCTGCTAGATAGCCCTGTAGTTCGCGGACTGCTATTCGAAGACCTAAGTCGGTTAGTCAGATCAGCCATATTTGACGGGTGAGGTTTGTTTACCTTTCTCATCGCCACGGATGCTGCTCGACTCGCTGCCCTCATCAGGTTTGCGCATAGATGAAATAACAGATGGAGGATTGGTCGATGTCTGCCCTGGAGCTGCCTCATCCGACGAACCTTCACTTTGCGACCCATTGGCTTTTCCATTAGGAGCATCTGGCTCGGGGACAGTCGTGAGATCACCCGCAATCAAGCGAGGGTACAGTCGAATGACACTTTCCGGGGGCGCAGAGACGTCAGTGAACAAATCCAAAGAATCGCGATACTTGTTCAGGGCGAACAAGCCTTGCGCCTTTTCCAGTTTCGTCGAACGAAGTCGGCCAGGCTTATCACGGAGAAGTGCATCCTCCAGCATTCCGAGTAAGCTGATAGCTTCATCTAGATAGCCTTTCTCAACCAGAGTATCGATTTGGGTATCATAGCTCAGGGCTTCCATGCGCCAGATAGTGCGTTCACTGGCCACCAGGAATCCCTTTCCAGCGTGAGCGAGACTGATATTCGGCTGGGGGATGTGCAGGATACTAGCCGATGGCAAGGGAATAGACTGCAAGAGAGACAAGGTCTCTGGGTTGCGGACTTCCAATACGCCCTTTGCGGAATCATGCAAAGCTAGCAGAAAAGGATACGAATACCCCAATTCTACAGGCGCATGGCTCCAGGGAACCTGCTTCCGACCCAGGGGTTGACCATCAACATCAATAAAATGCGTATTAATATCCTTGGCCAACAGGATCTGGCCCTCTCGGAGCCTCGTCGCCAGCGGCCGCGGCACCATCCCACCCATACCGATATAGCTCATACTCGCAGCGCCAACACCGGTAAACCGACCAGACTCCTCAACACTGCCGGGACCAGCCAAGTCGGTCACCTGCCCACTCTCCAGATTGACCATGACAAAGCTCGAGTTCAGCCCGACAACCAAGCGCTCCGCAGCAACCCAAGTGAGAGTTTTGACCCCACTAACCAAACTCAACTCCGTAGTATCACGCTCGAGCTCCATGTCCCGCCAAACCCACATAAGAATCTTCCTCTTAACAGAGACAGCCAGACGAGAAACAATAGCAGGAACATTGGTATCAGGATCATTGACAACATTAGAAGTAATAGCAAACGCAGAAGCACCCTTCGTCTGCGCGAGCACTTCAACAACCTCATAAGACTGCGCATCATGCAGCGAGACATAACCGCCCGCCAGCGAAACAAGCACATTAGCCTCCTTAATCAGGGCCAGCTGCTCGATCTTGTATCGGGAGAATTTCTCCAGTTCGCGGAGGAGTTCGGTCTTGCCGTCGTCCGTGACGCGGTAGATACGGAGGTTGCCATTGTTCAGGCCGGCTAGAAGGCGGTCGCCGTAGGCTAGGACAGATTCAATGCGTGACTTGTCGCGCGGCTTCAGCTCGACCAGCGGCCGCGCCGTAAATGCAGACAACATGGGCGTGGTGCTCGCAATTCCTGCTGGGAGGGCGATTGCTGTTGGAGCTCTCCGCATGACGTCCAGGTGATGAGTCAGGGCTTAGTCAGGGTGAATCTGGGCTCGGGCCGACTTCGGGTTGGATCGGCAGATATAGTTACCAGCAGGGAAGGCTTCTACAACAATTTTTTCTACTTTTTCATATGATACATGACAGAAGACGGTTGTTAATACATTAATCAAGCCTTGTTTTTGGTATATGAATATCTGATGCAGTCCTAATCCAATCACATCCATGTGCCAGGTGACGCCACTCCGATGCAGACTAATACAACTTAATGCTGACCCTCTGTGCCCTCCTTGCCCGCGGCAGGGAAATCTTGATGCTTGGCAGATGTACCCTTACCACGCCAGGTGGAAACAGCAGGGATATCGGCCTTGAATCGTTGCTCCTCGGTGCCGTATGCACGGGGCGTGAGCTTGATGAGAGTGTGCAACGGCACCTCCATCCACGGACTCTGTTCCTGAGCCACATTCATGAAGTAGGCGTAAATACAACGGAGCACGGCTTGGTGGGTAACAATAATAACGTTCTCGCTGCGCTCCAGTTCCATGATGATGGGTTCCAGACGAATGACAACGTCGCGGTAGGACTCGCCGCCGCGATAACGGTAGTTGTATTTGTCCTCATCTCTGGCAGCGAAGTCTTCGGGGTACTTCTCGGCAATTTCCTCATACGTCAAACCATCGCAAACACCCGAGTCAAGCTCGTCCAGAGCTTTCCATTCCAGTTTCTCATAGTCTGTGTCTGCTTTGAGGTGACGGGCTGTCTGAATGGTGCGGCGCAGGGTGGAGGTCCAGATGACAATCTTGGTGTTGGGAGGGACACCGGACTTGCGCATGAGGTCAGGGAGTGCGCGGGCATAGGCTTCACCTCGCTCGGAGATATTAGAATCTCCACCGATTTTACCCGTCAGGTTGAACTCGGACTCGCCGTGCTACATTTCATCAGCTGGTATTCCCAAATAAGTATCGAATCACTTACCCTTGACAGCCAAATTGATCGAGGCTTGATGTGAAGGTTCTGAATATAATAGACCAGTCGACTAGATAGATAATCCTTGATCTGGTTGATAATCACCGTTGATCCCACGTTGATGAGCTTGACATAGGTGTAATGCTTCTCATTGTCGTCAATCGTTTCATAAGCCTTTTCATAATTGCGAATGCGATTGCGGAAATCCAAAGCCGCAGCTTCAGGATCTTGACCCTTATAATCCGGAGATGTGGTCTTTACTTCCTTGATGTTGGTCATAATCAAGTCTTCATCATCGCAAATCGACTCTACAAAGAGGGCTTCGATATCCGCTTCATGACATTTCTCATAGATCCAGTTGCGACGCTCTTTGGTCGAGTTGGTGGCGTCCAGAATGGCCACAACACCCTTTCCGGTGTTGAACCACTGGATCATGTCTGACATGGCAGCCTCGGCCGCCGCGCGACGCATGCGCTCGCCTTCCTCATTGTGAGGATCAAAGAACGTGGCAGCAGGCTGAGGAGTGTTGAATCGGCGATACCCACCCACGTTGAAAACTCGCGCGGGAATGCCCACCCAGCCAAGATAACGCATTGCTGTCGGATGTCAGTCTCACGTCCACGATAGCTGAATACACACTTACCCTTGCCGGCGATGAGACTCTTGCCTCGAGCCGGAAGGCCCACCATGACAACACATATTTTTGAGTCGTCAGACTGTGCATAAGGGTCAGCGGCAAACATAGTGAGAAACATACAACAACCGATGGGTGCAGGAGGAGAAAGGGCAGTCGCAAGTGAAGAAGGTATGAAGCGGGTCCAGAGTACAGTACGGAGAAGTTTCTCCCATCACTGCTGTTTTTTTCACAGTTTATAGCCGTTGATACGAGGCAGATGACCTTTTCCATAGCTAATACAGTTCCCCAACATGCCATGACCCACGATTCCTCCAGTGGCGAACTGCCCTCATTGACGCGGGACCTCGGTATTACCCCGCGATGCGTCCACCGAGAAAGAATGGAAAGTTGACTTACACTGGCAATGAACACTTTATGCTGCTGTTGACTCCTAATCACACTTTTGGACGACATGGTTGAGATGTAGAAGGAGGAATGAGAAGTTGCGGGAAGATTAGGAAGAGATCCCGAGGTCGGGAACAAGAGACAAGCCTTAGCCGAGCATGCAGGGTCTTAAGAGGAAGATCGGGATTCTCTGCAGATCAGATTCAAGCAGAAGTGAAGAAAAGGAAAAGGAGAGAAGTTGGATGGCGATGCGGTGAGTCTTTTCCCCACTAACGTCATCCCGTGAACAATCCACTTTTTCCCAACTTGATTCTGTTCTAGACGTTGGAGGTTGAGGGTATGCGGTATGTATGCTATGCTAGATCTATATATGCTGGGTTTTATGCTATCATTGCTCATCACGCTCGGCATTCTCGTCAGATGTCGGCTTGGGTCCACGGGCAAACTGCACACGCAGAGGACCACCCCACGGTCCTGGTCGGCCATTCAGTTCCTTCATCGCCCTCTCGGCTTCTTCGGGGCTGCCCACATCAACAAACAGATAGTAGTGCTCGCCGGGCTCAAATCGCTTTGCGGGGTGAGGGGCGAAGACCTTGCTCACATTCTCACTGGACCAACATCAGTAGTGATCACATGACGGACGCCGCCAAACTTACACGGTGAATCCTGTGAAAAACGTCTTCAGATTGCCCTGCACAGCCTCATGCTCGGTCAAGCGTGGTAGGCCACCAACATAGACTCGTCGACTGGAGTCACTGTTCACCTTGGCAAAGCTGAGTTTATCTTGCTGGCGCCAGCGATCAACTTTAAAGGGCTCGGAGGGATTGGCGATGCGCTCTGCCGACTTCGCGACGCCGGGCTTGATCTTGACAGGACGACCCATCATATCCCGACCATCCAGCTCGGTCATGGCACGCTCGGCATGTTCCTTGTTCTGCAGATCGACAAAGCAGTAGGAGGGGTTTCGGCCGGTGAACGGGTCAATGGCAATATCAATGCGCTCGCTATGGGGAAGGGGATTCAGTCGGATCCATGGCCATGGTTCAAGTGCAGGCATACATAGGGAACTCGGCCGCAATGAACAGCGCCTCCACATCCTCCGTCTTGGCCGTGTACGGCATGTTGCCTACATACAGCCGGCGGCCATCTGAGATCGCTTGCGGGACATGGGAGCCGGGCCGGCTGAAGGCTGCGCGAGAGGTGTTGGTGGTGCTGGGGCTGGCATTGCTGGGGCGGGAGGGGGATGGCCGAGAGGGGGAGGCTGAGGGGCTGTCGACCTTGGTGCGCCAGTTGGCGGAGTTGAAGGCTCGGCCGTTGGTGCGGACGTTCTCATAGGGCGACTTGGTAGGAGCTGTAGATTGTAGATCTAGGTTAGTGCCTTTTGTTTCGGTGGTCAGGTATAGATGACGTACTCTGCTCCTGGGGTCGAGGGCTTTCCATTTCCATGACTGTGTTAATATCTGCCGAATCTGACTTTCCAAACACGAAAATGCAAACCTGCGAAATCAAAATTGCTTTTCGCGTCTGTCACTTTTTTTTGACGGCCAGTGCAAACAGTGCAAATGCCCCCCTCGGTAGTATTTATTTCGTGAGCTCCCGCTTTTTTTTCTCTTCATTCTTCATCTTCTTCACTTTGGTTAATTTTCACCATGCGGTTTATTTGACTTGATTCAATGCTCAATGGGTTCATAGCCTTAGCATTGACTGAAGTGTCACCGATCCTGCCTAGGCAAGGCAGACAAAGCATGATGAAGCTGTGTCACCTTGCCCTGGCAGCACTTCGAGCACCATGAGCTGCCTGGACCAAAATGTTCCGAAACGGTTCTAGCAATACCAATTGTTGCTGTGACCGTTGAGGGACTACCACTAACACCGTGAGTTTGAACTTATCCTTTCCCTCCTTCTATGATGAAGCAACCTTTTCACACAGACCTGTTCTGAACTATAATGTGGACTAAAAATTGTACCAACTGCTATCTGATGAAGCTTTTGACTTTTTATTTTTTACCAAGTCTATGCGATCATTGCTAACATGATTCAAGATTTTCACAGGACCGCCTATCTACATTAGACCTACATGCACTAGATAGCAACACGAGAAATTATTTGATAAAACTCTTCATGTTCATTTTTGTAACAAACGTACCATCGGCCTTGGAATTGCCGAAGCACAAGGATACTGCATTGTATTACTTGGTTAACCCTGCCATAGCAGAGTAAATTACTTGCAATTTTTTCAATTGCTTGTCGGCAGAGGATCTGATTGTATCTGTCCAGCATACTACAGTGGTGTGTAAGGTCTGCATAAGCCTGATGTATAACAAGACAGTGCAGCTGCGACTAGCAATGGTGATATAACCGATGTGTACTGACTGTACTTTCAAACACTGATCCCACGATACTGTAATTAACCCACGAACGCTAAGATAAACATTCCCTTCATCCCTAATTTGAAGGCCAGTAGCAACCCAACAGCGATCGGCGGTGATTCGGATCCTCACGTTGCATGAAGTATTAAATTGATTTTGCAAATTATGAAGTCAAGTATTCATCTGCATTCAGTGAAGGGGAAATCAAGACTTGTACATGTATCAAATCCGAATCCAGGGTCTCGGGCTATAGTGTAAAAAAATGACGCTTATTTCTTACCTACTGTACAGTAGTGCTGAGTGAGACAGAAAGCATGAGCTGCATGTTTAGTTCAAGTATATTTTACCGGTTTGAAATCATTAACAAATCACGTTGCTTTCTTTGCATTAGTCTTCCAACTCAAATAATCAGCATGAAATCAAACCCAAATAGATTCAAAACTACAGTACTATACCATCCACTCGAGTTTAGCCTTCAAATCATTACTGAATCAAAACACGCACCTGTCGATCACCACAGATTCAAAGTACACACTACACTAGCAGGACACGATTCTTTGTCCACAGTTTGCCCCTCCAAGCCCTGTAAGCTTCTGCCAATCACGACCCAGTGCGCTCATTGAAGCGACCATTGAAGCCATAGTGCTTCTTTAACTAGACCCACCAGAATGCCCCTGTAAATGTACATGCTCTCGAGAACCTACTGTACAGTACATTTGTCGAGTTCTTTGTCTTCGGGGAGCAACCCTAGATCAAAACCAAACCAAAACAAAACATGCAATCCATCTTTCCCTCTCTCGACAATCCATTAGACATGACTGACAAAAGAGATAGCGATATTCCGTCCGCAAAAGGTATCCCTCAGCATCCACTCGGGACGGCCGCTGAACGAGCACGGCGCAATCTAAATGCCAAACTCTCCAATCCGCTGGCCGGATTCAGTCATGTCGAACTACGAAAACAAGGCCGCAATTTTGCAATCACTCATGAGATGGGCGATGAAACCGATATTCGTGCCTTTAAGCTCGGGGCCGTGCTGGCACAGTCACCGGAACGATATGCCACGGTCGACGGATTGACGCCTCCAGAGAAAGAAGTGCTGCGACGAGAGATTGCTCATCGCTGGGACCAGCCGTGGAAGATGTACGCCGTGATTGCGCTTTGCTCTTTATCGGCTGCAGTCCAAGGAATGGGTAAGCACTCAATGAAGTATATATCAAATCCAAAACAAGACTGACCAACGCAGACGAAACGGTTGTCAACGGCGCCCAGATCTTCTACAAACATCAATTTGGCATCGGCGACGAATCCTCCAGAAGCACCTGGTTAGTCGGCCTCGTAAATTCAGCCCCCTATCTCTGCTGCGCCTTCATCAGCTGCTGGCTCACAGTCCCATTCAACGCATGGTTCGGACGTCGCGGGACGATATTCATCACCTGCTGCTTCAGCGCAATAGCCTGCCTCTGGCAAGGCTTCGTATCAACATGGTGGGCAATGTTCATAGCACGATTCATGCTCGGATTCGGCATCGGGCCCAAATCCGCCACGGTGCCCATGTACGCCGCGGAAACGGCACCACCGTCAATTCGCGGCGCGCTGGTCATGCAATGGCAGATGTGGACGGCATTTGGAATCATGGTTGGCTATGCCGCAGATCTGATCTTCTACAACGTCGACTCGTCCGCGATCGTCGGCCTGAACTGGCGTTGTATGATGGCATCAGCCATGTTCCCGGCTCTCGTCGTCTGCTGCTTTGTTTTCGCCTGTCCCGAGTCTCCGCGGTGGTATATGAGCCAGAAACAGTATTACCGGGCTTACCAGTCGATATGCACGCTGCGACATCATAAGATCCAAGCAGCGAGGGATCTGTACTATATGCACACGCTGCTAGAAGCGGAGAGTAGCATGAAGCTGGGACAGAACAAACTGCTAGAACTAATCAAGGTGCCGCGCAATCGTCGAGCGATGGTAGCTTCGCAGATCGTCATGTTAATGCAGCAGGTGAGCTTCACGAAGACGACTACCCACACGCCTATCTAGATACTAACAGCACCAGTTCTGCGGCGTCAACATAATCGCATACTACTCCTCCGAAATCTTCCTCGAAGTAAGCCCAACACATCACCACACCACACCCCATCCACACTTCACATAACTAACAAACCCAGGCAAGCCTAACACCAATAGCAGCCCTCGCCGCTTCCCTAGGATGGGGCGTAATAAACTGGCTCTTCGCCATCCCAGCAATCTACACAATCGACAGCTTCGGCCGACGCAACCTCCTCCTAACAACTTTCCCCCTAATGGCCCTAGCGATGTTCTTCACAGGCTTCAGCTTCTGGATCCCAGAAAGCAACCACAACGCGCGGATCGGATGCGTAGGACTAGGCACGTACATCTTCGGTGTGGTCTACTCGCCAGGCGAAGGCCCCGTGCCATTCACCTACTCAGCAGAGGCATACCCGCTGTACGTGCGGTCGTACGGAATGGCACTGGCGACAGCGACGACGTGGTTCTTCAATTTCGTGCTGGGGGTTACGTGGCCGTCTATGCGGGCGGCGTTCACGACGCAGGGCGCTTTTGCGTGGTATGCGGGGTGGTGTTTGGTTGGGTGGGTTTTGGTGTTGTTGTTTATGCCGGAGACGAAGGGGAAGACGCTGGAAGAGTTGGATCAGGTTTTTTCGGTGCCGACGAGGTTTCATGCTGGGTATGGGTTGAGGCAGGTTAGGTGGTTCTTTTGGAGGTTTTTGTTGTGGAGGGATGTTCAGCCTGAGGTTCTTTATGAGAAGGAGGATGAGGGGGGGATGTTGGATGTTGGGTTTAATGCTTGATGGGGGTTTTGTGGGCATAGTTGGTATGTGTGAATTGGGATTGGGGTTGAGGTTGAGGTTGAAGGTCTGTTTCATTGCGTCTTTTTGTTTCGGTCTTGTGGAGTTGCGGATTGGATTCGGGTATGGATTAATGAGTAGAGTATCCTCGAACATGGGTTTAGATTATTGACTAAACTCCTTGTGAATGTCTTGCAGGTTGCGTGTGAACGGTGGGAATCTGTCTGTATTGAGGGTCTGGTATACATAACTAATGTAGATAGAGCCGAAGCAATGGGACAGTCAAAGGTTCAGCGTGAGAAGTTCGATATATTGAAAAATGTGGTATAATGACATCAGTAATTGATACTCTTCGCTTTTCATGCCACGAGTATTCAAGTGAAAGGTTGAACATTATTTGGGTCCCATTAGGTTGTAGGTATTGACTATATATCATTAAGTGAACACCATATGAGATCTCGCAACTTCACAGGGGGAATGCATTCTATGTCACAAAAGACTTAGACGTGGCGAATACATTCACAATCTATCGATTCACAGATGACTAGAAGTATCTAGTCAAGGCTACGCTTTATTCGTTAGCCTCATACTGTATGTGTCGCCGTGGATTGAACTTCATAGAAATGAGATTTATACTTCATTTACGAGGGAGCGCAACTTTCTTCTAATCAGTCAAAAGAATTCCATAGTTATTAAGTCAGCTCCCACCCTCTGACAAACAGCTAGAAGAACCTCGCCTCGTGGTTCTTATTGATTGAAGCCCATAATCTACCCATCAGCCCGTAATCACAGCGACTTTAATTCCCCCAACTGTCCCAGGGTGGAGTACCGAATGCTGTAAGCGAGTGAATACTGTAACTAGCTAGTTATTGACAAATATCTCGCTTGCGATTTGGTTCCTTATATGTCCGCGGCATTTGTCGAGCCTCTACTAGTACTGTACAGGCCAATCGGGACCAGGATTTCCCACAAACTCGGACTCAAGAGAACCGAATTCCGAATAAGACATTATTGCCGGGCTGGCCAATGACGGAACTCATTCAATTCTGACAAGCATTCGACATCTAACTGCATTGCCCCCTTGTCCATAAGTGGCTTGATGGGTTTCACCTATCGCCAGATGTAGATGTACGAACCCGAGGAGGGTGAGATATTTGACAGGAATGGCTTTTATGACGTCTTCGACGCCTTTGCAGAAAGTCAGGCTTGTGTTTTCTATTCGCAAGTTTTTTCGGACTTGCACTTCTTGTTCTCCCTGCTCGGATACCTGTTCTGGTGTTCATGCTTTCGGAATGAGTTCATAGATATCGATGGATTTATCCACATGAATTGTTAATATCCGAACTAAAGACGGTACTTGTGTTGTTTAAAAAAATAACCAATCAAACATTGAAAGCAGTACTTTTGACGTTATATCGAGAGATAGCCGAAGGCGCTAACACGTTCACACCAAGTCATCCTGCAAGCTCAACGAATAATCACACCACAAGATCATTAACATGCAAGTTCTCCTCGGAGATATTACCAAACCAGAACTAGCGACGGTTCGGCATGCAAACTAGCAGATCCTGCAACGCAAGCGGGACGAAGGGCGCTACTGCACAGAACCCAACCCACCCAATAAGAAACAACCCAGCAGCAAACTGTTGGATGCTGACAGTTGTAGTTCTGCATAGTCCATCCGCGAATATCAATACTTTATTCCGTAATTCAAAAAGATTGATCACGGCCCCATACATCAAGCTAAGGCGACACGTGAGTCAATCGAAGATGCATTCCGATTCTCAGCCGCAATCCAGGCGAGCATCAGCCCGTAATGTAGGGGCCAATTAGCCTTACGCGAGTGCCACAGAACCACTCACTGGCAAAGATCCCACGGTGACAAAGGATGACACAAGCCTTTCAGGCACGCCAGACAGACAAATGAGCGCAAAAGGGGCAGGGTCGGGGGTCAGGGTCTGAATTCAGGTTCTGACATGCATACGATAAGCGAGCGTACATGAGCAGGAACGGTGATTGGGGATATGTGCGGTACAGTAAGTGGTCAGATTTAATCTAAACAATGTAATACTGTACATTTGTATAGTACAATGAGAATCAACTGGACGGGCCTTAGCTGAGCAGCCAACGGGGCTTGGATGGGGCTCTCTTCCAACGGTTGGAGATCTATCGGATAGGCTGGTTGAACTGGGAGGCTTAGAGACCTTGTGGGTCTGGTTCGCCTGGTGGTGCATGCTCTCCACCTGGCGAGACCCGGGCGTTAGGGCAGGCAATGGAGAGAGGCTTAGTAGGGGGATGGGGAGGGCTCATTGCGAGGAAGGAAGACGGGTGAGGGTTCTTGAGGAGGTATGGGGAATGGGGTGAGCTGGACATCAGGCGTGCGTTTTGGGGGCTATTCGTTGTATAAGAGGGTTCCGATGGCCAGTGAATTCAGCATTGAAGCACGCGTTCTACTTCTTTTGTTTCTGGACAGTATGTTGCAAAGCATTTTCGAACAGCTCGGAGCTGTATCATCTGTTGGCTCGTTAGTTTTTACATTCTGTAACTTGGGTGCATTTGCTTCCGTGGTCGTTGTGATACTATGCGTGCTGCATAAAGTATTATACGACGAAGCAATGTCGACGAGAAAGGGCTATAGTTCATATATGCAGTCACTAAGCTGTGTTGGACTATTTCCTCTACTCAAGTGTTTCAATCTTCTACGAAATATATCCAGGGTTGTATCATCCTTGACCTCCAAGTCCAAACCTATTGTTCTATCTGGAGCCGAAGGTCGACGTATCTTCTTCAAAGAAAAGAATTTACATCTTTACGAGACTTTCCAGGGTCTATTTGCGAGTGTGAGTATTCTTAGGGCAACATTGGACTCATTTACTGATAGTTTGTCTTTCAGATCTCATCGGATCTCGACCCACACCAGGTCAGTGGTATTGTTCGCCGGATGAGCGGCATTCAAAAGCCAGATACACTGCAGCTTTGTGAGTTTTCCATTGAGCATGACGAGAGACATCTCTTAACTTATACCGTATACAGTGATCCCATTGTTGTTATCAGATTGCCAAAAGAAGATGGATTCGTGGGGAGCTCAAGCCATCCTCGATCCAAGCTCGGCTTTCCATGAGGTATGTATGCCTTGCATCGCAGTCAAGGATGACGCTTATGAATCCTTGTTTCTCTGTTAGATTGCCTTTCAGATGGTCATGCGTCCTGCTTCTTTTGATATAGCTGAAGATCCAGCTCTTTTATCGCGTCTGAAACCACTCATCGACACTATCGAGTCGCCTTCGTCCGAAAGTTCATGGCTGCCCAGTATCTCCTCCTTTCGCAAAGTATCCGCTTCTGCTCGCATATACGGTATTATTCAACGGCAGGTTCACAATAGGAAGAGTAGTGGAAGTCGGAGGAGAGATGCTCTTCAACAGATGCTGGATGATGGAGAGAGTACAGTTCATATATTTGGGGTAAGTACGCACCGAGCCCTAAGATCTCGAATGCTGCTAACCAGGTTTGAAGTTCATGCTCGGTCTCTCTCTTGCTGGAGCGCGTGCCATGGGAACCACAGGTATAGTTGTCTTCATAAACTGGTGTCCGTCCCAACTAACCGCATTCAACAGTAACCTGGCTGATCATGTATCTCGCCTCTGATCCCCACTGGTCTGCAGCCATTCAAAACGAGATCGAGACGCTTATCTCAGCCCATGCCGTCTCTCCAAGCCAAACTCTGACGGAAACTCTGTCCTCAATTCCTCTGCAAGCGTGGGAAACTCAACTCCCGATGCTGGATCTTTGTATCCGTGAAACCCTCCGCATTGCCCAGCCCTACACAGCAGTGCGAAAAAACGTCGGCCCCGAATTCACCGTTGGACCATATACCATTCCTTCGGGGGCCTCCGTTGTCTACCCGTTCTCCGACACCTCCATCAACCCCCAGGATTACCCCAATCCCATGCGCTGGGACCCCTCTCGGGCATTTCAGGGACAATTCATTGGTTGGGGCGCTGGCAAACACGCCTGTAAGGGCCAACGACTCGGAACCTTAAGTATGAAACTTTTGGTTGCCTCGGTCCTGCTGCGGTATCGCATCACCCTGGAGATGCAGGGTCCTCCCGTTCCGGATTGGAGTTCTACAGCCTGTCGACCCATGGAGAAAGGTGGAATCCAGATCACAGCCCAGTCGTAGAAGGCATGCAATCAACCCAATCAGCGACTGTTCCCACGGGATCGGACGATCCCCGCAATCCCTATCTCCTTGAAGGTTATTTCTCGTTCGACCAATGAGGACGCACCCCATCCGATACCGTTACCGTGGATGGATTCTGGCGTTTAAGCCCATCCAATCATCGGGTGAAAGTCAAGGGGTGAAAAGGACTCCGGAAGCTTCAATCGAGAGTGACGTGGGTGACATGAAGAACCGTAGACCCAGTCGTGGCGCATCGCCTCCACTATCGCGATCCTGGATTCTTCATTTATAATCTCTCCCAGCTTCACATCAAGCTCGGCCAAGCAGCCAGCATGCACCCCCTACGATGTCGAGCTCGTTCCAGCAACATCCCTCCCCAATCGGCGACAACCTAAGCAGAAGCATCACCGCCATAGTCTTCATCTCCATAGCTCTATACAACGCCCTCGAGCTGACGATCCTCATCCCCTTAACCTTCAAAACCTATCGCAGCCTGTACTTCTGGTCGCTCCTCCTCTCCGCCACATTCGGCATCATCCCAACCAGCCTAGGAACCTTCTTCCAATTCTTCGAACTGGCCCCGCTATGGCTGAGCCTCGTCCTCTCCAACATCGGCTTCATCATGCTCGTCCCAACCCAATCCATAGTCCTCTATTCCCGCCTACACCTAATCTCCACCAACTTCCGACTCCTCCGCGCGCTCAAATGGCTCATCATAGTCGACACCATCATCCTCGTCATCCCCACCGTCACCCTCAACTTTGCCTCGGAATACTTCTCCAACCACCAAGGCTGGGTACGCGCCTTTGACATCGTCGAAAAAATCCAACTCACCTGGTTCGCCGCACAAGAAACCCTCATCTCATCCATCTACATCTACGAAACCGTCGCCATGCTCCGCATCAGCCCGCAGGAAGACAAGAGACGCCATAAGATCCTGTACGAGCTGATTGCGATCAACGTCGCCGCCATCGGCATGGATGTTGCGCTGCTCGTGCTGGAATACATGGGCCTGTATTTCACGCAGATTATCTTCAAAGCGTTGGTTTATAGTATCAAGCTGAAGTTGGAGTTTGCCGTGTTGGGTATGTTGATTTCGATTGTGCATTCGGGCTCGTCGCATGGTGAACTGCCCAGTTCGGATTTGTCGCATTATATGGGGTGATTGTTTATAATATAGATTTCTTTTCTTTCAGTTAGTCATATCAGCTGTATATCATTATTGATCACGATTGGTTCATGTTGTTCTCCACTACTGTAGGATGGTCCTGCATACTGCCCTATCGGATCGAATTCCTATTTCGTGCATATTTGAAGGGTAGTAAGAGCTCTGTATACTTCCGAGGAATTAATGCATTTATTACGCACGCTCTCTCGTTCTACAGGTATAGCGAAACAAAGAAGGAACTTGATGCATAGTTTTATAATATGGCAAACAGTACCGTAACCGTTCCACAGCAATGAATTGCGTCAGTAGTCCTACACAATCCCCACCATATCCAAGACTTAAACCACTCACCTCCACCCAGAATCCTGAAGTACGCGACGGCTCAAAGAGACAAAAGCCAACCCGAGCCGCAGTGAGCGGACCGCCCCCGTCGGTTCGTCGGATCTCTTCATCCGAAGCCAAAGAAAGAGCATCCGAAATGCGGGGACCCCAGATATAAAGCAGTTAATAGCCCGAACACATTCAGCACTATCTCATCTCATCTCCTCTCTTCTCCCACAATCCCTCAGACACCATGCTCGGCAAAATCGCCCTCGAGGAAGCCTTTGCGCTTCCACGCTTCGCCGAAAAGACCAAATGGTGGGCCGGCATGTTCGCAACAGACACCGAGAAACACACTGCCGAAATCAACGACGTGGGCCCCATCCGCCTAGACTTCGCCGAGAAGCACGGCGTCGGCCTCCAAATCCTCAGCTATACCGCGCCGGGCGTGCAGGATATCTGGGATGCCAAAGATGCGCAGGCCTTGGCTGTCGAGATCAATGACTATATCGCCGAGAAGGTGAAGGCGCATCCGGATCGTTTTGCTGCATTTGCGTGAGTTGTCTCCTACATCTACACTATATCTAAATCTACATTCCATCCAACCAAAAACTAACACCAACAGCACTCTATCCATGCACAACCCTCAAGAAGCAGCCGACGAACTCCGCCGCTGCGTAACCCAACACGGCTTCCTCGGCGCCCTAGTAAACGACACACAGCGCGCCGGCCCCGACGGCGACGACATGATATTCTACGACAACGCGCAATGGGACATATTCTGGTCGACCTGCACGGAACTAGACGTCCCCCTCTACCTCCACCCGCGCAATCCCACAGGAACAATCTACGAAAAGCTCTGGGCCGATCGAAAATGGCTAATCGGGCCCCCACTCTCCTTCGCACAAGGCGTAAGCCTACACGTACTGGGGATGGTAACGAACGGGGTCTTCGACCGACACCCAGGGTTGCAGGTGATATTAGGACATCTGGGAGAGCATATTCCATTCGACATGTGGCGGATTAACCACTGGTTTGAGGATCGGAAGAAGGCGCTTGGACTGGCGGAGACGTGTAAGAGGACGATTCGGGAGTATTTTGCGCGCAATCTGTGGATTACGACGTCGGGTCACTTTTCGACGAATACGTTGAATTTCTGTCTCGGGGAGGTGGGTGTTGATCGGATTTTGTTTTCGATTGATTATCCGTTTGAGACGTTTGGGGATGCGTGTGAGTGGTTTGATGGGGCGGAGATGTCGGAGGTTAATCGGTTGAAGATTGGGAGGGAGAATGCTAAGAAGTTGTTTAAGTTGGGGGCTTATAAGGATTCTGAGGCTTGATTGGGGGGTTAAATTGAATTGATTAATTGGACTGGATTGAATTGAATGAATTGAATGGTATTCATTACTGCTATGTTTCTGCGGAGATGCTGCATTTGGGTATCACATTAAACAATAGACGGGATAGGGTTTGGTGTGCAGTCTCTCAGACTCGGGTATCGATTCGTTAGTCGTGCTTTTGTGTCATTTCAATCAGTGGGTATCTTGAGGCATCTTGAATGCCACCTGGGCAATATGTGGCGATTAGTGGTTGGACCTGAGAGGCTTCAATCAGGGACTATCAGAGAGTGATCTGGCGAGTGATCCAATCTCTGGAAACTCAGTCCTGCCAGTGCTGATCCTCACGCTACTCGCGTAGGTCTCACGGTCTGATCACTTGCACTATCATCAAACAGTTCATCATGGTCAGACTGAGGACTGTCAACAGCCGAGCGTTTGTTCCAGGATTTCTGCCAGATATCCGGGTTTTCAGCCATTAGATCCATAGCGGGAGCAAAGTACTTGGATCGAATGGTACGACTGGCCCAAGTGTAGAGGGAATAGTTCTCAATGCAGCGAGTCAGGACGTCCCAGACGGCAATGATGCGACGCGACAAGTCAATGCGAGCGACGATGGGAATGTCCTCGACGAGAATCTGATGGTTGCGTTGACGGAGGAAGGCAGCGTGGACCCATGATTCATAAAACTCCAGGAAGAGAGTGAGGAGGCGGCGCTCCAGGGGACGGGGCTTCTTCAAATGACTGCACTGTCAATATCCAGAGTCGAACAATAGATGCCAGACTTACGCAGAAACCACAGTGACCATGCGAGTGTATCGCTCCACGACAGTGGTCTTCTCCTGGGCCAATTGCTCAAGAACAACAAAGACATTCTCAGCAGTAGAGACCTGGTCACGGAGCTTGCCATCCACCCAGACCAGGTAGTTGAGAATGATGTCCGTGATAACCTTGGCCTCGGCCGTTTCCTTCGTGTCCAGGAACTGATCGCTGTGGTGGAAGATCACTTGGTGCAAGTGCAGAGTGTGGTTGACCATCGTGAGAAACTGAGTGCGGGTGGTCTCGCGCATGTGGGGATCAGCAAGAAGGTCCTTGATTTCCTCGAGGAGAATGTTGCTGCGAGTCCATGGTCTGCTGGAGTTATGGGGGATGATGAAGGGGTCGATGTAGCGAGTACGAGTATCCTCTTGGACAGCCTTGGTAAAGGCGCGGGTCCATTCCGCTTCCTCGTTGGTGGAATCCGGGGCACAGGTTTCAGCGTCAAAGTCAAGGAAGGGCTCTTTGCTGGGAGTGATAGTGGTGTCTGAGTCCGAGTCCGAGTCCATCGCCAGATGCCATCGAACTTCGACTAGGGGGGTTGCAGGGGAGGTCATATTGATTGAGATGGAACAGGATCATTAGAGAAAAGAGAGACTGCGAATCAGGAGAATCGCGAGGAAAGCGAGGAAGAAAAATGGAAAGGAAGCATTGGAAGATATAAAATTACAAGGCAGACATAAGCCTCACTTTGATTAACTATATTTCCCATCACTCAATCCGAAAGCGTTACCAAGTCAGACTCAATGGTCAGTACGCTGTCATAGAATTGAGCCACGGACTGTCTTCCTCAAGGGGCTTCCTGATGAAGGAAGCAGGGAATAATTCAGGAACAAGACGTTCCCGAGGCCATTCGTCTGCTTCTCAGGTAGACACCCAGGAGTATCGAAGACAGATATGTTCTTCGCACATTGACTAATCGACATCTCATGGGGCAGAGGAGACGGCAACTTAAGTAGTGCGATTTCAATCTTGTTTGCTATCTTCTTCTGCTTCTTCTTCTTCCTCGTCGTCGGGGAGTGGCACATCCATGACCCTCTCGCCCGCCTTTTCTAATGTGCGTCTACTCCATGAACGGACGCCTTTGTAGACAGCCTGTATCGGTTAGTTACGCCTAACGCATGGCACCCGTGGACATACCCAGAGGAAAGTACCAACTCCAACCAGGATCACTAGCCAGTTCAGTTGAGCCGCTCGGCTTCGGCCACCATTACGGCCGCTGACCACAGAGCGCATGTTCCAAGGGAAAGGTGATAGTGCAAAGATGGCTTTGATGAGTGACAATAGGCCCAGAGAGGTCAGTCCTTTGATGAAGTGTTCCAACCAAGAGGAGTCTTCAACTATTTCGTAGACATCCACGGGGCCGAGATAAAAGTCAATGATGGGGTCAGCAATGAATCCAAGGAGGAATACGGTAAACAAAAGGATGGCAATGGTGAGAAAAAGCTGCATAGATGCGCTACTGATCCATCGCGCCCAAGTCAAACGACCTAGGCGATACTGGAAGCCACAGGTCGGACATTGCCAAAAATTTCTTGTAGAGTACTTAGGGTCGGCATGGCGCCATGATTGCAGGCAACCCTCGTGGACATAACGCGAGGAACCTTTGCATTGGCAGGGACGCAAGAGACGGCCAAGCTCCGGGTCGGAGGACTCGTACACCACTCGAGGCTTCTGTAGAAATTCCGAGGGTTGAAAGGTGGGCAATACTGTCTCTAGACAGATGCGACAGACCCTAGGGGGATAGTGCTGTTCCGACTCCGCCATTACGCTCACATTGGAGGAATGTTCACAGAGAGAGAAAGTTCGAAGAGAAAGCAGAGAAAAGCAGAAAAGTCCAAGTGTTCCCAACCCCCCACGGCTAACCCCAATTGGGTCACCGCCTTCCAGCTCTACGCCAAACGTCACCCATCTCTGCCTACCAACACAGCTCTCCTTCTTCTTTTCCATCTCTTCCTGTTGTGTTGCAGCTTACAGTCAATCATGGCGGACCGATATTCTTTCTCTTTGACAACATTCTCGCCCAGGTAAGCAGGTTTTGTCTCGGGGAATTGAAAACTAGCTAACCCAGCTCCATCACAGCGGCAAGCTGGTGCAGATTGGTAAGACGCGACCATCATGCTAAGCATATAGATCAATACTGATAAATCCAGAATATGCACTGAACGCCGTCAACCAGGGTGTTACCGCCCTTGGTATCAAAGGTAAGCTCCCCTGCCCTCCCCACAAGGATCAAGCTGACCGCCATGAACAGCTACAAATGGAATTGTCCTCGCTACGGAGAAGAAGTCCTCATCGCCTCTGATCGATCCCCCATCGCTGTCCAAGATTTCTCTGGTCACTCCCGACATCGGTATGGTCTACGCCGGTATGGGTCCCGATTACCGAGTTCTGGTCGACAAGGCCCGCAAGGTCTCCCACACAGGCTACAAGCGCATCTACAACGAATACCCTCCCACTCGGATATTGGTGCAAGACGTTGCTCGTGTGGTGCAGGAAGCCACGCAATCTGGTGGTGTCCGTCCTTACGGTGTCAGTCTGTTGGTTGCGGGCTGGGACGAGGGTGTTGAGCCCGAGGGAGAGACCTCCAAGGACGACTCCGAAGAGAAGCCAACCACCAAGACCGGTGGTATTCACAAGGGTGGCCCTAGTCTGTACCAGGTCGATCCCAGTGGCAGCTACTACCCGTGGAAGGCCACAGCCATCGGTAAACACGCAACGAGTGCCAAGACTTTCCTCGAGAAGCGATACACCGAAGGGCTGGAGCTTGAGGACGCTATTCACATTGCGCTGTTGACACTCAAGGAGACGATCGAGGGTGAGATGAATGGTGACACGATAGAAATTGGTGAGTTTGATTTCCCCCTTTGTTCACTGCAACCCCTACTCATCCATTCTTTCAGGTATTGTCGGCCCGCCAGCGGACCACCTGCTCGGCTTTGAAGGAGTGGAGGGCGCTCAGGGACCGCGGTTCCGCAAGTTGACCAAGGAGCAGATTGAGGACTACCTGACCAACCTATGAGAGCCATAATAACATGTAGACTCAAATGAAATCTTTATTTGTCCAAGTCCAAACCGCAACGGGTGTGACCGTAAACCACTGGCCCGAGACATCCCTGTCTGGATATATCAAGTCCATCACATTCCCCCTAGCTGGAAGATTTGAGACATCCCCAGATTGCCCAGGAATTCCATTGACTTCCAAGTTTCTTTTCTTTTGACGCACAATTACACAATTACGCTTGTGCACAGACAAGTCCAAACCACATGCAGGAGGGGCGTTCACCGTACGACCAGTCCATATTTCTTTGTCCTCCTTCTCTTACCCTGTCTTGATCTCTCCCTTCAACCTTCAACCTTCAACGAAGCATAACCAAACGGGATGCCCCTACCAACCCACCCAAAATGTCCGTCCCACAGGACCTCCTAGACGGAATCTCAGGCGCCCTCGCCAAAGAAGGCAACATCCTCCAAATGATCCTAGTAACATTCATCGGTCTATCCTGCTACAACATCGCCGAGCTAGTCGTCCTAGTCCCAACCACCTTCCGCCGCTGGCGAGGCCTATACTTCTGGTCTCTCCTCGCATCAGGATGTCTAGGCGTAGTACCCTACTCAATCGGCTTCCTACTAAAATTCTTCACGCAAACCGACTCCGTCCTATCCGTAACCGTCCTAACAATCGGATGGTGGACAATGGTAACCGGCCAATCGGTCGTGCTGTACTCACGGCTGCATCTCGTTCTCCGCGATGAACGCATCCTGCGCCGAGTCCTACGGCTAATCATAGCCAATTTCTTCTTGCTGCACATCCCAACAACCATCCTGACCTACGGCGCGAATATCGTTCACACGGGCGATCTGGCCTGGGTCAAGGGGTACAATGTCATGGAGAAGATCCAGCTAACGGGGTTTACCCTGCAAGAGGGTCTACTGTCGACATTGTATGTGATTGAAACGGTCAAGCTGCTACGGCTCGGGGCGGATATCTCTGTGCGTCCGGACTCGAGGACGATTATGTACCATCTGATTGGGATCAACTGCGCGATTATGTTCATGGATGTTGTTTTGCTGAGTTTGGAATATGCCAATTTCTATGCTGTGCAGATTACCCTGAAGGGGTTTGTGTATTCGCTCAAGTTGAAGCTTGAGTTTGCAGTGCTGGGCAGGTTGGTTGATCTTATTCAGGGATCGCGGCATCCGATATCTGTGACTATCGCTGATACACTGCCTCTTTGTACGATCCATCGGCCGATTGAGACGCCGGATAAAGGTCAGGATCAGTGTCAGGACCAGTGTGAGGAGGCTGAGCCGAAGGATTTCTTGGTTGATTCGCATGGAGCGAGAATTGTTCAGAGGAGGGTCTTTGTTGAGGTTCCGAGTGTATGATGAGCTGTGGTGGCTACATGGTCTGATCTTGATAATGCATGATTCATGATTCATGATTCGTTTCGATATCGGTATGTTCTAGGGGAATTCCTCGTCTTCGAAATCATCATCCGAGAATTCGTCCTGGCTGTCTGCCACCTCGTCCACTTTGCGCTTCTTCGGCATCCGCGCCGGCGGCGGTGGAGGGACCGTGTTAGACGATTCATCTGGAATTGTTGACGTAGAGAGTCGTGACTTGGCAAGTGGTGATTTTGGAAACGGCGATCTAGCAACTGGTGGTCTGGAGATGGGTGATCTGACAACCGGTGATCTGTGAAGCGGCGATATTGGAGAAGGAGTCGGTGCCTTCGGAGTTTGGAAGACGTGACTTGGCAGGTTAGAAGACCGGGCAGGGAGCTTTCGCCGAATGGAAACCCCCGTTGGTTTATCATCACGGTAGCCATCCTACTCGAGTTAGCGAAGACTTATCACCTGAGAAAAAACCAACATACCCTCGCAATGCGAAAGCGAACAACCACCCTCCCAGTCCTAGGTAGAAAATTGCCCCCACGTTTGGTAACCTCTGCAAAGCGTTCACCACGTTTACCGCGATAGAGCACGACACGCGTGAGGACACTCTTTTCCCACCCTCCGCCCCAAACCGTAGGCCCCAGAGTAGGACGAACCTGCCCCTTGATCTTCGTGTGAGTCTGATCAAGAGCCAACACGGCAATCCTCTTCAGAGCAAGTTTCGTCAAATAGAGAGAGAGCTCGTTGGTGACATTCCATCTTCGATTCAGGAGCCACTGCAGCTCATTCTTGTCTTTGATTTTACCGCGTGCGAGCTGGGCTTTGAGCTCTGACGCGCCGGTGAAGTACGATTGGAAGAGACTTGACACCGAGTCGATGACTATCAATGATGTGCCTGTCGGTGGGAAGTTCTTGGGTGGTTTCCCGAGGAGAGCAAGAAGATGTGGCAGCGTCGGCGTGCGCAAATAGACAAAGTTTTTGACATTCATTCCCATCTGCTGCAGACGTGGTGCAGGCACGGGAGAACTCGTATCTGATAGTATAAGTTTGATTGTTTGGATGACTATGGGAGCTGGGAACGTACCAATCCAGACTACTTTGCCGCCGTCTTCCAATGCACTGCGTGCAATACTCAACCTGTACTGGGTTAGGCTTGAACTGAGATGAAAAGGAGAAGAGACTAACCCCAGCGACGTCTTCCCGGATCCCGGCGGTCCCCAAACTTCTGTGATTTGACCACGCACAATGCCCGTAGGGCGTCGATGATGCTTGAATTGGCCATCTAAAGCTTCGTCCAGGCGTTGGGCGCCCGTTCCGATCCGGTTCGGAAGCCGGACATTAGCTGACGAACTGAATGTTTGAGTTGCCTGGGTTGAAGCTAATGGAACTGTTTGTATGGGTCAATCTTCCATTCTTCTGCGACTGAAGAACTGGGGAGCTACTGACGCGTGATTTCACTGGACGCGTTGAGACCGCGTGGGTCCTGCTGGGCGCTCATAGCGCATCAAGCTGGCAGTAGAGCTAGCTAGGCTCGGAAGTAGTGGAATTGAGACAAGTGTCGAGTCCTATGTATTCAATCCATGTTCTCACCTGTTTCGTGAGGTGTTGACGGAGATCCGAGATCGGGAGATTTTTTGCCGCTTTTGATCCCTGCGATCTGACTGCATACAACTCTCCATGTCCGACACCGACATTGCCCTCGGGGATTTGATCAATTTCCCTATTTTAGTCGTCTTGCTCGCTTTTCTGCCGTTATATTATGTTTTAAAGGCATCGCCGATTCATCCAAAAGGATGTCGTCGCCTGGGACTTCCACCGGGTCAGAGCAACTTAGACGATGAATTTAATCCGAAGTATAGCAAGGGTGTCCCAAGTGATGAAAGAGATCAGGGCCATCCATCATGGCGTGTCAAAGCCCTGTTCAGCTATCCACTAAAATCCTGCGGAGCTGTCGAGCTGCAAATTTCGAACGTCGTACCCACGGGACTCGAATTCGATAGACAATTCGTCTTTGCAGAGTACAGCAAAGAAGAATGGAACATTCGAACTCTACGCAATGCAGGCTTCAACCGTCTCGCCCTGATACATCCCGAGATCTGGGTTCCTGATCCGTCCGCGTCGGGCTACGACAACAGCCTGGCGGAAGTCAAATCAGGCGGCGTGATGCTGATATCATACCCTCGATTGGCACCAGCTGGATGGAAGGGTCTTCCCATGAAGATCAGCATGGCACTCAAAATGTGTGTAAGCCGTCACACATTCCAAGTACCATTGCATCCACCACCCGACTCCAACTTCCCCCTCGTCCCAGTCAGAATCTGGAAAGACAAACCCCTCGCCCACGACCTCGGATGTCTACTCCCAGACTCCTTACATGCATACATGGGCTTCGACCCGAAAACCAGTCCATTAACACTCTTCCGCGCAAGCGCACCACACACACGTCAAATCTTCCGCAACGCACCACTCAAAGAGGACCTAGGCTTCCAACCCAATACAGCCTTCGCAGACGCCTACCCAATCCACCTCTTGAGTCTCTCCAGCCACAAAGACGTAGCAGCACGCTGTGCCTACGCAATCCCACGTCTAAGCATCCGCCGCTTCCGTGCAAACATCATCATCCAAGGACCCGCTGCATTTAAAGAAGACCACTGGAAACGGCTTTCGATTGGTGGGACGGAGATCCATGCTTCGTGTCGGACTGTGCGGTGTCGTCTGCCGAATGTTGATCCCGAGGCTGGGGATAGGCATAAGGCTGAGCCGGATCGGACGTTGAAGGAGTATCGGCGTATTGATGACGGAGATCGGACTAATGCTTGTCTTGGGATGCAGCTTGTTCCTGCGAAAGAGAATTTTGTGTTGAGGGTTGGGGATGAGGTTCGGGTTCTTGAGACTGGAGAACATCGGTATATTAAGATGTTGGCGCCTGGTGAGAAGGTTGAAGGGGTTTGACATTCCTGGTTTTGTCTTCCTGTGCGGTCGATGGCCGTTACAGAGATGACTGTCTTGTCGTTTCAAAGGAACGCTACTTTGGTGAATAATTTTACGCTGTATCTTAGGAAAGCGATAGATCGTGTTTACCCCAGGGTTGAGAATGGAGTTAAGGAAAAGAACCAATCAGTAATAGTGATGGTTCGTGTCTGATTATCAGGCAAGGCTTTATACTTCCTTGTCCTTGCTCCATGCATTGCTGTATGTATAGTATAGATCATTGTATTCTTCAATTTGTCAATCATTTATCGAATCATACAGCTTCCCTTGTTTCGTGCTCGCTTGCATGGAACTGGGTAATTGGTCAGTACTTCTAGTATTCATCACCGTTTTTGGTAGCCATACTGCATTTCCTAATCAGAATAGAAGATGAGAGCCCTCACTTCAATGCTCTCTCTTGGTATGGCCGTAATTCGGGCATCGCCAAGGTGAAAAGAGGCATGCGGACAATCTGGACTGAATATTAGACATGGTTCTTTCAGGGCATCTCACTTCGTCTCTTACATTTTCCTTCCACATCTGACGAGTCAAAATTCTTGATCAACAACACCTCGTCTTTGGCTTGTCTGCTAATGTAATACCACCGGTATTGCTCGCTGAAAGGCATGTAGTATGACTCGCCGACGTATCTACGCCGGACATGATCTACAGCAATAAGACTTTCGACTGGTACCGAGCGCCCATCACAGACTGCTAAGGGCCAGTCCTCAATGTGATCCACTATTGGCCTCCAAGCACTGTGTTAAGGGTTGAACATTCAGCTTTATGGCGTTACATTGTGAGCCTAATCGAACGCCACTTACTTCACAATGGAATATCTCTTGTGCTCGAGCTGGTCAACTTCCTCCGGTGCATGGAGTTTTACTCTCTTCATCGCGCTCCATGGAGTCTGATCTGTGAGGTTGAAAGAGTTTCTCAATCATGAATTCAAGGAAACGACAATCGAGACCTTACCAATATGTACATGGCAAGCAGGCTGGAGAGGAACAATTTTGTTGTCCATATTTATCACCTCCATCGCAGGTACTTGGGTACTTTTCCGGATCTATACATCTTTCAGAATATGAGACCCAAATCGCAAGGGATTGGCATACTCTCCAGTCAAAAATGACTACTTTCTCAGCACCTGTTATCTGAGATTGAAGCAAACGAGCAACTTCAGGGAGATAGACTTGCTCGATCTTGTCAGCGTCGGTGAACTTAATCATGGTAGTTGGGTGGTGGCATATAGCGAATCCACTCGTGTCCAGCGAAAATTCTTCTTTACTTCCACGAATATCCTGAACCACCTGCATTTCCCCGGATTCAAATTCCAAGTTAGATTGGAGTTCCTCTGGTACGCCGTCAGGCAGAGGTATAAAGACTTGATAGGGTTTCTCCGCAAGAAACTTCTCATCTGGCCGCAGGTACATGAATTTCGCTTTTTGGACTTTGGAACTAGTCATCTTTGCTTCTCGAATTATGCTGATAGTGCATGCAAGTGGAAGCTTAGTTTTAATCTCTCTTGAAGTAGTCTGAGTAGACGTATAGATATAGAGAGTATCTAAAATGCAGCAAGCGCTCTGCTCTGCATAACCCAGTAAACGGAATCCCTGGACATGGGATAGAGATGACTGGCCACAATAGAGATGAGGCTGTATGCAAAAATGCCCAAAACCCCGCTCAGATGCAGTGAATTCCGGTGGTGTGGAAGTGAGAGCATGTGTTAAATGTAAGGGTTTTGCACGGCAGATAGAGCACTTCCCGGGGCTGTGACAGGGCTTATTGGCCACATGAACGAGGCCGTATGCACAGATGCCCAACATTCCACTGAAATATAGCACTTTCTTGATATCAGATGACAATATATGCGGCTCAAGTAGCTATGAAGGAAGCCAAGTAGAAATACTCATAAGGCTCACATCATACCTCTCTGTTCTCTTCTGGTCAGAATAACAACTCGTCAATAGACGAAGCAAAATCATTTTGAGTAAGGACTATACCTCCTTCCATCAAATACATGGACTCAAGTTGACCGTTTTACGAAAGCCTTGTGGTTTTCTTCAGAATACTTCTGCAGCGACTGTTACTTTCCACTCAGTATGCCTGCCGCACCACCGTTGAAACGTTCTGATTCGACCTCCAACGAGACAGTGCTCACTCAAAAGTCCATTGGGAACAAGAAGTCGCAAGTCCAGCCATGGAAGAGCTTTCTGGGTGATTCAGTGGATAGAGGATTTCAGGAGGAAGGGTTGGATGATGCCCTCACCCTGAAGAGTGGTGTACAGGATAATGGAGTAGCTGGTTGACTCTTTTCCGATGTACTTAATCTTTGCTTTTTCTGGGCCAGAATGTTGTGTTGAAATAAGAAATGCCAAATGGACTATCAGCTCGAGTGCCATTTGCTTCAGCTTTGAACTTTGGATATGCCAATCATAGAGCCTCAATAAGCCTACGTACTCATCACGAGGATCATTCTAGATAAAGAAGAGCAGACCAATTCCAGCCAATAGAATTGCCAGTCCAGCTGAGATCCAATGAGATCACCCTTCCTATAGTCTCGTAAGCCCATGTCTTACAGCGGGGCTGAGATCCTAAGAGTTTCATTGACCTCGCCCTGTTGCATTCCCTCAGCATCGTCATTTCGCCTTGCTAGCGCTGGACTTCGCTTTGAATTGCCAGATGACCTAAATTAAGTAAGTTCGACAGATACTTGCTTCTTCCTGTTACCTAGCACCCCCAAGATGTGCAACCGTCTGCACTCTCCTTGCCCCTGTCCTTTCCTCCAGTCCTATCTACTTCGAGATTTCCAATATGTCTCAATCCGCTTGGGTAGCCTCGCTATCTCGACACAAGGCACGACTTGATCCTGCAGAATACGCAACTTTGATGAAAACACCAGACTGGACAGCTTTTCATGGGAAGTTGGATGTGCTCTGTGAAAGATATCGTAGCCGTGGATTCAACAAATACATCGAAAAGCTGGATCCCCTGTTTCGAACACTTGAAACATTCAATGTTGTTATTTCTACAATGATTCAGTCTGACCCTACTGTAGCCGCTTTGATCTGGGGTGGATTGCTGGCAATATTGACGGTAATCTTTCTCTCTATTAGGGTCCAAGAACTCCATCACTGACTATTGAGACTTCGCAATTTAGCTGGCCAAGTTAGCAAAACAGAACTTGAGCGAGATAAGCAGGATCTTGTCTCGCATGAAAGATTCCTTTCCTCGATTCGAACGATACCTGAAACTATTTCCCTCCAGTGATCAACTCAAATCGATCGTGCATGAGCTTTACGATACGTACGTTGAGTTTCTTCTTGATGCAAGAGACTTTCTCAAGAAGAACTCCCTCGGTATACATTGGGTTTTTTCCGTAATTCATAGGAATAGTTGTCTGATCTTTGAAACAAGGAAACCTGTTGAAGCCCCTTCTCCCATTGCCCTCCAACTTCCGAAAACAAACAGAAGACGCAGTCTCCAAGATTGAAGAGTATAGCCACCAGTTCCAATCGGAAACAGCAGTCTGTACTGCAGAATTAACGGTGGACATTCATCGACTTGTGGAAAATCAGCCCGGCCGATTAACAAACACTTTTATTTTAGCGCAGAGTACAATCATGCTTCCTCGCAACGACCAATTCTTCGGTCGCGACTACTTACTTGACGAACTTGCCTCAAAGCTGAAAACTTTTATCGTGCATACTCAAGCTCTGAAACCCCAAACCAGACAAACATCGTGTACTCTCCATGGACTAGGAGGCTCGGGGAAGACATCTATTGCATTGGAATATGCGTACAGATACAGTGCGGACTACAAACATACGTTCTGGGTGAGAGCGGAGTCTGCTGCTGAGCTTGAGGAAACTTACAGCCTGATTGCGGATAAGATTCTCAATTCTGGTGTTGCTCATCTTCAGCAGAGTCTGAAGGCTAAGGCTTCCCGAGACTGGCTCTCATCTACGGGTGCGTAAGGACTATCTGACAACTTCACCACTTACCTGAAGAAACAGCGAAAATGGCTGACTCTGAATTCTAACTTTAGAAGAAAGCTGGCTTCTTATCTTTGACAATATTGATGATGTTAATCTTCTTCGAAAATACCTTCCTTGCAGCACACACGGGGCTGTCATCTTGACTACGCAGTCTTCAGACTTTCAGCAAATGACAACCTCAAGTATACACGTACAAGGATTTGTCAATAAGAAAGAGGGTGCAGCAATGTTCAAGCACTATCTAGCAAACAAACAACCTGAGCCTGAGCTGACAGAAACCATATCAGAGCTTGTTGGGGGACTCCCCTTGGCACTCGCCCATATTGCAGGTTTTGTGAACCAAACCAACTGCTCACTGACTGAATTCTTGAAGGCCTTTGAGAAGAGAAACGAGGGCGCCAGGATTTGGTCCAGCGAAAGGTCAACCACAACATATCAATATGAGGGATCTCTTGACGCTGTCTTTGACGTGGCCCTTGGTGCACTTGATAACAAAACCCGAACACTGCTAGAATGTCTGGCTTTTCTAGATCCAAATGGAGTTCCTGAAGATATGATCTTCAAGGAGCATTGCGACGAATGTCTTAGCTTTCTTGATGATGCAACTGGCATTGGGTAAGATTTATCTACTTGGTTTCTGGCAGCAAACAGAACTGCGCAGATCATATTAGCTAATAATCTAATTGACTTCAAGGTCTCTAGAGATAAGAAGGAAGCTTACATCTCGACACTTGGTAGAAGTTCAGACTGCAAGACCAATGGCGGCCACCAACCTGACACACCCATCAATTGCAACTGTGCCCGCACTAATCGTGCATCGGTCTCTTCAAAAGAACCTTCTCTACAAGCTGAACGCAGACGAAGGAAAGAGGCAATGTCGATTTACCCAAGCTTTCAAGCTAGTTCGAGGTGTCGTGCCAAAGCAGTCGCCCTACCGAGCTCCTATAAATCACCTGTGGCCCATCTACGAAAAGTACATGCCTAATTTCCGAGCTCTGCTCCACCAATTCTCTATTTCGGAGGAGGGATCCATTCAGCCCACCCTCGAGCTTGCAGAACTCATCTCTGACGCGTGCAATTATCTCTGGGAGCGCAACATAACCACTGGCTCCATTGCGATGATTCAAATTGCGGAGGATATATGTGAAACGATTCTGTCTACAGATGATCCAAACCCCATATTCACAGGTATATTAGCCGTGAAAGCCTCATTCGAGCTTCATACCGGACCAGACGGGCGAAAAAGCTGCCTGAAAACGATGCGGCGAGCTCTTGATCGTCGCCGCCGCTACATCGACATGCTCGACCACGTAGCGATGGAAGATGGTCTCCTACTCGGGAGTGCCTACAACAATTACGCATGGGCATGCATGGACAGTGATGATTTCGAGACAGCCAATGGCCTACTCACCAAGTCGATGGAAGCCAAAGAGAAGTATGCCGACGAGAAAACTGCAGTGTTTCCTTTCGCCGAAGGCTATAAGAACCTCGCCCATATTTCTTTACATCAAGGTAATTCTCAATCTGCAATGGACTATATCAGCAAAGGAAGACGGATGATGGAGGACTGGGCAGGACCAGAGAAAGGCTCTACCTTGCTTTTCTCATTCATATTTGCGAATATGCTTTTCTGCACAGGAAAGCTGCACGAAGCACTTCATGAGCATCTTATCACCCTACGGGGAAGAGAGAATATCCTAGGCCCGAAGAATCCACGCACCCTTGATAGTCACCATGCTGTTGCAGTCGTATATCACGAGCTTGGACAGAAGGAGCCTGCCTCGTGAGTCATCGATTTCTCTCATATGATATCGAGCAGTCTTCATCTCATATCTTGCATCACTGTTTCTTCGATGTTATAGCTAATACGTAATAATATAGATTCCACCTCGAGCTTGCTCTATTAGAGCGAGACACCTGGTACCCGATGAATGTGGCGAGGAGCTTGTATCGTCTCTCCTTGATACGAAAAGAACAGAGTCGTCTTGATGAAGCCATGGACTATGAAAACGAGGCGCTTAGTGTACGTGGGTCTCTTGAAATCGTTAAAGAGGGCGAGGTTTCGTTTCCTTCCAGCACTGTCGCCGATGAGTTGATTCGATTCGATTCACTTGTTGCACTGTCTTCTGGTCGGATGTTTGGCAAATTGAACGTTTGCAATCAAGCCAGAGCTAAACCCCGGATCTAGGAAGATTAGCCAATATTTTTATGCTTTGTTTCATCTTTCTTTTTTGTTTCATTTTGATGCAGTGGGTGAATATCAGGCCTCTGGAGATACTGTATACTGTTTGGATCGTGTCTTTTCCATCGGTGAGCTTCCATTGGTAGGGTTTAAAAATGCCTGGAGACTAGCAATCTTGGCCTCGTTTTCACAAGGTCCTATATCGTAATGATATTTAACTCAAGTGAGGATTTCTGTTTAGGTTCGTGTAACTCCAAACTCGTGGACGATTTAGCCTTACGGGTCGGGCCGAGATCCAAGCTTTGAGATCTCTTGGACCATATCGCTCTGTCTATGGGACGATTGCATACGGCCACAAGGTGAGAAAGTACGGCTAAAGTCACTTAAGCTTTCAATTTAAACCAGTCTGAGTGAAATGATCAAACGCGGACTAGAGTAACCAATGGGCGCTTATGCTTTTTGATAGGCTGAGATTTTCTCTGGAAAATGCGGCTAGATAGCAATAGGCGATACGCCTAAAGGCCCGAAAATCCGGGGCTGTGTTGGTCTTGGCGCTTCTTGCTGCGCTGCCTGCCACCTCTGGACTTTGACCTAATTTACATCTTTCTCACCTTTCTCAACCCAAGCAACAATGGGGTTTGGCTTTGGCTCGCTTCGCAAGCGGGTGGAGGGGAGCTTGGCTCGTAGAAAAGGCAAGTACCGCTTCTGTCTGACCAACCACAGTCGCAGCTCCTGACAGGTCCTCGGAGTAAACAGAAAAACCACACACTACGGGTCCGCCTTCCGTTGCATCTGTGAATTCTCAGCCTTCTGAGGATCATACTCGAGCGACCGTACCAGCGCCTATACAATCCGATACCTCTGCAACGCTTTTGTCTGCACAGCATTCCAATGAGTCTTCTCAAACCACTACCATAGGGCCCGAGGGAAGTGTCGCAAGTCCTCATCTCCAAGATCAGTCAAATATTTCGGGATCTACATCTATATCTACGTCTGTGCCTGTCTCCCAGCAACCCTTAACAGATGCCCCGCAGCAGTCGGGGTGTTCCGAGGATTCTCCCAAAGTCCTAGAAAATGGGTCTGATTTATGGCATCGGGCGTATATGATGCTACAAGAGCAGCAAACAGACCTGGTGAAAGCTTACGAGGAGCACCTGGTCTCTCTACAACAAGACAATCAAGATACAAATGGTACCTCTGGTGAGCGCTCCGTGGAGCACCTTGTAAAGCAGCTGCTGGAAAATCGAGAAAAGAAGCAATGGCGAGTGCCACTGCTCAAGAAGGAAGTGAAAATTCGTGAACAAGTCGAGAAAGTTGCAAGGTTCGCAATCTGGTTTGACCCAGTTGTCCAAAAGGCAGTCAGCTCTCAGCCATACGCAGCACTCGCCTGGTCAGGTGCTTCTTTGCTTCTCCCGGTAAGTGGAAAGATTTACACTGTATGATATGCTCTTATCCAAAATTATTCTGACTTTGATAGCTTCTGACAAGTGGCTCCACGGAGACGGAAGCCATGTTGAAGGGTTTCAACTCGCTCAACAATGTTCAATTGTACTGGCAGATCAGCGAAGACAATTATCTCAAGAAGAAAGATCTCGAACATGATAAACTTGAACAGAAAGACGTCAACTACGAACGACTTCTTGAAGGCTTGGTAAAGCTCTACATGCTCATCCTTGAATATCAGGCGCTGGTCATATGTCATCTCTCAAAGAGGCAGTGGTCGCGCGCTTTGAATGACATGTTCAAGTCGACTGATTGGGCTGCAAAAATAAAAGATATTTCCGAGATGAGTGATACCTACAGCAAACTGGTTGATCTTCATGAAGCAGAGAGGATCAGTCAAATACGGGATTCCGAATTGGAAGAGCTGAACCATTCCCGGCGTATCCTCGAAGACCTCCGCGATCTGTTCGAGTCAGCCAGCAAGCAAACACAGGTAAACAAACAAGACAGAGAAGAACGAGCTCTTCTTCAAGATTTGGCCGGGCCCTGGGGTGACCATAAAGACTTCAATCCAAAGAAAGTCGACGGCACGTGCGAGTGGTTCTTCAAAGACGAAAGGTTTCGCTCATGGCGCGACGCTGGCACCTCCACTATCCTCTGGGTATCTGCCAGTCCTGGTTGTGGCAAGTCAGTCTTGTCGCGGGCTCTTCTTGATGAACAACACCTTTATAGGAATGTAACAAGTACTGTTTGTTACTTCTTCTTCAAGGATGGAACCGAGAGCCGCATGAATGCCACTGATGCTCTATCTGCCGTTCTTCACCAACTGTTCGAGAATGACACCGAGGATGAATTGATCAAGCTTGCGCTTCAAAGTCACAGGACAAATGGTCACAACTTGACCAAAAACCTCTCTGAGCTATGGAAGATACTCATGGAATGCGTGAAGTCGCCATTCGCTGGAGAAATTGTGATTCTTCTCGATGCCTTGGATGAATGTAGGAGCGAAAGTTGGAAGCCACTGCTGGACAAACTCGTTGACTTCTACTCTGAGCTCCCGTCTGATCAACCCTCGAAGCTCAAGTTCCTCATCACCAGTCGCCCATATGATGACATAGATTCAAAGTTCAAGGAATTCCCGAAGAATTCGTCATATCTTGGTTATGATGCAGATGACAAGTCTGACGAAATTGGCACGGACATCGACAAAGTCATTGATGCAAAGATGATGAGCAACGACAATTTTGTGGAAAGCGAACGTCTTCTGATTGCTGAAAAATTGAAGAGCATGAAGCAACGTACGTACCTCTGGCTACGTCTTACTTTCGACCTTATTCAAGACAGATCAAGTTCAGTTGAACAATGGGCTGATGTAGAAGCCACTCTTTCCGACATACCTCAAGAGATTTCAGGGGCGTACGAAAAGATCCTCAATCGGAGCAAGAATAGAAGACACGCAGAGGCTCTCCTTCTGATCATGTTAGCTGCGCAACGTCCTCTGACCCTCACGGAAGCCAACCAAGCCCTCACGCTCGCTGTGAAGTTAAAAGAATGCGATTCATATACCACACTGGTGTCACGCAGTTGGCATGAAGCCACATTCCAGCAAAAGGTGAAAAACCTATGTGGTCTTTTCATCAGTGTCTATGACTCAAAACTGTTCTTCATTCATCAGACAGCGAGAGAGTTCCTCATACAGCGTACGCAACAAGGGAACTGGGGAGGACGATTGGAGATGTTGAATGCACACTTCGAGATGACTCATATCTGTCTACGATATCTCTCCTGTCTAGGCGAGGACGAGTTGAAGTTGATTAAGTGCAGTAAGAAGATGGCTAGGAGAGCCAATTCTTCTTTTTTTGTATATAACATCCGTCGTCATGTGGAAGGAGACTTGGGCAAAAAGCTGCCTCTGGTTTTATATTCCGCACGGCATTGGTTTGAACATGCAAGACATTCTGAAAATGAAAAGGACATACAGGACAGCATACTCAACTTTCTCCTCCCTCAAGGACTGCCTTACCTCATTTGGGGCAAGCTTTTCAATCCAAGATGTATATGGGGCGAAATACCAATCTTGAATCAAAAGACAAGTCCATTGTGCAGTGCATCCTTCGCTGGCCTGTCTCATATTGTCAGGCTCTTGTTGCAACAGAACTTCCATTTGAATGCAGAAGGTTTATTTGCCGATGCTCTTCAGAGTGCTTGTGAAAATGGACATGTTAATGTTGTTCACGTGCTGATTGAGAATGGTGCCGATGTCAAGTGCTCGGGTGAATATGCCCTCCAAGCTGCATCTATATATGGTCACATTGATCTTGTGCGACTTCTAATAGACAATGGGGCCGATATCAAGCGCTCGGCTGAATTTTCTCTCTATTCTACATCTAAATCTGGTCATATTGACATTGTGCGGCTGCTGATAGACAATGGGGCCGATGTTAAGCGCTGGGCTGAATCTGCTCTCTATGCTGCATCTGGATCTGGTCATATTGATCTTGTGCAGCTACTAATAGACAATGGGGCCGATGTCAAGCGCTCGGCTGAATTTTCTCTCTATTCTACATCTAAATCTGGTCATATTGACATTGTGCGGCTGCTGATAGACAATGGGGCCGATGTTAAGCGCTGGGCTGAATCTGCTCTCTATGCTGCATCTGGATCTGGTCATATTGATCTTGTGCAGCTACTAATAGACAATGGGGCCGATGTCAAGCGCTCGGCTGAATTTTCTCTCTATTCTACATCTAAATCTGGTCATATTGACATTGTGCGGCTGCTGATAGACAATGGGGCCGATGTTAAGCGCTGGGCTGAATCTGCTCTCTATGCTGCATCTGGATCTGGTCATATTGATCTTGTGCAGCTACTAATAGACAATGGGGCCGATGTCAAGCGCTGGGGTGGATCTGCTCTCTTTGCTGCATCTAGATATGGTCATATTGATATTGTGCAGCTGCTGATAGACAATGGGGCTGATGTTCAAGCGCAAAACTCCTATGGCGGATCCGCAATTGAAGCAGCTGCTCGATCTTGTCACATCAATACCATGAAATTCCTTCTAGAGAATGGGGCTGATGTCAATGCACGAGAACCAGCTGGTCTTGTTCCCCTTGCATCTGCTGGAAGCAAAGAGGCATTACAGTTCCTACTAGACCACGGTGCACATGTCAATTCGACCAATGGCAGAATTACGGATACCAATGCTCTTTTGCTTGCCTCCCAACGGGGTCAAAAGAACATTGTGAAGCTACTATTGGACAATGGTGCTGATGTCAATTCACGGGATGGCTACCAAAATGCTGTCTTTACTGCAGTCACTCGCGATGATATCAAAAGCTTGCAGCTATTGTTTAACAATGGTGCCAATTTCGATCTTCCCAACTATCTCCCTGATAGAGAATTACATTTTGGTGGTCAACATGTCTATAAGAATGCCCTTGAAGCTGCTTCTTATCTTGGTCATGAAGAAATTGTGCAGTTACTCTTGGAGAGGGGTGCAACTTGGCCAGAGAATTATTCCGATACCAGTGCAAGGGATAGCTTTGAAGATGATACAAGTGTAGATAGCGAACACTCATAGATACTTACAGTTCCAGCTTCACCAGACTGATGTAGTTGAATCCCACGTGCAAACGAGGCAAACATGGGCAGAATCAAAAGGCGGTGTATACTACAATATTCCATTGCCTCCCCCAGGGACAGCCGGATTATATATATTCCCGTATTATTTCCTATAGACAGGATGGGCAACCATCCAATTTCATAGCATGGTAGAATCGATTCTATCGCCGCTCCGTCCTAGTCAAATGAGCCAGACGCCGATCACGCAAGCAGCCACTATATCACCCGCTATGGCCTTTTCAAGCGAGAACACCAGCTACATCTCACGTATACCTATCTCCAGCCTGGTCCAAGTCGACTGCCAACCTACTGGCATCACTCAGCTTCACCATAGAGAGGGCCACCACCAAGCGCCCTTCCATAGTGACCCGTCATAACCACCACATACTCAGCCCCAGTCCGAGAGCCTCACCTGCGCGCAGAGGACCCCACCGACTCCAGCATGTCCCCGACGCATCGGGGGTCGTGGCATCCAGAGCTACAGCCAGCTCGAACATGAGGCTCGGTAGCGCCATGAGGAGCGGGAGCTCCAGCAAATGGTAGACCGCTTAAGAGAGCAAAAGGAGCAAAAGGAGCAAGAGAAGCAAGAGAAGCAAGAGAAGCAAGAGAAGCAAGAGAAGCAAGAGAAGCAAGAGAAGAGAAGCAAGAGAAGCAAGAGAAGCAAGAGAAGCAAGAGAAGCAAGAGAAGCAAGAGAAGCAAGAGAAGCAAGAGAAGCAAGAGAAGCAAGAACCTAGGATCGCCCAGACCTTTCTACTCAAGCCGCGCGAAAGTGGTCCTCTGATCCCAATCCGACCGGAATTTAGAGCGGCGCCCACCCTCCGTTGGCCGCTGGCCGAAGAAGCCAAGCTCCAGGAGTTTCTACGCGAATATGGTCCCTGCTGGCAGGCGATTTGGAACGAAAACTATCACAAATGGGCTCTAAGCCCTGAGGACTGGATCCACCCAGGGCGAACCCCGAAACAATACCGCTACAAAGCGAGGAACTTGGCGATGAAGTACCGATAGTGAGTCCCCGATGTGCTAATCCCCGAGTCCCTTCTACTCACCACACTAAGAGTAGTAATCAGGAGAAGGTGCCCACATATCTTCAGTGTATCAATCTCAGTCTATCAGATGGAAAACGGATCGCAAGGATACTAGCCTCACCCAATCGCCGCAAGGCCCCGAAAGGATGAGCTCTTAACATGGAGTGCTGAATTTCTACAAAGCACCCTGCTCGATCAGTGTATTCGCTAAGCGAATGTTTGACGCCTAAAATATGACCGAGTGTTGTAACTGAGACATCAAAAAGGCGAGCCAACTCATGAACTGAGTTGCTCTCTTGATTCTTTGATACCTGAACAGCTGATAAGGAACTTACTCATTGATATATCTGCTTTTGAGAGCTTTGTGTGGACACCACCGACAATCAAGGTAGCCTCATATGCCCAGAAAAAGGCCTGAAGCTTTGAAAGATGCGAACATCTACCAGCTCTCACAGGACTCTGTCGGTCTCGCGCGCGCCTCAAAATATTGAGTTATCCGCGATGTGAAGTGAGAAACTTTTTGAGCGCCAAACAAGACAACTTGCATTTTACATGATACAGATATCTTTTTATACAGCCAAGGAAGGCTGATATTACACAATATGAGCAGTTTGCTCAGTCAGCGTCGAAAATGGACCCCGAGGTCCTGTCTATATGGCGAGTCTGCATGGCTTGACTAAACTATCACCATGCACCGCTTCACAATCACTAACACAAAATAACATCTGATGAAGAATTCATATATTGAGTCGAAGAGAATCCCTAGCCTTGAATGATTGAATATCATCGGATAGAGATACTTCTTTTCCATCACAAGTTCTCAGATACAACAACAGCTTTCTGGCTATTCCGAGGGGCAGAATGTGCCACGCATTCGATATGATCTTCAATAAATGGAATACAACCATGACACTGCTTTCATGTAGAAATGTAATTCTTATAGCCAGCGCTGAGTCTTGGGGCTTTGTCGAAAGATTTTCAAGGTAAGGCTTTTCCTGGATGGTTGAAGTACTTAGACAGATATGACTACCATTTGAGTGTGGGCGTTGCCGTTTCAAATAACTGTGATAAAAAAGTTGATAAGAGTATTGAGGACGAGGTATTGGTCTCGAATGCTGTTATAAAGGAGTGTACGGACGTAAGTGGTGAAGCTTAGTCGTCTTGCTTGAGGAAAAAACTGGTGCATTGGGCTTAGAGCACTTCCAGTGAATGAGGTCAAAATCAGCAACTAAGGTAGGAATGCCTCGAGAGAATATCTTGTGTAGAGTGGGTGACATACAATTAAGCTACTGTCGAATACATCTTATCAGTGAAGAAGGAATATTTTGTGATGCATTGATAGACAACAAACAAACATGACATTGGGAATAGGTAACATATTAAGTCAAGCGCTAAAGGAAAAGATCAAGGCTAATAAAGTGGCAACAGACAAACAATCAAGCACTCGCACTCGAGGCAGCAGGATGTTCCATCTTAGGAGTGGACTCAGGAGCAGTACGATCAACCTGAGTACCGTCCTCGGAGTCAGTTGAGTCCAGCATAGGAGGAAGATCATCAGCCTCCTCAGGAATGAACAGGTTAAGGAAGATTCCCAACAAAGCAGCAACAGCGAAGCCGTTCTCCATGACCAGGTCACAAGCATTCAGCAGACCCTCCAAGGCATGGTTATCACCACTGTAAGTGAAGAAATAACCGAACCACTCAGGGACGAGAGTGACACCCATACCAAGGGAGAAACTGGCAGTGAGGATGAACCGGTTGCGACGGGTGAATTCACAAGAAGCAATAATGCGCAGACCACTAACTGCAACAGAACTGAACAGGAAAGCAGTCATGCCACCGAGCACAGGGCTAGGAATAGCAACCAGCGCAGCGGCGAACTTGGAAAAGACACCCATGACAACCAGGAAGAAGCAGCAGCAGTAGCCAGCTGTGCGGTTGGCACATTTCGTCAGGGCAATGACACCGTTGTTCTGTGCGAAGACGGACATAGGGCTGATAGTCATCAGACCAGCAATTAAACAAGTGATACCGTTACCGAGGACACCGCCCTGGACCCGGGAATCGAAAGTAGCACCTTCGACCTGGAGACGGGAGACATCACAAGTAGCAGTGATATCACCAATAGACTCCATCATGATGACAATATATAGGGCCAGCAGCGGCAAAATCAGCGGCGGGTAAACCGACAAGGGGAAAGTATGAACCCAAGCGAAAGAAGCGACCGGCGCAGCGGCAATACCAGAGGACTCAAAGTAGTTGCAAGCAGCAGCAACAATAGAGCCAACCAGCAGACCAACAATAACGGAGCAACTCTTCAGAATCGGGGGACCCCAACGCTCGCAAATGATAATCGTGACGAAGACAAGAAAACCAAGACCGATGAACTCGGCAGAACCCCAAGGCAGGGCATGCGGCGCATCAGCACTGGGACACATGGTCGGGTTCGAGGGATCGGCACCACAGCCAGAGCCACCAGCCCAGTCAGTCATAGCCGACTTAACAAGCGAAGCACCAATAAGGAGGACAGTAGGGCCAGTGACGAGAGGGGGAAGACGCGGGCGAGGATGCGACTGCTCATGAAGGACATGCCGATTTCAAGCAGGGCGCAGAGACAGGAAGTGCCGAGGAGGGCGCCGTAGCCTTTTGGGCAGGCGAGTTTTGTTCCGTCTTCTGCTGTTGGGCAGTAGCCTGATTTGTACATTTGGGTGAAGGCGCCTTGGGCGACGGTGATTGTCGAGAATGATGTTCCTGTGAAGGTTAGGTTTAGAATTGGGTCATTCCGATCAGTGGATGAAACTGCATACCAACGACGGAAAGCAGGCCGGTTCCGATATAGTATTTTGTTCCTCTGATGTGTAGACGGAACATTTGAACAGCGCTTAGAAGACCGGAGACAATCAATGAAGTCGATACGAGGTATTGGTATAGTTCGTCGCCGAAGTTGACACCTGATGAGCCGCCGAGCATGATGGGAGGTGAAATGACTAGTTTCTTTAGTTTCGAGTTCGAGTCCGACTTCCAGATTGGATGTGTAACGCACCACCAGCCAACATTGCAAGCGCATGCTGCAAACCAAGGATCAAAGCGAGGACGACAGGAACGCGGTCTTCAAGACCGAAGAATGGCGCGGATTTGCGCTCTCTTTTTGTGAAAGGTAACCGGGGAATGAAGAGGTATGCATAGTCGTAGTCTCCTAGTAAACCCTCCCTAGGAATTGTCAGTCGCGAACTCAGACCGATACTGGTGGTGTCGCCTACCGAGTGGTGAAAGTCTTTGCGACATTGCGGAGTTTGTCGCTGAAAGAGCGCTTTGGCGAATAGTCGGGTCCGATCTGGTCTGGGCCGTCCATTGTGAATATACTGTGGATGTGTGTGATTGAATATGGACACTAGATCAGGAACTACACTTATATATGAGTCGAACCAAAAAAACCAAGGCTCCATTCCGAACATCGCCAACGCTAACCCACAGTGGAGATGACTAAAAACGCGGAGAACGATAAGATGGACGTGACCTCGTGTTATCGGAGGCGAATTTCGTGAAAAAAGTTCGAATTAGCAAGAGCATCGCATAAACCACGCAGGCACTTGACTCGAAAGCGTTAGAGCCCGGCTTATCTGGCCGGAAGAGAGGCAAGCCCAGCCAGTCAGAGAATAGCGGAGGTTAGCGCCAAGCATATCTGAGAGTGGAGAATGATAAGGATAGATGAAGGGCAGTCTAGTCTGTAGTCTCATTATGTACTGTTATTTGCTGGTCATTGCTAGAAATGGCCAGGAGACGATCCATTTTGAGCAAATACGCTCTGTTCATTGGTGACTATAAGCGATGGAGACAGTGCTGACTTACGCCACATGCATCTCTGGTGGCTTCGCATGGTCTTCCCGGGTTCGATCGAACTTTCTCTTTCTCGGCTATCTGTCTGGGGTTGGAGCCCGTATCTGCAGACACATGGCACCGGAGGCGGCCGTCAACAGTGGAAGGCGCCGACTTCATGCTTTCAGCTATCAGCCATGAGATATAACTTAGATATTGATCCTGGCGATCGAGTAATAGATGGCGGTTATCTCGCGGATATGCATGTGCTAGACCGTACAGATTGAATTGTTGGCTTTCTTCCATACCACCGTGCGTGTGGTGCGTGGTGATTAACCAAGGGAGTGTCCGTGAGTGTCCCAGGGGCTGTCAGGCGGGACCGTTCATAGGCAGACTTCGGGATTGATATTTCGGCATTTCCGAAGTGTTCCAGAAAAGCATATCGATCCCCAGGCCAGACCGACGCTGTGCCACTGTTTTGTCTTTGTTGCTTTCCTGGATCCAACACAGTCCAGCCTGCCCAACCATGTGATGGTCACCGCGGTCATTCTCTTCTCGGTGGACTTATGACTTGTCACTTTTGGCGAATTGTTTCTGATGGTCACACTGGATATTGACGCATTGTTGAATCATGATCTGCTGGATCAGGTTCGTTCGCAGTGGATTCGGTTGGTTGATGTGGTCTATGATGTGATTTGAGTTGAGTACAGTAAGGAGGTGACACTGTCTCTGTCCATCCGACAGGATCAAGAACTTGATCGTAAATGGAGAAATCAGTTGCCAGCATACTCAACAATCGGCTGAATTGGGTTGTACTGGATATCATGACTTCATCGGTATCACCCCGGTTCGACACAGGGCTGTACAAGGGTGTAAGGGAGGGTTCACGAAAGGCCGATCAATACGAATACAGTGGAATGTATTCTGTAAGGTCCCATTCGTTGACCCCCTGTACAGTACAGTATGGGCGGTATTTGCCTCCGACATGAAAGAGAAGAGGTGTGATTGGATGGTGTTCCCAAGGGTTGGTGGCCTGATCCTAAGAATTCCGAGGGGTGCTGACCTAAGACGCTGACCTAAGAGGCTTACCTCAGCGAACTCCTGCCGATCAAGAATTTGCCATCGGTCTCCGCTCCTTCCTCCACCAATTACAGGCCGGGGAAAGCGTTGGGGCTGGCCGGACCCAACAGTCGCCGAAAACTGAGGCTCGCCACTCTCCAGAAGCGCAAAGTTCTAGGGAAAAGCTTAGAATTCTGTGCTGCTATTCTCTGCAGTGCCTCGGGATCTTGTGACGGTCAATGTCTAGATTCTTGTGATTCGTCTTTGATATTATTTCGGTGCCAAGTTTCCCCATATCTTGATCATTCGCCCCAACGTTGGTCCCAAGTGGGCCCCAAGTATAAAAAACCCTCTCCTTCCGGATTCCCTATCTTCACTTTGTCCACACACACACCATGTCGTCGAAGGTTGATGCTTCACGCCCTCGGGCGGCTGAGACCAAGAAGGTGCACATTGCTGATACCCAGATGACTCGTCAGAACTGGTACAAGCATGTCAACTGGCTCAATGTCATTCTGATTCTGGGTGTGCCTGTCTCTGGCTGCATCCAGGCTTTCTGGGTTCCTTTGCAGTTGAAGACGGCCATCTGGGCGGTCATCTACTACTTCTTCACTGGCCTGGGAATCACTGCTGGTAAGTCGAAACCATTCGAAGGGGGTCGAAGTCCCTTTACTGACTCTTTCCAGGGTACCATCGTCTCTGGGCTCACTGCTCGTACTCCGCCACTCTGCCTCTCCGTATCTGGCTCGCTGCCGTCGGCGGTGGTGCCGTTGAAGGTTCCATTCGCTGGTGGGCTCGGGATCACCGTGCGCACCACCGTTACACCGACACCGAGAAGGACCCCTACTCCGTTCGCAAGGGTCTCCTGTACTCTCACCTGGGATGGATGATCATGAAGCAGAACCCCAAGCGAATTGGCCGGACCGACATCTCCGATCTTAACGAAGACCCTGTTGTCGTCTGGCAGCACCGCAACTACCTCAAGGTCGTCCTCACCATGGGATTGATCGTGCCCATGCTCGTCGCCGGTCTCGGCTGGGGTGATTGGTGGGGTGGCTTTGTGTACGCCGGTATCCTGCGTATTTTCTTCGTGCAACAGGCCACTTTCTGTGTCAACTCTCTGGCTCACTGGCTCGGTGACCAGCCTTTCGATGACCGTAACTCTCCCCGTGACCACGTCATTACCGCCCTGGTCACTCTCGGCGAGGGTTACCACAACTTCCACCACGAGTTCCCTTCGGACTACCGCAACGCCATCGAGTGGCACCAGTACGACCCGACCAAGTGGACCATCTGGACCTGCAAGCAATTCGGCCTGGCCTACGACCTGAAGCAGTTCCGCTCCAACGAGATCGAAAAGGGTCGTGTGCAGCAGCTCCAGAAGAAGATCGACCAGAAGCGCGCCAAGCTCGACTGGGGTACTCCCTTGGACCAGCTCCCCGTCATGGAGTGGGATGACTATGTCGAACAGGCCAAGAACGGCAGAGGCCTGATCTCCATCGCCGGTGTTGTCCACGATGTGACCGACTTCATCAAGGACCACCCCGGTGGCAAGGCCATGATCAAGTCCGGTCTTGGCAAGGACGCGACCGCCATGTTCAACGGTGGTGTCTACTACCACTCCAACGGTGCCCACAACCTGCTCTCCACCATGCGTGTCGGTGTCATCCGTGGCGGTGGTGAAGTTGAGATCTGGAAGCGTGCCCAGAAGGAGAACACCGAGTATGTTCGCGACGACTCAGGTCAGCGTATCATCCGCGCTGGCATGCAGGTCACCAAAATCCCCGAGCCCATTCCCACTGCGGATGCAGCTTAAACGTTGATATTTATTCTTGCATTCTGGGCTCGGGGCTGGCGTTTCTTTCTCTTCCTTTCTGTCTTTTCCAAACAGCGGCCTGTGACGCACTTCCTAGATAATTTTCATGAATTAGAAACGATTTCATATGACACTCTTGCTCTTTCGTAAAGCTAGATCATGTTAGTATCAATGTTCGCCTTGGATCAGTTATAGGAAAGAAGATGAAGAACATCGCAGACTCGAAAACTTCGAAAAAGCGGGGATTAGCTTCTTTCACATGCCAATCCCCTTTTCCACGTCAACACTGCGCCTCTTCGTATTCAAATCCCATCTTGCATATTGCATACTCCATACTACGAATGAAGTCCAATCGATTGCTTTGCTCCTACCACTGAATTGGGATCTGTCTGGAGATCACCCGTGCTCAGGCAGATCCAGTGAGTACTGTACATCGACAACACCCTACGACCTAAGCTCGTGGATATCTGCTACTTTTTTTTTTACTTTGCTATGTGAATATAAATGCCAGTTTCAAGTCGTTGGCTAGTGAAGTTATCAATGCCTTGTCTACTGTATTGCTGTTCCTTTGATCAACTTGGTGGATATTGGATTTGGCCCACTGAGTGGATATTTCAACCGTTTACTGTATTTCCCAGTCAGTTCCCGCTAGAGACCCTTCTTGACGTGGGCGTCCTCGCTCAAAACATAAAAAAAGAGATTCGTAACCCGCAAGTGGCACGGATAGTATCTGGCACGAATGATAGTTGCTGGTGGCTGCAGGTAAACTATACTTTTTCATAAGTTATGGAGTAACTCGATTCTTCTATTTATTATACCTGATGAGGTCAAGGAACCAGTCAGTCTGTTGGATGCTAATGTGATCCAGTCTGCCTTAGTGGCATCTTGCATCAGGCCGAATGGGCCTGACCGCTAAGCCTTGGGTACTGATGATGGTTGGCTCATGCAACACAGTCCGATAAGACAGTGGACGTAGATCACAGAGTATACGGCAGCAAGATATATCTAACGTCCTTATGAAAAGAAATATTTAGAGCTCATTTATGGAATACGTAGCATAGAAAGTATTTGAAAAAAAAAAAAAGGCACAAAAACGCTCAAAGACGGTCTGCAAGGTTGAAAAGGCCGAAGGTGAAAGTGTTTGATATCCTAAAAACTAAGCCTCTGATTGGTGGAGCCATAGAACCTTTTGATTCTTTTAGATCAAAGATTCAGGAACAATGACCATTGTATGCAAGAATGAGTATTCAATATTCAAGTCTAAGACTAACTTATATGCTATTTTGTCTATCGATATACGACTCTATATAAGTTGGCAAGATCCACTCCAACCTATCCATCACCACTAAATTCACACACACAATCCCAGCTCACCACTAAACACAAATCCTTACTCACAACCACTAACATAGCCAACGCAAGTCCACAGATATCAATTCCAAAGCCAACCAACACCATGCCTCCAATTACAAACGAAGGAATCTGGATCGAGAACGGACGAATAGTCTCCGACGGCGTCCCCAACAGCAACGAAACAGCCCACTGGATAACAGTCGACTTCGACGACACGGACGAAGACCTCAGCGACACGGAACTTATGGAAAAGTTCACACGCGCCATCCGCGCCTCGGAATGTACCATGGGCCACGAATGCGAGCACCACTTCCGGCCCTACTGCATCTCCCTCGGGGTTTGTTATAGTCATGACTGTCAGGCGATGGGATGTGAAGTGTGGGACCGGGATATTGTGCCTGGGAGTGAGGTTTTGGGCTGTCGGGATGGTATTTTGGTTAATTTGCTGGAGCTTGCTGTTGATATTCAGAGGAGGGTCCGTAGGGGTGATGTTAGGATTAATCGGGAGGTTCTTTTTAGGGGAATGTAAGGGTATAATTTACAGACTTTTTTACTTTAGGAGTTAGGAGTTATGAGGGAGGAGTGAGGAGTTGGAATATGATTCTGTTGACATTTGGGGGTCCGCATCCTGTAGGCGTTCAGAACTACGGCCATAACAACCCTAGAGGTAGACCAATTACTAGATCGCTCACCAGTGAATTGAAGCATCAGAGTTCTCGGGTACATCGGATTATCTATTGATTTTGGTACAAGCTTTTCTTAGTATTTCTTGTTTTGGCCAATGTAGGCTTATCTGTAGCTACCTAACTCATATGGTAGACCGTGATTAGTATTTCCCCAAGCATTAATGAAGACTACAAAATAGATAGAATGTCACAAGGAGACTATCTCCAAACGCATGAACCCTTTGAACAGTCTATATTGGCGATCTATTCGGTATCAACATCATTCACCACCAAAGCCGGCACAGTCCACGAGGTCGTAGACGTGGACTTTGAACCGTCATGATCGTCACCGTGCTCAGGAACCACCATTTGCTCCAAAGTATCACCTGTTCTTCTTATCTCTTCCTCTCGAATCATATGTGCGATTTCTCCATGCTTTTGCGCCAGTGCCCATGCGCGTGGGGTGCGTCCGTACATAGAATCACGAGAGATCACATCAACTCCAGGTAAGCGCAACAGCAACCGAACAATATCAGATTGACCTGCTCCCGCCGCCCATGATAGAGGTGTTCGGCTGTACGCGGTGTCGGCCAAGTCAGGCCCCACACCTTTTGTATCCAAGAGCCGTTGAGCAATTCCCACGGTCCCAGTCTCACAGGCATAAGAAAGCGGCGTGCGGCTGTGCGTGGACTTGGAATTCGGGTTCGCATTTGCTTCCAGGAGAAGATCGACCAAGGTCTCGTTGCCTTGTCCCGCGGCAATGGACAGCGCGGTACGGCAAGCGGAACTAATATCACGGCATTCCACGTCCTGGGCTCCGTGTTCAAGAAGCAATTTGGAAATTGATCCATGGCCCCCTGCGAGAGACCAAAGCAGTGGGGTTCGGTACTTGACTGAGTCTTTTGTATCATGTTGGACCGCATTTGTCGCGATTAAAAGTTTGATCACTTCTATGTGGCCTCCCACTGCAGCCAAGGACAGAGGCGAGTGGCCTTCCTTGTTGCGACAATTCGGGTCAACTCCCTCGACGCATAGAAGAAGTTTGACTAGCGTGTGATGACCGCCTGATGCAGCCAAGGAAAGTGATGTGCTGCCTGTTGCACTTCGCCAAGTTGGGTCAATGCCTGTTTGCTTGAGCAGGAGGCTCACAATCTCCAGATGACCATGCTCTGCAGCTGCTAATAGCGGTGATTTATCCTCGGATACATCATTCGCGCCCTTCACATCAGCACCGGCTGCTAAAAGAAGTCTGACAACTTCCTCGTGGCCATTTTTTGCTGCCTGCCAGAATGCAGTGGATTTTGAATTGCCCCTTGAATATATTGACTCGGGTTCCCAGTCGAAGAGAACTTTCACGATTTGGAGATGCCCATTTGCTGCAGCCTCCTCCAGTGGCTTGTATGACCCATACTCAACGTCATATTCTTTACCTCCTGCTCCTGCATTTAGCAGCCTTTTCACAATTGCTTCATGGCCATTTTTTGCTGCCACGGTCAAAGCTGATTCGTCAAACCACGACCCCTTGTAGTCCAGGTCTTGGTCAGCGGTATCTAGTAGTGCGTTGACCCTCAAGTCCAAGCCAAAATGTGATGCCAATAATAGGTCGGAGAAGTCAGAATCAGTCCAGTGCCTGGTTTCAGAATGGTCATATTCTACACTTTCTTGGTCGTCTCGCGTGGTGTCATTTGGGCCTCTTCGGTATATGGAAAACCACAAATCAAACCGCTTGGAACCCAGTCTGCAGATTTCAACTACTGACTCCAAGGTAGCCAACTGCTTTACAGCGGCCGCGTTGCGATAGTGCTCGGCCCAGTTCTTGGCCGCATATTCCAAGAAAACACGTCCTCGAGCCAATGTCTCGAGATCCTGCGGTGGGCTTGACTCAAAGTTCTCGAACAAAAGATATGTGATGCATATATCGGTCATGATATTATTGGACTCGGTTGGAATCAAGGAATGCTTCCAATGGGGAGTCATCTCATTTTGCGGTCGACGATCGCTCTTTGCTGAGCGCCGTCGCTCTGCAAGTGGCGCTGAGGGGTCTCCAGCCCTGTAGACCAAAAAGTCCTTCGCGGTTTGATGCAGCAAATATATCTTCGAATCAATGATGGTCACAAAAAGCCCGCATAAGTTTCTCACTACAGCGGGAAACCTTGTCTCCGATTCGAGATCGAGATCCTCGTGCGTACGATCAGATGGACGTATGGCAAGAGCGATTCTCATTTCTTTGAGAGTCAGGGGTCTGATAGCGGACACAACAATATGGAGAAGTCTTCGGGCCTTCGTTTGATCGGGGCTTTGATTCAGGATTCTCTCATACGCTTCGTCGACTGTCCCGGGGAGGGTGCGAATGATCTCTTGCACTTTTGCATTCGTATAGCTGATGCTATTTTCAATCACATCAAAGATTAAAGTAACCCAGAGATATGTCCGATGAGGAATGAGCAGAAGCTGATTGCGAAGAAACGCTCGTTCGTCATGGTCAAGCTGTAGACGGTCTCCCATTTCTTCAACACGAGTGTGAATGACCAGGTTAATTTCGCGAGAGATCTTCTCGGTCTCTATATCGTCTTCGCCACTCAGGTGAATTTCCGGAGCACGGTTCTTCAAAGGCTGGAAATCGCGCTGTATATGTGCGTATGGTCGACTTGTCACAAGGAATTTCAAGCGTGATTTGCTGTGTTCCATGCGGTAGAATTTGTTCAAAGCTTGGGTAAGTTGAGACCGTTCAGCCTCTGCACACTCGTCTAGAGCGTCTAGAACACAGACAATCTCCCCAGCATCGGAGTCGTTCGTCACCTTAAGTAGCAATTCCCATAAGCTGGAAAAGGATTTAGTCAGCCAACCCGGGTCTCTCTCAAAATCTTCCAGCATGCTTTTGGTTACAAGTTTGTCATTTTGCAGAAATAATTGGCGTAGCATGGCAGACAAAGCGTTCAAGGCGCTCTTTTGCTCCACTTGATCGTCTTTGAAAAAGAAGTAGCAAATATGTCGCATTTTAGACTTCGGGATAGCGTGGTCGATTAGTCTTCTTGCCAGCACCGATTTTCCACAGCCAGGGTCCGCCGAAACCCAGAGGAAGCAAGACGATGAACTATCCCTCCATCTTTGAAACAGAGGATGATCAACAAACCATTGACAAGTGCCGTGAGCGGCCTCTTGGTTTCTGTCTTTATGGTCCTCATATCGAGAAGTGTAGAGCGCTTTGAGAAAATCATTTCGTGCGGCAGCAGCTTGAGGGCCTTGCATTCCCAGGCTTCTGAGAATATCACTGGTATCTCTGCGTACCTCCAAAAGATGCTGCTCTTGCTTTTCCATGCCACTGTGCAATTTTGCCGAGTCAATAATTGAGGTGAAGTTCCTGCAAAGCGTTTCTGATTCCTTGATAGAATCCAACCTTTCCTTCCAACTGTTAACCTCAAACGTCTCTTTGAATGTCTGCGCAATAGAATGTCTCCGAAGGTGACAAAGCGTCCGAGCCTGGAATTCCAAGACCCCTGAATAGAGGTCCAACATGCTGGCTTCGAACTCGATCCCAAATCGAACAGCATCCTCCACTTTGCCGAGAACCACATCTTTGCGCGACATGTAGATCTTTTCAATCACATTGAACTGGCAGATAAGTTTTGACGTATATTCAAAGCCCGCCAGCAGGAACTTGTGTTCATTGATTGACCGAATAAGCAACTAACCCACGTGTTAGGAATCGACATCTTCATGGCGAATGATTAGGAAGCCCTTTCTGGGCAGGAAAAAGAGAAAGAGAAATGAACCTACTGATAATATGAGAGTGACTCCAGCACAAGCCAGCGCAGCATGCGGATCTGCAGATGCCGCCGTTGAAACGATCTCTTTCACAGCGAGGATATTCTTCACAATTCCAGCAAATATACTCTCAACGGAGACATGATTCTTGCGAAACTGAATTTTCCATTTCTTATCGTCCAGATCATTAATCCTGTTCCTGGTGAACTCCGACAATTGCTTCTGACGATCAGAGGCTACCACCGCGATCGTAGCTCCCAGCTCAGACTCTAGGATCGCCAAATACGTCTCCATGACCTTTCTTGTCTGAGAATCAGAGCTATCTCGCAGGGTTTGCTCCGCGCGGTCCCAAAAGTCCGTTGGCACATTTTCCGATGTATCAGGCTGAGCACTGAGCATAATCTCGTTGACGTGGGGGCTATCTGCGAGCCCATTTGGATCGACACACTCATCGTTGGGTTGATCCGATGAGATCTCTGGGTGCGAGTGTAGTATCTTCTTCAAAGTCGATGTTCCAGCTCCCTTGATCCCGCGGAATCGATGGGAGAGAGAACGGCGCATTGTGCCGAAGAGTAAGATTGAAGTGTTGTTGAGGATGAGGGGCCATGCGCTGGCGTAGCGCCTTATTTTTTAGTTGCTCAAGAATACTGAGATGCGTTGGATTTGGTATTACAATTTACTTCCATCGTAAACCAATGCGATGTATGAGCGAGCACCGCATTCAAGCACCCGCCGCGGAATTCTGACGTTCATTTCAATCTATTTCCACCCCCTGACATGCCTTCGATCCGTTCTCAAAGCCCCCGAAAACGTATAGAGCAAGAGGATAGAATCTCACTAGACATCCAGTCCTTCCATGATGGCGAAACTCAATTTGTATCTCGGCTAGCGCGCGCGATCACAATATACCACGAGAAACGCTTCGCCGCCGCCTTTCCGGTGTGAAAAGCCGCGCTAAATTTCTACCACATAGCCGAAAATTGACCGACTCGGAGAGGAAACTCTTAAGAATTGGATGATCTCTCAGATTGAGCGCGGGACCGCGCCCCGGCCAAATTCCATACGAGAGGCAGCCAATTTGCTGCTAGAAGCGCGCGATGACAGTCACCCCTTACAGTCAGCATGAAGTGGACGTACAATTTTATTCAACGGCACGATGAGCTTAAAACTCAATTTACGCGCGCGTAAGTTAGTCGAAGAGCTTAATATGTGGACCGTGAACTAAGATCGAAAAACAGTGTCCGTCTTGCGAACCCCCCTGTCCGGGGCAGTGATTTGAGCACAAACTTCATTTCGGATACGCCGTGTACGGAAGAAGACGTGCGGGTACAAGTATCATCTATTCGGCAGCTAGCTAAGGAGCAGTCTCGGCGTCTAGGTGATGTCATTACTCAAATTGAGAGAGCGGAATCTCTTAGGAAACTGGTAAGGGATCAATACTGGTGTCTAGATGATGCCATTGATCAAATAGAGAGAGACTTTCAAATCGAGAAGGCGGGATCTGTTCAGAAACTGGCTAGAGAACAGTCCAGGCGTTTAGATGATGCCTTTGAACAACTGAAGAGAGGCTGTCAGATGAATATCACTGAAGAGAGTGTCCCGGTTGGAGAGGCTATATCGCTGCTTGATGGTGATGGAGAGATCGAGGAAGAGAGTCATGTTGAGCGGATATCGTCGGACGCTAATCCAATTAATGAGAGGTGCACGCCACGATGCAATCTCTGTGAAATGTCTGGCCTTAAGAGAAATAGGAGCCCAGAGATGTCTGGATAGCTTTTGTATTACTGAATACGCGTTTTCGTTTAACAAGTAAGTGATAGGAGTCGATATACTGCGTATGTAAGGCCTACGTCCGATAATACATAAAGTAACCCGGTAGATCTTTGTAGAGGTAGCCCTAGTGCTAAGAGGAAACGTAAGGCTATAGATCACTCTCGATTCCGGGTAGTCTTCTGTAGGCCAGCAAGAGCAATATGTGTTGCATTCGAGCTACGCTTGGACGAGAAATCCCATTCTGCTCCCACTTTCGGCCAGTCATCGTGAAGTTGATAATATAGCTTTATTTCACAAATTTCACAAAGAGTCTGTCTGGAAGGAACATGAAACAGAAGATCGAGAAAATATAGCAAAAAGTATTGAAAGTGGCACATATTTGACCGTGGGCTTTGGTATATTCCTCAGGATGAAAGCATATCTCAATGAATCATCTCTAACGCGTTTTTATAGTCCTTCAGGAATTCCCATCTAGATCGATGTTTCCAACCCTTGGATTTCCAACCATTCGCAACTTCGGGAAAGACGTCGAGGTAAGGCCGCAAACTCAAGTCATGCGCCGCAACCACTAAGACATTTTCATCGGCATCGAATTCTTGGAGGCATTTAATTGTATATTGAGCCTTTTCTTTGTTATGAGAAACAAGCCCGGGGTTTGAGAAAGGCTCTGTGCTGGAATGGGCTGGGCTCATCTTCTTGATCAATTCACAGGGACATGGGCGTGGGACGAAGTTGGGAATGTCGAGGTGGTCGGGCAGACGTACTTCCGCACTAGGTCGCAGCTGGGATGGATGGTGATACGCATCGCCTGCAAATAGCAAGAAGCTATCTTCTGTTGTCCGAGCAAGGGCATTCACATGTCCAATGGAGTGTCCAGGAGCATCGAGGAGATAAAAGCTACCGTCACCAAAGTAGTCCAGCGCCTGAAGCCCCCCGATGTACAGGTCTGATGAGGTGAAATCGAGCTCCTTCACCTGGCGGTTGGCAAAATCGGTTTCCAACACTGGGGAATCCTGTTTCGCCGGGTATCCTGGCAAAAAGGCTTCTTTGACACCCGGACCAACGACCAGGGCGACATTGGATGGGAAGGTCGATGGATCGCCCACATGATCAATGTGAGTATGGCTAAACATTTGGTGGTTGAAATTCAGCAAGAGACAACCCAATCGAAGAGGAAATCCTTACCTCCAGATCATAGCTTCCAGGCTCTCCGTTGCCATTCCTTCTCGAACCAGGATATCCGCCACATCATCTTTGACGATTAGTTTGGCTTCCATTCCTTTGGCCCGGGTGACAACATGCGGGGCAAGATTTTCCCAGTCTTTGCGAGTTCCGAGATCAAACAGAACACGTCTGATGTTCCCAGCGTGATCTGTATGGGTGATTAGGAAGACATAGCTGACCCCATCAAACCTCTCAAACCCGGGGATTTGGGGATCGCAAAAGACAGCAGCTGGTATGTCTCCTAAGATAGCCCCGGTGTCAATGATAGACACCTCAACGGTATGACCCGACTTGGGAATTGCTACCATGGTGAGAAGGTCAGATCAGATGCTTTTCTTCTGGACTCAGGGGTGATTTCAGAGTGAAGACGGGCATTGGTATCCTAGGTGGGAGCTTAAATAGGGATTCGATCTAGCTCGAAGTCAACGGAATCGATTGTCAATCCAAATCGTGGATTTCAAAGCTGCCTAGGTGCTAGAGTCTAAGAATTAATTAATACTGAGGCAATTCGGGTGTGATTTCCGGTGTGGTATGTGGGATGTGGGATCTCCGTTGTGGGATCTCCGTTGTGGGATCTCCAGGTCTAACCTTCACATCGGTAATCCATCCCACCGGGGAGAGATCTTCCAATAGATTCAGTTACAAATCGATCTATGACCTTAAAAGACGCCACCTTGGTCATCATCATCGACTCACTATGAATCCAAAACATATAAAGAACAGCATTCCCACGTCCACGGCTTCATTTCAACCCATCCCGAATCCCAAATCAATCACTAGCTTACCATGACTCAATTCGACCATTCTACCACTGGACGCGAGGTTGTCTCGGCCTTTTCAGACAAGGTTTCTGGAAGAACTTGTGGGTGTTTCGAACCTTGGAAGTGACCATGAAGGCTATCTAACGCTCCTCGCAGTTGTTATCACCGGTGCTAGCCATGGCGGAATTGGTGCCCATGTCGCACTTTGCCTTGCTGCCGCGCACCCTGCCGAGATCCTCCTTCTCGGCCGTAGCCAAGACAAAATCGACCCAGTGATCAAAGAGATCCAAGCGATTAGCCCTGCCACCAAGGTGAAGTTCATCAAGGTCGACCTGGCATCCTCGGATTCTGTCCGCGCGGCTGCTAAGGAGGTTGCCTCTACCGTCTCGAAGATCGATGTCCTGATCAACAACGCCGGGATTATGGCTCCGAAGTACTCGATCACGTCTGACAACGTGGAGTCTCAGTTCGGCGCTAACTACGTTGGACATTTCCTCCTGACCAATCTCCTCGTTCCCCAGCTTGAAGCTGCTAGCAATGGGGCCCGAGTCGTGAACGTCTCTAGCCTGATGTACCAGTTCAGCCCCGTGCAGTTCGACGACTACAACTTCTCCAATAGCACTCCTTTCAACACCTGGGAAGCGTACGGCCAGTCAAAGACTGCCAACATTCTGTTCGCTGTTACCTGTGCCGAAAAGTTGGCAAGCAAAGGAATCAAGAGTTATTCTCTGCATCCCGGCAACATCCAGGCGACTAAGCTTGCGGCCACCATCGACCCAGCCGAGTGGCCCGTTGTGATGAAATTGTTCGAGGAGAAGCAGATCGAAATGCCGAGAACCAAGACCATCGAAGAGGGCAGTTCTACTACGCTTGCTGCTGCATTGGACCCGGAGCTTGATGGTAAGTCATGTTCCTGGATGAGCCATAACGACTAGGTACTTACTGATTATTTGCAGCTTTCTCTGGAGCGTTCTTGGATGATTGCCACCCGAAGAAGCCCTTGGACTATGCTTCCGATCCTACCAATGGCAAGAAGCTTTGGGCATTGACCGAGAAAATCCTCGGAGAGAACTTTTCCTATTAGACGACCCCTACTCACAGGTGGTATGGTAGGCTGTTCTAGCTAGCTAGAAAGAATTACAGACTGTGTCAGAAATACATTGAAATCATGTCTGTATGATGACTGATGCGACATTGTGTCCCATACATACACGTAGCATTTAACTCAGTGTTGTGGATGTCTCGGTTTCCAACCTCTTCAGGGCTTCAAGTTCGCTTCCCTCTACCCTTTCTCTCTCCGTCGATCAATAAATTTCCGTTTTTTCGATCAAAGCAGCCTCATTACTAACCAAATTTATATCCCGAGAACTTGACACCGATCACGTTCTAGTATTGAGAGGAGAATGAGCCCTTACCTGGAGCCCAACCCCGTAAAGTTCTCCGGTAAAAAGCGTCGGATGTGGCGGTAGAAAGGAGAATTTCAATGCGAAGGTAGCATTGGTAAAGAAACGAATTTGGGCATACACCTTCCACCTGCCCATGAAGATCTCCGCTCTCTCTCAACCTCCGCTACATCTTCCATCTTCGGCAATACCAGGGCTCAGGTTGAGCACTTGCTTCATCCTTGACTAGACGGTCATTGTTGATTCCCGGTCATTTAGAGCTCACGCTCCAGACAAGAACCGTGTATTCGAATGAGTAAGTGTCCAGCGTCTTCGGGGTCTGCTCCCTGGCTGGAAGAGCCAGTATGGCGTAGTCTATAGTTGCTCGCTATCCACATCATCGCTGTTTGTGATGGATATTGTCGAATAAGAGCATTGTGAATTGGTCAAATCCGATTAGGCAACCCGTTGATAATACGCCGAAATAGAAATCAATGATCGTTGCGTCATTGCTCACAATTTCTTCAGATAGATCCAATAAACGCGATTTCTTTGAGGACTCAGTCGGAAACATGTCCTCGGTCTCCTTAACTAGCAAGCAAATCCCCACTGGACTCGTTCAGAGTCGTGACCCAGTCCCCGCGGGCCATTGTATGCCACAAGTGGTCAATTTTTAACGATTGAATTTGAGATTTCCCATCACGCGGCAGTGACGTCCGGTAACCAGCAAATATTTTATCATAGTGACCAAGGCCCACAATCTTACACATGTTTGAAAGGGCAATGTTGAACCGCTTGATTTCTTCGATACATATCCAGGCAAATAAAGGCGAGCCAGTCTGTTCATAACGAACTGGGATGTTCGGGTAGTGTAACATGCCTAGCTTGCTACAGCTTCGGACGAGAGACTCGAGTAGTCCTAGGGATGAAGATGGAAGAGACTGCTTCGAATCTTGGCCGAGTGAGGCTCGGTTATTCTCTATTAGAGAGAAGAGTATGTGCAGTAGGATTGCCTGATACGTAGACATTGGCCATGCATGAGAACTGCACATTTCATCTACCATCGAGGCATTCCACTTGATCTATTTCAACCCACATTAGAATGTTGAGGTATTAAGGATCTCTTGACAAACCTCTTGTTTGCGAAGATTATGGCCAAGATACTCATGGAGCTCTGTTGCCTCGGACCTCGCATTGGTTAATAAACCAAGAGCAGTCATAGCATAAACCAATATAGGCTCTTCGGGACGAATTTTGAAGGAGGCACGGTGTATGATTGGCCAGTGAGGGTGAATAAGGCTGAAATATGAGTCGATACTCTGTTGTTGTATGTCAGAGGAAATGTGACATAATTTCGGTGATTGTGGCATTAGGTCTGTTTGGATTTGGTCGCCATGCGAGTTATCCTCAATCACGTTGACTTCGTCGTCAAAGACACATGAGAGACTCCGGCGCCAACATTCTTGACACGGTTGCCCTCCGTGACACCTAATCTTCTTATCCCGACAGTGCCTACATGCTCGTCGGGCACGATCAAGCGGTTCCTCTGAGGGGTGATTTAGCCTGATATGTCGACGAAGAGTGTCACTGAACCAATTTTTAGTAGGGTCATATGTTAATTGGGTAAAAAGCATACTTTCGACCGAATTTCCGAGTACAAAAGTAACACGGATATGTTTCGGTCTGTATATGTTGTTTCTCATGGCGATTTAGGTGCTCCTTATGCCAGTAGCTGGAGGTGCAGCCCGAGAAACGACAGTAGAACCGACGAGTGTCATCTTTCTTCTTTTCCATGGGTATTTGTTCCATATTGAAGAATGAGTAGTCTTGATGTCATGGGTTGTAGGATATAAGTTAGCTTGGAAGTTCCAGCGAGCTCTTACAAATCGATTCCCGATGGATCCGCTCTTCGCTAGCCTATTTGGGCTTGCCACTCTGTAATGTCAAAACCGTGATTACCCTTACTCTGGAGTGCCAGTTCTTTGATATTTCCATTCCAGTACACGTTACATCAGCTCGTATTATACGCCAATCATGTTAATCCAACCCCCTGATGCCTGAATTTGGCCTGATTCTAGGTTTCTAGTCGAAATGTCTTAATTTACCTTTTCAAAATTGCTCCGTAAGTGTTATAAACCCTGGAGCTTGAGATATGTGTCGACAGTGTCGAGTTGATCAGCTTGAATACAGTTCCTTGCCTAGTTATTAAGATCGTTGTTATGGAGCTCAATATTTATCCGCCTATTATATTTAGTAAAATTATATGAAGCCTATGAGCTTGTTGTTTAATCTTATAATTGAACCGCATAACTAATAGACCCTATCACCCTGGTGTATATGTTAACAGAACTCTTACTATACTCCATGCCAAGACTTCACACCCCGCAATTGAGCTTTGGATCACCTGACAGCATCTCCAACTCGACGTGTACACCGCATCACCGCCATCATAGCTTTCATTCGTCACTGTTTTATCGCTCTCGTCGCCATCCTCACCGTGGCGCCCCTTCTCCGTCTCCGCCTTTCATCCGTGCTGGGCCACTTGCGTACCACCACTCCCGTACGACTCTTGACTACCTCCAGCATGGCTCCCTCCCACCTCCGCAAGCCCCCTCAGGCCCCGCCTACATTCACCGCTACCCCGCAGTCGGTGGTGGCAGATGCCGAGCGTCTGATTAAAGCTTCCCGTGAAATCCAGGACAAGCTGGTGGCCGATATCAAGCCTGAACACGCCACCTTTGAGAACGTCGTTCGTCCCCTCGCCCAAGATGATAACGCCATGGGGCTAGAGGCCCACATTCTGGGTTTCTACCAGGCTGTTTCCACCGACTCAAAGCTGCGGGATGCCTCGTCTAAGGCTGAAGAGCTGATGGATGAGTTCTTCATCGAGGCTGTCATGCGTGAGGACGTCTTCGGTCTGTTTGACGCCGTGCTGCGCCGGAACGAATCTCTCGACCCCGAGTCCCGCCGTCTGTTGGAGAAGGAACACAAGGATTTCGTCCGCAATGGCCTTGGTCTGCCCGCCGGACCTCAGCGGGCCCGGTTCAAGGAGATCAAGAAGCGTCTGAGCCAGCTGAGCATTGAATTCCAGAAGAACCTTAACGAGGAGAACGGCGGTATCTGGTTCACTCCCGAGCAGCTGTCTGGTGTGCCTAATGATGTGCTGGATGGTCTGAAGAAGGGTGAGAACGAGAATGCCGGCAAGCTGTGGCTGTCCTTCAAGTACCCCGACCTTTTCCCTACCATGAAATACGCCAACGACCCCGAGACCCGCAAACAGGTCATGATCGCCAACGAGAACAAGTGTAACCAGAACGTGCCGCTATTCCGCGAGGCTATTGTGCTCCGTGACGAGGCTGCTCGTCTGCTCGGCTACCCCAACCACGCTGCCTTCCGCATCGAAGATAAGATGGCCAAGACTCCCGAGACCGTTGACAAGTTCCTGGGTGATCTTCGCAACCGCTTGGTCGCTGGCGGTAAGCAGGAAATGGAGAAGCTGCACGCGTTGAAGAAGGCCACTGATCCCAAGTCGGATGGCCGTTACTACCTGTGGGACCACCGCTTCTATGACCGTCTGATGCTGGAGAAGGACTATTCTCTGGATCAGCAGCTCATTGCCGAGTGGTTCCCCCTGCAGACCACCATTGAGGGCATGCTGAAGATCTTCGAGGAGCTGTTCGGACTGGAGTTTGTTGAAATTGTTGGTGAGGACCGTGCGTCACTGGCCCCGACTGGCCAGGGCAATGACATTGTCTGGCACGAGGATGTCCAGGTATACAGCGTGTGGAACGATGAGGGCGAGGGCAGTGGTTTCGTCGGATATCTCTACCTCGACCTGTTCCCCCGCGAGGGTAAGTACGGCCACGCCGCCAACTTCAACCTGCAGCCCGGCTTCATCGACCAGGACGGTAACCGCCGCTTCCCTGCCACCGCATTGGTGTGCAACTTCACCAAGCCCCAGCCCAAGAAGCCCAGTCTGCTGAAACACGACGAGGTGGTCACCCTTTTCCATGAACTCGGCCACGGTATTCACGACCTGGTCTCCCGAACCATCTACTCCCGTTTCCACGGCACCAGCACAGTGCGCGACTTTGTCGAAGCACCCAGCCAGATGCTCGAGAACTGGTGCTGGACACCCTCGCAGCTGCGCTCCCTCAGCCGTCACTATTCCACCCTCTCCCCCGAGTACCTTGCCAGCTGGCAAGAGGCTCAACAGTCCCGCAGCGGAGGCAAGACCGCCACCGGCCCACCCTCCGAGCGTATTCCCGACGATGTGATTGAGAACCTGATCCGCACCAAGCACGTCAACGACGCGCTGTTCAACCTGCGCCAGCTCCACTTTGGTATCTTCGACATGGCCATCCACGAGCCCAAGAGCCACGCCGACATCGAGGCTCTCCCTCTTTCAGCTACCTACAACCGTCTTCGCCAGGAGATCACCCAGATGGACGGACCTGAAGCTCTCGGTGCCGGCAGCGAATGGGGACACGGCGAGGCCACCTTTGGACATTTGATCGGTGGATACGATGCCGGATACTACGGATACCTGAGTTCCCAAGTATACTCCACCGACATGTTCTACACTGTCTTCAAGGACGACCCCATGAACAAGGCTGCTGGCCGTCGCTACCGTTACCAGGTTCTAGAGAAGGGAGGTAGCCAGGACGAGATGAAGACCCTGACCGAGTTCCTGGGTCGTGAGCCTCAGACTGATGCTTTCTACAAGGATCTGGGTCTGTCGTAAGCCACTGGAGCTAGGGCTGGACGAAGCATTAAAGTATTAGCATATGAGAGAGCTACATGAATTACTCTCATCACTTGCATCATCACCAGGGGTCGTAAAGTTAACTTGAAGGTAGAGAAATGTAACTTGAAATCATAGATCAGCCGATAACCGATAAGCCCACCTACCTACCACCGCCTTGGCAATTTACAACCCAGCTTCGCGACTTTACTGTAACATTAATTCCAGCCCTCAGCAGTCCTCCAAGGAAATAATATAATCCTCTTCTAGCTCATAAGCTCATATTCCGTGAGTACCAATCACCTCCAGCACCAGCAATTCTATCCAACCCACATCACTAACCACCACACAGCACTTGTACCTACACCAAACCATCACCTACACCAAACCTACACCAACACGACACACAATTCAAACCCCAAAAATGACCACTTTAAAAATCCAAACCCAACACTGCCGCTTCTGCAACCACCTCCTCCTAGCAACGACGCGCGACCTGACAACCCTCCCCCGCCGAAGCGGCGAAAGCAAAGACAAAGCGCTGATCCTACCATTAGAGCGCACCAGCAAGTCGAGCGAACTATCCGCAGAGCTAGAAGGCGAAGCCGAAGGTGAAGCGGGAGCAGGAGCGCAGAGTTCTTCGAATGCGAATGTCTTGACTGGGGAGTCATCAAAGCACGCAACCCTACTTCTTGCAACTACGATCCCAGATCGGCGGGCGACGCTTTTTCGACGGGAAGACGGGATTGAGAAGAGGGTTTTGTTGAGGTGTGGACGGTGTCGGGTTGTTGTTGGGTATTATTTGGATGGGGTGCATTATTCTTCTACTACTTCTACTTCTACTTCTGGAGAGGAAGGGGATCGGCCGCGGGCAGTGTATATCTTGCCGGGGGCATTAGTTGGGACGGAAGGGATGGGAGGGGAGGGAGTTGGGGAGGGGGAGTGGAGGGAGTGGGCTGTTTAGATTTGGTGTATTATGTAGATATCAATGCGAAGAAGAGAAGAGAAGAGAAGAGAAGAGAAGCAAAGTCGATACCCTCTAAGTTGACAGAATACAAAAGTAATTTGATAATCAAAAGATATAAAAAACATACAAGATGAAGTAAGGTAATCCAACACGCCGAATCAATCCAGGCCAGAGCCATAGCCATATCCATAAACGTTCAATCATATCGGGGTATCAGTTGGCGAGGATAGTGCGAACGAGATCTAAACAGTTAGCTGGGGTTTCACGCAGTTACAGTCCAGCAGTGCACATACCAGTGTAGTTAATCTCGCCAGAGCTAGTATCAACAGCCTTGAGCAACTCATCAACCTCATCATCGGACATCTTCTCGCCGAGATTCGTGAGGACTATAGCACACATTAGCATCTCATCCATCCACCCAAACCAACCCAGACCCAGTCCAAAAGACCAGTCCAGCACAGCAGAAAACATACTATAACGCAACTGCCCGACACCAATAAAGCCAGTCATATCCTTATCAAAGACCTGGAATCCGCGACAATATTCCTCCGGTTCACCGGGCTCCCTGAAACCACCGGGACGGTTCAAGACCTTGAGGAAAGAATCGAAGTCGACTGACAGAGACACGGTTAGCCAGATCCAACCACCATCAAAGAAAGCGGAAGCAGAAACATACAATCACCACCAACAGACTTCTCCAAATCCCCAATTTCCGCCAGAGTAGGGTTCTGGCCGCAGGCGCGCAGGAGGTCGCCGAGTAGATCGCCCGCGACGCGGCCGGTGCCACGGCGGTCGAAGAGGGAGAAGGCTTCCTTGTAGTTGGTAGAGGCCTCGTGATTGTTAGCCATGATGACGGAGTAGAAGTGGATGGGCAAGTAGAAGTGGATGAAGAAGCAGAAAGCGCGGAAGCAGGGATGGAAATGAATGTGAATGTGGTAGTGAATGTAAGTGTGAATGGCAGTCAAGGGAGTAGCAGTCGCAGTCGGATTCGGGTTCCAGATCCAAGGGGGAACCGTGGAAAGGGACGGGATCGGGTAGCGGATGACATCAGGAGAGCGGACAGGGACATTCAGGACTCACCATATTGAGATACTGAGTTGGAGTGAAGGGTTTGGATGTTTGGAGGGTGATGATGGGGACAAATATGCGGATTGTGGATTGTGGATTGTGGATGAGATGAGATGAGATGTTGGGGGGGGGGGAGGTGAGGGATCGGCGGTTGTTAGGGCAACGGAGTATACAGTCTACATATGTCATTTTGGTTAGGCTTAATCCAGTAAGCTGATTTACGGATACTGATTTATTCTAGATATTCAATTAGATATCAAATACATGTACATCATAACTTAACTATAGACAGCTACGACTGCAGCTTGGCGATACAGCTGTCCAGCAGCCGCGCCGCTTCGCCTAATAACTCCCAGCGCGGTTTGGCGAAAGAGTCACGGAGAATCATGAGTAGACCGAGACACCCATTACGACCCGTCAAGGCCTCCAATTCATTCGGTTCACGGGTCTGGCTCATGCGATGGAGAAAGACCTGCATATCCTGCTGTCGGTCGGCCAGGGTGGCGAGCACGGGAGCCGGACGCAGGGGACCGTCCAGGGCGAAGCCGTACGTCCAGACGACCAGAGCGGCGAAATACATCACCCACGGACGATTGAGAAGGTAGTCGTCGCGGGCGGCGTATTCGCCCGGGTGGGTAGCCGGGTCGAGGAAGCAGGTGGAGAGGAATTTGAGGGCGTAGAAGGTGGCATCGCGGGCGGAGGCCTTGGTGGCCCAGCGACTGGTTTTCTCCTTTGCGCTGAGATAGTCGCGGGCGGTGATGGAGCGGCCCATGAGGCGACCTGCGCCGGCGAAGATCTGCAGGTCGACGATGTCGACGTGGGAGGCCATGTGGGCGAGGCCGTGGAGCACGTCGCGCGATTCGGAGGTCGTGGATGGACCGAGGGCGTCGTCGACGTCGCGGCGCCAGTTGTCGAAGGCGCGGAGGAGGGACGAGCGCCATTTATCGCGGCCGCCGAGCGTCTGGCCGACGCCGAGCGAGCTGATTTGGAGGTCGCGCTGATTGAGGTGCCAGCAGACGCTCAGTAGGCCTGCCATGAGGATGATGCGGCCGAAGGCGTTGGTGCGAACGGGTTGGCCGTTGAGCGTGCGTTTCAGTCCGTCCAGGAACATGATCGGTCGGACGCCGTGAGACTGCAGGCTGGACTGGACCCGAGCGACCTCGGCGGCACTGGTGGCCGCCCACAGCGCTTCGTCGCAGGGCAGTGGTAGTCGTAGTTCATGGGCGACCATTTTGGCCGAATGTCCAAACATGGTTGCGTGTGTAGAATCAAGTACAAAGGCGGCAAAGGCCACACGGCGGGTCGCCTCGGCCTTGATCCAAGTCGACCAGGACTCGTCTTCTTCCTTGGTTTCCGGGGTATCAAAGGAAGAACTGCCAATTAACGAACTCCCCCGTCGCATGAGGGTAAGGGTCGTGTCGTGGTGAATGTGAGCGCGCTCGTGTAACGCACGAGTAGAGAACAGCTTCTCATACACCTCCAAGAGCAAAAGCGACTGGAACACCCACAGTCTCGCCGGTGGCCGGAAGTCGGCATCCATAAAGATCTCCCAGCGCAAATGCCACGCAATAAAGCTAGCCAGCTCAGCCGCCGCTTCGGTAGCCGCCTCGCCGTGAATCTTATCCAAAGTCGCCGCGCCTATGGCCATGATCGCCAAGAGTAAAAGCGCAGGGGTGCGATCAGCAGCAAAAGTGGGCTGATGCAAGATGGGCAACTGTGCATGAAAATGATACCAGTACGAACCCACGTACGTCTGCATCATGCGCAGACTGAGGACATGTCGGTCATTATTCAAATCCCCTTCCATCAGCGCATCCTTCCGCTTGGCGCCGGGGGCATACGCCGCCTCGTTGAATCGCGTGGACATCAACTGCAGCAGTTCCTGCCGCTTCTCTTCCGAGATGATGGACGGCGGCGCCCCCGAGTCCAGAATACTGGTCACGCTCATCGGATGTTGCGGGATGACGGTGCAGAAATTATTGTACGAGGGCTCATTCATATAGAACTGATTCTGGACCATGGGCACCATGCCATACCCCAGCGGCGCGAGGGGCTCGCTGAACAACCACGCGGCAAAGTCATCGGCCATGGCAAACGGGGACCGATTATACGTCTCGCCTCCAAAGATGGGATAGGACATGGAATCGAGGTCGATGAGGTTATCGGGCTGGTCCAGCACCGCGGGGAAATCCGAGTACTGCGAGACGGGGATTTCGGTCGTCTCTATCCCCGTTGTGATGGGATAGGTCGTCGCCGGCGGCTTGGGCGTCTCCGAGTCCACAAAGTAATCCGGGGCGGTGATCGCAGGCGAGGACGCGGGCGAGGTCTTGGTCGGATCATTATCGACGTAGTGGTCGCGCTTCTGCAGCTGGGAGCCACTGGTAGTATGTCGTTCCCGATGGCGAATACAGAGGTCCTGTCGCACGAAGGAGCGGTAGCAGTTGGGAAAGTCGCAGCGGTAGATTTGTTTCGGGGCGTGGTTGAGCGCATGGCGACTGAGGTGTTCGGCGCGCGAGTAGCTCTTCCCGCAGCCCTCGAAGGTGCATTCGAACTTGCGATCCGAAAGGACTTTGCGGCTGCGTCGACGACGCTTGGAGGGATGATCTTCGGTCTCCATTCTCAGGCCATGGGAAGCCTCGGGATGCCGATCCACGTGGGAGAAAGAAGAGTCAAACTCGGCAGTCAAAAGGCGTCCGGGGGGGAAGTGCGGAGGTGTCAGTGGGGTTGTGGCGGTTGAGCAATTCGACGGCAGATTTACGCCGGCATTTTCGTCTGGCAGTCGGGCAGTCTGGCAGTACAGCCGAATGGTGGACCTGGAGAGTTCCAGATAAATTAGAGCAGAATGTCACAGTCCATTCCAGTCATCGTTAAACTCGAGGCGCATACTTAACATGTTTTAGCTTAGCTCATCCTCACCTTAAGGAACCCATCGGCTATTCCCGGCTCAATGGCGCAGTGGTCAGTTAACGCATCGCACTTGTAATGCGAAGATCCCGAGTTGAGCCTCTTTTTTTTCTTTTAGCTTGAAACCATACTCCTAGCTGCTTTTTTTATTCAAGATAGGTATGCCTAGACCTTATTTAAAGTGGGCCATGTCAGACAATATCGAGGTTGATGGGTTTATACATTCACAAGTAAGCGCGCATCATGAATAGCTTACTCACTTAGCATAGCGAAAGCTCTTTGTTTTACAATCAGAATACAAACAAGAGCAGTGATTGAAATTCATATATCATCCTGGGTAATTCCCAATGAGCGTAATATATAGAGATGTCCCGATCTCTGCGTAGTCAAGTAGTATCTCGGGCTGTAGTGACTAGGATAGTCTTAGCGTAAGAACGCGATCCTACGCCAAGCCAAAACAGGAACTTACGCTTCTTCTCTTCCATCCCCAGTACTACTCAACCACTTTTCATGGAGTTTTCGTGTTCTCTCATCTCCCTCGAAGGTCGAACTGGGTTGATTCAAAGAGTTCCAAATCATTGGTCCAAACAAAACGTCCCCAGGAGCCAAGTTTACATGCACTCGGATAAACAGCCACTTGATCCGCGGTACTTATTAAGCTCACTTTGCTGACGTACTGTAGCATGAATTAACTGACTGGTTGGCATAGTTATATTTTGTTTCATTGGCTAGCCAATACCAGCCTATTTTCTGTCGAGTAGAAAACGTACTAAATCTCAAGACAAGATGTGAGGATTGGATTGGAAACGGGGGATTAGAGCCAGACACGTCCAATAACCAAATGTGATGCAACATGCTGTTAACATCGGGCAATACATCAACAGATCTCGGCCACTGCATCATCTGCACACTGGGACGCGCTCATGGGTCGGAAATGGCTGCCCTACCCGCTTTCGTGAGGTGGTTCGAAGGAAATGGCCATAAAGTAGAACAGAACACGGGGGAAGCTTGTCGCTGGTAGAAGTACAGTATGCTGGTGGAACTATTGTTAGATACTATGCACCAACCACAGGTGAGCCACGGCCACAACCGACAAGACTCGATTCTGCGGCATTTGTCCCTTTCCCTCTTGTCATTGGGGCTGTGTGAAGTGGAGCTACTCTACTGTGCAGTATGCAGAGGGATGTAGGGGCTGTCTGTCCTCTTACAGCGAATTGTAGTAAAAAGACGGACATCCATACTGTACTTCTATGGTAATTCCAGAGTACGTACAGCACTCCTTGGCCTTCCCGAGGGAGCCAATACCTCGTATGGAGGTTTCGCTGTAACAGTTGATACCAAGTGTCGGGTTGTGGCACTTCCGGTCTGTGGCGTCCCAGTAGGAAAATAAGAAATTGGTTGGCGTTGGTGTGGAAATCCCCGTATAAGTATGACCGTCGAACAACTTCCAAGCTACCTTGCTTTCTACACTGAGCCCACGCTGATATATACCTTCCTGAATCCATTCATTGAGAGTAAACCTCTCCGAACTAACTTATCTTTCCATGCTCATATATCGACTGACACCCTCTACCAAACTTGCTTGCACAAGCCTAACATACAGGGGACAATCAAATGTCCCTATCCACGGAGGCAATCATCGCAATCCTTGCCCTATTTGTCGCCGTCGCGCAACGATTCTACACGATCTGGAAATACGTGTTCAGAAAGAAACCTAGCCGGCAATCAAGTGAGATAGATATATACTCTCCGACTAAATAACGTTAATGTTAACGTTAAGTTAACTTATCAGAACTTACATACTAATTCAATCTATTGTTCGATAGCTACCACCCTCCTCCCTTTATATACAGTCCCAAGCTCCCCACGAACAGATCTCCTGCCTGAAGAACGCCGGCGATACCAATGTGGTATGTCGGATCATACTATCGGGCTTCAAGCAGGCTTCGGTGCTGACTTTAGTCATGTACATAGACACTCCACCGACGAATGGTGTGTTTTATTCGGAGCGGGTGGTTTTTGTTAGGCGATTTGGGTGATGTATAATGTTATAGTATAGGCTTGTGTACGATCAGTTTTCTCATTGGGGTGTTGCGATTTAGCGACGCTGTTTTTATTACCATGTTGTTTGGAGTTGTTTGGAGTTGTTTGGAGTTGTTTGGAGTTGATTGGAGTTGATCTTTTTGTCTATTCAAGAATATGTCATGGAAGGTGCAGAACTTGGTGTTTGTGGAACAATACTTATAGACCCGGATTGGGAATCTATAACTTACAGGATATTTGAATAGATCTACGTTGTTTAATTGATAATCAATTGATTCATTGCTCATGATCAAATAGTGGAGACTGCTTATCGCATCTCTACACATGCCTGTAGACAAGAGTTCTGACTATCTATGAATGCTGTCTACACTAGGTTGGAAATTCCAACCTGACAGGTAGTAACTGATGATGCCAGAAAGTTCTGGCTAAGCCGGCGCACCGGCAGATCATAAATCATATCGAGACCGGTATTCATGCCCTCGCGTGCCACATGGCGCGTCAATAACAAAGGACCAAGACCTGACGTGCAAATGCTCCCGTGGGTTCTTTTGGAGTGCTTGGCACTAGGGGGGAAAAAGTACAGTGAGAATTTCAGCCGCTGAATCGGAACCGGGTGGCCTCCAGGCGGCCGAGTCCATCGCGTGGAGCCACATTGCGGCGGCGGTACGAGTTGGTGAAGTCTGCCATTGTTAGTGTTGTCGTATATAATCGGGGAACTTGAACATACCTTGAAGGAGAGCACGGATCTTGCGGGTCTCTCCGGACTGTACTTTGTCGGAGACGTTCTTGAGGAGTCGTTCGGCCTCGCCCTGCTTCATAGAACCAGCAGGCAACATCTGCAGTGTAGCCTGTAGCCAAGCACCGCTTTCTTGGGGAAGCAGCTCGAACATGGTCATGATCACACCAGAGGCATCAGGGAAGCAGTCGCCGGGGAAGGTGAACATCATGCCGGTCAAAACACGCTGCGACAAGGGCTGACCCTGCGAGGCGATCAAGGCCTTCACAGCCTCACGGACCTCTGGTGGAGTGGAGTAGGGCTGGCCTTCGGGGGTGGTGAATTCAGAAACCATTGGCTTGTCAAATGCAAAGCTGAAGAGATCCCGGTAGTAGTGAAGCGTGGCGATGAGAGGGTCGACTTGTTGAAGGGGTGAGGGCGCTGAGAGCAGCGGAGAAAATGGGGACAGCCAGAGATGAGCTGATGCACTTCTTAGGATAGTAGCGGACGGCATTGGAGGAAAGACGGAAGAAGTCCTCAATCACGTCGGGCAGGTTCTCGGGAGGGAGGTCGTTCAAGATGCGCAGGAAGGCAATTGCCTGCTGCTCATAGAACTGGAAGACGGCATCACTGGTAGCCTGGTCAACGTACTCGGCGCCATCTGAGTATTCACGCACGACCGCGTCAGTGGCCCACAAGAAACAACCCTCACGTGAAGCCTGGAAACCGTTTGCAATGCTCTCCGCCAGGGTAGGCAAGAGAGGAATCATGCCGGTGCGGTAAGAAATAATCATGTAGCGCCAGCAGCGGCACACTCGTTCAAGGATAGGCGTGGAAGACGTAAAGTTCATGACGATCGTGGTCATAATAGGGAGAATCTCAGCACAGTATTTGACGGCGGGGTTTTCTTCTCCTGGTGCAGAAATGGGAGTCACAACTTGCACGAAGATGGTGATCAGCTGTAAGTGGTCAGCCACAGCCCGCTGGCCTTCTTCGTCCTGCGCATTGTTGGCAAGGTTCATAATTCGAGCCATGATCGGGTCACAGAACATCTTGTATGACTCGTAGATCTTATCGTGGGGCTGGACCGAAACCACAGCGGCGACACCCTCAGTCACCTCCTCCTGACTGGCAGGCTTCAGTTTGTCGAGAACCGACTCAAAGAAGGAGTGCAGCTGAGCGATATGACCACCGAGCAGCTTCTGGCAGTCTGTACCCAAGAACTTGAAGGCAAGAGCAGAAGCCTGCACAACTTCTGGAGAGCTGTGGTGGAATCCAGAAATCACATAGTTGAGCTGCGCCTCAAGAGTCTCGGGGTGAAGAGCGGTCCATTCTGTGTAACGGGCCAGCGCCATGATTGCCTGGAACCGGACCTTCTCCTGGTCTGGGATCTGAACGATCAAAGGAATCAATTGTCCAAGAACAGTGCTTTCCTCGGGATCAACCATTCGGCCCATTGCACGGAGGCCAAAGAGGGGAGCCTCCAGTTCTTGCCAGTGAGGAACATGCTCGTTGCTAGCTTGCGAGGCATACTTGCCTACCCACTGCTGGATCAGCTGGTAGATCTTACCGAGGCAGTTGGACACGCCAACCACCGCACAGCAGTCCTTGAGTACATCACCCATGGCATGACGGAATTGACGGAACTTTTCTTCCTGCTCGCGATCTCCGCCGAACAAGTCTGTCTCGCCTTCCTCTGGGACGGGGTACTCCAGGTGCTTGACCATAATATCCACAAGTTGAGAGAAGATATCCTGGAAGCTGATGCGGGCATCGTTGTAGCGCTCCAAGGTGATGTATTGCTTGAGCTCGTACCAGAACATGAAGGTCAGAGACACGGCATCACGCTCCCAATCCCGAGCACAGCATTCGAGCAGTGCCTCCACGAGACCACGGAATTCACCTGGAAGACGCGCAACAAGCACGACCCAAGCTTCACCAGCCTCGGCAAACATTCGTGTTATACCCTTGAATGCCTCCAGATCCTCAGCCTCCGCGGTTTCAGCAATCTTGGGGCGAAGAGCCATCAGTCGCGGGTAGAGCGCTTGAATGACGGGAAGCGATTCATCAACATCCTTGGTGTCGCGGTAAAGCGTGCAAACACAGTCGACACCAGCGTCGAAAGAAACATCGTTGTCGAGGGCCTTGATGATGACGTCCATGAGGGGTGACTCAACGACCTTGGCGGCGGGAATTTCACGAAGCCATGAAGTAATGCAGTCGAGAAGACGGGGATTGGTAGCGGCGGTAGCTATACAAATTAGTTATGCCTTGATCCTCCATTGATGTATAAATTTGAACTCACGCGATGATTGAGAGTACTGAATCATTAGCTGCATGACCTGCTCCGCATTGTCTTCCAGCAATTCCTTGGTTCTTCCGAGCAATTCATCTTCCTGTTGTGAGTGTCAGCTAAGCTTTCATCCACACCACTCTCAAACACATACGCTGAGGTTAATCTTGCGACCCTCGGTGACTTCCTCGGGCAAGATTTTCAAGAACTCCAGCACACAATCTCCAGCACTGCTTCCCAGGGCTGACCCGACGACCGCCAAAACATCCTTCCACGCGATCATCTGAATCGCCAAGCTGGCCAAGCACACGCATAGTTGAGTCTGAATGGGCCGCGGGCCCGACGCAAATGCCACCAACAGGTTCAGGACGGAGTCTCTGAGCGCTACAACCGAATCGGGGGGTAGTTGGTCAAGATCGAAAATAATCTGCGCAATTGTAAGAGAAGACCAGCATCCACCATCGCGGTAAACATACCTTGCCTTTCAGTGTAGTCGCAGCAAACAGTTTGGCCTCGACTGGGACATCGGGGGACTGTAATAAAGCGTGGGTTGTAGTCCAGGCCTCAATCTATTCACAGAGTCAGCGAATCATATCCCTCAATGTAACGGATTAGCATACCGATTTCTGGAACTTCTCTAGGAATTCATGGGCCTGAGTCTTCTCAGCCCTGGACACATTCCCTTGCATTGTCGCGACGGCCGCCAGGACCGGGGCGAATGCCTGCCCGGCTTCCTTGCTGGCCATATTGAAAACAAAGTAAATCAAGGCTCAGCAATGGGGAGAAGGGTATAGAGAGAGGAGGGGAGATGTGACTTGGGGGAGAAGGTGGGATGGTGCCCGTGACGTGTATTGGTATTACGGTAATCAAATCACGGGACGCAGAGCTTTCTCATTTTGGTCCGTTTGGCCTCCAGCTATCATTCAACCCAACACACTCAACATGGCTCCCCGCAAGACGTTGTTAGCGCCCATCCACTTTATTTTCAGTCTGCTGCAGAAGCGCAGCACTGTCTCTGTCTGGCTGTATGAGCAGCTGGCATTCCGGATAGAGGGGAAGGTCCGGGTATGTAGTTTCAACAACGCGCTTGATTTCTCGTGCTAACAGCTACTAGGGATTCGATGAGTTCATGAACCTGGTCATTGATGATGCCGTGGAGGTGCGCCTTGCCACTAAGACAGAGGAAGAGAAGCGCAGGCCATTAGGTATGGATTCTGGATGCCCAAGTCCAGCTACACAGAATACAGCTAACTCCGCAATAGGCCAGATCCTCCTCAAGGGCGACAACGTCTCTCTCATCCAAGCTGTTTGATTTTTCGCACTCTCTTTTCTATTACGATTTGCGCTACACCCTGCGATCCAGATATCCACCATCACCAACCACGATCGCGTCTATCAGCCAGTCATGCTCCACCACGGGAATATCTTCGGAGAGCAATTGATCTTGCAGAGAAAGGGCAACTACCATGGAGTTCAGTCGGGGCTAAAGGGATTGTTTCTGGGACTTCTTACCAAGAAATGGCATTTTTCTGGCCACGTTTGAATATCGCGTTAGAAAATGATCATAATACCCTTTACCATGGCCAAGTCGCCGGAACCCATGGTCAAAGGCCATGCCCGGCATTACAATCAGATCCAGTCCTTGTGTCAAACCATTCTGGCGACCCTCAATTTGTGTAGCTTGGAGTGATGGAATCCCCCACTTGTCCGGCTGTAATGACTCAAACTCGGCCATGGACCGGAGCGCGAACATGTCCATGATGGAGGTCTTGTCTTGGGTGTGAATATATGGGATGTAGACCTGTTTGCCACTTTGTAGAGCATCTCGTACGATCCCTGTAGTAGACAACTCTCCAGTAGGCATGGACAAGTAGACAGCAATACTGTTTGCGTTCTGGTATTCGGCCAGCGAGAGAAATTTGGTCGTGGCGGCTCTAGCTGCGACAAGTTAGTTGGGGGAGAACCACATAGACCAATATCAATCTGACATTGTTGATTTATTGAAGCAGCCGAAAGACTCGAAAGAGTCGATCGCATGCTTTTGCGCAGTTCGCGCTTTGCGGATTGAAGGGCCATGAGGTTGTTGAGGGGGAGTCCATTCCTGATAGTGATAAGGTATGTGGGACCCAAGGCATCAAGGGCATCTAGGGTCAAGGGCGCCTCAAATACTTCTCGATTGCCAACTTTCCTTTGTCAACCCCAAGATGTTTTTTATTTGGAGTCTGTTGGCTACAGCTGCCTGTGCAACTACAGCAAAAGATTTGGTTGGAACATGGACTACCAAATCCCAAGAAGTCATTACTGGTCCAGTATGTGTTTGTATATCATCACAACATATGAGACTAACACGCGCAGGGATTCTATGATCCGCTCAAGGATAAGCTGCTGGAGCCGAATCTGACTGGTGTTTCATATTCATTTGACGACCAAGGTCATTATGAGGAAGCATACTACCGCGCAATCTCAAATCGTGAGTTCTTCGATATAGACTACTGGATAGTACTGACAGCATGGTAGCTGTCGATCCAGCATGCCCGAAAGGAATCATGCAGTGGCAACACGGGTCCTTTGAAATATCTGCCGATGGTTCTTTGACACTGAACCCAATTGCCGTTGATGGTCGTCAACTATTGTCCGATCCCTGTCGGCAAGAGATTGGTCTATACACGCGATACAACACAACCGAGCACTTCAAGGTACTTATTTTACCCTTTCTTTGGCCAGTTCGCTCTAACACTGCATAGTCATTCTCCACAGGAGTCGACAAATATCACAAGATTCAACGACTCGACTTGAAGAAGCCTGATGGCTCGCTGCTTCATCCTATGTTCCTTGCCTATCGGCCACCAAAGATGCTACCCACCACAACATTGAACCCCAAACCAACTGGCTCTAAGGGCAAGCGTGATGTGTCGTCTAAGTCTGGATTCAGTCTCATCAGTCGGGAAGAGTTGATCAACCCAGCACGCTGGTGGTGGTTGGGTGTCCTAATGACCTCGCTTGGAGGCGCGGCAGTTTTCTACTCGTGATTTGTTATACTGGCGTTTCGTTGGCGGTAATGGCGTTGGATTCTTTTGTTTTCTTTTCCTTGTTCAATTGATTGCCTGCTAGGCTATTGTGACACTATTATACAATGGTAAATGTAGATGTAAGCTCAAGAGAGTTCCTTCAGTGCCTTGGTGATCTCAGCACCGACCTCTTTGCGATCGACTGGTTTACCCGTCAAGGGACCATTCTCAGCAAAAAGAGCCTTGAAGAGGACACCCGGGTTCAGCTTTTGACCGGCGGCTTTCAATGTGTTGATCTCATTGACAATCACCTCGGTGATCTCGGCAATCGGCACTGTTTCGACCTGACCAGCGTATTCCTCCAGGACGACCGCTTGCGCATCCTCCTTCTCCTTCAAGTCGAGACGTTCAGCAGCTTCAAACTCCTTGGCCGCATCCTTGGTCGCATTCAAGCGTTTCCGGATGAGCGACAGGAGTTGAACGTCGGTCTGAATGGGGGAAGAGGTTTTGGCGGCATTGTTGGTCTCCGAAATCAAAGCGCGAAGCACATTCAGTCTATCCATAAGCTAAGATCGACCAATTGCAGAAGGATTCCTACCTTGTGGTGTCCTTTGCTCTCATGGCAGTTTTCAAATCAGTCCGCAAGGTAGCCATCAATGGCGGCAAAACCGGAGCAGCAGTAGAGTTCCATCGTATCAGACGAGCGGGAATACGCGCAGAAACTCGAAGTGATTGAAACATGGTTGATTGCAGAGAGGAAATGCGGTCAATAGTCGAAGTTCAAACAAAAGGCGGAAGATCCCAAAATGGTCTGTGCACCGCTCCCAGTGTTGACTCTCTTTTCGCAAAGACCTTGAATGATCCAATCTCTCCTCCCCTTCCTCATCGTCTTCTCTTTACCTGCTGTTTGTCCTTGTGATTAACCATTCGACACATACTGCAGCTCCTCTATCGTTTCTAGCGGGGAATTCTCCCTCGCTTCTGTTCAGTTATCATGGCGTACCCGTCTCTTCCAACAAATCTTCCCCCGGCGACGCCGCAGAAACCCCTTCCTGGGACGTACTTCCAGACTCCAGCGCCAGTGTCTGGAACCCTCCAGGTCAAATCGCCGCAAACACAGACCCCTCAGACCCCTATGCCGAAGCTCCCCCCGGCAGCATCGCAGACCAAAAATCAGACCTTGAGTACCGAGGAACGCGGGGCGCGAACAATCAATAACAGCCTGCAAAGCGAGTCGCGTTACCCAGATCTGGACAGCTATCTATCACGTAAGACTCATAAGTTTTAAAGCTCTTGCAGAACTGACCCAAGACAGAGGGCTCTTCCTCCGAGTACAACATTCCCGCGGCTTCATCATGGGCGCCATTCCAAAAAGTCAAGATGTACGACATCCCCGATCAGATCTTCGATCAATATAACCGCGCACAAGTTTCGACCAGCATGGGTTTGTTTGCCGAGCTAAATCACGCGTGGGTGGCCATTGACAACGCACTGTACATCTGGGATTTCACACACCCAAACCCGACATTGGTGGGATTTGAGGACCAACCGAACAGCATCAATGCTGTCAAACTGACCAAGCCGCGTCCAGGTGTGTTCTTGCCGGCTATTACTCATTTACTTGTGGTTTCAACGACCGCGGACGTGATTTTGCTGGGTATGGGTTATGAGACTACGCCGAGCGGCAGCGGCAGCGTCTCCCTGTTTCAAACTGGCATGGCCGCCTCGGTCCGAGGCCTAGATATCAATGTGTTTGCAGCTTCGCCATCGACTGGCCGCATTTTCTTCGGTGGATCATCTGATAACGATGTGCACGAGGTCACCTACCAACAAGAAGAACGGTGGTTCCAGGGCCGCTGCGGCAGAGTCAACCACACGAGCTCGCGCCTGTCAGCTTTCAGACCATCAATGAGCATCACGAACCTTGCACAAGCTTCATCCGAGTTTGTCACCCAGATGGTAGTTGACGACAGCCGAAACCTTCTTTACACGCTTTCCTCCACATCTACAATTCGCGTCTTCTACATGGGATCGGACGGATCTTTGTCCCTTGCAATCACCAAGCGCACTCAGGATATTTACTCCAACATTGGTCACATCATCACCTCTAATGAAACGCTCAACCCCAGAGTTAGAATTGTTTCAATCAGCCCTGTGCCAAAGACGGAGGCATCGCGGTACCACCTGGTTGCAACAACAGCGACAGGCTATCGCATCTATCTCAGTGCAACCAATTCATACAACTGGGCCCCTTCAGAGACCGGTCCTCCCACGAGCATGCAGGCGCTGCATGTGAAGACACCTCCCATTGACCTTACCCCGGATTCGCCTTTCAAGATTCTATCTGTCCCGAGCCCAATCCACACACTTGCTCCTACTCGCCTTGCCGAACGATTCTCGCCTGGCTACTTCTTTTGTTTCACTAGCAAGGATCCATTGCAAAAGATGGATAGCCTTTTCATCTCGACGCCTGACGCTGGCCGAGTTGCTCGTTCCCAGGAAAATGCGGGCACCGGCAAGACGGCAGAATCAGCTATCATGATCGAACTGGGAGGCAAGGCAGAGGACATTGGACTTGTTTCAGCACCTTCTTCTGTAGCCAATGAGTTGGCTGTTCAATTCGATCACCCGGCTGCTGAGATCGCCATTTTGACTAACGGTGGAGTTCATCTCATCCGCCGACGTCGTCTCGTGGATATCTTTGCCTCATTGGTCCGCAGCGGCGGTAACTCTGACGAAGGCCTGGCGGGCGAGATCAAAAACTTCATTCGAACATACGGCCGGAGTGAGGCGCTGGCGACAGCTCTGGCAGTGGCTTGTGGTCAAGGCGTGGAGATTTCTCCCGACCAGAGACTCACACGTATCAATGACCCTGATGTTCTGGAGTACGCTCGCAAGGTGTTTATTGAATACGGTGGTCGGCCTACTGTGAACGAGAATTCTGTGGCAGATAACTCTACCGCCGCCATTGACGCAGTGCAGCCTTCGCCACGACACACTGGCATCGGGTTGTACATTGCGCGTCTGCTGAGATCCATCTGGAAGAAGGAAATCGCCAAGGTGGGCAAAGGACCCAATGGTGCCCAGACTGTTTCAGCTGGTGTCAGCTCTGCCAAGTTGCAGACTATCCAACATGATCTCAGTGCCCTCCAAACATTCTTCAAGGTCAACAAGACTTTCATCGAGGGACTCAGCGGACCCGAGGCTCTTGCCCGAGTGTCCACCAAGCAAGAAGAGACCGCACTGCAGGCCGAGCACCGCGCTCTCCACTCCCTTGTTCAGCTGGTCACTCACACAATTGAGGGTATCTCATTTGTACTAGTGTTGTTCGATGAGCGAGTCGATGAGATTGTGGCAACTCTACCCGCAGAGTCGAAAGAAAAGTTCCTGCAGCTCACCTTTGAGGAGCTGTTTAGCTCCAGCAAGGGCCATGATGTTGCCAAGGAGCTGGTCAAGGCCATCGTCAACCGCAACATTGCTAAAGGCTCCAACGTCGAGACTGTGGCTGATGCGCTCCGTCGACGATGCGGCAGTTTCTGCAGCGCCGACGACGTCGTGATCTTCAAGGCGCAGGAGCTGCTCAAGCGTGCCCCTGAAGCCGGTGCCAATACGGAACTAGGCCGCAACCTACTCAATGACAGTCTTCATCTCTTCCAGCAAGTGGCCGAGAACCTGCCCATGGATTATCTGGTTTCGGCAGTGGAAAACTTCATTTCCAACCAGTTCTTTGCAGGTAGGTGGATTTATCACTCTGTGTTATCTCGCTGCTAACTATTGACAGGCGCCATTCAACTCGCACTCAACGTGGCCGGCCGCTCTGACAAATCCAACCTTGCCCTTTCCTGGATCATGGACCAACGCCCCGAACAGGTACGCATCCCTTGCGCCCTATCCATATCCCTGTCCCCTGGATCTTGGACTCTGCTCACCCGTAACAAGGACACCCGCAAGGAGTACTTCTACTTCCGCAAGCAATGTTACGACCTCGTATTCAAGATCGTTCTTGCAGTTGATACGCTGGCTGCATCTGATCCCGGATTCATCGATGGCCAGCTTACCACCATTGCCAAACGTCAGAACGAAGCTTATGGTGTGATCTCAGGCTCGACAGATGAGGTCTTTTTGACGAGCTTGTACGACTGGTATCTCGAGCAGGGCTGGAGCGACCGATTGCTGTCGACACAGTCGCCATTTGTGGTCACCTACCTTCAACGCAAGTCGACTGACGATCTTGACCATGCTGATCTCCTGTGGCGATTCTACTCCCAGTCCCAAAAATTCTTCGAGACCGCTCAAGTTCAGTTCGATTTGGCCGTTAGTGCTTTTGCTCTCCCATTGAGCCGCCGAATCGAGTACCTCGGCCAAGCCCGCGCTAACGCTTCCATTTTCACGGCCGATGTCGGACGTCAGGCACGGCAGCGATTGCTGCAGGAGATCTCCAACCTCATTGACGTGGCTAATATTCAAGACGATCTACTGCAACGACTGAAGGATGATGAGCGAATTGATGCGGATCGCAAAGTCGACGTGCTGCGCCAGGTGGATGGACCCGTGATGGACGTTAGTACAGTAAGTGTCTTAACTTCCTCTTCAGTTGAATCACCCCACTCACATGATCAGCTCTTCAATGAATATGCCGACACTGCTGGCTACCACGACATCTGTCTTCAAATCTTCTACTTTGCCGACCACCGAAATTCCGCCGACATCAAGTCAACATGGCAACACTTGATTCAAACGGTGCATGACGCAACCGCCCGCAGTGGCTCACCGCAACCTTACGAAGCGGTGATCGACAAAGTCCGCAGCCTCGGCAGTCGCTTACGCATGTCCGAAACAGTGTTCCCGGTCCGCGACCTGGTTCCTATGCTCGAGCGCTATGCACTCGAATTCCAAAGGAACGTCGGCCCAGCCACCTGGGTCGTAGATCTCTTTTTGGATCTTGGCGTGGCGCACGAGTCTTTGTACGCCGTCCTGGAGACCATGTACTACACTGACGAGGCGCCCTTCCACGGCTCCAACCGGCGGTATATCGCCAGCGATCTCTTGTACCTGCTCACTGGCTGGTTCCAAGAGACCGTGCGCCTGGGCGGTATGGTCTTTGGATCGGATGTGGTTGCGGAGCGGATCTCCGAGATGCTGTTGATCCTGCAACAGGGCAGCAATGTTCTCAGCCAAGACGAGTTGACCACGGCTATTGAGTTGCGGTCGCGGATTGACGACATCCTGCGGTGATATCCTTGCATTGGCTGGTGAGACCTTCGAGGATCCAGATGATTTGACCTAGTTTTATTATTTTTTTTACTGTTTTCGTGGTGTTTCACTTTGTACTCTAGGCGTGGGATGGTAATGAAAAAACGAATCACAAATGTTACTAGAGCAATGCTATACAGCTACAAGCCAGTGGAAAGTGTGCAATCCGAAATGATTCATTAATGTATACCAAACGCCTCTACCATGAACGAGTCTATGCCGCCAACTATTCCGAGAAATCGTCGTACACAGGAATCGGTTTCTCAGCGAGCGCAATGAGACGGAAGATATGACGAGCTTTGGCACCATAGTCATCATCCAAGTAGTCCACAATAGCAGAGTCTGTTTCAAAAAAGCATCAGTATACACACGATGCAGAGCAAGAAGCTTAGTAAACTCACGAATAGTCGACCGATTGTCAAACATCACAATCGTCCTCGGCTGCCACCTCACCCTCGCCTGGAAATCATGCCCAGTCACCAAATGATTCATCAGGAAATCCAACAACCACTTCATCTCAGAATCCTTCAAACCCTGAATCCTCGTAATAAACTCGCCATTCAAAAACAAACACTTCTCCCCCGTCACGGGGTGCACGCGCACCAACGGATGCAGCGTATCAACCGCATCCTTCCTGACGAGCCCGCCAGCCAAACGGGTATGATTAATCATCTTGGCCGAGGTATGCGTCACCTTCAACGAATCTAAGAAACTAGCAAAGGTCGGCGACAGCCGCTTATAGGCCATATCCGTGGCGGCGAAGACAGTATCGCCGCCGACCTCGGGGCCCTGCAGCAGACCCAGCATGACATAGCCCGGCGGCTGGATTTCATAGCTGACATCCTGGTGCCAGAGGGTGGTGGTAGTGCGCTGCTCGAGGAAGCGGGCGATCTCGTCGCGGTTGCCGTCGCGATGGATGATATGGAAGGCCGGGTGGTCGGTCATGGAGCCCGAGACGGGCTGGTAATTGGGCTTGCCGAAGTGGCGCATGAATTCCTCTTGGGCGTCTGGGCCGGCGTCGATGAGATCTTGGTCGGGGAAGGCGAGGACTTTGCGCTCGGCGATGAGGAGGGCTAGCTCATCGCGGCCGGCGGATGTGAGGGTGGAGAGTTGCACGCCTTCGACTACTGAGCCGATGTTGGGCTGGATGTGGGTGACTGTGGCGGATTCATTGAGTAGGTTGCGCTTGTTCTTGTTGGCGCGGAGGGCTGGGTCTTTGTATTCGAATGGTGTGAGGGGGTCGAAGAAGATGGGATCCCAGCTGGGGAGATATTGGGGGTATTTGGTTTTGATCTTGGATTGTTTCTCGACATCCACGTAGGGGATGTTGATGTCGTAGCTGATTGGGGGTTCTTTTTTCTTCTCGCGAAGGGGGGCGGAGGAGGGCATGGTCGTAGTATAGAATAGAGTATAGAATAGGGTATCAGTATATCGAGTGAAGGTATAGAATAGGGTATCAGTATATAGAGTCCAGGTATCGGTATAGCAGGACAAAAGATAGATCTCGCCGGCATCAAGCCTTCTTATATACTCGAACAGCGGTCAAGATGCGATTTAATCTATTTCTCCAACTTAATCCCCCCCTTAGATCAGACCTCAAACACCCTAGTCACAAATCCCGGAGTGATCCGATCCCCTTCTCTGAAATTCACCGCTTCAATTGTCCAGATAAGGCATGCAGTGGGTTCATCTTTGCCTCGGCGTCAAGGGAACGGCACGTTGGAATCAGTTGGTGCGATTGGCTCGGTGTTGCGGTCTGCGTCTTTTCTCTTTCAGACCTATCCCATCTGCCTCCCTATCACTTTCAAGGACCTTGGACTGTGCAGGGATCGGGCCGGGAGATGCATGCTATAGCAAATGTCATCATTCGGGAGAGCAGAGGTCCTTCAGTCAGGCCACCTTGCGAGATAGATGCCCGAAAATTGAGAAGCAGCGGTGTGAGGTTCTACGTAATGGAGGGAGAGTGTGGAGAGGGAGAGGAAGATGGAGAAAGAGAGCGTTAAATCCCCAATAAAGTTAGCATTTAGTGGATATCGAAGGTTCTTTTCGTTTTCTGTACCTTGAACTCGTACTTTTGGCGAGAGAAAAAAAAAGCAAAGAAGCTCAGTTGCATCTTTAGCCTTCGATCTATAAGGTCACCTGACCCGATATCTTGTCTGTTTTCTTTTCCTCGTCTGCATATGATCCAGCAGAGCTGATCATTCACCATTCCACCATGCTGAAGCGCGACACAGCCTATCTGCTGTTCTTCGTAACCCACCTGCCTATCATCTTCCGTATGTCCTATCCCGTGTGTCCAGTGGATACAATCCACATTCTTTGTTCAACACTGACAACCCCTAGTCATTGACACAGTCCCTCTCCAACCCGCCTCCCTCCAAACCAATCTCTCCCACACTCTCCGCCAATTCTACATAGACACCTACCATGACAAATTCTTCGAAGATCCCGCACCCACGTGGTTCACCGTCTTCATCTGGATGGAACTGATATACCATGTTCCCGCGTCCATTTGGGCGGTGCGGGGATTATTGACCGGTATATCTCCCCTATATACACCTCCACATACACAGACAGACCCAATACGATATTCCAATTCCATCCATACCAACCATCCACACCCATCATGATATAATGTGCCCAGATATCACAGGCAAAGCCACTATCAGAGTCAGATAGGCCACTGCAGCCCAACCGACAAATCACAACCCCAGCCCTAAGGAACACCGGAAGAAGAAACATTGGAAGCTGAACACCACCACACCACCACCAAGCAACCAAAGAAAAGAAAACAAAAGAGAAGAAAAGAAAAGAAACTAATTTCAATATCGACCAGACCACCCCCTCCTCCCAGTCCACCTCCTCATATTCGGCATCCAAGCCTTCATCACGTCTCTGACATGTCTAGTGGATGTGTGGAGCTGGACGGACCGGTCCACAGACCAGAAATGGCAGATCACGACTCTTTATGGGCCTTATGTGCTGTTGGGTGAGTTTTATCATTCCTAACTTATAACTTATATTTATAAAGTATATGCTATATGCTATATTCATACACCACGGATGAGGTGGCTGAAGTAAACTGACGAGCTGGTTCTGACTCTTCCCTACTCTGCAGGTGCTTATATGGCGTTGGATATGGTGTTCCGGTTACGGGACAGACTGGTTCAGAAGAAGAAGTCGGAATGATTAACTTGCAGTCAACTGATGCTAATACTGATACTTAACTAATACTAATATTAAGACTAATACTTATACAAATACTACTACGTAGATTTGGGAGCTTACGCTTACACTACTGCCAACACTGAACTTACTGCAGACTGCAGTGTCTTACGGGAGAAAGACCATGTGCTAATCGTACACATCATCAAAGTGCTTGATCGGAAAACCGCTAAAAACAAGTCCCTAAGCCAATCCCCATCCCCCAACGCCCCTGTAAATGAAATGCAGTTTCTCGCTCTAGATCAAGAATCCAATGGCATGGTCCAGGTTCCCATTCGCCATATCAAGCGCCCGAACAGCTTCTTCGCGTGTAAAGCCCAGCTCGGTGATTTTGGCGATGGCATCCTGTGGCCAGCGCGATGCGGGCGGTGCAGGCGCAGGCCGGATATTGATTCGTGGTTGGGAGGACGTAGAAGCAGGGGCAGTGTTGCTTCCCTTTTCACCACCGGCTTGGTGGGTAACAGCTCCAGTTCTAGCTCCGACTTCCGCCCCATCGGCGCCCTTGACCGTAGGCTCGGCTTCGAATTCCTCAGTCAGGTGGCGCGGGATATCAGCCTCGCCGAGGAACGGCACAGCCTGGTCTTGGATGACGAGGGCGCCCCGCTTCAGGTCAATGCAGGCCTGGTGTCGGCGGAGCATGTCCAACCCCAGAAGAAGATCTATCTGCTTGCCCTCCATGACGGTGAATGAACAGGGGAGGAACATCTCGCCGATGCGGATCTGGGCAGAATGCACGCGGCCGAGGATCGGCGCGGTGCCGACTCCCTTGGCGATACCGCCGTAGCGGCGGTCGACTAGCCGCATGATGTTGCAGGCTGTTGCGCATTCGGGTGACATAATCGTCACCTGGGCGCCGGAGTCGACGAATGCGTTTAGACGGTGGCCGTTTACTTCGACGGGGATGTAGAGCATGGTGACACGGCCGAAGGCTAGTAGCTAGTTAGCTTGGTTCCGACTTGGATGGGGGGTGCGGGCAACAGGTAGCGGGGACCCCTATGAGGATACATACACTCGGGATGATGCTCCATGGCGTTGTGCAGGTTCTCTGTGACGGCATTCTGGCGAATGATCTCCTCGATTTCTTTCTGATTATCCGGATTGAAGGGATCGGCATTCAGCATTGCAATGCGAGCTTCTTTCTCGGCCTCCAGCTGGGACTCCCTCTGCTGCTGCCTCATCAGGACCTCGCGGAACCGCTGGGCGTTATCGGCCGCGTCGGACAGCTCGGGGTTCTGCCTACGGACGGCTTCGCGCACGCGGGGATCACCCAGGATGTGTAGGCGGATTGTTTCTGGGTCTTGCACGCCCGGGCGGGGTGGGCCTTGACGGGGAGCAACAGAGCTGGAGGCTGAGGGGGAGGGGCGTGGTTGTTGCGGAGGACGGAGGGTGACGTGGGCGCCTAGCATATCGCCTTCGGTGATGCCCACTTGCTCGAGGGTTTGTGAGGGGTTTCCGAGGAGCTGGTTGTTGTAGACAATTTGTTGGGCTTCTGGGGGGATGGCAGTTTCGCTTTCGACAATAGCTTTCAATAGCTCGATCGTCATGTCACCGCCGACTTCTAGGTTGATGATGTCCGAGTCCGCGTCGGGGCGGATGACGCTTACGGTGATACGCATGATGGGCGAAATAGAGGAAAGGAGGAAGGGATGGAAAGAGGGAGAGAGGAAAAAGAGGAAGAAGAGAGGAAGAAAAGAAAGCGAAAGAAAGTGGTGAAAGGAAATGGAAGTGGATGAGTAAAGCCGAGCTCTCTCTTCTTCCACTCCCTTGCACTTGATCTCCGCCAACACACTACACGCTACAATCAACGCTTCACTTCCATGTCTTGCTAACCTGATCCTACAACACCCGATTATTAGTCCCTTCTTACTGGTGACACATTTACAGCTGTGGTCAAGGTCAAAAGTACCAAGTACCAATGTCTGATCCCGGGCCTCGAACTATGACTTAGCCTGCGCAGTGCTGTTTATTGTTGTTTATTGCTGTCCAGTGCTGTCAAAATGCTGTCAACTTGCCGCGCTGACCTGCATTTCGCCGCACACGCACGGATCGACACAGGTATGATCTTCGCATATGATCCCCCTTCACAGAGCGAGAAGCATCTTCGGTCCGACACGGTACTTCCCGGTAGGTTACCGTTTTCTTCCCTTTCAAGAGGCCTGCAGGAGGGCCTACGTTTCAGATTGGCTGCCGGATCAACCCTAACGGCTGATCAAGCATGGCGCCTGTTCGGGAGGTCAATGGCTTTATGTCTACCCCGCCTAGACTGCTCCAGCCTCATGGGAACCGCATGTGCCCAGTTCTGTGTCGTGGTGCCTGGTGGCTATGGGCTGCGGATATATCGGATGCGCCGAATACGACCGTCTATTTGGAGGAAACTCTATGCATGTCGGAGAGGTGCCGACGACTTGCCGGGTACCTTGAAGTCATACGGTATATCTTGTATGCAATGTACAATGGACAATGGGTAATGGGTAATGTGGAGACTAACTATTCAATGCGCATAGCCGAGGATACATCAGGAACCCCAACTCCACTTACGACCTTGGCATCGATGATCTCATCAATGGGAATCTCACCCAGCCGCGAGACAACATGGTGAAGTGTTGGCAAAGCATCCCAGTCAAGTCCTTGAATCTCGACCTTGGCCTTTTTAGTCCGCTGCAACCGCGTCACCTTGGACGGTACAACCTTGGACTCGGCAGCATGAGGCACGAACACAGGATACTCGGCCTCAGCCTGACCCTTGTATTCCTTGCCGATCTTAGGCATATACCGATAAACCAGGATACCATCGTCAGCCTCGCCCCCAATGGTCCCAGCATCAACAGAAGGATCCTGATCCTCCAACCCTTCCAGCTCGAAATGTCCCCACACAGCCCCCTGCCAACTAGTCTGCAGTCGGTAAGATTCGTCCCGCTGATGTACATCAATGGCAGTATAAAGCTTGGGCATGCCCAACTCTTCCCGCCCAGAAACAATCGGATCAGCCAGATTCTCAAACAGAATAGGCATATAGGTCCCCTTCAGCACTGTCCCATCTTCCTTGGTATACTGCACTCCGTGAATGTAGAGTCCGATATGGCGGTATCCACCGCCACCCAGCCAGTCCATCCCGCCAAGGGTAGTCTGCGAAAAACTCGCTCTGGCCACGGTGCTGGGGGAAATAAAGCTATACCGATCAGATGGGAAGAGGTTCTGCAGAAGAGTTCGGCTAGTTTTGAATTTGATAGAGGCCGTTGTGAACGTTGACTGGGTTGACTTGAGGACCCTGTCACGGCCCATCCAGTCCTGTCGGGGACCAGGCATTGGCCCAAAGACGATAGGTTGACGCCAGTACATGTGTGGGTTCTGAGACCAGAGGTGTTTGCGAAGGACCTGGGCAGAGTGGTCGAATTCATCGTGCCCGTAGATATATGCCACCATGCCCATAGCTAACACAGTCAGATCATACTCCTTTATAAATTCAATAGAAAGACTTACCCGTCTGCGGAGAAATCGGCTTACTCGACTGACGAGTCATCTCCTGAATAGTCGTAGCACGCTCAAATCTCGCCTTCTCATAGACCTTCAACCTCTCCGCCACCTGGCCCTCCTCAACGCCACGAGGAAGCATCACAGCCAAAGAAACAGCATCTTCAATGGCCATAGCACCACCAGACGCCCGATACGGCAAGAAAGGATGAGCAGCATCACCAATAATAGCCAAACGCCCCTCAACCCATGTCGGAAGCGTCTCCATATCCAGCAAAGGCCACAACTTCAGCGTTTGCGGATCAGCCTTCGCCAGCAGCTTACGCACCTGCGGGTTGAAATGCTTATAAACATCCAACAAGGCGTCCTTTCCAATATGCTGGTTATAGGAGTCCCCCGTGGTATCAATAGTCGTATCGGTGTCGGGATGGATACAGACAAAGTTCAACAACTCGTTGTTGGCACAAGGATATATCACCACTCGTCGCTCTTCCGCGTCCCACATATCAACAGCGCCAAAGTCCTGCGCGATACTGCTCGTCTCGGGGTCATCAAGCGCTTCTTGTCGACTCATCAAGAAGCGGAAGGCATTCTTGCCTGAACTGAAGGGCTGGGCTTGGGAGATCTTACTCCGAGTCAGGGAGTGGACGCCATCAGCGCCGATGAGAACGTCGCCTTTGATGGTATCGCCGTTTTCCAGTGTGACTGTTGCGTCGTGGGCGTCGACATCGACGACCTTGCTGGCTGTGTGGAGTAGAGCTGGTTTTCCTTTTCCAGGTGCTTGCGCAAACTGCTTGAGTCCCTCGTGGAAATGTGCGCGATGGACGAGGAGCCAGCGCTGTGGTTGTTAGTCTCGAGAATGGTAATGGAGATGAGTTAGGGCTTACGTGTCTCCACATTGCTGCATGCTGCTTGATGTTTGTAATGTGCACTTCTTCTCCAGCTGGAGTGTATTCTCGCAGCTGCATCAATTAGGTCCATATTCCATTTCGAAGGATCCGTCTGCATCTCACCTGTTCGGCCTCTACAGCACCAAAGTCCTCCGCGTGGATCCCCAGCCGGCGCAAGACACCATTTGCATTAGGCGACAGATGAATCGCAGCTCCCACTTCATTTGCAAAGCGCGAACGTTCAAACAATTCAACTCGATGTCCTTCTTGTCTCAGCGCAATGGCCGCGGTTAGACCGCCGATGCCAGCGCCGACGATCAAGACTCGGAGGCCTTGTGTGTCACTCAGATCCGTGAACGTCATGTTGATAATTCTCTATCTGAGACTCCAGTCGATAAGAAGAGACCAGAGACGTATTTATGGCCTCTACTCCTCCGGGACTTGGTCGTTTGACATCTCTCGGATGCCCATTTCGGCTCCACATCGGGGAGGAGACCGACACGCATTATATGAACCCATACAAATTCACATGGGAAAATTCCCGTTGATTCTACTCTTTCAATTGAAGCTCACCTATTTTAGAAAAATAAAATGCCCAACCAGATCAGAGACATCGCAACCCGCGACGAGACCTCGTTCTCCTACATCTTCGAGCAGAACCTCACCATCCCACTCAAAGATGAATCAGGTCTGGTCCGATGCAACATCTACCGCCCCAAGACCTCAGAGAAGGTCCCTGTCCTCGTCACATACGGACCCTACGGCAAGGATATCAGCTATGAAGCGTAAGTATACCAACCCACCCCACCCCACCCCACAGCCCATAGCCCTAAGCCAAACTGACAAACCCCAGCTTCCACCCGCAAAGCTTCAGCGAAGTAAACCCCGAGCAACGCTCCGAACACTCCGCCTGGGAAACGCCCGACCCGAAATTCTGGACTAGCAACGGCTACGCCGTGGTGCGCGCCGACGAGCGCGGCACCGGCCAGTCAATGGGCAAGCTGGACACAATGTCGCGAGGCACCAGCGAAGCCTTCTTCGACGTCGTCGAGTGGGCCGCCGAGCAGCCCTGGTCCAGCGGAAAGGTCGGGCTCCTTGGGATTAGCTACTACGCTGGGAGCCAGTGGCGGGTGGCAGCGCGGCAACCGAAGGGTCTTGCGTGCATTATTCCCTGGGAGGGGATGTCCGACTACTACCGGGATCGGTGTCGACATGGTGGGATCCTGTCGAACAAGTTCATCAAGTTCTGGTGGGACCGACAGGTCGTCAGTAACCAGTATGGACTTGGGGGACGGGCGGCGAGGAACTGGGGACCGGATAGTATTGAAGGGGATTTGTCTGATGAGGAGCTTGTGCAGAATCGACAGGATCAGACGGTTGATAATGTGGTGAATCGGTTCCGTGATGACTTGTACTATGCCTCTAAGGAGTATAGCATGTCTGATATCAAGGTTCCATTGTTGTCTGTTGCGAACTGGGGTGGAATTCTGCTTCATCTGCGTGGTAATGTGGAGGGGTATACACATGCAGGCTCGGACTTGAAGTATCTCCGCTTCGTCACTGGCCGACATGACTTGCCGTTCTTTTATCCAGAGGAGGTCGAGCTGCAGCGCAGTTTCCTGGACGCTTTCTTGAAGGGCGAGGACCGGGCCGGGTGGGCCGATGGCACTGCGCCGAAGGTTGACATGGTTCTGCGCAAGGGTGATGTTGGACATAACAACGCTGAAGCCGAGAAGACTTTCCCTCGACGTGTGGAGCAGGAGTGGCCGATTGCTCGTACGCAGTATACCAAGTTCCATCTCACCTCGGATAACGGGCTCGTCACATCTCCACCGACGGAATCTCGCTCAACAAAGATCTCATACCAGGCTCTTGGTAGCCTCGAGAACCCCCAGCTGGTCCAATTCACGACCGACGCTTTCGAGGCCGAAACTGAGATCACGGGCCACATTGTCGCCCACTTGAATGTGTCTATGAGTGCAAACCCGGGCTCGGAAACGCCCCAGGACCTGGATCTGTTCGTGACACTGCGCTATATCTCGCCGGCTGGAAACGAAGTCTTCTACACGGGTACAGCAGGTGATCCGGTGCCATTGTGCAAGGGATGGCTGCGCGTTTCGATGAGACAGGTCGATACTGAGAATTCTAAGCACCGGGAGTATCTGCCTCATCGGAATTATTACTCGACTGATGTCAAGCCTGTTATCCCCGGTGAGATTTATCCAGTTGATGTGGAGGTTTGGCCGACAAACGTGGTCGTCGAAAAGGGTGGTAAGATTTTTTTGGAGATTGGAAGTGGTGATACTCAGGGCTCTGGAATTTTCCAGCACAACTCGCCTGAAGACCGGTTAGTACTTCTTTTTCTGTGTTGGGGGGTTTTCGCTAATTTGAGATACAGGTCTGTTGAACGCTTCCAGGGCCAGAATCACATTCACTTTGGTCTTGCGGAGAATTATGTTACGCTGCCTATTATCCCGTCTGCTTAGGTGTTTAGAAGTAAATAGTATAGATTTGAATGAGTACATAGTGAAATTCACAAAGTTCATATTACATCGGATTATTCCTAGTTGGGTAATACTTCTAGGGCTAACGTACTTTCATACAATTTGACAACTTGCTAGCAATTCCATAAGTCATACCACGTCACCCTTAGTTAACCCTTACTAATTACCAACCTATTCAATTACTCAATTCCCTTTTCCTACCTCGGCCCCAATATTGGAGTCCGTTTCCCACATCTATCCGATGTGGACAACAAACCCGATGCGGGGAGACACAGGATATAGATGCAACACAATTCCAAAGCAAGCCTTCATAAATCCCAAATTACTGTCAAAACCTCTATTCACTAGACTTCAATCATGCCCGACTCAACCCCCAAAAACATCCGCCCCCTCAACCGCTTCATAACAACCCACAATGAAAGCGGCAAAGCAATCTTCTCCAACGACATCCCAGAGCTCATGCCCGTGCAAAGAATCACCGACGGCGCCGACTTCAGTCTCGCCTACACCACGGATCACTTCCCCGCGCAACTCAACAACAAAACCGATATCACCGAATACTCGAACTACCTGACCAGCCCACCAGGCATAGTCGTGTCGAGCGGGACAGTCTGCCGGATCGTGGATATGCCACCTGCAGCCCTGAGCCCCATGCACCGCACTGTCTCGCTGGACTATGGTGTCGTTCTCGAAGGCGAGGTTGAGCTCCTGCTTGATTCTGGTGAAGTGCGGCTGTTGAAGCGTGGGGATGTTGCTGTGCAGCGGGGGACGAACCATGCTTGGAGGAATGTGACTCCTGATGCTGTTGATGGGGATGGGGTGTTGACGCCTCAGTGGGCGAGGATGTTGTATGTTCTTCAGCCTTCGAAGGAGATTGAGGTTGATGGGCGGCGGTTGGGGGAGGTTGTTGATGGTATTGGTGTCCGGGCTAGTACTTAGATTGTATGTACGTATGCATTGGACTTGATGATTTCTTGGAAGTGTGAGAATAAGAAAGTGAATCGTTTGACTGTCGGACAAACGAATCAAATGGCTTGTTATAAACGACGTTTTACACTTTTCCTTTCGTTCTTCTTCTGTCAACTTTCTACTTTGATGGAATGGAGATTATGCACTTCGAGCTTGACATGAAGACTTCCTCATTCAGGAGGACTATGGTGTGTTTCTATGCTGAATTCTCATATTGATGAGTGGACTACTAGCCGCATCGCTTTGCCTACTCCCTTTCGAGAGGTGTTTGTATTGTGCTTTTCAGAGTACTTACGGGCGGGCATCTCAACATTGATCCGGTCTTGATTCGCTCAACATGACTTAACTTACTTGGTTTACATATGTAGAAGTGCGCCGTTGACGCTGACGTTGACGTTGGCGTTTGTGTTCTAACATGATTCGTGTCCACGACGTAACAAAAAACCTGAAGAACGTCTGTCACACTCTTCCTTTCATAATTTGCTTATAAATTGAAAACAAGTGCTCGAAATGAAAAGTTGTACTCCAATATGAACTCCAATTATCAACGATATCACACCCAGTCTACCACTCCCCACCAACATCATAATGGAAGATCTTGTCATTAATCTTTCCTCCCGTAAACCTCCAAAGTCGAGAGACAGCCTATGCATAGTCAGTGTCAAATACAGATATCTCATATGAGAGAACCAACAGCATTCAGCCACACGCCATGCAGCATAACCTGGATAAACACCATCTCCCCCGGATTGTTACCACCCGGCCTCTCTTCGAAAGACCGAGTGCGGTTTGTGGGACGATACGCTGGCATGCGACGGTGATGTGTTGGCCAGTCTGCCGGCTGCAAAGGGCTTATGGGAGAGGCATGTTCGTCCTGGGTGTCATGTCCGCTGTGGTGGACTTCGTAGTCCGCGAGGATGGAGAGGGTCGGGGTGGTGGTAGTGGTGGTAGTGGTGGTAGTAGTGGTCGCCATAATGAGAGAAGACAAGCAAGAATGCAGAAAACGGAAGCAGACCTGGACTACGGGGAATCCAGAGTCCGACATGAAGTATACAAAAGGGAGAAAGTCCCGAACCCCAGGTTTAGGGCTTACTCCCCCACATGTCCACATCCCGACTCGCAGTGTCAGCTTATGTCCGACTCCGACAGTCCATTTATTCTATATTCAGTCCCGGAGATCTCATTATTCCACCCTGTAATCCCTCCAAAATGGATCTCTCTCGTATTTTGGCCGCAAATATCGACGGCCGCACCCAAAACACCCGCTATCGCCAAAGCCAGTTCCAAAAACTCCAATCAAGCTTGGTCAAGGACATTGCCTCAATCCAAGATGCAATCATCTCAGACTCAGGACACACGCGGACTGAAGTTCGCGCCGAGATTGTGCTCGCGCTGCAAGAGATCAAGACCCATTATTCCAGCTTGAGTCTGGAGAAGGATCTCGAAGCCGAGTATCGCATTGCGCGCGGCAAAGACAGCGCAGATGCGAGGCGTGGAAATGGAATTGTGTATATCATACCGAATACGCACACATTTTTCTATTCCGTGATCTCGGCGTTGAGCGCTGCTCTCGTCGCTGGTAACTGTATCGTCCTCGAGGTTTGTTTCTCTTCCCTTTCCATGGAAACTCAAATACTAACTATGCCACCCAGCTCCTTCAAACAACAAGCGCGCTGCCAGTTCTTCTACGCAAGATTCTTTCAGAAGCACTAGATCACGACACATTCGCCATCACAACCCAACGACCAGACTCCTCATTCCTGAACAAGGCCTTGATAGTCGACCAAACCGGGGAGTCTAGCACCAGCAGTGGACTGGTCTCACCTGCCACCGGAAGAACGGTGGCTATCGTCGATCGCACAGCCAATATCGCCGAAGCTGCACAGGCATTGGTAGCAGCGCGGTTCGCGCTCGGCGGTCGGTCACCATATAGTCCGGATTTAGTGCTCGTGCACGAATTCGCCATGAAGCCTTTTGTCGAGGCTGTTATCCAACATGCGTCAAAGTATCTTGCCGGCGAGAATGGCGAGGCGAGGTCTCTATCGAGAAAATCTGGCTTGTTGGATTCTATCCAGAAGGATAGACGGGCCAGGGTTCTTGTTTCTGGGAGTAATTGGGGAGTTGTTGAGGTTCAGGATCGGTGAGCTTACTTCATTCCGTCTAGATATTGAATTGCTCTAACGTTGATTTCATAGGAAATCACCCCTTCTGCAGAAGAAGATTGCAGAGAAAGTGTTACTTGTTCATCCATTCTCTAGCTTGGATGATGCTATTGACACCAACTGGTATGTGTCAATCCAATCGATGCATAGAGTTATTAAGCAAGAAGCATCTAACATGTCAATAGTAATCAAACCCTAGCAGCGACTTATGCCTTCGCAGCTCCTTCGTCAGCCAAATACCTGACCCAATTCATCGACGCTCATGTCTCCTGGGTCAACCATATTCCCAGCCACATGCTCAGTCAGTACCTCGTCAAACCAATCACCTAAGACAAACAAAATACTAATCCAGACACAGTTGGTCCAGCTATCCCCATGAACACAATCCCATCTTCTGAAACCCGCTACGCAAAGTCTCAATTCGAGCTTCCACGTCCACAACTGATCGTCCCAGCTCCAAGCTCGGTCCAGATTATCCTCGGTAATGATACTGCCAAGGCAGATACATTGTGGCGGGAAGCTATTGCACCGCTGGCATCGACAAAGCAGAAACCGGGCTTTAAGATTGGGTTCTTCGAACAGGGTATTATTACTGGTGGTCTTATTACGCTTGCTTCACTGGTCGCTACTGTTTCTACGTTGGGATATTATACTTGGACTTATATGCGGAGAATTTAATAAGCTCCCAGAGTGAATGGAATGTATTCTTATTTTTAGTCTCTTTCTTTGCTGGACGGGAGTATTTCTATCAAAGCTCTGTCGAGTATGATATGTTGCATATCTCTTTACTGTGCTTATATAGTGTGTAGCCATTGAACACCATACTACACAGCATCCACGATCAATTCTAAGAGTCAAGTATAATAATATCCTCTTCAAACCCCCAAAAGTCTACTCAAACGCGCTAAGCCTGCAAGCCAAAGCACGTGTGATAAGCCTCGCCTCCAGGGATCTCCCAACATCAAACACCAAACCCCAATATCCTCATGAATCCCACAATCCAATCCCCAAACAATCCCCACTAAAATGGCAGAGGCCCTAGGGACAGCAGCAGCAATAATCCAACTAGCCGGCGTCGGCCTAACACTAGCCAAAGTCCTGTACAAAGTCAGCGACGAGATAACCTCTTCCGCAAAACAAGTCAAAGAGCTAGCATCATACGTACACTCGACCTCAATCGTACTAGAAGAAGTCGGCAAAGTCTTCGAAGAAGAAGGCACCGCCCCCCAACCCATTATATCCCCCAACGCCATCACCACGGCCAACGAAGTAATCGCCCGATGCCAGACAATCTTCGAGAAACTGCATCAAGTCGCCGAAGATGCACGCACGAATACCTTCGGCGCGATAATTCTGGTTTTGACGAGCTCGCGTCGCCTGAGACTGCAAACGGGGCTGGAGAGGTCGAAGTCTGATCTGCAGCTTATGATGCAGATTATCATCTATGCGCGATTGAAGCTTCAAGTTTGGTAAGAAAGGTCTGGTGGAGGGGGTTTTGTGTTTGGATGGTGTTTGACTTGGTTTTAGGGAGCCGGCTAATGAGACGATTATGAAGAAAGCTTTGCAGCAGTTGATTAATGAGAACAAGGCAATTCGGGAGAAATATTCTCAGACTCAAGAGCTGGAGGGGCAGGATGGTAGTATAAGCCCCCGGGAAGAGTCTCTTGCGTGTGTATAGGATGAGTTTCACCCAATGACGCGGGTTAGGGCTAACGAGGTTGTTGATAGACATGATGATTCAATACATGCGACGATGGCGGTTCAGGATATCCCCAGCAGCTACGCAACACAAAGCACCACTGGCATTGCCTCTGTCTCTGCCTCTGCTACTGCCACCAACAAGCCAACACAATATCATCAACAATCACCACCTTCACCGCAACCAGACCTAGACCCAAACCTAAACCCAATCGAAAAGACATCACCCCAAGACAGTCAACACGCACCATCCAACAGACAGCAAGATCCGCATAAAGACGACATATCCTACTGGTCAGCATTATACCTAGTCTGCTGTCCATGCAAGCGCAAGAAACTCCGACGTTCAGCCCCAAAACTACCGCAAGAACAATACAACTGGCCAGTTTACCCCGGTAAGGCGCCAACGAGCCCCTATCCTGTCGATTACTGGCGCCCAACCTCGCCAACGGCCTATAGCCGAGCTCAAGCGCAGCATCATGCGCAATTGTACCCGATGGAGACCAGGGCATCTGGCCCGGTTTATGAGCTACCGGCTTTGAACTTGGATCATTCTGCCCAGCATGGGAATCCCGTCTACGGAGGACTGGAGGTTAATTACCACCTGGGCATCGAAGTAAGGGATGTGGATGCGTTGGTTGGGGATTGGACGACAATATATGAGATACGAGGAACGGATTAGCGCACGTCTGACTGGAATTTAGCCCGTAAGGGCTGATTGGGTGATCTGCGTGAGTGGTATGCATAGATAATGCCCAGATTTTCTATTGGTTTAGGAAGTACCCGGAAGAGTGGCCAGATAGTATACTGTAGTTCATATCCCATGTCATTCGTTATATCGTTTTGCTCGTAAAAAACCAAGTTGTCTGAGCTGTAGCAAAAGCAAAGGTATCATCGCTCAAAGATCAAATCACCACTCCCTGATAACTTAGCGGGGAGCAATACTCGGGAAAAAGCGTGGACCGGCATATCCATGCGTGATTATGCTTTCTATATCGATGTTCGCATCGGGTCGTGGGCTCCATAGCTTGATCAGAATGAAACGACCGGATCTGGCATTATTAGTAAATACGGATATCCTCTCGCGGATGATACTTACGGAGGTGGATCGAATTTGATAGTGACCATGCTCTTCTGACGCTCGATGAAGAACCGCGCATGTGGTTTCAAGACCTCTGGGGGATTGGGTTCGGGTGGTGGGTTTGGATTCACAAGAGATGGGTTTCGACGCCTGTTCTGCTCAGCATTGCGGGCGAGAAAGATTTGTCGCCGATTGAGTTGGATGCGTCGGCGGATAGTTCTGGAAGTATCGTCGTCGTCATCGGTCGGTGTTTCGTCGGTTTCTGATAACAGGTCTTCCATGTGGTCACCATGGTCACTTTGGTCACCTTGAGTTCTTTCGAATTCTGTAAAAGAGGCAGTGTCGTCATTTTCAGGATGACTGTTTTCCTCGTTGTTCTCGTCGTATTCCGTGGTAATGCGGAAGTGTCTTTGTGGGTCGTCTGTTGTATCAGAAGCTGAACTGTCTGAATTGGGTCCCATGAGAACTGTGCGTTCGAGGTTTTGCAGCGGTGATCTGTATGCATTCAAGTACTCCTGAGATGGCTGAAGACCATGCCGACGGTGTCGGCGGCGCCACTGGGGACTAGAATATTGAATTTGATACCGTGCAGTGCGATCGAGTAATTCGTCAGATGACATGGAGACAAATACCATGCCCTCTTGAATTCTAGTCCTGTTAGCCATGTTTTCAACAAGCGGCCAGGGGTACATACGGGGCATCGAAACCGCATTGAGGTGCTTTGATAACAATCTTCTTTAAACAGAAAGGTGCCTCGCCTCGGTGACGTAGTATCAGATTGCAGCGGTTTTCTTTGGTCGAATAGACGTCTTGGTTGTTTTCCAAGACGTTGTCCGGGCGCGAGCCATCCGGATCATAGTTTCCTCCGTCACAGCTCGCAATCTCCATTTGCAACATTCCGGGATAGACCTGTCCATATCGCCCGTAATTAAACCCTTGGTATTCCTCTCGGTTATCATCGGCATCCAGCTTCCGGCGCTTCATGCGTCCCTGGCCATCACGGCCCGACGAGCCTGGTGGCATGAGGGATGGGGATCTGGATGAGGACCCGTCGGGGCTGGGAGATATATATGCTGGTCGGGGAAGTCGACGGCGACCAGACTGAGCGCCCGGAGACAGAGGGCTCAGAGATCGTTCCGAGTTAATCTGGTCCGCCCAAATACTTCGAATCAGGTCGGGTGGGCTAGCTATCTCGGACTGGAGTTGTTGAATTTGGCGATCCACAGCAGTCCGAGCTTGTTCAAAGTCGGTTCGATCTCGTACTCGGTCGAGCGTATGTTCAAGAATCTCTTGATTCAGCGTTAATAAGGCACGGGTCGCGCTGAAAGTATTGTAAGCACCGGAGCGGTTTCGTTCGTTGACTAGATTGCGGAGATGCTGGAGACGGGGTACGTCAGGGCCTCGTTCGGTGGAGCCAGTTGGACGAGAGAAGCGGGACGAAGAAGGCGAAGCAGGAGGAAAGTCGTAGTTTCCTGACTGGAGGGAGGTGTGAGACATGGGAAGTGGAGGGTGGAGGGTGGAGGGTGGTGGAGGGCAGGTTAGCCAGACGTACCATCATTCGGGTTACCACTGATGATCCTGTGTCAAGAGGATACCGAATATTTGGGCATCAACCCGAGGAGAAGTGAGTATCCAAGAAATAATTCCAAGACTGAAATCCACAAGTCCGAAAGTCCAAAGAGAGTTGATAACACACGTGATGGGATTAGATCATCGCTTTGCATTCAAGTTTCCCGTGCTATTCCCGTGCTTCTTCACTTCCACTTTCCTTGCAATGATTTCCCTTCAGTCATTCTGTTGTATGATATATGTGTCCACTAATATACCAACATTTTGATTCTTTTTTAATCCTTGGCTTTACTCTCTCAGGTGGGACTTCGGGCGCATCAGGACCCCGCAAAATTACCTTAGCGGTGCTATCTTGGGCTTGATTATAGCTGGAATCTGGCAACCCTAGAAGATATACATAATGCACACTATTGACAAGAAGGTGTCTTATGTAACATACTCAGGCTGCCTAGGTGTTGTTGTAATAAAGAGTTCTCTAGCATCATAACCCCTATTGCACAGTAGAATTGAGGGCAGAACTATGAGATGTTGAAATTCAGTAATTCAATCTACTCTGGAGGAGCCTGGCTTGCAAAGACATCCTTTCTAGTCACTGGAAATGAGAGCAAGTGTTTCTGCGGCGAAAGTCATATCTACTCAAATCATATAACAGTTCTAACGTTCTACTTACGCTCATTACCTATTCTCTCAATAAATGGTCCTTCAGATACTGTACCCTGCATCTGATATATATATTGTATCCCAGTTTCAAATGCATTATATACAGACACTCCCATCTGCGTCGAAACCGCAACACCTCTTTTGTATACTTCCAGTCCCCACGCCCCCACCTTTAGCTCCCGGATCACGTGTCAGCCTCCCTTCACAGATCGAACATCTTTGACCTGCGCGTTTTCATACTCGTTCTTTATTTCGGTCTGATTCCACTTTCCTTACTTTCTCCCCAATTTGGTCCCTTCAACTACCTCGAGCTGAATTGTGGGGCAACTTTCAAGCCAAGCTTCCCGCGAACTTAGCTCTTGTCATTGCCGAACTCCCCGAACATGGCGGAACAGGACAAGATGCAGTCGATTAGCGCTGGTAGGCATGCCACTGAGATTTGATGATATCAGCTCACACCTTTGCCAGATGAAATCGCTCTCTATGACCGACAGATTCGACTCTGGGGAGTCCACGCCCAAGAAAAGTGAGCAACTCAGTCGCAACACGACGACAAATCTAACGGAACCAGGATCCGCTCGGCAAACATCCTCTTGATCTCCGTCAGAGCCCTGGCCAATGAAGTAGCCAAGAACCTCGTTCTAGCAGGCATCGGTTCTCTCACAATCCTCGACCACCAGGATGTCACAGAGGAGGACCTGGGTGCGCAGTTCTTCATCGCAGAGGCGCAAACCGAGGGAGATGTGATTGGGAAAAACGTGAGTCGACTGCGCATAGCGACATCCAAAACACACAGAAACTAAAACCCCAATTACCAGCGTGCGCAAGCCGCAGGCCCCCAGATCCACAAGATGAACCCGCGCGTCAAGCTGAACATCGACACCGACGACGTCAAGACGAAACAACCCGAGTTCTTCGCGCAATTCGATCTCACAATCGCCACCGAGCAAGACTTCCTCACAAACACCACCATCAACGCCGCCTGCCGCCTAGCCAACCGACCATTCTACGCGGCCGGACTACACGGATTCTACGGCTACGCCTTCGCCGACCTAATCAGCCATGACTTCGTGATCGAGCGCGCCAAATCCAACATGAATACCACCGCCCAGGAAACTCCAACCCGCAGCATAATCTCCACGAGCACCAAGAAAGAAAACGACAAGGCCATCGAGCTCGTCACCAAGCGCGAAATCTACTCCCCTCTCATCCTCGCAAACACATCCCCCCTCCCAGAAGAATACACCCGTCTCCCCCGTCGCCGCAAGCAAGTAACCCCGCTCCTCAGCTGTCTGCGCGCACTGTGGGAATTCGAGAAAATGCTCGGCCGCCGCCCGACCTTCACGCACGAGGACCTAGAGCTCTTCACCAAGCTGTCCCGCGACCGACACCAGGAACTGAAGCTCGAGCCCGCCACGCTCGAAGCCGGGTTCTTGCGCACGTTCCTTCAGAATCTGGGCAGCGAGTTGAGTCCCGTTGCGGCGTTCCTTGGTGGAGCCCTAGCGCAGGACGTCATCAATGTTCTGTCGGGTAGGGAGCAGCCGCTGCAGAATATGTTGCTGTTCGATGGCGAGAGGTCCGTCGGTCCTATTTATCCGCTGCATCCGTTCTTCCCTGATCTTGGCGCTGGTGCTGAGATGGCTGCTGTGCCGCCTGTTCGGAACCCTGTCACTGTTCCTGTTGATGGGACTGTCCCGCAGCTTTAATAGTAGAGGGATGATTGTGAGATGGTGATGCGATGGATAAACATGCGGCCTCTGTTACAGCATAGTCGTGATGTCCTTTTCATTCAGTTTCATTCTGCGCTCAGGCGTGGCCTGCTTTTTTTTCATGTACAATAGACGATCAGTGAACGTTAACGTTAAGCTAACTGAATGCATACCTTATGGTAGACCTGCTTGGTCAAACCATCATTTTTATCATCAAAGGGAATCTTCAAGTTCTTTAAAATTTAGAAAGATATGTCCAATTGTGTCATACAAGACTATTTATTAGCAAGCCTACAGCCAAAAGACCATGAAACCCATATAACCAACGCCACCAACAATCCAAAATGCAGACGAACTATCCTTTACCAAGTTCTTTTATCAAGTGCAGTCAGACAAAACAGATCAATGACGAGACTCATCCTTTCCAAGCTCCTCGTCACTGTTCTTTCTCGGTCCCATGGAAGGACCACCCTCTTCGTCATCGGAAATCAACCCATGGAGCTCGAAAGCCTCGGCATCCTGGATCTGCTGCGAGGTAGAGCGTGCATGACCGTTTGCATGGCCGTTCGCGTTGCCGTTAAGAGTGGAGTACTTGGGACCATCTTGGTCTGTTGACTCGGAGTTTGGCCAGGCGTGCACGGCGTAGATGTGTAGGAGGATGTTGACGACTAGGAATTGGTTAGTGGGGTTTGATCAAGGGGGCGTTGGTTGGGGGTTTGGATGACTTACAGAGGAAGCAGATGAATGCGACGCTGTAGAGGATCAGGATGTAGGAGACGTGGGTGACGCCTGCGTTGTGGAGGAATGCCATTTGTTCCTCTGTGGCGCCCATGAAGAGGAATCCGGAGGCGTAGAGAAGCTGCGATGGATCAGCTATGTTCATGAGCACGTTAGTGGATGGGGGCACATACGAAGGGAGTGAGGTATTGGAAGCTGTTCGGCTCAGAGAGCGCAGGCTTATCCCTCAACACGAAAGAGATCTCAATGACGCGGGTAAGACCCGCGGCCATGAGAGTATATCCGAACATGGAGTGGATCATCGTACTGATCATTAACTCTTGGGGATGGGCAGACATGGCATACCCAGTCATCATAATGACAATGGCGGGAATAAGGTTGCGCTTAGGACGGCCGTTGCGGCTGCGGCTCAACCACATGCCCAGCAGACCGGCACACCACCAGACAATACCCATGGTAGTATGCTGGAGGTCGTTGTGCACCCAGGCAGTACCCCAGCGGTGCTCGGTGAAAGTATTGACACAGCCCCAGGCAGCGATGACCAAGGAATCGAAGAACTCCTGGCTGCGACCCGTCTTGCGCAGCCAGTACTGGCCGACGAGCAAGAGAATAGTCAGGCAAACACCATACCCGATGAACGCACTGCCCATGATGAAATGAGCGAGACACTGACCGAGGTGATCACCACGACAGAAGCCCATGGCCGCAATACCACCGAAGAGCATCTGCGCCCAGCTGACAACAGGCATGATCTTGCCCACAATCCCATGTGCCAAAACGAAGATCCACCGAATCCGACCTTGTCCCGCCTTCTCCAGATGCAGCTTCAAGTACGCGCCCAGAACAACCTGCACGACCAACATGAGCATCAACCAATTCGCGAACGAAGCGTGCAGGTTCTTGTCGAACTGGCGGCCCTTGTGCGCATGGCCAAGGAAATAAGCCAGAACAGCAACGACAGTGCCAACGACCTGGACGGGGACGTGCCAGCGAGAACGAACGATCTAAAGAGGGTGTGTCAGAGCATGATCCGATGAGAGGTGATGCGGCCAAGCATAACAGCATCAACAGGATAGAATAGAAACAACATACCCCAAGAACCATACCCAGTGGGAAGACAATTCCAAACGCGAATCCCATCAGGAGCATATGCGTCCATAGAATTCCATCCTGCAACATTGACGTTAGTGGTGTTCTCGAGTACGCGTGGCGGGAACGTGAACACGAAATGAACATACGATGGGATCCTTGGAGACCGACTCGCCCTCCGGAACAGCCTCATGGCCACCGTGGGCGACAGCAGCGCCGAATAATAGGAACAACGTCCACATAGACCGACTAAATGTATTCATAGTGAGGTTGGGGGGAGGTGTGAAAGGGAGAAAAGAACAGATGCGGGTATCAGGACCCAATCCGGAGCATCCGATTATGCGGGATCGGCCGCGTTGACAGGGGTTATAAATATAAAATAGAAGCCCGTGAATGGCTTGGATGTAAATGAATAAAGGAAAGTCGAGGACGAGCGTGAAGATCACTGAAGAAGTTCACCTTGAATAGAACCGTTTCCAGGTCGGGGATTATTCAGCATGGTATGATTGGCCCTGCACGTGGAAGTAGATGCAACACTTCGACAGACACAACAGACACAATCGACTCAACCGACTCCGATCATGACATCCGAAAAGGAAAAGAATCTAGTTTGTCGCACTCAATCTCGAAAGAGGACTCGACTAAAAAAGTACAGGCCTCTCTCCGCGAGTCCATCGCCAACCTGGAAGCACAGCAGGCACAGCTGGAATCGGAAATAGCGTCGACAACGTCCCAACTCAAGTATGTTCTTTTGATTCCATTGGATACTATGGCTCCAGCTATGAATTCTGAGCCATGTTCTATTTTCCCCTTCACGGAGATGTAAGAGTGGAAACAATTCTGAACTTCCGTCCTTTACTCTTAGAAATGATCCCTCGGCAACAGTCAAACGCCATATTCGTCTCTTGCATGACTACAATGAAATCAAGGATGTCGGACAGGGATTGATGGGACTGATTGCTGAGGAACGGGGTGTGCGACAGGTTGAAGTTGAGAGGGAGTTTGGGGTTGAGGAGAAGGATTGATTTTGCTTCATACTTTTTATCATGGTTCTTTGGTTTTAGGGTGTTCGGGGTCAGGAATCAGGACTCAGGAGTAGGCTTAAATTTCTCGAACGGAGAGATCATTGTGTTCATCTATTCTTAACCGAGATGAGAATTGCACTTTTTCATCTCTCTCTTTTGCCAAGTAAAATACCACCAGCGCCCGTGGATCTATTGCGAGAGAGATAACATAGGAAGACAACGGAGAACAGAAGATGTAGGGGTGAGATCAAGGTGGAGAGGGGGAGGTAGGATAGATGGAATGGAGATGTTCGGCGAGAGAAGAGATGAGAGGGTAATCGAGTAGTAAAGAAGTATTATGATGTTGAAAAAAGCGAAATGGTAGGGGGTATGAGTACAATAAATCACAATCAAATCGAATGCAAATCAGTGAGTCTTGCCGAGAGACTGGAGGTTAACCAACTCGAAGTAACGACCCTTATTACGGAGCAGTTCAGTGTGAGTACCACTCTCGACGATCTTGCCCTGATCAAAGACATAAATGATATCGGCCTTTTGAATCGTGCTGAGACGGTGAGCCACAGCGATAGTGGTACGACCACGAGCAGCAGCATCGAGGGCAGCCTGGACGACCTTCTCGGATTCGGAATCCAGAGCGGAAGTGGCTTCGTCGAGGAGGAGGATCTTGGGGTTGCGGAGGAGAGCGCGGGCGATGGCCACACGCTGCTTTTGACCGCCTGACAACATGCCACCCTTGGAGCCGACGACTGTTTCGAAGCCCTCACTGGAATTGGGTTAGTATTTCGTGGGAATGAGATGGGATGGCAACTTACGGAAGAGACATGATGAAGTCGTAGATGTTGGCGTCCTTGCAGGCTTGAACGAGCTCCTCTTCGGAGGGGTCCTCGTTGGGACGGCCGAGGAAGATGTTTTCCTTGATGGTACCTTGGTAAAGAGTGGGCTCTTGGCTGACCAGAGCGAGGTGGCTACGGTAGGAGTTGACGTTGAGGTCGGCGATGTTCTTGCCGTCGACGTAGACGCCACCGGAGAGGGCATCGTAGAAACGCTCAAGAAGCGCAATAGTGGTAGATTTGCCGCAACCACTGGGTCCGACCAGGGCGATGTACTGACCGGGCTTGACGCTGAGGTTGAGACCACGGAGCACAGGCTGCTCGGGACGGGTAGGGTAGCGGAAGTGAACATCCTTGAACTCGATAGTGCCCTCGCAATGCTCCAAATTCTCTCCTTCCTCGGACCAAGTGTCGATAGTCGGGCGGCGCTCAAACAACTTCAGGAACTCGGCAGCGGCGTTCTTAGCCTTGCCCATATCCGGACTGAATGAGAACACGGTACCGGCGGATTGAGCACCAAACAGGATCTCACTGAAGCAGACGAAGAATGTGAAGATGCCGTACTCGTGCTTGCCGAGCAAGCTTCCACCATACCAGAAGCCGAGGGCAACACAGAAGAAGACCAGGGCCTGGGACGCGGCGTACAAGGACGAGGATTTGATAACGGAGATCAAACTCGCACGGCCCTGTAACTCGAGCTGACCATGGTAAATCGACCACACATCATTTTCCCGGGTAAGAGAAGCGACGGTGCGGATAGCGGAAGTGGCCTCGCAAGCATAACTGGCAGATCCCTCGTAGGCAGCCTTAGACCGAGCCTGGAAGGCAGCGAGCATGTAGAACCGGTAGAAACCACAGCCCAAGAGAACAGGAACGACAGAGATACAGACAAGAGCAAGCTTCCAGCCAAAAGACAGCGAGATCACAATGGCAGCGATAAGAGTAGTGGATGTCATCAGAATTGTTCCGAGGGTCTGACCACTGATACCAGACAAGTGCTTGGTCTCGGTGGACAAGAAAGAAGTCAAAGCACCAGTGCTGTTCTCCTCGCGATCGAAGAAGTTGATATCCTGGCGGAGCATAGTGCGGAAAGCCTGGCTACGAGCCTTGCGAATCAATCGCTCGGAGCTAAAAGCAAAGGCAATACCGTGGATCGAGAAAGTGATAAACTGGACAATACCCACGACCAAGAACATCAGTGACCAGAAGTTGGCATCAGAGCGCAACTTGGCATACTGAGATGGGGGATAAGACAAGGCGCTGATGGCCTTGGCGTACAAGAAAGCCTGAGTGGGTTGACCACCACCAGCGAGGATGGAGAAGAACAGACCGATAAGCATGTACTTCCACTCCTCTCTGTTGAAGCCGGCAATAAATTTGACCAGAGTCCAGAGCGAGTATTTGTGGTTGCCTCCTTCAGCAGGGCGCTTAGAGAGAACAACGCTGGACACGGACTTGCGAGAGTCAAGACGACGCATATCGGCTTCGAAAGTCTCCGCCTCCGCCTTGACCATCGCTGAAGAACCGCTAGCAACAGACTGGACACGAGCAATATGCGCCTTGTCCGCGTTTTCGGCGCTGTCCTCATCATCGGATTCGTCCATAGCGTCAGCATCCTTTTCCTCGTTAATTCGCTGAGCTTCAACGAGCTTGTAGTAAGGACCATCATGCTCGGTCAGGTCATCGTGGGTACCCTGCTCGACGATGGAGCCGTTCACAAAGACAACAATGTTGGAAGCGGTCTTGATAGTAGACAAACGATGGGCAATAACAATAGTTGTACGACCTTCAGCAGCACGATCAAGCGCTGCTTGAACAACACCTTCAGACTTGGTATCGAGAGCAGAAGTGGCTTCGTCGAGGAGAAGGATCTTGGGGTCGGACACAATAGCACGGGCAATGGCGATACGTTGCTTCTGGCCACCAGACAGCAAAAATCCACGTTGACCCACGTTGGTCTCATATCCTTCCGGAAGAATGTTGATGAACTCGTGGGCGTTGGCCATCTTGGCAGCATTCTCGATCAATTCCTTAATCTTTTCCTCAGGCTCATTCTCGAAACGAGTTCCAATCAGACCGTGGCGAATGTTCTGGTAGATAGTGGTACCGAAGAGAATGGGCTCCTGGCTTACAAGCGAGATCTGCTGGCGCAACCAGCGCAGGTTGAGAGTTTGAATGTCGTGTCCGTCCAAGAAGACCTGTCCACCGACAGGCAGGTAGAAGCGCTCGACGAGGCCAACGACGGTACTCTTACCAGATCCTGAAGGTCCTACCAACGCGGTAGTCTTTCCGGCAGGCATAATAAGCGAAACATCCTCCATAATGGTAACCTCAGGACGCGAAGGATAAATGTGCTTCACGTTGCGGAACTCAATGTGTCCCTCGACGTGGTCAAGGATGATACCTTCCTTCGAGGTGGGATCCAGTGGGGACTTGCGGTCAATGGTCGCAAAGATCTTAGCAGCAGCAGCCACAGCATTGGTAAAAGCTTGGCCATTAGGACTGACGTTACCCAAGCTGAAAGAACCGATAAGGATAGCCATCAGAATCGTCAAAACGTGTCCGACATCGAGCTTGCCCTGGACTAGGAATCGCGAACCCATCCAGAATCCAAGACCGTAGTTCAAGAACATGGTTCCAAACATACCGCCGACCATCACACCGAGAGCCATCTGCAGACGCATACCCCAGTGCTCCGCTCGCTCCAGGTGCACCTCGTACTGCTTCGCCAGCTTGTCCTGGGTACCGAACGCAGTCGCATTCCGAATTGAACTGATGACCTCTTCCGCCACCGTGCCACCGGCGCCGTAGCTCTCCAGGGAGAGCTTACTAGATTTGACGATGAAGGTGGATCCTCCGCCCATGATCAGCACGAGGGCGACGATCGTCGACGTGCAGATACCCGCCAGCGGGGCATACTTGATATAGGCAACGATAAAAGCAGTGACAAAAGTGGCCAGGGCAGTGAGGGTCAGTCCGACCTTTTCGGAGACACCATCTTGGATGAGGTTGGTGTCGGCGGTGATGCGGGTGGTGACCTCACCAGCACCCAACTTGTCGAAGTAGGCGATGTTCTGGCGCAAGATCGCTTCGAGGTAGTTCTCCCGAATCTTCTGGGTGACATGTTCACCGGTGTAAATGAATCCGATGGTACTGATATACACCGTGACAAACTCGCCGATGCCGAGGTAGACAAAGAATAAAACATTGTGAGTTAGCGCGTGGTAGAATTCGTCATAGGGGATGGCATTGTAAATGATCTTTGTGAAGTCGTTTGCTAGAGATCCAAATAGAATCTGGGATGGGTTAGATTTGCTCCCATCCTGCGGGGAATATACTCACTGTGAACAGCGGGAGGGCAGCACCGGCGGCAATAGCACACAATGCGCTGACCACAATAATGAGAATATCCATGGCAGAGGCATATCGATAAAGTCCAAAAAAGGTGATTTTGACTGGTGGTGCATCCAACTGACGCTTCAAGATCTCCTTCTCGTGTGCTGGCAGGTGGGCATACAGCGCATCATCGTCGTTTAATACCGAAGTCGTGGTCTCCTTTTCTTTGGCCAGAGTTGACGCTGAGCTCGAACCAGGCTGTTCTTTCAACTGAGGCTCCTCCACCACCTTCTCCACGGCCGTGATGCCTTCTTCGGGCTGTTGCATGGTGTATGGCGTAGTCTTTTAGTTCATGCACAGGTATACCCCAGGGTAGGTGGGACTGCGGGTTAATCGTAATAGGGGAATTAAATATTAAAGTAACCAAGTAATCGACATCACCAAGGATGGAATGAGAAAGGAGAAAGGAGTTGAATGTTAAAATGTCATGTCTTAATATCTTAATTTTTGCCGTCGGTGGGCCGGAGACTACTGACTCCGGCTTCTTTATGCACTTGAGCTCCTTTAGTTCCCCGACTGAGATCAGGGCACATTAGAGGACGGTGTCAGATTGGTGCCTAACTATGGTAGCTCGATCGAACATTCCGGCTTACTGTGCCCTGCCCCTGGAATCCATGCTAGAACCAACTCCGAACTCCTATCTTCGATCTAGCTCCGACCTCAAAAATTGAGGCTACATGGACAGTACAGGGCTTGAAACAGGTGGATCTAATTGGATACCGGGATACGGGACCGAATACGATGGTCATCCGCACTCGTTTTCGACCGAATTTTCGTCCTCAAGTACCAGGGTACTCCATTTAATGCGTATATAGCAAGCATCGCTTACGTCCGGATTCCGTAAACGATGACAGTCGGGTCAAAAGCAGGACTCCGCAATGTTTCGTCCGTGATCCACCAGTAACGTGGCCACGATTCGGACGAAATCTATGTACTGTAATGGGCAGCCTTTGCGAGTGGACCGTCTGGAACAATCACCCGTGCGTATGCCACTTTTTATGCCTGGGGTCGGCTATTTTCTGTCCCGATTGCCGCTCTGCATGCCTATTTGGGATAGAGAAGACGAGTAAATTACAGGTCGAGTCAGACATTGGAAACAATATCTGTATAGCTCGTGACTGGGAAGGATGTATGGTGAGTCATCGCAGAAATAGCTGCCTTATGTGTGGCAAATGCAAGTAGAATCAGGATAATGAAAACAAGATAATGACGATAATGCAGGGAGCTGCGAGAATGACAGTTGGACATGTGGACACGTGCAAGCCTGCAAGCCTGCAAGCCTGAGGCACTAACTGTCCGTTTTCATGTTCCTGCCTTGTGGCCTTGTGGCCCACTTCCTCAGGCCACAATAGACATCACCTGACCCAACCGAAGCGAAGCCAAGCCCTGCCGCACACAAACCATCCACACCCGAAGGTCGACAACTTCATCCGTCCATCCAACAAGCTCGCCGTCGCGATCAACACTTCAAGATGCCGGTATGTTCTAGTCTATACCTGTCACCCGTCACCTTGAAATACTCGCCACCTTCCTCATTGTCGTCCAAAAAAAAGATTCTGCCATGTCCAAATTCTAATCTTTTTTTTCCCCTACAGAGCAACAAGACTTTCCGCACCAAGCAAAAGCTTGCCAAGGCTCAGCGCCAGAACCGTCCCATCCCCCAGTGGATTCGTCTGCGCACCGGCAACACCATCAGGTAAATCGCTCGAATCCGTACCAAAATTCCAATCCGTCCGGGCCGTGAGAAAGTGAATGGGAGGGAAGGAGAAGGGATATTACTCTACATCATCACCATCAGCTACCGACCATCACGAAACACCGCCCGGGGAGGAAGGATCACTGGTACACAGGAGCAGTCAGAACAAGGCTGACAACCCACAGATACAACGCTAAGCGTCGTCACTGGCGCAAGTCGACACTGAAGGTTTAAATTCTCTTCAGAGAATCACCCCACCTTCCGTGCAGCCATCCGATATCCCGTCTCGCGATGTCTTATGTGTTTTGATCGGGGGTTGGAAACCGGAATCCTACACTACGGTGTAGAGCCGACCAACCTCTCATGACGTGACGCCCGCACCGAATTTATCATTTTCGAAAAAGCCCATGCGCCGACACGACTTGAGAGCGCTAGTGGATGTGGAACTACTTTCAAGTCTTTTTTGCAACAATTACATTTTTTTCAAAATACATCTCCGGGCGGAGTGGCCAATCAACCTTTTCTTCCTTTTTTTTCCATTCTTCATCTTTCTTTCTCCATGGGTTCCGAATGGGGTGGATTGATGGGCTTGGGTTCATGTGGACTCGAGCTGCCCGGATTTGATTGCATTGCGCGTGTGTGTCTGGTTGATCGTCTCTTTGGGGGCGGGCTTGTAGGACGGCGCGGGGGGAGGATTTCTTTTTTGATACAAAAATTTCATGGTCGAATTGAATGTCCTTTGCCTTGCATTTGACTTGTATTCGTAGGTGACTGGTCACATGTTTGCTTTCGGTTATTTTCATGTATTTCTGTAAGAGCCTCAATATCAAAACTTGGCACTCCAGCTTAGTGGCAGTCGTCATAGCGGATATGTGATATATACCCAAGCTCAGTATTTTACCCCGCCAGCTACGATATCTATAGTCGCCACATGGTCGGCGGCACAGTTCTATGCAAGTCACTCGGGTTAAAGACGTTGCAAACATGTCCCATTGAAAACTGGTATACCAGAGATCTTTTCAAAAGCAAAAAAAACGCCCGATCAAGCAATAACGCGCTCTTGGTTCGCAGCCCAGCCCTTTAGTAGGTGAGCGCGCGGGATATCCATTTCATTTTCGGCAAAGCAAAACTTCGTAGCCCATTTAACGGCTGCAAGAAGCAAGCATTAGTCAATGTATTTCCCACATAAATGCAAAGGCAGAACTTACTCCTCAGCCCACTCGTTCTCACGACGAATCTGGTCCTCCTCCTCGGGAGTGAAGTCGTTCTGAATGTTGAAGGTCTTCCGGATCTCCTCGGGGGACTTGCCCTTGATCATGTTGGCGACAGTCTTGCAGCCGACATCGAGGAGGGCCTTGATGTCGAGGTAGTTGGCAGCCTGTCGAGGTTAATACATGTCCAAACCGGTGAGTCGGCATAACTGTTGCAATGAACGTACGAGAATAATCTCAAAGAGCATCTCCTGGTCAACCTGCATGAACTTCTGGTCCCACTCGTCGATATCGGTGGTCTTGCGGCGGTTGTCGTCGTCGTCGTTGGCGCTGGCGGGGTCGTTCTTGTGCTGCTCGCACCAGGCGATCACCTTCCGGAGAACGGCCTCATTGACCTGATGACTTGGGTCAGTGACTGTTGATCGTTGGAGCGGACTGAGGTCTCACGTTGGGGATGGGGATGGCTTCGCCGGAGTCGCCAAGATCCTCGAGCATGTTCTTGATCAGGACGGAGCGCTCAGCGACAGCGCGGTCTATTGAGATTCCGTCAGTTCTCTGTCCAAGGTGGAGTCAGAACTAATTGACTGTTCACGTACCGAGGGTGATGTCGACCTCATCGGAGCTGGTCAGAGTAATGGTTCCGGTAGACATTTCGGCGTTGAGCGTAACGATGAGAGGGAAAAGGAAGAAAAGAAGAGTGGAAAGTGGTAAAGTGGAAGTGAAGCAGGAAAGTTGGGGCGTCCAGATGGGCGGGATGTTCACGTTATGAGGTTTGGTTACTAAGACGCTTGGCCCCCACATCGGCCTGACGCTTTGTACGTTTCCTTCTCTTCTTTCATGCCTAGAATAGTTGAATGGCTGCCTGTTGAAGATTTTTATTGATGCCTTGAGGGCAGTTTTCTTTCGCTTTTCAGTATTTTGTTTCATTGTTCTTGACTGTTCTTCTACTGGATTCTCCTTATGAATAGACTGCAAACAGTACGCCACTCAACGACCGGATTCGTTCTAGTAAAGAACACATCAACCCTGGGCCAAGAGGATGTCCAGGATTAAGAAGCTTATTTGGAAGGTTATCAGGTATACCAGAAATATCTACAGAGTTATAGTTAACATCACAACGCACTGCTTCACACGTCGCTTAACTATCATACTATGCACCTGAACTTGACCTATCTAAAATTCCAGAATACATTATACTGGAATACGAGTTATGATACCTTCTCACTAGATCACAAACTAAAATTCGAGTCAAGGTCTAGCACATACCGTGTACAGTAGAGCACATAAGCTCAGAAGGGGTTAAAGACTTAAGCATCAACCTGTGATATCATTGTCTCCGCGCTACGCGTTGCTTTTCCCCCTTCCACTCTTGTCAACTTTTCACCTTTTGATCTTTCAATCTGCTTTAATGATGTCCCTAGATTTCGACCATGTGGAGAAGAACCTATTTATTGTTACTTGTGATTCGCGTCTACTTTGCGCTCTCACCCAGTTATCTCCATCCAGATGAGAATTTCCAAGGCCCAGAGGTTTTCGCAGGTATGCCACCACTCAGTTCAAATCCATTTCAATCTCAGTTACTGTGCTATAATGGGACGTGCTTGTGCAATGCGCTTTCTATTGCGCGCGCTGCACTCTTCGAAATTTCCGAACGCGACCCGCGACACCCGCACTCCCCTATACGAGAGGGAAAAAAACACTGACCAGATCGCCTCAAAATAGGTCGCATATTCTCATACCCTTCAAAGTTACCATGGGAGTTCACAGTGGAACATCCGATCCGCAGTATATTCCCATTATGGGCAACTTACGAGCTACCGATGAGCCTGTTGAAATGGTTCTATACCGAGATCGGCTCCGGCAGCCCACCACCACAACTGGTTTACTATGCGCTGCGCGGAGGAATGTTTCTATTGAGCTTTGTGCTGGAAGACTGGGCGATCTATGAGCTAGTGCCCTCTCCGCGGCATCGGCGCGCGACGGTGGTGCTGGTGGCCTCGTCGTATGTCACCTGGACATATCAGACGCACACCTTCTCCAACTCCCTCGAGACCCTGTTGGTTGCCTGGGGGTTGGTTTTGATTCGGCGCATTGTCGAAAATAAGGTAAGATAGCACAGATCCAATGCAGGCTCTTGCGCTGACGTTTATACAGAAGCGCTGCTCCATCTTCGCTCATGTTGTTCTCGCTTTCATCGCCGTCGTGGGCGTCTTCAACCGCATCACCTTCCCAGCTTTCCTCGTAGTCCCGGGTCTACAATTGCTGCCTCATTTCCAGCGCAAGTACGTACTTCATCTCCTTGAAACCCAGCATGACCCTAACACATTCAGACCAACCTCCCTCCTCGCCTTCCTCGCCGCCGGCCTCTTCTTTGCGACAATAGCAGTCTTCGCCGACACCACCTTCTACCGACCAACAACAACCCTTCTCTCGTTCCTTCGCGACCCAATAATAACCCCCCTCAACAATCTCCTCTACAACACCGACACCGCAAACCTAGCAGTCCATGGCCTCCACCCCCACCACCAACACTTCACAGCAAACCTCCTCCAACTCCTCGGCCCAGCCTACATAGCCATGATCGCCTCACTCTTCAGCTACCCCCTCGTGCCCTCCTGGATGCGCAACATGCGCGCCCTCTCTGCCCTCTCCGCAACAACACTCCTCTCCCTCTTCCCCCACCAAGAACCACGCTTCCTTCTCCCCTGCGTGCCCCTCCTCCTCAGCTGCGTGCGCATGCGCCGCTCCCGCCTTCTCCTCGCAATCTGGGTCCTCTTCAACGCAGCAATGGGCTTCCTAATGGGCGTCTACCACCAAGGCGGTGTGGTCCCAACCCAACTAGCAATGCGCGACATCGTCTCCAAAGCCACCGGCCCCTCCACCCCGGCCGCAACAGTCTTCTGGTGGAAAACATACTCACCACCACTATGGCTACTCGGTCCAAACAAAGACACAGCCGGAGCCAACGCGACTGAGATCACAACTCTGGATCTCATGGGGACCCCACCCCTGCAAATGATCTCCCATCTCGACATGGCAGTCCCAAGCTGCTCCTCCTCTTCCTCCTCCCCGTCAACTATCTTCCTCGTCGCGCCCACTTCAGCCGAGTTCCTCGATGCCTACGCTTTAACAGCATCGACGTCTGTAACGGACCAAAGCCCAGATATAAAACTCCTTCCGTTGTGGTCTTACCGACAACATCTCAACCTAGACGATCTGGACTTTGCCGAAGACGGAGTCTTACCTACTCTGAAGCGGGTTATTGGCCGGCGCGGACTGGGCGTTTGGGCTGTGCGTCGATCTTGCAAATAGTCCAGCAGGGCAGAGAGAGCTGTGTACATTCCACTCTATTCTATTCCATTCTATTCGATTTAATTCCACCTTTGACGTTATCTGACCATCCTGTTTTGAATCGTACAGTACTGTACTGTATGCTGGGTTGGGTATCTTTTCGGTCAACGTTATCTATTCTATTGTTCCCCTGCTCCCTCCCCCTCTCCCTCTCCCTTTTGACCTCATATTTCGATTCATATCCATTTTCATATTTGCATGTGTTGGAAGAGCTGGAACCAAGATACCCTTTGCATGGCCTTTGGGTGAGCGTGACTGATTGAATTGAATTGAATGATTAAGTTATAACTTAAGTTAGTAGACGTTGACTTGTCGTTCTACCCTACGACCATTCTCCATTTACAAGTCTCCTCTTAACATTATTCCAGACTTGATGCCTAGGGTAGTTCATAATATCAAATTTATGATCATAAGAAATAGCATCTAGCTCAACACATTGACTTTCTACATCCTAACTAACCTTATAACCTACAAGTCAGGGTCAAATAATCCACAGCATTCATTCCATTAACATAACTTAAGTTAAATAAGCCACTAATATAATCCCATTGAGATCTCCTTCGATCAGCTGAACCCATCCAAGCACGCTGAATAAGTTATACGAAGCTTGTGACGTCTACCCGGGGACCTGGTGACTATATGTTTCCACTTTGCAGTATTTTTATTTTTATTTATTATTTTCTTGACTTGTGACCTAGGGAGAATGAGACAGGGTGGGCTGTACAACACATGACTTACAATATAAGTTAACGTTGATTGGTAGATCATTTCGTTGTATAACATTACAGTATACTGTAAGTATTGGGAGATAACGCTGCGTTATGTATCAGTTGTGCTACTGGATATGATCGTTGGATATTTTATTTTTATTCTTACTATTGAAGAGATACGACACGCATATATATATGTTAGTTATTATAGGTACTGCGCGATATATATGTATTTCCTATGATATTTTCGATTTCTTTCGACATTCGAATTTAGGTCATGCTGATCATGTATATAGCTGCGCATGACGATGTGAAAATCTTAAAATAACTACAGTAGGGCTGTGACCGATGTGCAAAAATCCGATTAGATCGACATTCGGTCTGTTGGCCGTGAAGAGCTATGTCTATGTTCTATACTACTCCGTACTTGAGCAATCTAATCAGAGAACAAGTCCCATTGGCCCATTAAATAGATACATGACAGTCGTGACGGAGTCGGAGGAGTCGAAGTCGAAATCGAAGTCGAAGAGAGAGCAGGAGAATGTAAAGTCAAGCCCGCAAGAGGAACAAGAGGTCAGGTGGAGTACTGAGTCTGATTCTGATTCTGATCTGATTCTGATTCTGATTCATATTCAAGGGAAAGGGGAGAGACATGGGAATCAAAGCAGCATGCTTGGAGGTATTCATCAAGAACATAACGGAGGAGAGAGGGGGACGTAGCGGGAGGGGGAGGTTGGGAAAAGTAGAGGTTTCTTTTGAAAGACAAGAAAATCAAATCTACTCCTCGTCCTCATCCGGCTGGTCGAAGAGGAAGTTGGCGGCCAACTCTTCGTTCTTATCGCAGGCGAAGTAGGCCTGGATGACATGATCCCGGGGGAAGCCCAGACGGCACAACTGGGTTTATTAGCAATCAATCAACGACCATGGCAGGGATAGTAAAAGACATACACGTTCAATGGCATCCCGCTCATCCTCTGTGACCGAAATAGCCTGTGCTCCAGGAGGGAGATCTCCCTCGCCCTCTTCAATGTCCTCACCGAGAAGCTGAAGGAACTGATCGGAGTTCTGTCCAATGAGAGATGCGATTTGGGGGTTTCCGGCGGCGACCTGTTGCAGGATAGGCTCAAGCATGTGGGGTTGCTGCTGGACGAGCTGACGGAGCTGTTGGAAGTGGGGGTTGCTGCGGAGGAACTCGAGGCTGGCAGCATCACCAGCTCCGGCACCGGCACCGGCACCGCGAGCACCACGGCCACCACCTTCACCGGCCTGAGCGGCGGCTTCGAACAGGTTAAGTGGCTCTTCACCGCCAGCAGGAGCAGGAGCATCACCACCAGCAGTAGGAGCCGGTGCTGCGGCTTCTTCTTGTTGTTGCTGCTGCTGTTCCTGAATGTTATCGGGGATACCCTGTGGCATGATTAGCGGGAAATTGGTGTAACTTTTCAGGAGGATCTTACGGTCAAAAGGTATTCAATGGCACGGTCAGGGTTGTAGAATGCAGCGCGCATGGCACGGTCGATATCGGTCCGGACAAAACCCATAGCTTCCATCTGAGCAACCGCACCCTCAGCAGCAGAGCCCATGGCGAGAGTAGAGGGGTCGCCAAAGGCGGGTCCACTGGACTGTGTCGCACCGGCGGGAGAAGGGGTCGCGGGGACAGCTGGGGCAGCGGTAGAGGAGGCCTGAGGGGCGGGAGGAGGGGCGGGGGTCGACGCAGGAGCTTTGGCAGCGGGAGTAGAGGGGGGCTTAGGCTGAGAGGAGGCAGGGGCGGCCTTGGGCTGTGATAGTATTGTTAGTTTAGGTCGGCGAAGCAAAGGAAATGTCTGTTTCGTACCTTTGAGGGCAAGCAAACTAGGAAATCCTTTTCTTGGATGTTGTAGGACTCGACTGTCTTGTCATCTTGAAGAATCTTTCCTATAGGGAGAGAAACAGTTAGGCCTCGCTGCGAACACTATGTGAAGGAAACACATACCAGAGTAGATAACCTTCATACGCTCAGCCTCATACTCGCCTTTCTCCAGGGCGATCTTGGCCTTGACCTCGCGAACCTAGATGGATAAATTAGCCTTGCATCCATAAGCTAGCTGAAAGATGACATACAGTTTCAGAAGGTTCGACATCGATGACGAACTTCTCCTGCTTCAGGTCCTGTCGAGATTGTCAGCTGTGGTCAGGCGGGGGGGTTTTATCCAAGGACACGTACCTTGAAGGTGAGCTTCATTTTGCAGCCGAGTTCTGTAGAAAAGAGTGGGGAGGTAAGATCACAGATTCGAGGAAGAGAAAGAAAATCGAGATTTGTGGATCTTCCAAGCGATGAAGTCGAAAGAAAAGAGTGAGGGGACCAGAGTGACGATGATGCAAAGTGCGGGTAGAACAGCTGACCGCCTTCACATACTCCCCTTGGTCTTCTCTACCTTACCTTCATACGGTTTCTACTATCGTTAGCAAAGCAATGATATTGTCTATTTGTGAGAACAGGCCGTGCCCTATACATGGGTTACCCCTGCAGGGTGACATTCGTGACGATTCGATCTCAACTGGGTTTGCCTGTTGGCAGCCTGGCCTGATTGACCAACCCAAGACACGCGAATCCGAGAGAATCGGCACGAATCAGAGCCAATTGCTAGGCTGAGGATCTCAATTTAATATCCTGGTCCATCTTGCTCAGGGTCCCGATTATCTGGATCGATCAAGCAGTGAACCCCTTATAGGCTGACCAAGGGAAATACCTGTAGGAAGCGCCATTGCCTTCGAAATACATACATTAGCACAGACATGCCAATGTACCCACAGCTGCGCAGAAGTGGACAAGAATATTGCATATGAGAACTGCATAAATTGCAGTGACAAATTCTCATTTCCCCAGATTCGGAAGAGATTGCAGATCCGCGAACCTGGATAGGTCCTGCAGGACTATATCCCGTATCCCGCCTGCCGGTTATGGAAATGCCTGAGCATCTCGATCTATAAAATTTGACTTGACATTTCGAATCAAAACATGTTAGCCCAGCCGAAGATCAGGGGAGCGGAGAATTTTACTCGCGAGAGCGATGCGATATATCACATTGAGGATGCACTATTGAGATCGGGGATCCGCCTCGCCAGAACACCGGAATGATCCGCAGCCTGATGGATCAGATGAATAGTCTCGCTTGCGAGATAGTCTGCACTATTGAAAAGCAATATCCAGAGTCCAGGCCTCTCAAAATACCCCGGACTCCCAGCCTGTATACTTCCATCGACTACAGGTCACTTTTTTTTTTTTCCAAATATCCTCGAACATCGCAAATCTCCTCCTCCCAATTGATTTGATGTGGGATCGAGTCTTATCTGCAGACTTTAACCATCATGTCGGGTTGATATATCAGATCGTAGCTGAAGTGACATGTTCAGACGGACTGCTTCCCCGATATACTTTTTAAGCCACGCTGAGATGCGTCCCGTCCCGTGTGCGAACTCTGCGCGTGGAAACCTATATCATACCGACATCTCCCCTCGAGGTGAAGTGCATACTCCTTACACTCATTGTGCATTGGTGAACGTTTTGGCAGTCTGCCAACGTTGACTCCACATTCTTTACAGATCTATACATTCATTTCACCATGTCTACTGTTTTGCCTTATACACTGGCGGGAGCCGCATTGCTCTCCACCTTCATTGTCACAATTCTCAATGGTATTTCTTATGCAACTTCCAAGGTCTCATCCGACTTGCCTCCACTCATCCTGAGTGCAATCAGCTGCTTGGCATTGGTGATGCTTAGTGTGCTCCACCACAAAGACATCCAGGGCCGTCTACAATGGACCTGTATCTCCGGCGGATATCTACTCATTGCTTCAGCTATCTCTGCCGGAGCCATGACCTCGAGTCCCCAAGCCTCCGTGTTCATCACCCGCGCAGTATTCTGGGCTTTCGCCGTCTTCGCCCAAGGGTTATACTGTGGATTCATTGCTATGCCTCTGATCCACGAACGACAAAACCCCGAGTGGCCTCGTTCATACTCCGAGGAGCTCAAGTCTGTCCCTCAGAGCCCTCAACTCCTTCCCTCACCACCACGAGTATGCGATCTATCAGAACTCTTCGAGCCTAAGCGTACCTCTCTGCGCAAATTCCCTCGTCGCTCCAATCGGTTCTCCGACGCAACCCTCTGCCAAAGCAACAAAGAAACCAAGCGAGCGTCCATCGATACTTCGTCCACCCGATCCACCCCAACCCATTCCCCAACCACCGACAAAACTCCCTTTGAGCCGCATCACTCCCTTCCTCTCCGGGGCAGCAACAGCATCCGCAGCATGCCCAGCCTGCGCCGCAACCCCCCGACCCAGCTCTCGCTGGACAGTCTCATCCAACGGTCCCCTACCGGCTCAACGCTGCATCTCGACTCCCCCACTCTCTCCACCGTGAGCACCCCAACCTTGATCCCGGCCCCAACCTCCGCCCACTCCACCTGGGAATACAATCCCTTCCAAGATACCAACATCCACCCTCTCTTCCGCTCCACCAGCCCGGGTCCGTCGCCCACCACCGCCCCGGGCACCATGCTCAAAGCCTCCCCGTCCGCAGGCCACACATTGACCAAGGGCACGATCACCCGCATGCGCTCCGCCCGATCCTTGCGCGAGCAGAGCATGCGAACCCCATCCCCCCTGCCCAGTATTGAACTGGACGAGCTGCCCCGACGAAAGGACCCAGTCCGAGGGAGCTTTACCACCACTCGCACCGAGCGATATGAACTACACGAATCCCCTGATGAAAAGTGAATTTGGTTGATCTGGAAGAATGCTTTGGATCCTTGACTTGACTCGAACTGAACGACTTGTATGCTTTCTTTTGCTTTGTTTTTTGGACTGTTTTTTCATGCGTTGTGGTTTACTGGTGTATATGACGGAATTTTGTACAAATGAATCTAGTTGAATCGGATCTACACTCCCTCCCCCAGCACACCCAGGCCTGTGATCAACCCAGTCCGCCCATCTCTCCTCCGTACCGTACCGTAGATCCAATTCCGGGGCTTGTAGGGCCAAAGTGCCGAAAGTGCCGAATTTCCTAATGCAGTGCGATCACATACCACTCCAAATCCAAATCCAAATCCAACCCGAATCCGAAAGCCGAAGCCCAAAACCCTAAAACAAATCCAAGAAACAGGAATAAAGTAACGTGTAGAACATGTGATAAATTGACCGACTGGTCCAGTACATGGACATGTACCCCCCTGTCAAGCAAGATTCCATCATACACTGACGAGCAGCCAATCGTATGCGCCGAAACTCATCTCCCTGGATATTCGTTATGTGGGTCGACTGGCGGTGGACACTTATTTTTTTTTTTTTCGAGGATTGTACATGAACCAGAGATTGGATTAGAATGGACTGTATTTCGGATTGAATCGTGAATCGTGAATAGAGAAGAGTATCGAATGCGATCTTAGTATGGGATTCGTATGGAAGAATGTGGGGATCGGAATTACTGTGTACTGTGGACTGCTGTGTACACGTAGACCTCGAGAGGCTATTGAGTCGAGATTACAGTATTGGAGACTCGAGAATAGGAATGAATCTCTATAGTTGTGATTGTGGTATTCAGTATTCAGGATTCAGTATTGTCTACGGTTCGTATTTGCAGTCGAAAGGGAAGCCTTGGCAGCCGAACTGATCCTCTTTTTTCAATTCATCTTCACCTTCACGTTGTGATCTCGATTCACGGCTGTTGGCTGTTGGCTGTTGGCTCTGAGCTAATCAGAGTCTTTTGCACATCTCCATTTCCATCACTTGGATTTCTCCATTCTTATTTCCATCTTCGTTTCCATCTCCAGCGACAGCGCCATCTCCCTTTCTACTCTCTCTTTCCCTGGGCTCTGGGTCGTTTACTCTCTACTCTCGATTCTCTCTACTTTCTGCTTTCTGCTTTCTGCTTTCTGCTATCTCATCTGCTTCTGCTCTGCTCTACTCTACCCTGCTCTGTTCTACTCGGCTCTACTCTGCTCTGCTCTGCTCTACTCTGCTCTGCTACTCTGATTCTGCTTTGGTTCTCTACATAAGACATTCCCATCGGTAAGTGATCGCGTTTTTCCGGTCATCGGCCATCTGCAATCCCTTCTTCACCATTTGGCTCGTATGAACGTTGTCAACCCTGTCCCCGGCGATCTACACTTTGGATCGCGTCCTTTTTTCCCTTTTCCTTTCCCCGTACTTGACATTCGCTCCCACGCGACTGTTCCATTGCATACTCCCCGTAATCCCTTTTCTGTTTCTTTTCTCCCTCTCGGTCTCTACTTCGATCTCTTTATCTTTCTATCTTTCTACCACTCTACCTCTACCTCTCCACCACTACCACTACCACTCCCACTTTCTATCTCTCGGACCTCTTTTCCATGGAATATGGTCCTGGGATCTCCACACCCCTTGCTGTTACTTGCTACTGGTTTTTCCCGACTGACAACTTACCCAACAACAGCCATGGTGGGAAGAAAGAAAAGGGGAACGACTGCTCAGCCAGTGCGGACACCCAGTATCTCAACGCGCTCGGGGCGCACCGCTCAAGGTAAGTTTGCAATCCCATCCACCTCGTCCAATGCTGATCCTAGTAAGATGTCATCCCTCCCACGCCCACCCGTGGCAGAGGTCGCGGGCGAGGACGTGGTCGCGGCCGTGGTCGCGCCAGTCTTCCTGGTCGCCTGCCGTCCAGTCTGGATGCTCCGAGTAGCCCTGTGCGCTCGCACATTGTCAAGCTGAAAATCCCGTCTTTGATCCAACGGGTCATGTCAGAAGACGAGTTTGATGACGATGATGATGAAAGTGTGCCAGCCAGCGCGGCCTCCCGCAATCCGGAGACCCCTCGCATCCGACGTTCACGTCGTGCTTTGGCTGTCCCCGAGTCGTCGCGTACGACCCGCCAGTCCGCCAGACTCAAGCCTAATGAAGATGGCACTTATGAAGAGGTGTCACCCTCGAAATCTATTGACTCAGATGCCAGTCATCCGGATGATGACATGGACTCAAATTATGATGAAGACTACAAGTCTGAACCTGCTATTCGCAAAACATCTCAATCGCCGCAGCCTCGCATTATTGCGTCTGCTCCAGTCTCGCCTGGAGCTGTTCAGCCATCGAATGAGATGACTGGCGACCACTTTTATGGTATGGAGCCCAAGGCCAAAGACGACCCAGCGGCTACCGAAAGTCCCAAAATGGCGGAATATGAGGAAGCTCCCTCTGCGCCTATCTCTCCCCGACTCTCTCGCAAGCGCAGGTCTTTGGACATGCAAGATGAAACCCCGGAAATTGATTCCGAATTCCCCAGTAAAAAATTGCGGACTGATGAAACCGAAACCGAAGAGGCGGTCGATAGCCCCATGCAAAACGGAACGGAAATGGAAACCCAGGCTGAAACAACGCCTGAGGATGTTCCCATGCCCTCTGATGAATTTGATCCCCCTGCTTTTGCTCCAGTTGTTCGAGGCCGTGGAGGCCGAGGATCCCGCGGTGGTCGAGGCCGTGGCCGTGGCCGAGGTCGTGGTCGCGGCAGTCGCGGAGGATTTGTTGGTCCCATTCGCTCTACACTACCCAAGCCTCGTGGCGGCCGAGGACGAGGCCGTGCTCGCCAAACTACCATCATCAAACGTGGCAAGAAGATCGAAGATGAGGTCTGGGACGCCGAGAACTGGCGTGGTCGCACTCCATCCCCTCCACCGGATACACTACCAACCAAAAGCCGTCAAGATGAAATGACGAATCTCTTCAAAAAGATCGGCCAGGCGCAATCGATTGCGCTAGGATTTATGTCTGACCAATCTATGCACAAGCTTTCCCGTGAAAAGAACGCCCACAAGGATTGCCCCGAGTTTGCTCAAGTCCAGCAGGAACTGGCCGAGTATCAGCGCAAGGCGCTTGATCGGTTGAACGCCGATCACAAGTGGAGAACGGAGTTAATAAAAGAAAAGTACGAGGGCGATATTTACAACATCAAGGGTCAAGCCGAAGTAAGTTCTGAAGTGCAAGATTTTCACCGAGTATCTCTAACTGGATACAGAATATTCTCGGGGCGGTGCAAAATGAAATGATTACTTTCCTCATGGGCAAGTTCATGTCGGCAATCATTGGCCGTAGAGTTGCAGAGGATGATGAACATACGGAGGTAAGTTCCCATGATCACAATTATCGAACCAAGCTAACCAGCCCAGACCGATACATCTGATTCAGAGCAGTCTGAAAAGCAATTCCTTTTCCGAATTGGCGACACAGCTATCCGCCAAGTGGAACGTGGATTCCTCGCCGAGGTCGTTCGGGATCCCGAAGGAGCTATGGACTACACCCAAGCCGACGAGGGCTGGGATGACTTTGATCAAAAAGCACGCATGGGCAAACTCAACGAAGAAATCCAACCACCAGAGCCAGAACCCATGGAAGACGTCGCCTTCTCCAGCCTGGTCTTCGAAAGTCTCCTCCAAGCCGCAAGCATCATCGGTTCCTCCGAATCAACCGGGAAACAACACACCTACGACGGTGTCTCCGACTACCCCATGGACCCCCATCCACGCTCTCTCTCCCTCCTAGCCGACGCAGCCCTCCTAGAGCCGCTGCCACCCCATCTCCCCCAGATGCAAACATCCCACCTCCCCCACCGAACCCCCTACCCACCCCCTCACCACCTCACTCACGCCCACGCCCACCACACCCACGGGCACCCATCCCAAGTCCCAGCTCCAGCTCCAGCTCCAGCCCCGGGCCCAACCCACGGTCCAACCGACCCAAGATCATTCATCCTCCCCCGCCCAACCCCAACCCAACAACCGCGCCGCCTCCTCCCAGCCCGCGGCCAACTAAGCATGGGTCTCCCAGACCCCTTCTCAATGAACGGCCCTCCCCAACTCCCTCCACCCCCAGGCTCAAATTTCGCCCGCCTCCCCCTGCCCGGTGGCTACCTCCCACCCCCAGCAGGCCATCCGCCCCCGCCGCCATCCCTCTACTTCCCTCCTCCCCCACCGGGCTCGCACCCTCCTCCCCCTCCCCCCTCGTCGCTACTAATTTTCTCGGTTCTCGCTTCTGCGCAGACAAATGATGACTGACGAGGGCTGGGGGGCGCCGTGCGTTCCCTGTAATACTATTTCCGTTCGGAGCGTTTCTTGTTTGGTTTTGTTGCGTGGTCTGGTTTTGTTTTGTTCTGTTCTGTTTTTGTTTTGTTTTCTTTTTATTCTCTTTTTTTTTTGTTTTCGTTTGTGGCTCGGCCGCCGTTGATACCATGCTCTCTGTAATTGTACCAATATCTGGGTTTTTCTTTTCATTTTGCTTATTGTAGGTGTAGAAGTAGGAGTAAAGCAGGAGTAGGAGTAGGAGTAGGAGTAAAAGCAGGAGTAGAAGTAAAAGTAAGAGTAAGAGTAACCAGGAACCAGCAGAAAGTAGAAATAGATACAAATCGACACAGAAGTAAACATCCACAATCCCAACTATATCCCATCCAGTCTGAGATAAAAGTGAGTTACTTCATCCTCATCCTCATCCTCATATCTAGCTTAACACGAGGTACGGTCCCTTAACAGGCCATTCCAAGGCATCTTAACCAGAATGAACAAGAAAACAGCATACAGTTAAGTTGATTATAGTCCCTCCCGAGATACGTCAAGTTAAGTTATAACTAGATCCAATGACTAAACAGCCAATTAACCAATATCTAAATTCAAATCTAGACTTCAATGGAATGAACGGTCAGATGGGTAGGTTGTGCACTTGTCCTACCTTGAAATGAATACTGTATGAATATCTCGTCTTTGAATGAGTTAGACTTACTGTACATACTGTATACCTCTACCCATCCCTTCCTTTCTCTTTTATCCTCTTTGATCTATCTCATATTCTTCAGAGTATACAAAAGTGAATACCGATACCCTACTGGAAAGGACAATCTCATACATACATACATACATACATACATACATACATACATACATACATACATACATACATACATACATACATACTTTAAGTTAACATTGTTAATCAACCCTCCGAACATCGAAGACCCGAGCATTCATTCTTCCAGACATGGACAATTACTGTATGCATATGCATATGGATATCGCGGTGATAAGATACTATACTATATGTCCAGTATATTCGCCTCAATTTCAATAACGATATTTTCCCCGTTAGGTGATGGACTATAGTGTTGAGATCATTTGTATAAGTAACGTGCTATAAGTCAAGGCCCCGCAACTTCTAGACCATGTCCACTTGGCCAATAGTTTACATGCAAGGGCTAGTATGTCACCTTGACTGCCCTGGTTTTTTAGAGTCATAATTATCTGAAAGAGTCTAGTGATCAGAATCTGATTCGTTGCTAGAGAAAGGTCATTCCAGGGTTTTCGTACTTTCTCTTGGGATCCATTTCATACGTCTACAGTGTATTAATCTGTACATTTATTCCTACTATTCAGCACAGCCACAGACCATCACTCATTTCCCGCATCGAATGAATCATCAAGTATGAGCCAGAATGAGTCAGGACCCAGCAAGTAGCAGTACTGCCCACAGTATGCAGACTCCCCTACTCAACCAAGTACCCGGTACCTCTCACCGCCTTCGCTGACTCGCCTCTGCGGCTCCGGCGGGGCAAACCGACGACGGCAGCTGATTGGCCCGAGCTTTTGATCTTTTTCAGTTTGGATCGCACGTCTCTGCAATATTTATTGTCTCTCCAGCTTCTTCGATCATCCAGGCAGTAGTCTATTTCTCCCTTGGTAGTGAAGCAGTTTGTGTTTCTCGGTATCATCCCCCCTCTCGACCCTCGACCCTCGACCCTCGACCCCGCTCTCACCATCTTTTTTCCCGGTCTTTCCACTCTCTCCAAAATGGCTGTCCGCGCGCAATTCGAGAACTCAAACGAGTGAGTAGGAGTTTACAGAGATGGGTACAGCAGCAGCATGGTTCTGACGGCATATTACAGGGTCGGCGTTTTCTCTCTCCTGACCAACTCCTATGCGATCGTTGCGGTTGGTGGTTCCGAGAACTTCTACAGGTGTGTCTACGACAAATGAAACTAAAGCAGGATTGGCCTGCGGCTGGTATTGGAATTGGCTCTGGCTCTGGCTGTAGCTCTCGCTATACATATAGCATAGCCGCCAGCCATGCCAGACCACCATCCCAACCTCCAACCTCCATTCCGCTCCGTTTCAGTCAATTCCCGCAAAAGCCAAAAAGAATCCCCATACTAACTCCCACTCCAGTGTCTTCGAGTCTGAGCTCCAAGATGTCATCCCCGTCTGCCACGCCACCATCGCTGGAACCCGCATTGTCGGTCGTTTGACCGTCGGGTAAGTCGACAGCCACCCGCCCAGATTCAATATCAAGATGTAAAAGAGAGAAAAAAAAAGACTAATCGACCCTCTATAGTAACCGCAAAGGTCTCCTCGTCCCCACAACAACCACAGACCAAGAACTGCAACACCTGCGCAACACGCTTCCAGACGAAGTCAAGATCCAACGCATAGAAGAGCGCCTGTCCGCCCTGGGCAACGTCATCTGCTGCAACGACCACGTCGCAATCGTGCACCCGGATCTGGAGCGTGAGACCGAAGAGATGTACGCTTGATTCTTCCCACCCCTCACATGTAATGTCTAACGCATCCCAGCATCGCCGACGTCCTCGGCGTAGAAGTATTCCGCCAAACAGTCGCCGACAACGTCCTGACAGGTTCATACATGGCCCTCTCCAACCAGGGTGGTGTCGTGCACCCCAAGACCTCCATCCGCGACCAGGACGAGCTCTCCTCGCTCCTGCAAGTGCCCCTCGTCGCCGGTTCCGTGAACCGCGGTTCCCCCGTCGTCGGCGCCGGCATGGTCGTCAACGACTGGCTCGCCATCACCGGTCTCGACACCACAGCCACCGAGCTGAGCGTCATCGAGTCTGTCTTCCGTCTCGGCGAGATGGGTCCCGGTGGCTCCGGTGCCGGTGCACCTGTCAACAAGGATAGTATTGTCGAGAGCTTCTACTAGATTACTTGTTACTCCCTTCCCTTCCCTTTCCCTTCCCTTGTGGATGTTGGATGTTGCAATTGGTTTAAGGAGTGGTTTTCACGTAGTGCAATGCTGTCTGTCCCTTGTTTTCTGTTGCCGTTCCATGCTTGTTCTCGTTTGACTGGGCTCTGGTTTCATTTTGATTTGGATTTCTGATATGATATGACTCTTTTTTTTACCCTCCTGGTCCCGCTCTGCCTCGCCTTGTTGTTGTGTGTATGTATGTATGCCATTGGTCAGGATGAGTAGTGTCTTCGGCATCTACCCTCTGCGTTTTGTGCGTACTGTACATGCATGGATGATGCGGGGCAGGATTAGATCTAGATGTTGACAATGATGATCATGATTGAGATGGTCTGGTGTGTTTGTGGCGGTGCCACTTTCCTTGTAGGATTGGATTGGATTGTAGACGTGGTTCAATCTGTCGATCTGTACTGTATGTACTGTATGGACTGTATGTTTTGATCCGAGCCTGCTGTATACCAGATATCGATGTGTATCTGGTATACGCTTAGAGCTAACTTAAGACCTAGTTACAGGTGGATGTGTAGGTGTAGGTAGATGCAGGTGCAGGGTAGATAGAGGCGTGTCAGCCTACATCCTCACATCCAGGTCCATAATTCATACCCTTACGTATGTATGTATGTACAGACAGAATACAGACAGAGTACAGACGGAAAGAACCAGTCAAACTCAACAAGATCGCAGATAGCGACAGCGAATTGCGTTGCAAATTGCAAACTATGGGCACATCGGGGGTATTGACGGCAAGAAAAGACAAAAGACGACAGAGCCGAAAGGCAGAGAGGCGGGAAGAGAAGAGAAAAAAAAGATGAGAATAAAACAAGGTAGAAGCGAAAAGAAGCAGGCAAAAGTTTGTCAGGACATTGGTCTCCCCCCGGTTCATTCTTTCTTTCTTGCGCTCGCTTTTGGGTATTAATAGACATGGTAGGCAAGTCAAGTAATGTTAAAGACATGGTGATGGTGATGGTTGTGGTAATGGTCATGGTCATGTTGGGAGTCGGCTGGTTAGACCTGTCCCTCGATGCTCTGTGGGTGTGAGGGTTGGCTCGTCCCTGTTTCTGTTTCCGGCTCTGGTTCCGTTTCCATTGTGCCGTCGTAGCTGCCTGTACTATCCTTTGGAGGGGGAGGGGGAGGGGGAGACGGGTCATCGCCTGCATTCCCCATGCTGGTATCGCCATCGCCGTCTGCTTCTGGCGTTTCGGCTGGGGGAGGAGGCGGAGGCGGAGGCGGAGGAGTGGATTTCTGTCGTTTGGATGGAGAGCTGTCTACATCCTGGGGGCCGTCTACGTGAGTCTGACCATTGCGCTTGCGCTTGAGGGTGGCGCTGGCGTCATCGTCCAAGGGAGATGTGCTGGGTGCAACGTCGGCCTCGTCGTCGGACATTTTCAGGTCTGCTTCGAGGGCCTCGGATGACTCTGCACTGCCCTTGGGCTTTTCAGTCTTGCGCTTCTCGCGCTGCTTGTACTTGGCGGCGGCCTTGTCGAAGAAGGACTTGCAATAACTCTTGACGGTTTGTTGGTGTTTCTCACTGATCTTGGTTGGGTCTGTGACGCGATTCTTCTTGTAGTCGCCTTCAACAAGCTTCTTGGCGGTCTAGATCAGCTCAGTTAGTATTGGTCTTGAGAGGCGAAAATCCTAGAAATTCCGAGTACTGACCTCCTTGGCAAATCGCTTCAGATCATCCTTCGGGATTTTGTGTTTGTACTGGTCGACGACATGCTTGATATGAGGGAATAGCTGTGCTGCGTTAATGGCGGTACGTCAATGCTTGAACTTGATGCTGTACTCACTGTGTTCTCGTAAAGCCTCTTCTGTTTTTCCAGGGGGTATTTCTTCCAGCGGTCCCCCTCTTTGCTCTTCTTCTCAGGCTGTTCAGTCGGTTGAGGCGTAGCCGGCGTAGCACTCTTATGTTCAGAGGGCGTACGATCTTGGCTGTTCACAATCCCATCAATAATGCTCTGCAGCGCTAGGTTCTTCTGCTTGACAGGTAGAGGACCGGCAGGTGTAGTAGCAGGCTGAGTCGGCCTATCCCAAGTGGTTTGGTTTCCTGCTGTGTAATAGTAAACACGCCCGGATTGATCCTCTGCGGCGAACCAGCCCTCGGGCAACGGCTGACGGCCACGTCGCCCTCTCTGCCGATGTTGGTTCTGCTGTTGACCTCTGTCCCTCCGTTGTTGTGCTGGCCCGCGGGGAGGGACGTCATATGAGGGAGAAGGAGAACGAGTGACCGATCGTTTGGGCTGATCGCGCCCAGACTCGCGGCGTTCGAACTGGTTGTTGACAGCCTTGATAGCATCCTTGCCACGTTTCATGCGTGGAATGCGGTAGGCAACCTCCAGCCCAGCCCAGCTCTCAAGCAAGGAGACGGCCTTCTTTGCCACGCGCTCATCATCACAGGTAGTCAAAGGCTTGACATTTGCCTCGATCTTGGAGTCCTGAATCTTGTTCCGAGTGAGACGCGGAAATCCGTCCAGAATGTTCATGATTTGTAAAACGACATTCATATCCTCTTTCCACATGGCCAACTGGGAGTTCAGAATCTGGTATCCGTGCATTCGAACGACACGGTTGCGAACACGCTCATCCTCGCAGCGCTGTACACGACCAAGCAACTTGACTGCGATCCACTTCTCCTGGCACTGTACAAGAGCTGCCATGACCTTCGTGACACCATCCTCATCCAAGGACTTGGGCTGCACGCTATCCACGTATTCCTCGTCATCTTCCTCGAGCTTCTTTTTCTTGGGGCGCTTGGCAACCACTGTATCCCAGCCATCCGCTTCGTCAATACCGAGAGCCTCAATCGTGGCATTGGACAGCTTGGTCGCACGTTCCGTCTGGGTGCGTCCACCGATAAAGCCCGTGCACATGGGCTCTCCGCAATAGCAGGGTTGGGGATCAGCACCGTAGCGGTCCACATTGTAGTTGAAGACCAATTCCTCGCCGGCTTGGATACTGCGTTCCGCAAAAATACCCATGCGCAGCTTTTCACCCACCACCCACTTGTCCACGTAGCAATTGGGATTACATGAGTGGTTGCAAAATCGTCCCAGGTTTCCTCGCTTGGTCGCATCGACAAACTCGCCCTTGTTCAAGGACATGAAGTAGAAGTGCTTGATGCCTTCCTCGTCGTATTGTCTCATCCGCCGCCGAAACTGCTGCTCTCCCACGACCTCGCCCACATATTCGTAGATCAACTGGTGGGGATCCAAATTCGTTTCCGCGCGTAAACCAAATCCCTTCTTCTCGGTTTTGATAACAGATACCGGTGCAAATTGTCCTTTCTGGAAACGCTGGTTCCGACAGTCCGAGCCGCAGCCGCAGTCGCCGACACATTCGATTTTGGTCGCGCGGTTGATACAATCCGAGTCTTCGCCACATGCTAAATTCTGGCCAATTTTGGGCTCTGCTGCTCCGTCAGCAATTATGCTCCGTTCCAGAAGACCTGGTTCGCTTGGAGACACCAGGACTCGATATCACTTACCCCACTCCTCAGCGCAGTCACATTCCATGGCATGCTCCGTGTAGCCCATGTATTTGTTGGCGTAGGAGCAGCCACTAATCTGCTCAAACGTGGCAAGCGCATCTTTCGTGCTATCCGGCAAGTGAGTGTACAGCGGAGGCGGCCGCGACACCTTCTGCGACGAGCTGCGGGATAGCCTGGGCCGTGGCCCGGGCTCCTGCTTCAGGCGCACCTCATCTGGCTTTTCCTCCTTCATGTCGGAGGCATCGGATTGGGAACCGGGGGACTCCTTTTTCGGGAGAGGGGATCGGAGAGGAGATCGGAGAGGAGATCGGGAGCAGGTGCGCGAGTCGCCATTCTCCATCTTCACTGCCTGGGAGTCCGCGTGGTCATGGGCAGACATGACGACACGGACAAAAGAATTGATTAAGGCTTAAGTGAGAGAAGAGCAGAATACGAGTTCTGCCAAAAGACCGAATCAAGGGGTCGAAAGCGGTAAAGAGAAGATCTGAATTGCTTTTCGAAGCTATTGTTATTTCGCGTGTCATTCGCTCTCACCGCCCTCGGTCTATTCAGGCCCGTGCCATTATACGGAACTCCTCTACCCTGAATAAGAACTATGGCCATCGGAGTCTGCCATTGGAGCATGACATCTGATCATGGTAGCTGAGTATGCCTCGTTCCACAGGCCACTTGCGCATGGGAAAAATGGGAACCGGCACGCTTGTGACGAGATCTTTTTGAGATGCTCAGATTCAGCGCAATCCTATGGCTGTCAGCGAGCTAGTTCATACACCGGAATAGGGGATGACCACAGATAAGAGCAGGGGAGTGCCAGCTCTGCTACATGTACATGTATGCAAGACTGCAAGACACGTCCATAGGCCCAGGACGGCAAGCACAGGAGGTTATGGCAAAAGCGGGAATCGATTGGATAGGAGTGTTTAGTGAAACCGCGTCTGCAGAGTCTGTGCGTGCGTACTGACTTTACTCGCGGTGCCAAAGTATAAGTTAGACACGGTATAGAGGTCCTTGACTCCAATCCACGGCCCTCCATTGAATCTCGAAAAAGTAGAGTAGTCCCGTGACTTCCATGTGGAAATAAACAATTCTGATCCATGGTTGCGGATATCTGGACATCCTCAACCCCCTTTCCCCGTTACTCTGTATTTACCTCTCCACTTCCTTTTTTCTTTTTGACGCGCTTTTGTTTACGATCGACCACCCTAACCGCCACTGGGCCTAGCTTCAAACAAAATCATTTTTCTCGCAGCATGACCCAACGTCCCGGGGCTTTGTCAACCTATCACAATTCTCCGTAGGCTCCACGACACTACATGTTTACCAACAAAATTGTCGAAACTTCAATCCAGGGCCACTAGAAACTAAAAGAAAAAGAAAAAAAACATGACCACCCGCCAGCTGTCCCTTGGCTCTGGAACTGCCAGGGCCAACCGTTTCCGAACCACAGATGCCTCCTGGGGCTAAGATGCATCTGCATCTGCATCTCAACTGTCTACTGCCCTCCCCCCCCACTCAACCCCTCGATCGTACTTTTGAGAACAATTCCAGGCTCCCCGCTCCCTTAGTGGTATTTTTGCCTTCGAACCTCTTCTGGAAAAGATGAAACTGGTCCGGCTGAACCGCCTGTACGGGTCTGATACATTATACGTGTAATACACCTCAAAGCATCGTCCCTGCAGCTTTCCTTCCCGAACGTCTCCTGCGCGATCCCGGCTGCTCAAGTCCGTTTGGCCAAATCGTCGCAAGAAAGGGGATTGATGGAGGTTTGTTCTGCGCTTTTTTTCTTTGGCTAGGAAGCCTTCAATTGCTCGTTTTCCCTGTCCCTTTAGTTTCGTCTAGATGGGGACATAAGAGGCCGTCTCTCGTTCTGTCGCGTGTTTGGATTGGTTTTTTGTTTTCTTTTTTCTTCCTTTTTTTCCCTTTCCCATGAGGAATTGGGATATCACGACTGTCGCTCTCATTTTCTTGACATAATCTGGGAGGCTTTCTTTGTTTTTGACTTTTTGTCTTTGGGGGAAAGGGGAAGCTGGCTATTATCCGCTTCCATGGTCTGGACATGTCGAATTCATCTGATAGGCCATGGACTGAGGAGGACAAGGTAGGCGGGAATGGCTTCTTCACGGGTGAACAATGCGCTGATACTTGAACTCAGTACGCCCTACTCACGGAGATCCTCAAAAAAGCCGACATGCCTTCCAGTCATTTGGTCAACTTGATTAAAGACTTCAACGTCACTCCAAATTGGGAGCATATCCCCCTCCCACAAGGTATTATCCATGCGCCTTGAAAAAAAAAAAAAAAAAAAAAAAGCTTCGCAGATCCATATCAAAACTAACACGACATTTCGGTCAAGGTCGTTCTCTCAGCGCATGCAAAAATGCCTTTCTCAATATGTGCTCACAGGCCATCCACCCTCCAAAACACCCTGTGCCGTTTCCACGCTCCGACATGACCGGTCCGCCAGCGCCAGATCCCATGCGCAAACGGCCATTGTACCCATCCAACAAACCATTACCACGCGCAATCCAGCCCAGACCACCAGCCAGCACCGCATCTTATAGCAGCGAGAGCGGTGCCTCGGCTCAGCTCTCCCCAAGACTGGATCCGGGCACCGGCGAACCCCCTCGCAAAAGAGGTCGTCCGAGCAAAGCAGAAACAGAACGGCGCAAACTGGCAGCAGAGGCCCGCGGTGAAACCTACCCTCCACCCCGTCGTTCGAATTCAGCCAGACTCAAGATCCCTCCTTCACCGACGAGCCCGGCGGTTGGCCCTTCGACTCGGTTTCCACAATCGATCGCACCTCAGGCTTTCGGACCAAAACAAGGCCACATGCACGCCCATGGCCGGAGCCACAGTCACAGTATCGGCCACGTACCAAGTCCAATGATGTACGAAGCATCTGCAATGCGCTCAACAGTTCCTCCGGGTCCGTCAGTAAATGATGAAAGACGCGATATTCCAACTCGAAATATGCCTGGTCCTGGCCCTGGTCATGGCCCTGCTGCTGTCGCCGGTCCCGGTCCCAATATGCGCGAACTGCCCCGACCAACAGAAATGGGCCATCCCCTTCCAGCACCACACACACTTCAACTAGGGCCCCCAGACGCGTTCCCTAGACTCAGCAATCCAGCCGAGCGGCCCTACAGCTCTTTCACAAGCAATGATAGGTACTCTCCGCCAGACAGTGGCCGCCGTGACTCGGTGACAAGCCGGTCCGATCAACATCAACCGCCGTACCCAGAAGGACGGATGAGCACACCGGCGGAGAAACCCCCACAATGATATATTCATTCTATCGATGATCTGATTCTTCGAATTTCTTTTTACTGTCGTTCTCTTCTGTCTTCGACTGCAATTCCGGCTTTGACGGACTTTTGACTTTGACGTTGATCTTTTGTTTTCTACCCAAGCGCCATGAATGAATGATCTAGCACCCATTGACGACAATAGACCGCGTTTGTGTTGTGTTTATTGTGTGGCTCTTTGCTCCTCTTCTCTCTCTTCAAGCGATATCACTCTACTCCCTTCTTCTTCAACAACTACAGCCCTCAACAACTCCCGTCCTGCCGACAACTTCCGATGTCTCCCTTTGATGGCCTTAACTTTCACTTTGGCACCTATATGGATAGGGCATAGGTAAAAGTATATCTATCAAGACGGGACAACATCATACAACAGTGACCTTCATATAAAGATTGATGCGTCATGTTCCCCATGTTCAATGAAGATAACGGCTATTTTGCTTTTTTCGACTCTTGATATTTGATTCGTTCTCATGATTGAACGTTTGCAATTCTGCACCCAAGCAAGCCTTTCCTTTCTGCTGCTTCCAGTTGTCCTGAGCGATTCTTCCAGTTTCATAATCTGAACCGTGACTTGACTATATGTGAAGTCCATGATCAAGCCAAGACGTTTACGCCGTCTGATGCCTTGCACGCCTCACATCTCTTTTTTTCCCCCTATCTTGTGTTTACTTCGTTGCCATACTTTTTTTCCCCCTTGGCATTCTGCTCTTGCTATTGCCGTTGCTTTGCTACTTCTGATCCTTATATATCTCTATTTCTTTACCAGCCAGTGTCGAATCTAGCGTGCTATGCATATAACGTCGCAGATGTCTTTTGCTCTTGCTTCAGCGTGACGATGGTGGTACTTTGAGCCTTGAGTCGTACGACCTGATATGATTCTTATTTTTGGCCTATTTACTGTATTATTTGATTTGACCTTGTGGTATTTCTGATCGGATTCTTATCTTGATTCTTGCTTTTGTTTCTATTCGACCTTGACTGACTCCTTCTTGGATGATATCTTCCATTCCTTGCAGAGGCTGTTAATTCATATTTATCCTCTATCTTCACCTTCAATCTATAGTCTTTTTTCTTCTTCTTTCTGTCCATAGACGATATGACAGTTCAGGCCACTTGGCATATCTCCACCTAATGACTCCATTTGTGTAGACTCGGTCTAAATACGAAGAATCTTGTCTTTACCAGGATACACCTAGAACATGGCCAATCAAATACATGACCAAAAACTGGTTTAACTCTCTGTAACCCCAAAGCCCAAAGAAGACAGATATGCGGGCGAGAACTCACAATACAAAAATATAAGGAGAACTAAAGCCGGACACGGGGTTCGTCCTCAATCAGGTTGGATATAAGTTAAACTTCCCTATGCAAACATACGTATCTACTCCCTACAACCCCAGCATTCCAACAATCATTCCGCATCACCCTTCCCCCTCACCCTCTCAAGAAGCCGACGCAACTGAGCCTTCGAATCCTCAGCCGATTCATGAGCAGAAACGCCCGTCGCTTCAAGCGAAGAAGCCTCAGTGTCAGGAGCAACCTGCGACGAAAGAGAAAGACGCTTAGCAGGGTGAGGATGAGGAACAGCCTGACCACCCTTTGATCCATCTTCACCCTCACCCTCACCCCCATTCCCATTCCCATCTCCCTCCCCACTCTCACCCTGACCCTCCCCCTCACTCTCCCCGCCAGCCCTCTTCTTCTGCACCTGCGTGCGCAATGCACTGGCAACAGAGCTGAATGCCGACGGCGCAGACTTGACAGGCGTCAACGCAAACCGCTGCCCAATCTGCAAATCAAGAGCCTTCTCCTTGGCCAGTCGCATGACCTCGTCTCTATTCTCGACGCGACGGGTGAGGTAGACCTTTGGACCGGATTGGCGGTTGGTGTGATCTGACTCGGAAAGGCTGTGCTTGATGCGGTCGAGTTCCATCCTGTATGCCGTTTCGTAGATGTTGAAGTCTGCTGCTCCGGGTGATTCGCTGACGATCTGGGCTGGTTCTTCTTCTATTTCCATCTCGTTTGTTGGGTTCAGGGTGCTTTCTGGTTCTTCGAATATTGGTGCGTCTGATGTTGCTGTTATGGAGTTGGTGCTTGGTTCTGTGTGTGAGGCTCCTGTGTATGTTGACGGTCCAATGAAAAGGTAGGGAAAGTCTTCTTCTAGGGGATCCCGTGCGTGCCCTCTTGTGCCTTCTAGGCTGCGCTTTGTTGTTGCTGAGCTGGCGCGAGAGGGTATGTGTGGGGATGCTGACTGGGAGTGGGTTGCTCCTTGCGTGTCTGTGTTGCCTAGAGGTCGGCCGATGCGAGAGTTAGAGTCTTTTCGCTCTGGCTCGAAGACTCCGCTTGGTCTTTTACTGCTGCCTGGGCTGTGATCTGGTCGTGAGGAGATGCTGGCTGAGTCGCTGGACCCCATGGTGTTTGGGCTTTCGCGGAACCCTGCGAAAGGGCTTCGTCCAAAGACCTTTCTGATGCCGGCGCTTAGACCGTGGGCTTGCTCTCCTACTGCTGGGAAAGGTTCATCTGGGTCCATTTCCATTGGTGGCTCGACAAAGTAAGCCTCATGGTCTCCGCCGAGGATGCTCTGCATGGGTGTTTGCGCTTTGGAAGGATCCATCAGTCGTTTGAACCTCTTGACTGCTTTCATCTGGGGCTTGTTAACAATGTTTAGGACAGACGCATGATATCACTTACTACAGTCATGAGGTTACCCATATTCGTTGTAATAGCCGAGTTCATCTCTTCCTCCGTCGGCGGTGCAATGATCAGTGATGTGTTCTCCTCGAAAGACAACAAAGGATCTGTTCCATTCTTCGTTACCCAAGGATGCACCTGTTACATCTGGTCAGCATTGGCAACAGTGTGCGACTCAAGTCACTCACCCGTAAGCCAAACATGTCGATCCGTTTCTCCGGGTCTTTCTCCAGAATTCTTCCTATCAAATCTTTGAAGCTTTCGTCTGTCTCCTCTTCGCATACCAAGGGATCCCCTCTGATACTATCGTATAATTCGAATATGCTTTGTTTCTCGAATGGCAGCTTACCATATCGAAGACAGTATAGAGTCACGCCCATTGACCAGATGTCCGTTGCTTTTCCAGAAACATCACCGTGTTTGACAACACACAGCTCAGGTGGCAGAAATGCTGGAGAGCCAGCTGACTTAGCAGTGAACATATCAGAATTCTTTTCAAACATCTCCGATACACCAAAGTCCACTACCTTCAGCACATCATCATTGGTCAACAGGCAATTGTCCGGTTTGATGTCTCGGTGGACGATTCCCTGAGCATGAAGATATTCAATGCCCAGTATCAGATCGCGGAACCAGCACCGGCAGTGCTCATCGTCGTATGGGTCTGCTCGTTCCTCTAGTCCAACTTTCATGATCACGCCCTTTTTGCACATTTCCATTACCATATATAACGAGTCCTCCGTTGGATCATCCAGGACCTCGATCAAGGACACCAGATTATTATGGTTGAGCTTTTTCATGATCGCAATTTCCTCTTTGATCAGATATAGAGGATTCTTGGCAGTCTCATTATCATCCCCCGAAGGATGACGATGTAACGGCGAGTTAAACCCCGTCCCGGGTCGCCTCGGACCCCTGGGTCTTCGCAATAAATGCGATTGGGCCCGTTTTCTTAAACGAGACTTGGAGAATTCTTTCACTGCCTGAATGACAGTTCATCATCTAACAGTTAGCATCCACCCCCCGATACACCAGTTGCAAGGCCTTACATATTCATTTCCAAATTGATCAGCCGCCAGATGGACCGCACCGAACGATCCACGCCCGATCTCCTGTCGGATCACATACTGGTTGATGCGGTGCTCGGCGGTCCCATCATCTTGACTGGTGGTATACTCGGAGCGGGCGTCTAGTGTTTCCTATTGTCGGATAAATCAGTTCTCCAATTCTTTCCAGGCCTCGAGAAACCGACCTTCACCGGACGCCTTGCTCTCGGGTTTCGACGGCGATGTCTGTCATATGATGCAGCAGAGCTAGATGCATGCATCAGTATGATATATCATATCAAGCAAGGCATCATACTCACGCAACTCTGCTCGGTACCGGTCTTGTATCGCCTAGGTCAGTCGAGGGCTCAGAGACGTCCTCGACGGGAGTTTGGGCATTCTCATCCATTGAAGTACAGTGCAGACGTTGCAGTGGGGTAAAGACGACGTTGAGGCGGGGGGTTTGATAGCGTGGGATGCGGGCTGTCAGCCTTACGAGAGCCCAGAAGTACAAAATAAACCAGCAGAATCTTATAAAAATTACATCACAAATAGAACGGTCGATTTTCTAGGCAGCTCCTTTTTGATATGTTGGGTTGGACCACTTTCACCGCCCCAGCCAGCTACTCCCCTGAACTTCAATCAACACTTGACAGCTCAGCTACACCATGGTCGTCTACTCGTTTTACATCTTTGATCGCCACGGTAAGAATTCCCAGCTCTCTTTTCCATCCCTCGGCTAACATTTTCTTAGCGGAATGCATCTACAAGCGCCGCTGGCTACCGCGCCCAACCTCCATCGTGGGGAAATCCCGGTCTGACACTACCTCCGGACAAGCACCGACCGCCCTTGGTCAAACAGTACGATCGACAGACGATGATTCGAAGCTGGTGTTTGGAACGGTGTTTTCGTTGCGGAATATGGTGCGCAAACTAGGCGGGGAAGATGACAGGTGAGAAACCCCCCTGGATCAGCCGACTAGACCAACAGCTGGTAGCCCGAAGCTGGTACTTGGACGAATACTGACCCCAAGGGCATGGCTTAGTTTTGTGTCGTTCACTACTAGCCAATACAAACTGCACTACTACGAGACGCCGACGAATACCAAGTTCGTCATGCTGACGGACCTGAAGAGTCCCAGTATGCGCATCGCACTACAACAGATCTACATCAATCTCTTTGTGGAATATGGTTCGTGTGCCAGACCTGCTGATGCGATACACATAGACTGACCTCTTGTCTGTTTAGTTGTTAAAAACCCCCTCTCTCCGACCGAGCATACCGGCGGTGTAGGTGTCAACAATGAGCTTTTCGAGCAGTCATTGGAACAATTTGTGGTACGTGTATATCTCGCCCAGCATCTTTCCGTAATTGGTGACAGTTTTTCTGATATGGAAGTAGACTCAAGTTTTGTCATGATATCGAACCGCAGCTATGATCGAAATCACGAGTAAGACTGGTAGTGAGGGCTGCACAGTCCAGTGATATTTATAAAGAGAGAGAGGAAAGGAGAAAGGAAGGAAAGGGAAGAAACTAACCTCTCACCGCTGAGATGAGGCAGCGCGGGCATGGCACCAGAATCCTTCCAAGCTACACAGACGGCATATCTGCCATGAAGGCACACCGCAAGAGTCTCGCCGTCAGACACCTATCGGGCACACCCACCTACGACCTGGTGATCCGAGCCAAGTGCAACAGGTTGGCATCCATACCGCCTTTTTCAACTGGCAGGCAACACTCAATAAGGCTCGCTTTCTCCCCACGTGGGAAAACCGGCGCCACTATCGGGTACGCCACGCAGGACACCGGGGACCGGCCCGCAAATAGCTCATTCGGTTATTTCAACCAGGAACATTGACCAGAGACCAAATACCGTTGACCTCCGTGTCTGTTTAAGAGTTGAGATGTGCGTATCTATCAAATCAAAAGCCCAGGATCCAGAGCGGGATGACTCGGGATGAGAAAAATAACACCCTGCTATAACGCAATTCGAGCCAATTGTCGCACTACCTCGATCAAACCCCGATATCAATTTCTTCTCCGCGTGCCATTGCCTTCCCGTCTCCGGGGTTGTAGATAACAGACCCAGCCAACGCAGGCCCAGCGGATTGGTGGCTGAACATGGGAGGCTGAAGCTAGAGCCGACACGCTCGAGGTCTTATAGCCAAGCCATGCTGCCAAGAAGCCGCTTTCCCAATCCAGCCGTGGCTCGTGCAGTGCATGATGCATTTTCCGTTGTACATGTACATGGAGTATGTGCACCCTGTGTGCAGTGACCCGATGAACCGATAGGTTGAGTGTTTCTGAAGGGTGTAAGAGTGAGATTTGAAAGTAGAAGGGCATGAGGGATCATATGTTCGAGCTGACCGTGGCCATTGCTATTGGATGGATGGCGTATAAGGTAGTATACAGAAGAAACACCCCTACTGCAAGCCGCACTATAGCCAGAACCATTTCAGCTCCTCTCGTCAGCTCTCTCCCCCCTCAGCCTCGGAGATCCTTCTTAGTTCTTACCTTGTACCTCTACCTTCACCAGCTAACTGCCTAGCTAGGCATAGACCACACAGCCAACGAAAACCACCTTGGAAGACCCCCAGACCACCGCTTATCTAAAGCTCAGACCATCATGGATCATACCTTGAATCGTATCCTGGACCGTCCATATGCAACCTCCGGTTTGTTGCAAGGTTTAGCAGCAGACAGAGAGACCCCCAGTCCAGAGATGACCCTCTGTCACTCCAACCCCACACCAATCTTCCCTCCCATCTCTCATCCACTCCCCGTTCCAAATCCTGGCAGATGAGTTGTCCCCGATGCAAGCTGCACGCGAACTGGCGGTCAGCGGTTGACGTCGGGATTGGAATTGCGATTTACAGTAGATTGGATGGAATTTAGATTCAGGCTGGTTGATGGCTTTATGTGATCTACATCTCGTCTTCCTATAGCGCGAACAGTGTGGGTGGAATTGTACAAACTGTCGGGAGTACCACGTTATGTGCTACATAAGTCCAGTTCAGAGGCATGTGTGGGTTGAAGGTGGGGGGAGGGGTTGATGTGCAGTGTAGATCGGTGATATACTCCTATCTGGAATAGTGCTATACAGTATATTGTAGTACTGTATACTGTAATGATAGCATGTCGCGGTGGAGTAGATTCAAGCGAATACAGTCGTTCACGACGGATATTTGCTGTACTGTGCGGAAATTAAGAGGAAAGCAGCGAGGGATGTGATTGGATCGTGAAAATCCCTCGTAGTGGTAACGGAAGCTTGTGTGGAAAAGTGGACTCCACTGCATGTGTGAAGTGTAGAGGATTTCCTGTCCAGCCGAGGTCAGGTATGGCTTTCAGAAACCCGGGGTAAGTGTAAGCTGCCGAGTTAACTTACTATTCTTCCCGATAATATACGACACCAAAATATGATCTTGCCGCCTTTCACCCCACTGGGGGGAAAAAAGACCCAAAGAGACGGTGAAGAGGTTGTATAACTGTACTGTATACCGTACTAACGAATCAAAGCTAGTCTCTACTCCATACCATCTCCCATCTGTCTGGCCTAAACATCAAACTTCCAAGTGACGCTAGTCGAAGCTCCTTCACAGTCCCCACGGACCCCAATGGGGAGATGTGCAGGTGCTGTTACGTGGGGATCGTCCGGTAATGGAAGTGTGCAAGTGTAGAAAATATTCCCAAACAGGATCAATGAGAATGTACCAAATACGACGCACGGATATAAGCGGGCAGGTGACAATAGGAAGGTTTCTGTAGTAATCGCTACACAATCCCCTGGAATCGCAGAGTCCTGAGATTACTTCTTGTCTGGTACCCGTGGAAAAGACTCCCCAGATTGCATCTCCCGACCCATATCCCCCCACCTACCGTACAGAGTAATGAAGCACGTCTGTAGGATCATATGCGGCTAATCGATCAAGAGCAATACCCCCCCTCTTGGAGAACCGCCACACGGCGCTCCCAGCGCAGGTGAAGCGGGGGTAAGTCGAATCATACGTTGAAGCAAAAGAAGAAAGTGAAGTGCACAGCCTCCAGTGGCGTGGAAATGGCCAACGTCACGTACGGAACGTCATCGGGTCAGGAAATCCAGCACTTTCCGAAAATTACAGGTATCAAGTGTGTATTGGTTTATTAAATCTCTCACCCAAGTATCATTTGGCCTGTAACCCCATATCAATGCTACCTCGGGGAAATCTCAGGTCGTTCGTGAACGGTCGGATGGAAGACACTCGAAGAATTTGATTTCAAAGTGAGAATTCTATTGATGAGACAAGAGAAGAATAAGAGTAAGTTGAAAGTAAAAAAAGAAAATATATGGTGTACGTCTCACAACCTGCAGCCCTGAGGCTGCAGGTTTTTGCCATGCTGAGCGAGCATTAATAAGATTCCACAGTCCCCTTCAGCCCTGTAATTACACATACAGGTATTTCATCCTCAAAATTATCCCACTTCCTCTCTTTTCCTCTCATATACCTGGGGCTTGCCTGGCTGCGCAGAGTCGTTTTCATCTCTTTGTTCGAGTCAGTCTGGTCAGTCTTGCCTCAGGCCTTTGCTGGTTGGCGCATTTTCGCACACTTTCGCACTTCCCACCCGCACTTCCTACATCCTGACTCTCTACCTCACGTCTTCTTGGACGACGTCGAATTCTATAATTTCTACCTCCCTCTCCCCCGCAACACCTCTCGATCCACCGCACATGACTCCGCCTTCTCTTTCACCTGTGCAGTCCGCAGTCTCCTCCGCAGCAGCTTCACAACATTCGCAGGACCCTCGGGATGGCGATCCTTCGGTAACACGCGCTCTCGCGGGCATGACTCTGTCCGCTCATCCAAACGGGGATGTGCACCCGTCGCCGATTCTCTCCCCCGGCAAACCGACCAAAGCAACCATGGCCTCTCGTCTGACTCGCATGTTCTCCAGTACGGGGAAATCTACTCCGCCGCACCATGATGTGCACCGGGATCTATCCGACAGTAGCTTAGAAAGCATTCACCCCACCAACGGCAAAGAGAAGCCGTCTTCAAAACCTCCCTCTCAACCGAATTCCAGACCTCCTTCACGGCCTCCTTCACGGGGTGCCAACTCCCGAACCCCATCCCGAAACCCGTCGCTCAAGAGCGAGCCTGTGGCGCATTCGGATAAGAAGAAACCCGACGACAAAAAGTCCAAAGATGGAGCGGCTCCTGCACACAAGCGCTTCGAGGTCTTGCCGGAGAATCTCGGCAATCATTCGCATCATCTCCGCAGTGCCAGACGGCAGGAGAAGTTGACGGATCTCTTGCGCGATATGCTGGGTGGCCGGAAGAAGGATGATCAGGTGGATGAGCAACAGCTGTCGCTCATGTCGACGTGGATTGACCAGTTCAAGACCGAGCGTGATAAGCTGGCGGCTGATAAGAAAGGTGGTCCGAATGCCACTGCTTCGTTGGTCGACAAGTACGGCAAGTGCCAGGAGATTGTCGGCCGCGGTGCCTTTGGTATCGTTCGGATCTCACACAAAGTCGACCCTCAAGATTCCAAGTGTGAACAGCTCTACGCAGTTAAAGAGTTCCGCCGTCGGCCACAGGAAACCACCAAGAAGTATCAAAAGCGACTCACTTCGGAATTCTGTATCTCATCGTCGCTTCGTCACCCTAACGTCATTCACACCTTGGACCTCTTACAGGACGCCAAGGGCGATTACTGTGAGGTCATGGAATACTGCGCTGGTGGTGACCTCTATACTTTGGTCCTTGCCGCCGGCAAGCTCGAAGTCGCCGAAGCAGACTGCTTCTTCAAGCAGTTGATGCGTGGTGTGGAATATATGCACGAGATGGGCGTTGCCCACCGCGATCTCAAACCCGAGAATCTGCTCTTAACTACCCACGGTGCCCTGAAGATCACGGACTTCGGCAACGGTGAATGCTTCCGCATGGCTTGGGAAAAAGAAGCCCATATGACCGCCGGACTCTGCGGCTCAGCACCTTACATCGCGCCCGAAGAATACGTCGAGCGGGAATTCGACCCTCGCGCCGTCGATCTCTGGGCCACCGGAGTCATCTACATGGCCATGCGAACAGGTCGCCACCTTTGGCGTGTCGCGCGCAAGGACGAAGACGAATTCTACCAGCGCTACCTGGACGGCCGTAAACACGAGGATGGATACGCTCCTATTGAGACATTGCATCGGGTAAGACCTCCTCATCCCCCTGACCAGGCCGTACCCAGACTGACCAACCCCCAGGCTCGTTGCCGTAACGTGATCTACTCCATTCTCGACCCCAACCCATCCCGCCGCATCAATGCCTCACAGGTCCTCAAATCAGAATGGGTCCGCCAGATCAAGCTGTGCAAGGCTGGCGAGGAGGGATTCTAGATGGGTGATCTATCAAAAATGATTGGACTCGGTACCAAGGTTGTGTATGCGCTCCTCTCGGGGTTGGAAGTTTTTCTTTTTTTGACTACATCCCCTATATCTACATTGGGTGGTTATTTGTTTCTAGACCCATTCGAAGTGAAGTTCGGCGAGGCTGTCTGTTTTATCCTTTGAATGCTCCTGAAATAGAAGGAGGCCCTTTTCTCATTTTCTTCTCATTCCACGTCCACCGACAGCTAGCTTGCTTTTCTGCTTTAGCTGTTCTGCTTGTGCTTGTGTTTCTGCTTCTGCTTTTGGCTCCGGCGCATCTTGTCTCCAGCCTCTTCAGCCTGTATCTTTGTCTCTCTCTCTCTCTTTCTTCATGTGTTTATGTTTACGTTTACGGCTCCATTTTGTCTTATTTATCAATGGGGGTGTACCGGATCATGATGTGCTCAACGTTCAACTCAATGCAACGAAGAATCATGACCTATTTCATTCCGTTCCGTCCCACCGTCCGCTTTCTTCTCGTTTTCTTTTGATCTTCTCTTTCGTCCCGCGCCTCACTACTCACGTCTTTTCTTGCAGATACCTCTACCTCTTTTTCCCTGGCGTTAGCTTTCTTTTTTTCACACTTCATTCCCTCGCCCTTGTACTATTATCAACAAAGCCCTCGTTTGACGGGCTACAATACAGGTGAACATTCCATTCCATCACTTTCCTTTCTAATCCAGTCAGAATTTGGATCTGGATCTGGCGAATCCTACTCTGCTATCTAATTCTAAAGCGGGGTTGCATAGCCACGCGGTCAGATCGGGATTTGCCTTTGCCTGTCTGCACTGCACTGCATTGCGTTGGATTGGATTGGATTGGACTGGATTGGATGTCACCTGGAGGATGTCTGAACTCTTCTCGGTTTATGTTTTCGCTCTGTCTTTGTTTGAGTTTCTATTTCTACTACATATATCCATGCATTTGTAAATACGCCTTGAGCAATGAAGTTTGTCTTGTTCCGCAGTTGTCGGTCTTTTCTATTCTATTCTACAGTAATAAACATGATAGTAGTAGGTAGTTAGTTAATTAAATTAAAAAAAAAAACTTGCTCAAAACAGGCAAAACGTTATACCAACTTCGTATAAGTTATAACACAGCGAGAACCAAGCAAAAACAAAAAGATATGCAAGCGATGGGATTCGAACCCATGCAACTTTCGTTACCAGGATTTCCGTTGACGGATATCAAGTGTGGATGCTTGAATCTGGCGCCTTAACCAACTCGGCCACACTTGCACTGTTTGATTTGTTTGCTCGCAGTTTGGATTCAACACGGCAACTTGGTGCGGTCGACATATCCAGATAACGTTATGATCTACCTATGATATAACTTGACTTGTCGATGATGTCAAGTTGATTCCATGGTATAAATCTTGGAATATAGTTTTGTTCACAGCAAGGCCGACAGTACTGTACTGTTCAGTACCAGGTTCAGGTCCAGGTTCAGGTCTGACTTCATTCCGACTCACCCGCTACAGTAGCTTGGGTTTACTGTAGCATACTGCTCCGTACGCTGTACGCTGTACGGGTTCCTACTGTATCTACGGAGCCATCGGCATATAACTTCCATCCGGCCAAGCCGGACGATACTGTAGATACAGTACACTAAACCCACCTGTATACCCCTCTATACCAATTACTGTACTGTACTATCAAATCAACTTGAAAAACAAACTTACTCAACCCTACACTGTAGTATACACCCACCGCCAAGCCAGACCCTATTGTTTAGGCATCACCGTTATAGTCTGGGCAAAGTGGATATCTGCATATGCAGACGACACACTAGACAACACAGAAAGAGTCGGGTTCTCTTCGGGTCCCGCGGGTTCTGTTTGCGGCTTTTTCTCTGCCCTATGGATCTTGGCTGGGTTGTTGGGGCTGGGCTGGGGCTTGGGGTTGTGGCTTGGGGGTTTTTCTTTTCGACTTGCCTATTCTGGTTTATTATGCCGTTGGGGTGAGGGTCCGATCGGATGTGTGTGTGTGTTTGTGTGTGTGTTTTTGATACGGTTTCGGATGGGGGGATTTATGTCGGGATACTGTATCTATTGTAGGGAATTGGACTTGTCTATAGTACATGTGCGGAATAGACTGGAGTTCCGCATATCGTCCGGTGATACAGATGGAAGCCTCTCGTTCTTGGTGGATTTGTAATTCTTGCTTCGATGTTTACACTCTCCTCTGATTTGATCTCGAATGTCATATCAGTGGTTCAGGAACAACCCAAATCTTACAGTCCCTATCCCATCCCATCCATCCTACGGTACAGTCAAGGCCAAAGCAACTGCTTCACCCATTTACAATCATCCTTAGACCAAACATACCTCAACCGCCGATGAAGCCGATTAGCATCCCCCTGCCAGAACTCCACAGCCCCAGCATCAACCGCATAAACCCTCCACTTCTCAACACCAGCCATAGAATCCCTCCCCAAAACCCCCTCAGCCGCAACTAACCTCTGCGCCAAATCCCTCCAATCTCCAAGCACCTCACTCTGCTCCGACCCCACGGCACTGATCTTCGAAGCAACAGGTCTAGCCTGGTAATCCAGTGCACTCTCCGCATCAGGCAGGGCAACAGCAACCCCCCTCACCCGCACCTGTCGAGCAAGCAAAGGCCAATAGAACGTCAATGCCGCGGCGCCATTCCCGGCCAACTGCGTGCCTTTCGGGCTATCAGCCTTGACGGCGAAATGCCAGCCTCGGCTGTCGACGTTCTTGAGGATTAGGACCCGCGCATCGGGCATCCCCTCGTCGTCGACTGTTGAGAGGGTCATTGCGTGAGGCTCGCGCACGCCTGCTGTTACGGCTTCGTGGAACCAGTTCTGGAAGGCTTCTTGGGGGGTTGGGGGGAAGGTGGTGAAGTTGAGGGGTGGGAAGGGTCCTTCTAGGACTTTGGTGTTGCGGAGTTCGGTTCTGAAGGTTGTGTCGTTGGTGGTCATTTTGTTTTGCTTGGACTTGGGCTCGGTCTGGTTTGTCTGTGAGTGTTTGGATGCTAGGTAGGTTGGTCCGTAGATTGAGGATGCTACCTTTGAGAAGTGGGCTTTGGGTTTCTTTCGGCTATTTGAATTTTGATTTTTGTGTATACTCGACATTTTCATCCCTTTATATGCGGGCAGACCGACTCCTGCCCGGGATGTGAGTGAGTCATTGGGCGTGACGCATCCCGGACTTCTTGCCGTCGGTGTCTACTTTTGATTTGGGTGGTTTAACTGGCTGGTATGAAGGTTTTTTATGTAAAGTTGATATACAATCTCTATCTCCAGGAGCTTCTAATAGATCTATATATATTTGCAAAGAGTAAACAGTATGATACATCCGACTACTCCATTGGGTATATCTAAAAGTCTCGTATTGAAAAAAGGTAACATTCAATCTCAGCGTCACCTATCAACTGCAAATTTTCTTCGTAGACCATGAACGCTACACCTACAGAGTGCAACATCACAGCCTTGCAGCCCTACCGGATGCGTCTACGTCATGTTACATAAGCACTCAGCCACATCGCCAAGCCACATCGCAAGGCAGAAAGTCATCTTGGCCCCGACCAGGTACTCACTTTTGCGATTTCTGTCCTGACCTGCCGTACGCGCTGTTTACATCCACCTACAACATCTGAATTGTACTCTACTACACTTTAAATTGACAGCTCCATCCTCAAACTACCGCTGCCATGTCTTGGGCAGGTACGCCACCACTCCCACACTCCCCCGCGGGAGTCCCCCACCGATGCTGGCACGATCTAACAGAGCTCGATAGGGTTCAAGAAGAATGTCAACCGTGCGACGACACAGGTGATGATGAAGACGGGTGAGTGATGGGTCGAGTTTTACCCCGCAATGGGATGACGATCGACGACATCCGCCGGGTCCGCGGCGTGGAAGTAGAAGCAGGCACTGACTGAGAATTGGACAGGACATGTCGAGAGGACGACCGATCGCGACTATGAAATCGAGGAGCGGTATGTTCTCTGCTCTGTGAAGGCGGTCGATGGCACTGACTGGGTCGCATAGACGATACCGGACTATGGAAACCGCGGCGAATCGGCTGCAGAAGGAAGCCAAGGGATATCTGGACTCACTACGAGGTTGGTTATGATCTGGCGTGGGTGAATTGGCAGATGTTGACTCTTGCAGCTATGACTGCGTCGCAAATGCGCATTGCAGAGACCATCGATGCATTCTACGGCGATGCAGGCACAAGAGATGGCGTGAGCCGGAGCTACAAGCAAGCCGTTGAGGATCTTGATGCCGAGACTATCAAGGCACTGGATGGACCCTACCGGTAGGATCGGCCACCACTACTCCCCCCGCATGACTATCTGGCAGACTGACACGAACAGAACCACCGTCCTCGACCCCATCTCCCGATTCTGCGCCTACTTCCCCGATGTCAACGAATGCATCAAGAAACGCAACCACAAGCTGCTGGACTACGACGCCATGCGCGCCAAGGTCAAGAAGCTCGCCGAAAAGCCCGACAAGGATGTTACCAAGCTGCCACGAACCGAGCGCGAAGCCGAAGTAGCCAAGCAGGCCTATGAACAGCTGAACGAGCAGCTCTTCAGCGAACTCCCACAGCTGATCGACCTTCGTGTCCCCTACCTCGACCCCAGCTTCGAAGCCCTCGTCAAGATTCAATTGCGTTTCTGTGCGGAGGCGTACTCACGCATGGCACAGGTGCAGCAGTACCTCGACGCCGAGACACGCGATCAATACGCCAAGGGCGATCTGGACAATCGGGTCGAGGAGGTCCTGCAGGAGATTCGGGATCTGAGCATTGCGGGGACAGTCTAGGGTCCTGGAATGGAGTTTATGAGCATATGCCTATTTGCCTATTTATTGCGGATTGCTCCGGTTGCTTTGTCGTCCTTTTTTTTTTTCTTTCTTCTTGTTCTATTCTCTTATTCCTGTTTAAATGTACATGATTGACAGGAGTCCAAGCTCCGTCACTCTATTCAAGTCAATGCAATGCTTGAAATGCACCATAATCAAATCAATCACAGGGTATATCACAGGGTATAACCACCGGGGTATCACAATATCAACAAATCATATCATACACACCCACCAGCCCTCTCCATCCCCCAAAAAACCAAAAACAGCCCATCAAGCCCGATAAAGCTCCTCAGCCAAGACCTTCACAACAGGCTCCGCAGCCCGCTGATAAGCCGCCAACTCCGCCGGCGACACATTCGCCAGCACATAATCCGACACAGCGCCCTTGTCCCGACTATCGGGCCTCCCAATCCCCACCCCAATCCTCAGAATCGACAGATCCAGCCTCGCTCCCCGGCGCGACGGGTACAGTCCCTTCCCGCGCAACGTCTCACAAATACTAATCAGTCCGCGATGACCGCGCAAACTGGCCGACTCGGGCCCACCGCGTTTCACGCGCACTTTACCGAGCGGGGATTCGAGCTCGTCGTGGAGGATGACGAGCGTTGCGGGGAAGGCGGAGGTGGTTGGATTTGCGCCGCCGGGAGTAGATGGTGGAGAGAGTCCTTTCGCTTGAAGCATTTCGTTCTGGGATGTGGCCCATTGCTCGAGGGCGCGCACGAGCTTCGGCCCCGTTACGTTCATGTAGGTTGGGCTGTACCATGTTTGGTGGAAGTCTGTGTCTGGGAGGGATGCTGGGAGGAGAGGTGCTACTGCGTCTAGGAGGAGGTGGCCTGCTGAATGGCGGGTTCGGCGGAGGGGGGCTTTGTTGCCGATTGAGGCGATGAAGAGGAGGCGGGGGGGCATGGTCGACGCAGTTGGAGCATGTCGGTCAGCAGTCACGTACATGTAAGAGGGTCAATTGGAGATAACGTTAGGATAGTAAGATCTAAAACCCTAAAAAAATGATAGAGAGTTGTCGGTATAGTTCTGGTCTGGGAGATTATCGATAATCTGTCATGGATAACCTAGTGGGAGGCTCACTGCCAAGCCAGTAACCTTGCTTCGAAGAGATTCAGCTCGTACTGGTGCCTGGTACGAATCCCGGGGTCGGCATTTTCACTCGTGCGAGTAATCCACGACGCTGGAGGCCGCTAAGCAATGGAGATGACCCTTGAGGGAAGCAATTCTGCAGAGACATCTCCACCCCAGGATGGCGTCGCCAGATTACACCGTCCCGTTACAGGGAAGTTGGCTATTTGGTGTGACAACCACTTTTTTGTTTTTATCACTATCATATAGTAGATATGTATATGACTATTGTTTTGATTATCGCATCTTCTATAGACTCTGACAGAACATGAATTACTATTTGGTTTGTTTTTTTTCTTTGTTTGTTGTCTCGCGACCCTCTTCTACATCCGGTGGTTTCTTTCACCCAACGTTATACCAACACACCTTGCATACACCATACCGGTCTGGTTCAATGTGTCAAATGTGATATCCCGTATGAGCGGTGTGGCGCTTCGTGTTCGGCGTTAACATACCATGTCGGATATCTTACAAGCCCCTATTTCACAAAGAACCAGACTCTCAAGCTTGCCACGTAAATAGTCAGACCGCAATTAGCCTCAAAGTATATCAATTAAAGGCCAAACCAACATCTTCAGCCAGAAATCCTCCAACTGAACCATGGACTCACTCTTCTTCGACCACCGAGACTACTTCGCTGATAGGGTACAGAAACTCGTCGCGGAGCCCGATACAGCAAAACCCCCAGTCCCATCCGCACCATCAGATACTTCAATTTGTGTCCGGGTTCGTCCTCTATCTGAGCCGGAAATCGATGCAAAGCACGTTCAAGGTCTTTTTGCGCAACATCATGGCAGGGTCAAGATGTATGAAGCAATCAGGAAGTTCAATGGGAAGCCAGATGTGAAAGTATGCGTGACTGAGGCTTTGTGTCATTCTAGCTGACATCCTTGCAGTCCATGTCGTTCACCGTGGATGAAGCCTTCGGTTCGGAAAAAGCCACGCAGGACATCTACGACGGCAAAGTGCAGCAATTGGTCGAATGGGCATGGAATGGCGGAACGAGCATTATGCTTGCCTATGGCCAGACGGGGTCTGGGAAGACCTTCACAGTCACAGCGCTGGAACGACTCGTTGTACAGGCCCTCCTCGATACACGGCCTGAGAAAAAGGAGGTGCATATGTGCATCTTTGAGATATTTGGAAATGTTGCCTACGGTAGGATCAGAACTTTCTCTTCTGAACAATAACTAATCTATCGGTGATAGATCTCCTGGATAACCGGAAACAAATCAACATCCTCGAAGACTCATTCGGCTCAATCCAAATTGTCGGAGCTCTAGAAAAGAATCCCTCCAACGTCGAGGACCTCCTATCGCTAATTGAAACTGCAAAATCCCTCCGAACAACCGCAGACACGACTAAAAACGAACGCTCCTCTCGATCCCACGCAATCTGCCGGCTTCGGGTCATCGACACAGAACGTCAAGGCGCACCCGAAGGAATCTTCTTTCTGGTCGATCTCGCTGGCAGTGAAGCTAGCGCAGATGTACGACACCACTCCGCAGAGCGTATGGCAGAGACTCGCGAAATCAACAAATCATTGATTACACTCAAGGATTGTATCCGCGCACGAGCAACCTGGGGTATTGCACAGGGGAATGCCACGCAGAAACATGTCCACATCCCTTTTCGAACTAGCACGCTGACCAAAGTGCTGAAGCCTGCATTTGATGTGAATAGTAGCAAGGCATGCAAGACTCTGGTTATTGCTTGTGTTGCTCCGAGTATGTTAGATGTGCCGCATAGTCGCAACACACTGCGCTATGCAGAGTTACTAAGGGTACATGTGCCAAAGATTAAACCAAGACCTTATGATGCTTTGATTCCTACGACTTGGGAGAACAAGCATGTACATGAGTGGATTAGGAAGAATGTAAGTTCCATCTTCTCTGTCTTTCGGACACTCTCCAAATCCCGTTGTAAGAACAGGGTCTGACTTGTCATCTAGTCCGGAAAGCCTACCATCGACCCTACAAAGCTAGCCCCGTACGAAGATGGCACACAGCTATGCAAGTTACAGCTAGATGAATTCACTGCGCGCGCTACAGTTACCGTGGGAGTCCGACAGGAGCAAGCACAGAAACTATATATCAAGCTGTGGAGTCTACACATCGACTCACGGAGTCGGCTGAGGAAAGAGACTCTCAATGGCTCTAATAAAGAGGGCCCGGCTAAAGTAGCAGCCAAGCCAAGTATACAGAAGGATCCAGTCTCGCGGATCAACCACAAGCCTGGTACCTTCTTTCGATTGAAAGGTAATGGTGATCTGGTCATGGTAATGGGCAGGGAGAGCAAGACTGCCTATACGTGTGCTGAGCTGGGTTTATCTGACGCTGCAGATAATTGCTATGAACTCTTCGTTGCGAGGCAGAGGGTTGTTCAACACGAGGCATTGGGTGATGAGGTTCCGGTGGAGTATGATTTGAACACCAGATACTATCATTTGATAGAGTGATTCATATCTTGATTGGGATGGCCGTTTTTATACATCATTTGTGCAATCACATACCTTGCGTGAGTATGCGCTGGAATACGTAGTTTAGATAGTTGCGACTACTGACGCGCGTCTCTTCGCTCAAATATGAAGGGTGGACAGGCACAAGTTCAAATAGACACATAGGTTTAGGCGGTTCCTCTCATATCTCAACAAATTACACTTAGATCACAAAAGCTTTATAACGTTCGAATCCTAAACAAAGTTGAGATCCTGGGATGTAAGGCTGATCTAATAAGTCCTTGGGCGGTAAACAGGGCAGAATATAGATAAGGAGACATTTTCCGATAGCCAACTCTCCATCTCTCCCCAAACATCTGCATGCCGTTGATTCAGCCTCTTGGGGGTCTACAGGTGTATACCGCTGCTTCCCTGTGATCCTGTCTCGTCCGGACTCACCCATGCACCGTGCGACACCCACCTCTCGGCCTTTCCATGGGACGTCAATACAACGCGCTGCAGTGCTATCTAACTGCAACAATTAGCGCACTCTTCTTATTACTCACATTTTGCGATTCGACAGCCTATGCATATACCGATACCCCTAATGACCTCAATACCGAATACAATCTGAACCCTCAAGGAGCGATCGTGAGCAACGGGGCTGGACTCCCACTTGCGCTGGACTCGTTCAATGGACTGGAGATCCGAGACAGTGTAGACGAAGACGGGGAATCCAATGGCCTCGATTTGGTGCGCCGATACCCGAATGCTGCGAAATCCTTGGGCAACAACCAATTCGTAGAAGCCACGCTCGAGATTGGCGATGTGCAGTGGTTCTACCTGCCCGCGTCGGTGGTGAACGGCAAACACGCCAGCAAGGGCGTAGGGCTTCCCGGATATGTGAATGCCACCGACGATGATGATGCGAATGATGAGTTACGGAAACGAGATGGGCTGGACAAGCGATCCACCACGGTCTACCTGTCACTTACGACCTGCAGTAAGCCCGCCGCCAATAAAACCGATCCCGGGGATGGGTTCCCGCAGTTGCAGATGTACGTCTCCAAGTCGGAGACGCTGCAGGAGCCAGGGCCAAGTCATGATGACTCCGATCAAGATGTATACACGGCTGCTGGAGGGTATATTGGAATCGAGAAAGACACAGATAGCGACGTCTTTATTGGTGTCGCAGCGCCCAACTCGACTGATTACTCCGGAGGCTACAAACTCCAGCTTGCAGCCTCGATTGACGCATATTTCCACAATGTCGTCGACGACGACCCTTTCCTGTACTTTGTCGACGCAGATGTGTCTGCCGCGTTGCTGGTGACCAATAACCTGACGCAGGCTGCGGCGGGCTCCGAGAATTATCAGCAATGGATGAACATTACGCCTCCATATACCATGTTTGCCCATAATATCAATAACACTGCCTTACTAGGCTTGGAGCGATCATTCTGTGCGCTTGATGCGCTTGCACAGGTCGGACGGATCAGCAAAACGGTTGAAGTCGGCATGACCAGCCGTGGACTTGGAAACAAGCCGAAAGAGCAGTTCTACATCACTGGACTGAATCAGAGCTCGTCGTACAACGGTATGCTAGCAATGGTCGGCAACTCCACCACATCAGGAAATGGAATTGTCGGCGGCGGAGGACAGGTCTGGCAAGCGATGAACTTCACCACCAAAGCAGGTAAGGCTTTCCATTTCCACTCCAGAGAGGTCGCTTGCTAACCCCAACCCCACCATCATCAGACGACAACTGCGCCGTCCTCTTCAACCTAACCTTCTGCTCCGAGGTAGCCTACGCAGTCCCCTCAAACCCCAAACTCAGCGTCGCCAAACTACGCGAAATCTACGACACCAACGCAGCCAACTACTACCAAAACTTCAACTACAGCCTCCAACAAGTGCAATGCAAAACCGACCAAGAAAGCCTGTTCTCCCTCGCCGTCGACTGCGACGACTGCGCAACCGCCTACAAGCAATGGCTCTGCAGCGTGACCATCCCCCGCTGCGCAGACTTCAGCAACAACGCCTCCTACCTCGCCGTTCGCAACGCCGGCCAGGACTTCATCAACGGCACGTCCCTGCCCGTAGACAGCCCCTACCGACAACACGTTGCCTCCAACACATCCCGCAACAAGATCATCGACACGGATATCAAACCAGGCCCCTACAAGGAGATCCTGCCGTGCGAGGATATCTGCTCTACCCTCGTCAAGGACTGTCCTTCTACCCTGGGCTTCCAGTGTCCCAGTGGTCGCTGGCTGAATGCCTCTTATGGCTACCGCAATTCCCATGGTGATATTACTTGCTCGTACCTTGGTGCGGCTTACCATTTGAGTCTGGGGGTGAGACTTGGCGCTGGCTGGGCTGGGTTGATTGGGCTGGTTGTTATGGGTGTTATGTATCTGTCTTAGTTTTTTTATTATATAAATATGATATGAATGGTTTTGTTTGTACCTTGGGCTAGAGTGTCGTGCATGTCAGTTGTCCATAGGTTACCGTTCAATGTAGATGATAATAAATTGGCTTATAGTTTCCTGTGTAGAGTAGTCCTACAATAACAGCTCGCATAGCTCAGTTGGTAGAGCGCGTGACTAGTAAGAGTATCCACCCTCGGTCCATCACGAGGTCTGCGGTTCAAATCCGCATGTGAGCATTTCTTTTTTGGTTTTTTAGTCCATACATCACTTCTTTTTTTTCGGGATCTGAGCTGTTTGTTGATGGTTGTTAGTTATTTTATTTTATTTTATTTTTTTTGAGAAAAGCAGGTTCACTTGTATGTATATTTGGGGAGTTTGGCTGTGCTGGTATAACTTCTTGCGGGCGTACTATTGTACGATATCCTGGTTTATAGTATAGTTTATAGTTTCGTATATCATCATAGTTGACTTCACTTTGTAGATATATCTGATCCTTAATACAGTAACTGACTCCTCTTTACTATATGTATGTAGGATGTAAGTGTGGGCAGCGTATTGACAGAAACCTCTGATCCCGGTCATAGCAACGGTATCTAAGCTATAACTTAACGTTATAGCTAACTTCATAACCCTAACTACAAGTCTTTCAAATATACAATACAAGCCAAGCCAATCCAAACCAAACCAAATCACCACTCCAAATCCTTCCTACCCTTATTCCCATTCCCATTCCCATTCCCATTAACCTTCCCACTCCCACTCCCATCCCCCTCCACTATCTCCTTCTCCTTCCCCCCCTCAACAGCTCTATCCCCCCACCTCCCCCTCCAAACCCCAATCTCCTCCCCCCACAAATCCCTCACACAGGGATCACAAGAACTACCACAACAATCACCAGGCGCCGGCTGCGGCGGCGGATCATCAAAGGCGCGCTCTGCAGCGCGGAGGAGCTGTTTCTCGCGCGTGCGCGACAGCCGCGTTTTCTGAAGCCGTTTGAAGAGTGGGATTTCGGTGGGTGTGTAGTATGCTTCTGGGGGAGGGGGAGGTTGGGGGTGTTTGGTGAAGGGGGATAGGAGGGTTGTCAGGAGGGTTGTTGCTGTTGTTGTCACGGTGGAGGGGGGTGGTGTTGGTGTTGGTGTTGGGTTTAGACTAGGGTTTGGGCTAGGGTTTTGGGGTTGGGGTTGGGGTTCTTGTTTGGGAGCAGTTGGTTTGGGGGGAGTTGATGTTGAAGGTGATGTTGAAGGTGAATTTGAATTTGATGCCGAGACACCACCCGGTTGTACATCAATGCTCATCTTGCTCGGTGGATATGATCAAGTCGATATGATATGATATGGTATACTTTGGATATCACAGCCAGAGGAAATCATTCAATATCAATGGAGATGGAGCATTCTACCACGCATTAGCGTCGAATCCTCATCTATGATAATGTGAATGGTACAAACCACAAGGTAAAAGCCAGGATCCCAATTTATATGCAGTATGCAGTATTCAAGAGAATAAATAGTCAAACTTCCAGTTCTTGTCGGAAAGTGTGAAGCTGAAGCAAGTATGAAGCCGATTTTCGGGACCGGGTAAGAACTCTTCTCGGGCGGATAATCTTCGTTTCCTGTTCGTTCCGATGTTGACATTTCGTGTGTTTTATAGAACGTTCGTTTATACTACTAGCTAACTTGTTACTTTGGAATTGATGGTTGGAAGGGCTTTCTAATGATAACTGTAATAATCTCAAAACTCCAATGGTATAAGGCAAGAAATAAATAATAAAAAAATCACTTCCTCGGTGTCAACTTCGGCGTCGACTTCGGCGTCAACTTCGGCGACCAGACATTCCCAAGCCCAGACCTTCCAGACCCAGAAGCAAACCTCGGAGTGCCTCCAACCTGATTCAGCAGCCGATGCGCTGCAGGCGTGAACATCTTGCCGGGTCTTCCAGACCCACCAGACGTAGAAGCAGAAGCTACAGAGCCAGGCGTCCTCGAACCGAGCATGGGACTACTAGCGAACCGCGGCGTATTCGAAACAGGGGTTTTGGTAACCCGCGCAGCCTTTTCAGCTCTGTTGTTGCGCGCCACACGATCGACCATGCGGTGGTGGAGGGCTTCGCGTTTACCGGTTTCGGATAGTTGGAATGGATTTGGGGTGGAGTCTGCTTGGCCTAAGAGACGCCAGTCTGCTTCGTACTCTGATGATCCCGGCTTGGAGGATGAGGTGTAGCTGAAGGGGTCTGATTCTGGTTCGGGTTCGTCTTCGTCGACAAAGGCGTAGCCGTTTACACGGGGTGTTTCTGCTCCCGATGTAGACATGGCTTCTGATTCATTTAGGCGGGGTCGGCCGGCTATGGCGTCTTGGATTGCGGAGAGGGAGGGAGACTGTGGGATTGAGTCTGCTGCGGCTGCGGCTTCCGAGTCGAGGAGTCTTGTGTTTTGGTAGAGGGTTCGTTTCGGGCCTGCGCGGGACGAAAGTTCGGCCTTTTGAGGGAGCGTCTCGTGTGTATCCTCCACAGACGATGGGAGGAACATGAGGGTATTGTCCGGACGAGTCTTCCACGAGTCTGGTTTCGCGGGGCGGGCGTCCAAGTCGGTCTTGATGGCCGGCCCGTCTTGCTTGATCAGGCCCGTTTCGGGGTTCCCACCTTGAGCTATGATGCGCTTTGTTTCTTGGGCGTGATGGGCGATTTGACGAGCAGAGGGGACTTTGTTGCCGGTCCAAAGCCAGGGCTGTTTTTCTCTGCGTTTGATATTTTGCTTGTCGATGACTTTGTTGAAGGACTCGTTATCTTCACTGGTGTATTTTGCCTGGAAGGCGAGGAGACCCATGTTTGACACGTCGGGGACATTTTGCTCCGGGGCATCTGTCGCGGCTGTTGATGTAGATACGACCGACATAGGTGTGTCGCCTCCCCAGCCGTGGGGTGTCTCATCAGGTCGACTGGGCGGGAAATGCTGTGGTGTGTCCGTTGGGTCGGTCTTTCTTCTTGCATTTGAGCCTGGAGTGGGCGTGCGCATAACATCTGCCAATTTCTTCTTCGAGCTCGCGATCCATGCTTTATCTTTGGATTCTAGCGCATCTAGATATTCTTGCTTGCTTTGGGTTTCCAGTAGGCCGGGGAAGAAGTCGCGGGCGATAATGTGGGACAGGGTACTGGTGTAGACATCTTCGTCGAGGACCGTCGCAGGGCGTTTAATTCTTTTCGGAGGCGGAGGAGGGGGCATGAGCTGGCCATCTGGGCGCTTGACCAGCTCCTGCGAAGACGACATGATGGCTCAGTTGAGTTGAGAAGGACTGAAGCCTTGGTGACAAAAGAAACCGAGATAAGATAGGGATCAGATGATCCGAGCTAACCGCTTTAGGCCATGCATGACTACAATACAGGAACTCCAGATGTCCGGTCTCACGGCCACAAATCAAATGCCAAAGGCTGCATTGAAGCTTGAGCTTCTCTAAAAAAAAATCTATAGCGAATGTTCCAAATCCATATTCCCTCCAGTTCCTTTTTTTCTCTTTTCCCAAATTCCCTCCAAGACACCAAATCGCTGATCGCTGAGAAATGCAGATGAAAAGAACGACCACAGCTATAACCAAAACAAACGGAAAATATGGCTCACAGACATGTTAAACAGACAGATAAAAGACACAAGGAAAACACAGATCGTGACTCGTAGACCACAAAGGGTCGGGGGAAGCGAGAGTTGATACCCTCGATAAGACGCAAGGGGGTGAGATGATAGAAAAAACAGAAGCGAGAGAAAACCATCACTTTTAATGAGCAGTGGTTGGGAAGAGAGAGTAAGACGGGGTTCTGCTCTTCTTTCGGTTGGGGTTTTTAGGAGGAAGAGGAGGCAACGGTGCCTCGACTGGGATCGATCGAACTTCCACCTCGGAGGTGGATTTGGTCCGGTCGTGAATGGATCGAGACATCATCTCGTCCTCAGCATTCTGAAGGAGTTGTGCTTCGGCCAAGCTCTTGGTTTGGCGATGGTTGGACGATGAAGGAGGGCGGGCAAGGGCCTCGGCGGCAGTCAAGCGGTCAGTCGGCATCAGCTCACGGCTGCTGGAGAGACTGTGGACGAGTTCCGGTACGCTGGTGGTGGACACCGAGGAGCGGTGCTTGCGGGCGATCGAGGCCGCGCGGGAGAGCATCAAGCTCTCCTGGGAGTTGCACTTGCTGATGGGAGAGAAGCTGCTACGGGGAGAAATGGGGTTGCCCATTATGCCGGAGAAGGGATAGTGACGATCTGATTCTCCATCAGTTGCCAGGTACTCCTCATACAATGGCTCGTGAGAAAGTTGTTTGCCCAGGGACGATGGCAGGATCGAGGAACTGACTGGAAAATAGTCACCGGGCCGAGCGATATACTCGGGCTCATAATCACAAGGAGTGGCGGCCGAGTGCGGCGCAACCGACTGGGCAGGACTAGGGTCCAGATCTGGAGTGGGCAGGGCAGAGGTGCTCAACGGACTAGGTTGGAGGTGTCGAATCTTTGGTGACGGCCAAGGACCATCACTACGGGCAACGCCAATCTGTGGACGGACCTCATCTAGAGAGGTGCGAGACCAATCAAAGTTGGAGGTAGACTCGGCTGCATGCTCATAGCAGTAGTCGATATCTGCATCCCACGAGTCGTACGCCTCATCGTCATATGAGAACTGACGCACGCTGGAAGTCGGGGGCGACGTCACCTGGACCTCGGTTTGAGGAGCGTGTTGAAGATGCTGGGGCAAGGTAGGCGAACCAAGTGCCTCGGAAAACTTTCTGGACAACTCTTCGGCCACGTCAATGGACAATGGAGCCTTTGGCTGACTCAACCGCGGTTTGACCTTGGTCTTGGGACTGGCCTGGGATGTTGCGCAGGAAGGCGGGCCTCCCATACTAGACTCCGGGCTATCCCAGTACCGAGTTACTTCCTCTTCCTCCTCCTGGACATCCTCCAAATCATAGTGGCTGCTCATGGATGAGGTTCTGGCTTTATCATCCGAGGGCTCAGAGCCGAAGAACCTGGTGGGCTGCGCAGATTGCAAGCATTCCGGATATGTCATGCTGGTGGACAAGCCTAGGATCTCATCAATGGCTCGAGGAGCGGGCTCGGCAGTTTCAGGTGGAGGGGTCTCTGGAACAGCTGGAGGCGGGGGAGTGGTAGGACATGAACGGGGATATCTGGAAACGGGCCGGGAGAAGTTCTCGGTGACACGGGATTCCCTACGCGCATGGCCACGGTACCCATCCGGAGAAGCTGGTGGGCTGATACTGGGGACATCCACCGTGGTGGCAGTTCCAAACGCGCCCAGGTCTTCTGTGGAGAAGTTCCGGAAATGAATGTTTTCGGCACGGATGCCTTTAAGATCGGTCTGGGGCCGTTGAGATGCACGGATGGCGGAGAATTCAGTGACGAGGTCGTTCTCACGGGTTTGATCCAACGACTGGAATTGCGATGGGTTGGTATGAGTCAAGTGGTGGAAGTCGAATGGGTCTGAGATGATACTCTTCAGACGCTCATCTGCATTGGGGTCAATTGGGTCCACGTGCTTGATAGCATCCTAGCTCCGGCACTTACGATTCTCGCTATGGCGGGCGCGACGACCAGACAGTTCTTTCTCCCTGGGCTTCTCTCGATATGCCTCGTCTTCCTCGTCCAGCGTGGCGACGATATTGATCTTGCTACCTTGACGGCGCAGAATGCGACTTCCACGTGCTAGTAAGGAACGTGAGGGCTTATCCTTATCAGCCCGCATGCCCAGCGATGATACAGTCCGTTCTTCTGGCATTGATCCTTCCGAGGTCATGGATGACCCTGGAGACCGACGCGAGGTGGTCGAGGTAGTCGTGTTGCTTCTGGAACGCCCACTGAAGACTGATAGACGCTTCGGGCTATTCACATGAGCCGTTGACCTCGACCGAATATGAGCCGCATGCTCTGGCGGCTCATTAGAAGAACGAGTGGATGGACGGTCACTATCATCGTCCCATTGGCCCTTGGCCGGGAAAGGAGCAAAGGTCGACATTGTGAAGACCAAACATCTGGAGATCCCCGTGGGTAAAAAGGAGGGAGAGCCGGGAGATAAATGAAGAGACTCGATACACGGGCTGGTTCAGGGGTATTTTATGGCTTGTATGGTATGGTATTGATTTTATTTTCGATGTGATTTTTGAACTTCTTTTTTTGTTTTTTGTTTTTCTTTTTGTTTTTCTGTTTTTTTCGTTTCTTTTTTGTTATTATTTTTGAATCTCTTTTTTTTTTCCACAATTCTTTTTCAACCTTTATTTGCTCTTTGTTAGATCTATTTGCTAGTTCCAAGGTTACACAATGCAGGCGAGAAATTGAGCTGTCCCGCTGAGACCGAATTGAGAAAGTCGAACAGTAGACCACGGAACCACGTCCCAGCATCACGGAGCCGAAACATAACGGTTCTAGTGCACTTCAGGGCCCAAGTGAGATTATGGGGAACAAGACTTCCACTAGACTGTTTCTAGCAGGTATCGACGGAGGGAGATGTCCGGTTTTACTCGTACCAATTCACCGGATACGTGACTATAGCCAACTATAGAGAATATCGATAAGATGAGCGGACTGGAGATCCGGATACAGTATACAGTATGAACTGCTGTCGATATACTGTATCTGGATCTGCATCTCAATTTGCATCTCACTCTAGGTCAACCGTCTCTCTCTCTACTATACATTATCCATGCATACAGTATGTCCCTCAGCACAATTCAAGTGGAGTGACTCCCACAATGCTGTACGCAATTCCCTCATTCCACTTTTTCCTTTTTTTTCCTTCCTCTTCTATTTCCGTTTCATTCTCGGACAATATTCCTATTCCCACATCCTTGCTTAAAAGCCCGAGACCAGCCAAGAAACGCCTCTTCCCCGCGTCCCAGCGGAGCCTCGGTCAACGGTTTTCATCTCCTGATAGTCTAGTGTTTTAGTTTACTTTTTGAGTAGGGCTTGGAACAGACCGATCGCAATCTACGGAATCCGGCAGTGGGGACCCATAATGTCTTTGTGTATTCCCATTACAACCCATGTGCTCGGCATCTGCGTCTGCCTACACATCCCTGTCGAGCACGAGCAAGGATCTGATCGTATTCCTGTCCGTTCCTGGGTCCTGTGCCTGTGCCTGCCTGGGCCTGCCTGTACAGTACTGTAGGGGATGATCGGTGGGGGCCTCGGAGGGTGCCGTTCCCCTATCTCGCTGGGCTGTACTGTACCTTTAGGCGCATGTGCATGCACCGAGCACGGAGTATTCTGTAACTCTAGCTGGAACTTTTTCTATTAGGGTCAAACATCCATCTTCACTCGAGGCTAAAGAATGTGAGATGTGTGCCTTACATGAACCTACTGTACCGTTGAAACGATGTCTCAGAGGATGCATCTATAAGTTATACATGGTAACATTGTACATGTAATATTCAGACCATACAGTATTATACAGTCCAAAGACTCGAAACAAAAGACGGGACTGGTTTCGCGCTAGTATTGCGGGACTCCTGACGATCTCGTCTAGAACTTTTGAGTACCATCAAGTACACCACGTAGTGCTGACAGTGATAGGGTACATGAGGGTACCAATCAGATGCAGGTACCATCTTTCATCAGACTGCAGTTACCATGTATTTGCAGAGGAAGTGACACTCATCGTCCTTGGTTTCCTCGAGTCTTTCTCTCTCTTTCTCTCCCTCTCCATCTCTTAACACTATTCTCCCCTTTGAGAAGGTCAAAGGCAATCCCCGGCCGTTCGTGATGATCATCTCGTCATCGGCGAACAACCGAGTCCCAGGTCCAAGCGTCTCACGCCCCGTTCCCACAAGTTCAGGCCAGATCTACGGAAATAGAATATGCCCCGAAATTAAGAGGAAGGATAGGCACTCCGAGAGAGAGTACAGACACAGACTCAAGACACGGCCATGTTTGACTTTGCAACTTCGACAGTAGGCTCAGCCCTACTAGACTGTCGACAGCGCAAAAATCAGAAACGTTAACTTAATCTATAACAGCGTCTGTTTGTAACAGCCGAAGCTAGGACCCCCTGGAACTCTCAAGGTTCGAGGCACGTTTCGCTTTGACTTTGGGACCATGTATCAGGTCGAAGCTAAGAAGCTAATGGTTGGTTCGAGCTCAAGACGCGCCCACGAACAGGTTCGGTGTACTGTACACTGTACACTGTATTTCCCCCCTGGCCACTTCCCGAGATCGACATATCTTCGCTTACATTGAATGGTTCGTGTGGACCGGCTGGTCAACTTGTACAGTAGGTAAGTTATGGTACAGACGTGGGTAGGATCAATAGATCAAGCATATCCCTGACAGCCCCCCTATGTAACCTGCCAGGATGCCATTACGTCTAGGTCGGTACTAGATCATACCGTCGTCGACGGAGTAGAGCTAACTAATATAAGTTAATGAGACTATTGGACAGCTAACGGTCGCTTATCTGGGTAAAGTAGATTGAATATCGCCCGTTAGAACCACCTGTGGAGTTTGGAGGGGGGCAATTCGAACACTATCAACGTAAGTGCTGGGGCTACTCCCATAAATAGCCATGATAGTCGTCACCCTGGAAAGCTCGGAATTGAGATTGAATTGGTGCGGTCTGCGGTCTCTCTTTCTGCGACGATGTGCGACTAGAGGAAGGTCCTGAATGTAACCTGGCATTTTGATCGGTGAACTGGCAGGGATGGTCCGGCTTTGTGCGCCGTTGGGCAGGGGATCCTTTTCATACTGTAGAATGTTTGTTTGGGTCTTTGCTGGTCAGTTTGCTTATATTGATGCATCGATCGGACTATTGCATAGACTAGTTGTGCTATCGTGTGATCGACTGCGCTTGCACTAGTTGATTTCCAAGGTGAAAGAGGGTCTTTCCATTACAGGCATAGTGAATGCCCTGCATTAGACATTAAATTTAACTAGATCATACTGTATATCCAAGTCTATCATTTTCTTTAGTCGTTCAGCGGGATTCTAGATTGTTTGTGAGCTGTGCGTTGCCTGACTACTGTATGAAAGGGAACATACTCAAATTCGGGCCATGACAGTAGATGTGTCATTTACGCGTTGACGGCATCAATGACGGGAGTCCCCAGGTCAAAGCCACCGATGAGTCCATCAGTGCTGTCCTGCTCTCGCTTGCGGAGGATGCCCGTACCAAGGATGCCATCGTTGCCGTTGTTGTTGTAGTTGCTGCCATTCTCGTCGCCGTCGGTGAGGAGACCGTCATCGCGCTTCTTGAGCAAATCGTCGAGGTCAAGCAATTGCTCAACCTCATCAAGAAGGCCGTCGTCGTCCTTTTCGCCGCCGCCGCCGTGACCGTGACCGTGACCAGTAGTCATACCTTCATCGCGCTTCTTGAGCAGATCGTCGAGGTCAAGCAATTGCTCAACCTCATCCAGAAGGCCGTCGTCGTCCTTTTCGCCGCCGCCGCCGTGACCGTGACCGTGACCAGTAGTCATACCTTCATCGCGCTTCTTGAGCAGATCGTCGAGGTCAAGCAATTGCTCAACCTCATCCAGAAGGCCGTCGTCGTCCTTTTCGCCGCCGCCGCCGTGACCGTGACCGTGACCAGTAGTCATACCTTCATCGCGCTTCTTGAGCAGATCGTCGAGGTCAAGCAATTGCTCAACCTCATCCAGAAGGCCGTCGTCGTCCTTTTCGCCGCCGCCGCCGTGACCGTGACCGTGACCAGTAGTCATATCTTCATCGCGCTTTCCAAGCACATCAGCCGCGTCCACAGCCGCCTCGATTAGGTCGCTGTCAGCGTCGCCGTCATCACGCTTGAGAATATCGAGGTCAAGGCCAAGGTCATCGAGCAGGCCATCATCCCCATGATGAAGATCCTCGCGCTTGAGAATATCGAGACCAAGACCATCGAGCAGGCCGTCATCTCCATCATGGAGATCTCCACGCTTGAGAATATCGACATCAACATCACCGAGCAGGCCGTCATCCCCGTCCCCGCGCTTAGATTTCAACGTAGGAACAGTGAGGGTAGGAATACCCGGCGCATCAATGCCGTCGATAGAAAGATCCTCATCGCGCTTACCGATATTCTTAACCGTCAGCTGAGGAAGATCCAGATTATCGATCCCCAGATCTTGAGCCTGGACCTCATCATCAGAAGTAGAGATTGGAACAGCGAGGACCGTCACGGCCAGCAGGGCTGGGGCTGTGAAGGCGTAGCGCATGATAGGATGCGACTGGTGAATTGGTCAGATTGTGTTATTTGGCTGGGTCCGTTCTAGTATATCACTAGGTATATCACTAGGTTGGTTCTACGGGTTGGACTGGATTGGACTCACCAGCGAGGAACGGTTCGAGATTGACAGGGAGTATGTACTGTGTGGATGGGCCCTCTGCCTGGAGAATGCCCGGTGTTAAGTATCTGCCCATGGCTGAGAGATGTTTCCGGCGTGGTGGCTGTCGTGCTGTCATGACGGGGCCTGGTGTCCACTTCTTGGTTGGATTGGTGCTGTATGTATGGGTGTCTGTCAGGTCGAGGGTATAAGAGTGGGTTATCTTGGAGGGCCAATTGGGGCGGTGGTTGGCTATTTAATTCCATTGGATGCTACAGTGGGAATTTGGAGAGATTTGCAGAGATTTCGGAGATCCGGTCTGGTCACTTCGAGTTGATGCGTTGATGAGTGGCCGATCTTTGACCTTTTGGGCGATTCCGCTTCGGTTGGTCTCGTCGCTTCGATCCTACGCTGGCTGGGGTTCTTTCTTCTCAACCTGACGTTATAGGGGAATGAGTATCTATGTTGGTTGAACTGCTATTGCGATATTTGTATGACTGGGTTGGCGTTGGTGATTATACACCGGAGCAGTTGGATTCTCCCATCATGCTTAACCTTATCCAAGTTAGGGTTACGTCGCATCCTTCGCAGAACCAGGGAATACCCAAACCGTAAATCTGCCATTTCCTTGGAAATCACGCCTGTACAGCCTGATTTTAATAATCCGAGGTATCCAGCTGAACAGAAAATGCCTTCTAGAACCACATTTTGTTCAGCTTGACTCGAGAAGATATGCTAGAGAAGATATACTAGAGAAGAGAGTGGGATCCACTAGCCCAACCAATCAAATCCCCTCGTCTTGGCCCATACCAGAAAGACCAACCAGTTGCATACAAGTTATGGCGTTGACAGCGATGAATGTCGCTCTAGAAAATCCTGTGCAGGTGAGTACTGTCCAGTCCTGACACGGTCCTTGGTTCTCTTTCCCACTATAAACCACCTACGAACCACTCGGCTACCGCTAGTGAAAACCACCCCCGGTCAGTCTTTCCAGATCCAATCCCTGACCAGACAATTGATATTGGTAATCGATCCCTGGGTTCGGTGTGTCTCTGGTAATGCGTTGTTTGAGTATCCTCGGGCGCGATGTGGGAATTGGGGCTGCGTCCATGGTGCTTTCAGCTATGGAGACAGTGGTCACTGTCTCACTTTGATGCTGCAGAATTATTTTCCATGCAGGTGTCGACATATCCGCTTAATTACTTGAGTTGTCAAATGTGACATGTGCACTGGATTTTAACTTACCACTTGAGTTGAAGGGTAGGGCTGTTCTGTTCTACTGTACACACACACACACACACACATACAGAGAGAGAGAGAGAGAGAGAGAGAGAGAGAGAGAGAGAGAAAGACACACAGTCCACAGTCTACAGAATACAGTAAAACACAAATATCCCACAAACTGTCAGAAGAGAAATAAGACTAGGATGGGAAATCATCCAATCTCGACTAGAGTCCCCAACCCCCACACCCGCAATAGCCCTCTCGACAGACACCAAGGTGACATTTAGCCCCATCGACTAGTCCAGACGGAGTTCTAGTCCGAGGAATGAAACGAAGCACACAATCTGACCATTGAACACACGAGCAACACCAACACCAACATCAACACTCACGCTAACACAAACACTAACACCCGTCCTCCAGGATGACTCGGACCTAAGTTATATCAGCGTTACATTTGCATCGACACTAACTGTAACTTATAAGTTATAAGTAAGTGATTGAGTTTGACTGGAAGTGAATTGAGTTCCAGCGCTCTTATCTCGGCATTTCTGGGTCTTTGACATGCTGGCCTCTGCCTCTGCCTCTGGTACCGGGCTGACAGCTGACAGCTGACAGCTGACAGTCTGACTTCGATGTCTGGACCCTGGACGGTGGGCTCGGACATTTAATTTGCGGGTTTTTAATCTATTCATCGAGAACTAGCGTTCAAATGCTCCTTTCGAGTTTGGTTTGACAAGCTTGGTACCGAGGCCCGGTGGCTTTGTGGCGTGGTTTGGTACAGTAAAAGGGCCTTGTTAGTGAAGTTACAGTATGTTAGTAACTATGTCAGGTCACTTGGTTTTCCATACTGTCAATATGAGATTCGGTTTTTGTAGAACGCAGGCTAATAATTACACATGGAAGAATCCCGGAGGAAAGTATCAAATCATGATGAGATTGAATGCCATCCCTCCCTAACGCCGGGGAAAATTGGGAAATGAAGAGACCAACAGAGAAAACAAAATAAAGAAAAGATTCAGGAGTAATGAGACAAATCAATCCTGCATCTCGGTATCCTCAGCAGGCTTGGGATCCTCTTCACCGAACAAGTCATCGTCGTTGTCAGGTACGTCAGCTGCCGCTTCCGCTTCAGCCTCGACCTCGTCCTCCTCGTCGTCGTCATCCGCAATGCGACGAGAAGCCTTGCCCCGACGACGGGGAGCGGCATCTTCCGGCGCAGGCTCGTCGTCAGAGAGATCGTCGTGGTCGGCAGTCGGGGAGGCAGGCTCATCGTCCGAGTCCACAACCATCTCACTGCTTTTGTACTTGCCCGGGGTCTCCTTCTGAGCTTTTCCACTCGGAGCCTTGCCCTCGGAGCGACGGCCCAGACGACGACGCTTCTTGGGCGCCGCCTCGCCGCCGCTCTCGGCACCGCTGTGAGCGGCCTCGCCGTCCTCGTCGTCGGCAATGAAGTCGTCGCCGCCCTTCTTCTTGCGCTTGGCGGCGGGCTTCTTCTTGCGTTTGATTTGTTCGCCCGTCTCCGAGTCGGCCGTGAGCTCGGCTTCCTCGCGAGCGCGGTCATCTTCGGCGCGCTGGGCCGCGTGCCGCTGCACTTCTTCCACCATCACGGCGCGCTCCTCGGCGATGCGCTTCTTGCGCTCGGTCTCGACTTCTTGGGCCTTGCGCAGCTCGGCTTCCCGGACACGTTGGGCTTCTTCGCGTGCGTCACGGGCTTGCTGGAGCTTGGCGGCGTTCTTCTCCTCGTACTCCTTCTGGCTCTGCATGGCTCGGTCGAGCTGCTTGCTGATGGTGCGACCCATGTTGGCTCGCTGCTCCAGGGCGGCGCTGGGGTATGGCGGGTTTTTCTCCTTGGAGAGACGCTCGAAGGTTTCAATGGCTTCTTTGAGACCATCGGCGGCTTCCTGGACGTCTTGGAGGGTCTTCTGGGTGGATTGTAGACCGTATGCGAGGGAGGCGATCTGGTTCTGGACAAAAGCAACGTTGAACTGCAGGTGGAGTTGGTCGGGAGAGACGGTGCGGGCACGCTGAGCGTAGTCCAGTGCTGTCTTCATGGCTACCAAGCTCGCTTCCTGCTTGCCTCGCAGCCACCAGACACGGCCAAGACAGGCCAAGATTTGCACATCACGGGCACGATCCTTGGCCAATGCAGTTTCGTAGTTTTCGATTGAACGTGAGAACTGTCGGAGCTCGGCAAACACATGTCCCAAATTGAGGTAGACGCTGGGGTCTTTGAGTGTGTCGCGGATCTTGGACAAGATTTGCACAGCAGCACTGTGGTCTTTCTTGTCATCAACAAGGGCGATAGCAATACCCTGAGCAGCATATGCATTCTTAGGGTCCAGCTGCAGAGCCTTGTCGAAGAATTCAACCGCACGCTGGTAGATCTTGCGGCGCTTCTCCTTCTCCTGGTCAGTGCCACGGCGCATGTCACGAGCGGCCAGGAGATGGATATTACCCATCCCAGTCAGCGCATATCGGTCATGCTTGTCGTAATGCTGCAGCGTGTGCTTGAAGTGACGTTGCTCGGTATCTTCAGCAATGTTGGTGACTCGCTTCTTTGACTTGCTGAGGTACCATCCAAACAGTGCACGAACTTCCACGTCTGTGTTCTCAGCCTCGTAAAGCTGGGTGATCTTCTTAGGTCCCTCGTCTGTGGGACTTTGACGCAGAGCGATATAGGTCAGACGTGCGCTGGCCTCTGTGTAATCACTGTGACGTTCTAGAACACCCTCGTAGACCTTCTTGGCTTCATCCCACATATCAGCTGATTCGTATGTTCGTCCCAGGTTGTAGCTGATTGTGGTGATGAGCGCATCAGTATCTGTGCCATCCTCCTTGTCTTCGGATTGCACACAGGCGTTCAGCGCGGACTGGAACATGCCACGAGCCAAGGCGATTTTCTCGTGCTGATACAGGAAGCATCCCATGTTGTTAAGAAGCTGCGGCGGCAGACTCTCCCTGAGAGCTGCGTTCATTGAATCCTCATCTTCGATGCCGTCCGGCCGAGCATCTTCGGGAATGCTAGCAATCTGAATCTGCTCCAGTTGGGTCAGACACTGCATGCTCTTATCTGGAGATGTGCTCTCATAAAGACGAGAAAGGTAGACCAAAACCGACTCATCAGGCGAAAGCTTTTGCTTCTCATCCTTCCACATAGAGCGCACAGACTCCAAGAGAGTGATGGCCCGCTTGATTTCAGTCGACTTGTCTTCCTTGCTACCAGCCTTTTGAGCAGCAAAGATCTCTTCCGCATGAATTGCACCTAGAAGAATCATTGCCTCCGGGTTCTTCGATTGCTGGACAATCTTCTCCAATCGGAACTTGGCGCCATCAAAGTCCTTGTTCGAGATTTGCATCTGAACAGCGCCGAACTTGGCAGGGAGGTAGCCCTTGTCACCTCCACCACGGGCTTGGTCAGAACGATTGTAGAATTCCGCAGCACGAGCAGCATCCCCTTCGTAGTGTGACTTGCGACCGAGTAGGTACCAACCGTCACTTGCAATGGGCATGACGTCTGTATGTTCAATTGCTTTACGTGCCAATGTCTCGACAGTCGGATATTGTTTGCGCAGGAGGAAGTAGCTGGCGAACAAGGAGCAGGTCATCGGGTATTCCTTGTCTAATTTGAATGCCTTTTGGGTATATTGAGTCATGGCCACCTTGTACAATGAGCCGAACATCGGGTCGGTGGTGGCTCGACGGGAGCTGTCGTAGAGGTAGTATTCTGCGAGGAGGATGTTGGCAACCTTGGATTCAGGATTCTGTATTTCCATCGTTAGTCAGAGTATAACAACAACAGGTTGAAAGTCAAGGCTTACCAGAGCCAAAGATCTCTCCCAAGCTGCCTTGGCTTGGTCCTTGAATCCAAGCTGCCACAAGCAGCATCCGATACCAATACGTGGGTCTGGGTCTGTGAGACCAGGCATCTTAACTAGAACCTTTTGGTATCCCTCAAGTGCTTCCGGGTATCTTCCCAGCATGTAATGAGCCCGAGCACGTCCCATGATGGCCATAATGTTCCGGCCACCAAAGGCCTTGGATGACTCGTCAAAGCATTTCAAAGCTTGGCGCAGGGACTCAACTCGTTCGGAGGTGTCAATGGCGCCTAGTCGAACAGCACGGGGAGGGTATAGCGATGCGCGGAGGAGACAGAGGACGCCACGCGCTAGGAAAAGAGGCGGATAAGCCGGGTTCAGACGCGATGCCTCGTTCAACGTTGAAGTTGCAAGTTGGAGGTAGTGATCCTTGGTCTTTGCTTCAGAGTATAGTTCTCCATCTGGAGCGACTCGTGGAGCATATCGACTCTTCAGCATGAGAAGCCAGCAGACCCAGCCAAGCAGACCGAGTTTCTCCTTTGTTGCTCCGTGGGCCACAGAGGCCAGACCTTTGTTCAGAATATCGATGGCATGATCGAACTGCTTTCGCTTGGCATAAGCAAGCGCAATGATCACCCAAAAGTTCTTGGCCGCTTTTTCGTTTTCCAGAAGAGTGCAAAGCTCGGTCGGGTCGTCGGGGAGCTCAAGCAAGCTGACTTCAACTTCACTGTCGAAGCTGGATGCGGGAATATCGATGGCATCGGGGATATCGGAAAAGCGAATGTTGCTCAGAGGGTTCGTGGCGGAGGTAGAATCGCCATTGAGGCCATTGGAATGGCCATTTTCGAGAGGCGCCATCTTCGAGGCGTCGGGAGGGATGAGGCCACTATTGCGAATGTGTGTAGAATTGTTGGAGCCTCAACTCATGATCGAATGAAGCGGTCCATCAAACGAGGTCAGATTTGGGTCAAACGAGGTTAGCGACCTCTTAGTCGGAGAAAACGCGAAAGTGAGTCTCGGAGGTTAGCAACGCGGCGATGGAGAAGTTGAGAATTGAGAGGAGTGGCTGGCCTGCACCGCCACATCAGCCACCTTGGTACAATGTCGCATCAAAGGCATCAAAATGTATATCGATATATATGGGAATAATAGCTAATACTAATATAATTTACTGATTCTTAAGGTGATATCCCATGTCCAGAATTCCCAGAATATCCAATTCACAGCCAGCTGGTGATGAACCTGCAAATGAGACCAACGCTGAGCAGAGCCGCAAAGATCAGACCGAGCTCTATCCAATGGTGCAGACGAACGTAGGACTCTACATAGCCATCCGACGCAGCAACTGCCTGTCCATCTGTTGCATGGTCGGCCTTGATCGAACCAGCCAAATCAGATGGGAAACGACCTGTTTCGAAGTACTGATCCATGAGTTCATCTTTTTCAGCCCAACGCTGTATCAGCCAGGCTTCAAAGACTTTCTGGTCATCAAGAGGAATTTCGGAAACTGCGAAACGTCTCCAATGCATATTGACCGAGGTTGGCGGTCTTCCTTGTAAGAATGTGGAGCGAAGTGTGAAGTATTTGTCGGGGTAGCTTCCCTTACTAAACAACAGTGAGTATCAATAGAGAAATTTGTAGGAGAAAACATACGGTGGTCCTTCATAGGCGATGGTGCAATCATACACCCAGTCTACAGTTCCTCGTAGTTGCTGGAGACAGAAGAACAGTCCTGTAGAACGCGGGAGAATCTGATGCTTGAAGGATGGCAAACCCATTTTCTCTCCAAAGGCGTCACTGCGGCCCTTCGTGTTGGTAGACAAATTTGTTCCCTCGGGAAAGATAAGCAGCCACATTGGATCAAATTGTGGGCGGGCTGAATTAGATCCAGTGAGTCGTGTCTTCAGCTTCTCCAACCGGTGCTGAAGCCTTGGCCTGTCAGACTGCCACTTGCGAGCCATGAAGATGAAACCATAGAACATCATGCCCGTACCCACAATGGGAAGATACTTGAGTGACTCCTTTAGGATGATAAAGATGCGGCCGTGCATCGTGTTGGTATATGCAACCCACCAAAGGTAGATCCAGTCGGTGTAGACCTGGTGGTTCGAGATCATCACTAGCCGTTCTGGAAAACATGTCTCCAACAATCCATCTTTTGAGAGATGGATTTGACCGCGAACACTTTCATCACCACTGACTCGGAGAAGGGTCGGAGAAGCCCAATGGGTAGCAGCCGTGATCACCAGCCCAAAGCATTGTTTTGTGTATGCCATATATGAGTAATACCAACTTTTGTTGACAAAATATAGCGGAGACCCGATCAACTGTGTCACACAGATGGCAACACAACAACAATTAAACCACGTTGCGAGCAGCAGGGACCGCAGGACCTGCATGGGAATGCCATGCTTGAGACGAGGCTCTGAGGGCAGCTTTGTGTAGACTCGTTGAAGCTCGTTGGTATTCTTGATTTGGTTACGCTGTCGAATCTCGGATGACTCCATGTTTACGTATTGGAATTTGAGTTGTGTGGGATCTGGGAGCTGGAGATCCCAAGATCCTTGGAGCTGGAACCGAGTCCGGGGGAGCCGAAGTATGAGGGGAGCGCGCAGAGCCCACTCGGGATGGGTGTGTGAACGGATATGAAGACGCTCAAGGCGTTCCAAGACTGAGGACTAGGAGTTAGAAGTAGACAAAAGGATCCCCCGGAAGGCCGGGAGAAATGATCCAGTGTGGGCTCGGAGTTAACGTTAGCAGATCGAACCCGTGACAGCCCAACCTACATAACGTCACCACACCCCCCCAAGGCGGTCAACTGTTTACTCCGCCTTACAAGCTCTAGCTTTGTCCTGTTGGAACTCCTACTTGACTTAACAATTGTCCCCCATCTCTGGATAGTTGGGCTATAACATGGATTGATGTGAGCACAAATCAACCCAAATCACGGTCTCCTGGCTGATCAGCACCTGCATAGGCCAACCTTTACCATGCAGCGCATCTTCCGCACTTCTGTTCGCTGCTTCTCCACATCTATACCGCGTCACGAGATCAAAGACATCGGCGCTTTATCCCAGCGCCTGATCCCAAAATACCAAGGTGTGGGTCTTTGAGGTGACTGAGTGGTCATCCGTTTGATCTGAGGCTGATTCTGGTAGAATCCTGTGATGGGGAGCTTCTTTCTCTTCAGTGGCCGGCACCGCCACGCAACATCTTCCTGGTGCGCAAGGATTGCGCACCAGCTGTGACTGATTCTCTGATTGAATTTGTAAAGTAAGTTCCAGAGTTTTCCAAGTGACTGCACACCCTCATTTTCTAATTTCCCCAGTCATATTTCCTCCGCATACCCATCCATCCGAATCATTCTCGAGTCGAAGACCGCTGCCGAAGTACATTCATCACTCCCTTTCCCCGTCTATTCAGCCTGCCTCGACGAGAAGCCAACCGCATTGCATGAGAAAGTTGACCTTACGGTGACATTAGGCGGAGATGGCACCATCTTACATGCCTCCTCGCTTTTTGCAACCTGCTCAAATGTTCCACCTGTCTTGTCATTTAGCATGGGCACATTAGGATTCCTGAGTGAATGGAAATTCTCTGAATTCAAAAGAGCCTTTCGAGAAGTCTACATGTCTGGAGCTGGGGCAGGAGATCGCACCCCGGTGCTTGAAAAGCCCGCCGAAACAACGGAATTATTAGGGCAAGAATCCGAGATGGGTCCAACAGGATGGTCTTCTGTTCGAGGAAAGTCCATGGGCTCAACTCGCGGGGCACGCATTTTGATGCGCAATCGGCTGAAAGTTGGGCTCTTTACCGCCGACGGCGTCGAAGCTACCCCAATCCGGACCAAAACAGATCAGGGCCAGGGAGTCTATGTGATGAACGAGCTCCTCATCCACCGCGGCAAGGAACCGCATTTAGCAGTAGTGGATGTGTTTGTTGGAGGGCGCTTCCTGACCGAAGCCGTGGCTGACGGCATTATCATCTCCACCCCGACCGGGAGTACTGCATACAGCCTCAGCAGTGGGGGTAGCATTGTGCATCCACTAGTCCCAGCCATTCTCTTGACGCCGATCTGCGCGCGTAGCCTCAGCTTCCGCCCATTGGTCCTCCCTTCCAGTACGCCTATCACCCTGCGACTCAGCGAGAAGAATCGCGGGCGTGAACTGGAAGTCAGTCTAGATGGGGTCAACCTGGGCCAAGGGATGGCAGTCGGCATGGAAGTTCGAGTTTGGAATGAAGAGATGCGTCACGGCGAGAATGAATGGCAGGGTGGTGTACCCAGCGTTATGCGGAGAAGTGTGGGCTGTGAGGCCCACGAGGGATGGGTTGGAGGGCTAAATGGCCTATTGAAATTCAACCATCCCTTTGGAGAGCCATAAACATAGAATTGTAACATATGCGAGCACCATGAAATTCTCACCATACAATGTTCCTGTTTTGTTGCTGCTCCCGTGATTGGCAGAGGCTTGTTTTCTGTAGATGAACGTCTCCATCTCAGGGGACCCCTTTCACCTTCTTCCCCCCACCAACTTCATCTTCCACCCTCGCTTTGATCACTGCGTTTCGTTGAGCATCCTCGCAGTGCGAGGACAGCTCCTGATTATTTCTCTGGTATGATCCCCCGGTCTTTTTCTGACTCCTTATGCTCGTACTCGACATTCCGTTTGTATACGCTTGAGATCAATGCTGGGCCTGTGCCTGTGCCTGTGCCTGTACCTGTGAAACCCATCCCCTGGACTAACTATTTCTTAGTCCTGACCTCAGGAGGTCTCGGCGCATTCGTTCCCCCTTGAATTATGACATCCTACGGAAAGTCCGTCCACTCCTCTCCTCTTCTCTAGACATGCCACTTACAATGCACAGCAACATGTACTCTCCCGATCAGTTCATGAATCCGGGGCCCGCTCCCCGCCCCCCGACCGATCGTCCTCCTCAGTTGACTCTGCCCACCAACAATGCCACTGCCTCTTTTGGCCAGATGACTTTGGACTCGCCAAGTACCCCGGGCCCGGGATCGGCCAATCTTTCGCTGTTTCCCAATACCAGTAGCCCATCTCTCGCCATGAGTCGGAGCAATACCCAAAGTGGAATCACCATTATCAAAGAAGGTCATGTTCGTTGCAAAGAAGACAAGTTCTTGGCGACATGGAACTCGAGATATCTGATCTTGCGGGAGTACAAACTCGAATTCCTGAAGAACGACTCGAGCAAGGTGGTGATCTCCTTCCCACTTTCGTCTGTTACTGCGGTGGCCCGCTCGGAGGAATCTAAGATGGCTTTCGAGGTGACTCGTCTCGCCAATCCAAAAGATGCCTCGTCGAAATCTGTTCTCCTTACTCGCGACCTGCCCACCAAAACCATCACCTGTGAAGTCAAATCCGACGACGAAATTTATGAATGGATTGACAAGATCTATGAGCGATGCCCTGGTATGGGCGGAGTCAGCAATCCAACCAACTTCAGTCACCGCGTTCATGTCGGGTTTGATCCCAAGACTGGTGCCTTTGTGGGCTTGCCACCAGAATGGGAGAAGCTTCTGACAGCATCAGCCATTACCAAGGAAGATTACAAGAAGAACCCACAGGCCGTCATTGAGGTCCTTGAATTCTATTCAGACATCAAGATGCGTGAGCAGAACCCTCAATATTATTCTGGTATGAACACACCTTCCGGCAATGGAGCCAAGTCATATGGCAATAGTGTCGGAAATTCCATCGCCCCCCCACGACCTCCTCCACCAGGACCAGCGCAACGGCTTGATAGCGGCCAATCAAAGCAGTCTGATGCTATGCGCTCGGTTTCCTCCCCTTCGCAAGGCAGAGAGTCCGATCGTGCCGCTGAACAGCAGAAACAAGCCGAACACCTTAAAGAGCTGGCTGAGCAGGAGCGCCAACGTTTAGATGATCTCCGTCGTAAGGAGGAACAAGATGCCTATAACCAGTCCATCCCCCAAAGCCGTACGCCTATGGCTAAGCAGGAACTCGGTGGCTATGGTGGAGAAGATTCATCTAGCAACAGCCGCTACCAGCCAAGTCGTCCAGCCCCTCAGGCCCCAGGAGCTGGTGCTCGTGCTCAAGACCCGCGACAGTTAACCGCACAGCGACCCGCACCAGCACCGCCTTCGCAGAGCCCGTATGGCCAAGCTGCTCCCCGTGCTCCTGGTGCACCACGAACCGATGATCGCCAAGGCTCTCCAAGCTCGCGCTATCCCCCTAACGATCCTCGCGCTCAGGACTCTGCAGCCCGTTCTCAACAGAATGGCGCCAAGGGTCAGCAGGCCCAGGGACCTCCTCCAACACGTCTGCCTGCCCCTGTTCAGGCCGTCAAGCCTCTGAACATTGCCAACAAGCAAAATGGAGCCAAGCAGAATGTCCCCGATGGCGTTCGCCAAGCCGAAGCTGCTTTGACCAAGAAGCCGGAGCCGCGCCAGAAGGAGGTGCGCATGTCCGCCATGTCCGAGAACGAGGTCATGGATCGACTTCGCTCGGTCGTGTCCAAGGACAACCCCAACGAATCATACAGCAAGCAACGCAAGATTGGACAGGGTGCCTCCGGATCCGTGTATGTCGCACGTGTTAAGGAGGGTGCCACCTCGGGCGTTGCCAAAGAGCTCTACCGCCAGTACGGTGCTAGATGCCAGGTCGCTATCAAGCAAATGGATCTGCGTAGCCAGCCCCGTAAGGAGTTGATCGTCAACGAAATTATTGTCATGAAGGACAGTCAGCATGCCAACATTGTCAACTTCCTCGATTCATTTTTGCAGGAATCGAGCAATGAGCTCTGGGTTGTTATGGAGTTCATGGAGGGCGGTGCTCTGACCGATGTGATTGACAACAACCAAGTCATTTCCGAGGACCAAATTGCAACCATTTGTCTCGAGGTAAGTCAGCTATACTACATGTTTTACTCGCAAATACTAACTTGTTTTTCTCGCAAAGACCTGCAGAGGATTGGCTCATCTTCATAGCCAGAACATTATCCACCGTGATATCAAGAGTGACAATGTCCTTCTTGACCGCGTCGGCAACGTCAAGATTACCGATTTCGGTTTCTGTGCCAAGCTGACCGAGTCCAAGAGCAAGCGTGCCACCATGGTTGGTACTCCTTACTGGATGGCCCCCGAGGTTGTCAAGCAAAAGCAGTATGGTCCCAAGGTCGACTGTTGGTCACTGGGAATTATGGCCATTGAAATGATTGAGTCTGAACCCCCATATCTTAACGAAGAGCCGCTCAAGGCCCTTTATCTCATCGCAACCAACGGAACTCCCCGCCTCAAGAAGCCCGAGAAGCTAAGCAAGGAACTCAAGGCCTTCCTGAGCGTCTGCCTCTGCGTCGATGTCCGCAGCCGTGCCACGGCTGACGAGCTCTTGGCTCACGAATTCCTGCAGATGGGCTGCAGCTTGGCCAGCTTGGCCGAGCTCCTACGCTGGAAGAAGGCCAATGGCCAGTAATTGATTTACAGCAATCCTTGGAGCACATACGGGTCCCATTTACGCGCGCGCACCTTCGTTTAGATGTTCACATTCATGTTCCTTCACGATATCAACAGCAACAAGGATATCCTTGTTTCTTGCTCTTTTCCTGTTTTGTGCTTGTTTCTCTCCAATTCCCTTGGAGATACTCTGCTACTCTCATACACACAATCCTGGGCGATAATTCATGGCGTTTGATCTGTTTTCCAATTTTCTTTTCTCCTCCCCCTTTTTTTTCTATTTTTTTTTGCAGATTTCATTTTGTTGGATGCCTGCGCAAAAGACATCTCATGTTTCCCCCCCCCCCAATGACTTTCACGATCCTGCACTTGCACTGTATTATGTGCGCTGCTCTCGCAGACACGGATTTAGTCCGTTTTCTACTTCTCTGGTCTCTTAGCAATCAAACCCTCTTGTAATAAGAGGGATTTGAGACAACAAAATTTGAGTTTCACTTCATTCACCCTTTCTCCTTCCTCGTATGAACAATAGGCCCTAAGGCACAAGAATATCAATCCATGTTCGGAGATAAAGTTCACCACAACACAAGTATACAATATGACCAGACAGACTATGAAACCCAATAAATCATTCAGACGTAAAGTAACCCAAAATGTCAAACAACAAATCCAACCCCAAGAAACGAACCCAACCACTCATCCTACAACATAACATGTCAAAACAGAGCAATCCAACCAATCCAACCCAAGCCCTAGCTCGATCCACATTTTTCTTCTCCCCCCAATATCACAATCAAGGCAATCCAGCTCTAACAGCACCACCCAGTTCCCGACAAGCAGTCCCAAACAAAACACCTAACAGGATACTCTCCCCCTCAGCCGCCGTCCACCGTCCAGCATCAACAAGTCTCTGCCTCCAGATATCCCGATCCTCCTCGGAAAGATCAGTCCAGGCGCGCAACTTCTCCTCATCATAGATGCCATTATGGCGCGCTGACACAGCCGTCTCGACGAAGATGCTCTCTTCGGCGCCGTGGCCTGCCTCGTGGCACCGCACAATGACCGAGACGTCGTGCGGGGTGGCGGTTTCCAGGTCTGCCGGTGCAGCGCCGGCATTGTGGACGCGGTCCAAGATCGAACGGAGGGATTCGAGTCGTTCTTTCTCTTGCTTGGTTAGGTCGGGGTGGATCCGCGCGACGGGGATGTCGGTGGTTCCTTCAGGACGTGGCGCAAGCAGAGTGTCGAGGTATGTTTGGCGATCCGGTGGAGGAGGGATGTATTGGCCGGCGATCATATCGCGCAGACCGACTGGGAGCCACTCGGTGGCGCCTAGGAATGGAGGCGTGCCGCCGCGGATTTCGGCGAATGCTAGCATTGCGAAGCAGATGGCTGAGATTGAGAAGAGGAGGATGAGGATGCTGTAGATTAATTCCCAGATTGCGGGTGGGCCGGGGATGGCTAGGACGTAGCGGGGGGTGCGGGAGGATGTTGGGAATGGGGAGAGGGGGAATGTGTGCACGACGACTGTGTTGCCCATGCTGACGGAGGCGAGCTTCACGTTCTGCGGCCCGACTTCTGGGCCTATGGGGTGCGAGGGTGCGGTGAAGGTTGAGAAGGTCAGCTTTGTCATTGAGAAGGGGTGGACATCGCGGATGGTTGAGTAGGGGCGGAAGTTGCTGTATCCGCGGTTTGGTCCGTATTCCAGTGTGAATAGAGGGATGGAGTTATCGCTGCCGCTGATTGCGATGATGGTCTGTTGTTGGCCTTGGGGATTGGTTCCCAATTGGCATATGTCCAGACCTAGGCCGATCTTCACAGACTTGGGGAGCTTGCGGCGACGTAGGATTTGAGGCTTGCCCTCGCTTTCTGTTGAAAGTTGAAGAAGAACGAGCTCACTACCCCCACGATCCGGTGCATTTTGCAAGAGAAGCAGGGTGCGGGGGAGAGGAAGCGCAGCGCGCGGAATTTGGGGCGTGTGCGAGCTCCACTGGCTGGCAGGGGAACAGTGTAGACGCAGCGGACCTCGGGGGAGCTGCTGGACTTGTTCAACGAGAATATCTCGCCAACCATGATATCCACTCCATTTGTATAAGCCACACGGAACTGGCCAGGAGCGTCTTCTGTTCGCTCGGGGTCGTTTTCGAGACTGGCAAAGTCGATATCCTCGGCCTCTTCATTGCCGCTTAATTGAATACGACCAATGACGTCTGTCTCACTCGGAGTTTCGGTGACACGAAAGAATACGATTTCACCAGATGCTGCCAGGCCCGTTGTAATGGCTCCAATCCGGGTGTGTTTCTCGCTATTCTTTCCCTTGGGCCACGGCGAGAGTCTGGTCACGCGTTGGTACGTATCCGATGAGCCTGGCCCGCTCTTCGTGCGGAACAGTGAAGCTTGCGACAGAGTTGTTGCTCTTCCGGGTGTAATAACTTCCTCAGACTTAGTGTCTTTCTCGTCTTGGGTCTTTTGCTTGTCCGGCGACTCCGCATCCTGGGAAGCAGCAAGAACTCGGTTCTTCTGTGGTGCCTTGAAACGAAACGCGCGCATGTGCTGGTTATTGTTCTTCTTCTGCTCTGCCACAGAGCTGTTGATCCCAGCCAATGTGACTAGTGAGCCCGCCGCATCACCACCCAGCGGCGCGGCAACCAGCGACGTCACCGAATCTTCATCACGCGATAAGCTCAGCTCAACGGCCTCGGTGACCTCATTGCGACGCGAAGTGTCAAGGAGAGACTGTAAAGAAGTACAACAGTTAGCATGGACGTACAGAGACAGCTGTGCTTCTCGTCAAGGTGAAACTTGCGATCTTGTTTCCAACTCCGCTGCGCCCCTCGCCGCCTCCGCCGCCGACGAGCAGTAGACCGTTGTTGCGCGGGTCGAAGTCAGCTGCGAAGAGCGGACACGAGAGTGTCAATTTGGCCGAGTGTATTGTGGGCGCCATTGTTGGTTCTCTTGGAGAGTCGGAGAAATAAAGAGGACAGATGGATGACGGAGGTCCAGTGCCCCGGATTCTTGGCGCTCGGATCAAGCATTGTGATTTAGCGTAAAGATTGAGTTATATGCATAACCAGACGGACAATTTACTTGATTTTGGATGATTGAATATGTAGAAGTAAAAAGAAAATGGTATTTTATATACTCTAGTACGCACTTTACTCGATCTCTTGGGAAGTGAACTCGGGCAGGCGCTTGCGGATGTCCTCCCAGGTCTCGTCACCGTCAACGAGAGACTTGATAGCCTGGAGGATATCATCCTCGCTGGCACGAACCTGCTTGGTGGTATCACGGTCACGGAGAGTGAAGGTGCTGTCCTGAACGGACTGGAAGTCGACAGTGACACCGAAGGGTGTGCCCAACTCGTCGTTACGGGAGTAACGCTTACCGATACTGGCAGAGGAGTCATCAACACGGTTGGAAACACCAAGCTTGCGCAGCTTGCTGGTAAGACGCTGGGTCAGGGGCTTGAAGGAGGCGTGGGTAGAGAGGGGGACCAGCAGGACCTTAGTAGGGGCGACAGCAGGGGGGAAAGAAAGGACCTATTGTAGTTAGTACAAGAGTAGGAAAATAGCGAGAGAGAAAAAAAAGACTTACACCGCGGGACTCATCACCGGCACGGGACCAGTACGAGTGCTCGATCATGCTGTACAAGATACGGCCAATACCGAACGAGGGCTCGATGACGTTGGGGGTGTACTCGCGGACGTTCTCAACGCGAGTACGCTTCTCGATCTTGATGAGGTCCTTCTCCAGCTCAACCTTGCCGGAGCCGACACCTGCAACATCAACCTCAATCTTGCCGTTCTTCTCGAGGTCCAGGGACAGCTTCTCGCGCAGCTCCTGGGACAGAGCATCGATGGCATTCTCGACGGTCTTAGCATCCTTCTTGAAGCGAGGACCGAACTTCTTCTTCTCAAGGTCGATCTGGTACTCCTCAATGCGCAAAGGCTCAGCACGAGACTGGCGTACGACAAGAGGGGCACCAGTCTTGTTCTTGTGAACAGTCAGATCGTAAGCACTACGGTCGGCACAGCCGACACACTCAATCCATCCGTAGCTGGTCTGCAACTCGGCATCCCAGCAGTCGGTGGCGTAGTGGGCCATCTCGTTAGCCATGTGCTGACGGAAGCGCAGCTTGGTGGGGTCGACACCAAGCTTCATCAAGAAGGACTGGATACGGGCCAAGAAGTAACCCAGAGTCTCGTTGTCGACAAGTCCGGTTTCAACGGCGTGGCCAATGGTCATCTTGGTCAGCTTGGTGCTGCCGGAAAGCTGCACATTGCGATCAAGCAGGGTCATCTCAACGTCCTTGACCTCCTCGAAGCGGGCGTGCTTCTTGCCACCCTCGGGGTCGACATAGTGCTCGATCTCAGCCATCAAGAACTCACGCACACGCAAAAGACCAGCACGGGGGGAGATCTCGTTACGGAAAGACTTGCCAATGGAAGCAGAGGCGAAGGGCATGGACTGCTGGTTGAACTCCAACAGCTTGGCGAAGTTCAGGAACTGACCCTGAGCGGTCTCGGGGCGCAGGTAACCCGGCATGTTGCTGCTAGGACCAATAGAGGTCTGGAACATGAGGTTGAAGGAGACGGGAGGAAGCACCTCGCCGCCGGTGACGGGGTTGCGGATGTCGTGCTTCTTGATGAGCTCCTCCAACTCGGGGCCACCGTAGTTGTCAATCTGGGCGAGAGTCTCCTCATACTCCTTGACAAGAGCGTCGTCCAGCTTCTTGGCCTCGGTGCCCTTGGCCTTTCTCTTCTTCTTGGCCTCCTTCTCCTCGTCCACGACCACCTTCTGGCCACGAGCCTCCTTGTCACCCTTAAGGCGGTTCTCCAGCACTTCCTCAACCAAGTGATCGGCACGGAAGATCTCGCCAGTCTTGGGGTCCTTGCACATCCAATCGGCGAACTTGTCCACGTGCCCACTGGTCTTGAGAATCTCGTGGGGGGTCAACATGGTGGTGTCGACTTCGAGCATGTCCTCCTCGAGCACAAAGTGCTTGCGCCACAAGTCGGTCATGTTGGCGATCAAGGCGGTTCCTGGTGGGCCGTAATCGTACAGACCAGACACACCACCGTAAATTTCGAAGGAGGGGGTGTAGAACATGCGGCGACGGAGCATGGAGTCCAGGACCGTCCGGTCAACGGACTGGCCCGTCTTGGTGTTGACAGTGGCCATCTTGGGGGTTCGTTTCGGCTTCGGGGGAGAGGTGAAAGTCCTGAGTTGAGAGCGAAGGAGGGACGGAGGGGAAAGAAAAGAGCGGGGGGGGAAATCGCAGGCGCGGCAATTGAGTCATCCACCATGCAGTCCCTCACCACCGAGAGGACAATGAACAAAGAATGAGGAATAGAAAGAACGCGGGCAATTGACGCTGGAATTTGGCTTATTTTATTTCTTTTTCCCAGGGAGATCTCCCGCTGCCCAAGCAACAAGTGGCCGAATCGCAGATTGTCGCTCCGGCGAAACGATTGTCCGAAATAATTTATTTCCCGACGATCTTGAACATTTTCTACTGACCTTCTACAGCAGCACTTTTTACTCGCCAGCTTGCAATTATGGGTCTCAAAGGTGTAGGGAAACCGCCTCCGGGCGTCATGGGTGATGAGAAGACCAAGAACAAGCTTCGGCGCAAGATGAACCATGTCAAGCGCAAGCGTGCTAAGGACGCTGCGCGCCGAGAAGAGCGCTACGCCTTCAAGAAGGAGGAAGCCAAGAACCCTAAGCTCAAGGAGGAGCGTCTGAAGCGCAACATTCCTCTGACTCTCGAGCGGAAGCGTATCTGGAACGAAGCCGACAACGACACCGAGGAAACTGGCCTGGGATTAAGCGTTGACGTTGAGCGCATCAAGCGCGCCAAGAAGGAAGAAGAAGACGAATTGAACCGCCCATTCGAAGAGGGCGAGGATGACAGCGAAGCTCCCGAATCAGACAACGAGTCAGTGGACAGTATGCTTGCATCAGACGATGAAGACGAGGAGGAAGAAAAGGACGGCGAGCAAAAAGAGAGCCGCAAGAAGACCAACTCTCTCCCGACGGCCTCAGAGCGTGCTACAGAGCCTACTCAGTCTACACGCAGCGCAAACCTGAGCCTCGCCCCCGAGGCATTGGCCGCCAAATTCCCTACGCTCTTCACCGAGGGCCCGCCGCCCACCCCCAAAATCCTCATCACCACCGCTATCAACTCCACTCTCCACAACGAAGCCGAGATCCTGACCGACATGTTCCCGAACAGTGTGTATATTCGTCGCACGGCGCACAGATACTCGCACAAGTTCTCCATCCGCGAGATTTCCAAATTTGCAACCAACCGCAACTTCACAGCAGTGGTCGTGTTGCAGGAAGACCAGAAAAAGCCCAGTGGCCTGACAATGGTTCACCTGCCCGTTGGTCCAACCTTCCACTTCACCATCAGCAACTGGGTCGAAGGAAAGCGACTCCCTGGCCACGGCCGTGCCACCGAGCACTGGCCCGAGCTGATCCTCAACAACTTCCGCACTCCTCTTGGTATCCTCACCGCGCACTTGTTCCGTGCTCTTTTCCCACCTCAGCCAGAGTTCGAAGGCAGACAGGTCGTCACTCTGCACAACCAGCGTGATTACATCTTCGTCCGTCGCCACCGTTACGTTTTCCGTGAGAAGCGTGAGACCGAGAAGGCTGTCGTTGGTGCTGATGGCAAGGAAATGGAGGGTGCCGAGGGCATCCGTACTGGTCTGCAGGAACTGGGACCCCGGTTCACCTTGAAGCTGCGCCGTGTTGATAAGGGCATCCAGCGTGCCAGTGGACAGGAGTGGGAGTGGAAGGGTGGAATGGAGAAGCAGAGAACTCTGTTCCAGCTGTAAATCTTGTTTCTTTGTGTCATTTCAGGTCTTGCATGGGGTTCGGAGAGGAGTTATATCCAAAAAAGCTGTCTTTCTTTCATGAACAAATAAGTTATAAATTACTTTATGGTCCTATCACAGTTGTCCACAGTGCATAATCAAGCTATTAACCTCATTGCTACTTGGGTCATTCTTCAAGGCCAGCTGGTATTCTCCGAACGCTCAATCGCCCTCTTAGTCGCCTCATCCAGATCCTCCTCAGGCAATCCAAGCACCCTATTCAGCGTCCCTTTACCACTAAAATCCCCAGACCCATCCTTATAAAAGACTCGCGTGTAAAGCATCTTCGCAAACCCAACAACGTCCCCCTTCTGCATAGCTTCCACGCCACCCTCATACCTCTCCTTCGCCGACTCCGCGGTAATTTTCCAATCCACCTTGGTCGTACCAGTAACTCTGTAAACCGAATCCAACATATCCCGCTGACTAACAGTAAACGAATCAACATAAACGACCTGATTTCTCAACTTCTCCAAGCAAGCCCCATCCGCCGAAACAGGCAAACTGAGCAGACTGGCAACAGCCCGACCAACCTGCGGCCATGTCGAAGTTGAAATCTTGACGTCTCCGTCGTCAAAGAGCGTCGCAGATCGATTGGCAAAGTCCACGCCGAAGGCTGGCGCAATTGCCAGACTCCATTCGTACCAGAATCCAGTGTTCACGGCGATGTAAGAGCTTTTGCCGAGATCTGCGATTGCTTGGCGGATTCCACCTATATGATGGACTTGTTAGGACGCACTGTGTATCGCTGAGTGAGTGGGAATTCCTTACCTTTTGGTTGGAAGACTACCACGTCCTTGACTAGGCTTTCGTTTGCCGTGTCTGGTCCCCATTCATTCGGCAGAATCCAGGGCACGCCAGCCTCGCCGGCTGCATTGATGAGCTGGAGATCGATTTCATGTGGTGCTCGACCACCTAGGGTGATGACGAGTGCGTCTTGGCCCTTGAGTGCCTCGACGATGGTCGCTGGCTTGCTATAATCGATTGTCTTTTCTATTACCCCTTCTGGGAGCTTGCTCTGGCTGCCGGCTCGTGCTAGGGCTGTGACTTTGTGCTTTCCTGTTTGGAGGAGTGCTTCGGTCATAAAGCGGCCGCTATTGCCGCCGGCCTGGGAGGTGGTTAGTGGGTGTTTTAGATGATACTGAATGATGTCACGTACTCCGACTATGGCAACGTTGGTGATGTGAGTTGGAGACATTGTGTTGTGCAGATCGTTTGAGCAACTTGGTCAGAGAAGTGAACTAAATATGATTTATATCAATGGAATTAAGAGGTGGAAAGACCGAGATGAACACATTCAGACCGAGCCCGCGGAGATATGACGGACTAACTCCGTGAACCAGGATTCGAGTATAAGTTGACGGATTAACATTAACTATTAGAGCAGATCATCATTATAGAGCGGACATCCGGGACTTGTACAGTGACTATAGCGGAGTAGTCTATTCGTTTAGTCTACACTTAGTATACTCTCAAAAAACGTTCACCTTGCATTGGTTATGTGTGAATTATCCAGCCCTCACTACCTAGTATTTTCTGACCTCACTTCAAGTCATGCTAAATATCAATAGCGAACAATGCAATCAACATAGAAATCATGGTCCTGGTTGAGATGAGTCCACATAGCCTTGTCGGAATCATAGCTGCGATGATCACTCCAGTTCCGAGAAGACATGCAATCAAAGCAATACCACATATGCCCATGCGCATCGATCTGGCCGGGTCGACCGGGGCGCCTGATAAAGTCGACATGGTAGCGACGAAGATGCTCAATGGCATCTTGGAGGCCGTATAGGTCTTCCCCATGCTCCGTGCATGTCAAGATTGTACTCATACCTCAGGAGGATTAGATCGTGCATGACGAGAGTCAAACCACCATTTCACTGACCGGCCACAAATGATTCTTTGTATTTTCCAATGTTGATGGGAGTTAGCAAAGTAGCTTAGGAGAGCGAGGACATATTGGCTGGGTTCTTTCCTCCTTTCTCAAGGGCTGAGACTCAATCATGCTCATCACTTCAATTTTGCTACATCATGACTGCGTAAGCGGTTCTACTGACATCGGAGAGCCTATAATTTCAAGTTGGTACTCGGATCTAACCATGGGGCTAGAATGTGCTATGACATGGCACGGTGAATAAGTGATGGACTCTTCAACGTTTCTCCCCTTGGCATCGAAAATATGACCGACAATGAGATTAACGATCAAAAGTACGATTTCTAGAACAGAGTTTCAAAGGATGCGACTAACAACTGGCCTGCATACGCAGATCTCCAGATCTGACAGGAAGCCCGAACACACCCGCCACTATTGATGACGAACCACGCTACTTATGCATGCTAAATACGCGACATATGCGGCTCTTTGTTGGCTTCTCAGGTCACCCGCTCGACAGCAAAGAAAGGATTCGTATTCGGTCTCGGGCCTACTCGGAGTGGTGACAGATAGGTCGATCGAGAATCTGAGATGTGGTGAGGTCTGATGAGTTAGGGCTAGGGATTGATGTGAGTGGGCCGAATATCCTTTGATCTACAGTACAGTACGTGGCTGGATAGGACTAGAGACTAGAACAATAGTTTTGTATTACTGCACAGTACTTTATCTGCCTGCGAGTCTGATCCTTTCGAACTGGCGATCCCAGAATCAAAAGTAACTTACTGTATAGGTCCGAGGGACTAACTTATAAGTAGAGCCTGCTGCCAACAACCCAACCCCCAATTCCTAATTCCCAACCTATATCAAACATTATATAGATAAACTACACTCTACACCATGTCGACAATCTCAATCCCCGAGCAATCCTCCTCCCACGAATACGGCTTCAACGCCAACCAAGGCGTAAACTGGTCCGACTACGTCCTCTTCCGACCCATCTACCCACCCTCATTCTTCAACCGAATCTTCAGCTACCACTCCACTCCCAATCCCAATCCCAATCCCAGTACCAAAAAGCAATGGGAAACAGCCCATGACGTCGGCACCGGCTGCGGCATAGCAGCCGCAAGCCTAACAACGCCCTTCAATAAAGTAATAGCCTCGGACCCCAACGAAGGCTACACAACCCTAGCGCGAAAAGTCCTGGTCACAGTTTCCGGCCACGCCGAATCCAAATTCCACTTCTTGCAAGAAGCCGCGGAGAAAAGTAGCGTGGAGACTGGGTCTGTTGATCTGATCACCGCGTGTGAATGTATGCACTGGACGAGGCCCGAGGCTGCGATTGCTGAGTTTGCGAGGCAGCTGCGGGCTGGGGGGACGTTGGTGATTACGCATTATAATCATCCGAGGATTGAGGGGAATGACAGGGCGCAGGTTGCTTGGGATGCGATTCGGGATGTGTATGTGGGGGCTGTTTCTGGGCCGATGTTTGAGCGGGCGTTGACGGTGATGAATTCTGCGTTTGAGGGGGTTGGGTTTCCGGTTGGGAGTTGGGAGGGGGTTAGGAGGTTGTATGTGAATGCGCTTGGGAGGGTTGAGACTTTTAGGTTGGATGAGAGGGTTGGGGAGAGGTTGGTTCAGGCGGGTGAGGAGGTGGTTTGGGAGGAGGGCGATGCGGATTGGATGGGGGAGCAGGACTTTGGGTGGTTTAGGGGGTATTTGGATACTTGGGCTAAGCCTGATGTTGGGGAGGAGGTGTTGAGGCCTTACTGGGAGGAGTTAGAGAGGGCTATGGATGGGAAGAAGGTTAGGACGGTGACGCCGTTTGTGATGGTTTTTGCTACGAAGAGGGCTTAAATGTGGTATCACATTGTCTTTCTATGAATCCAGTCCAGAAGTAGGGTCGAAAGGCATGGAGTATCAAAGTTCGAAATATCGAGGATCGATTGCCTGGTATAATACAAAGCCAATGATATGATGGAAAATCATAAGCATAATAAAAAGAAACCCGCTCTCAAGTATGTATACTGTATTCTGAAATAGATGATGTACTGTGAAACAAAAAACCAAGAAATTCAAGTAAAAACGCAAGGATAGACTCACGGAGCCATGGGAAAACAAGTAAGAAAAATGTAAATAAGAAAAAAAAAACAAGAAGATAATAGCAAGAACAGGAATAACAAGATAGGCTCACACCAGCCTCTGCCAGCGGGCCAATCCCATACTAACAACAACAATAACGCCCATGATACCAAGAATACCAAAGAACCATTCCAGGCCCTCGTGATGCATTCCAGGAACCTCGACGTTCATACCAAACAACCCACAGATCAAGTTCATAGGAACCAGGATCGTAGCAATGAGAGTAACCTTGCTGAGAACCTTGTTGACATGGTTACCCAGAACAAGGTTAGTGACATTGAGCTGGGCAAGATAGTTGGTATGCGAGCGACTGAGCATCTTTTCAAAGTGCGACAAGTTCGACATCATGGTCACGACGTGATCTTGAATATCACCCAGGTACAAGCCGATGTCACCACGGGGGGTGACTGAGTATTGCTCGTTGCAACGCTTGGAGAAGCCGCGGATAACATCGGCTTTGCCGCCTAACAGGCGCATCAGACTCATGACTTTCTTGCGGAGACCTCCGATGCGTGGGAGGAAGGACTCGAAGTCGTCGACACGCGCAATGAATACGTGATCTTCGATTGCTTCGGATTCGAGCTCCACGTCGCGGATTACTGGACCGAAGCTATCGACGATGTCGTCGCTGGTTTGGGTCAGTAGGTGTTGTCGGTGAGAGTGGAGAGAGAGAGAGAGAGAGAGAGAGAGAGAGAGAGAGAGAGAGAGAGAGAGAGAGAGAGAGAGAGATTGCAACTTACATCATGGCATAACAGATCCAGTCACTGCTCAGGGCCACATAGTCGCGCAGCTTTCCAATACGCTTCCGGACATTGGCGGCATGGGGGTTGTCATCAAACGAGAAGGTGAGCACACCATCGCGGAAGACAACCATGTAGAAATTGACTGGCTCCAAGAACTCCTCGCTAGTCTTATCCATTTGGTAGAAAGTCCGGAAACAGACAAAGTAGTACTGCTTGAACAGCTCAACCTTCTCGCGAGCTTCCTGGGTTTGAATATCCTCCGTCGTCAGCGGATGGATATTGAAGGCTCGCGAGATGGCACCCAATTCATCATCAGTGGGATTGACGACATCCAACCACCATACACCACCTTCGGGTCCGAGCTCGAATAGATCCCGGAAGGTTTCGCCTGGGAGCACCAAATCTCCCAGGTCCGCAGCATGCACCGTAGTCTGAGACTCGGACGAGAAGAAGCCGAAACGAGTAGGATCGTTTGTGTTTTGGAGTGACTTGAGTAGCTCCTTCTCATCAGTGATTTTGGGCTTCTTCTCATCTTCGTCGGAGGAATCCAACGTATCGGTTTTCTTGATCTCGCCGACCTCGGGGCTTTCGGCGCCAGGACGGAGGTCGTAGAAAATGCGAGGCTTCTTGCTCTGCGAGCTCATGCTGTGCTTGCGGCTGTTACCAGTAAAAGCCTTTGTGTTCTGGTTCAGAGCTACGAACTCCTCCAGTTCCTCGTAATCGATGACGGGAATGCGACCCGGCTCGTCGAAACAAGCCTCTTCAGCCGACTCAAATGGCATATCGCCCAGTTGGGGCCGAATAGCACTGGCATTGCTAAAAGTTGGACGGCGGTTGTTTGTGCCCCCAGACACGGTGCGCTGCAAGATGGCTTCCAAATCAGGAGGCGCATGGCTGTCCAACGTGTTTGCGCGTTCACGGCGACGCGGATCGGCAAAAGCTTCGACTGAATTGGGGGGAGATGAGGACCGAGCCGACACAGATGACGAGACCGAGGCATTGGCGAGGTCATGCTGCGCAATGCTGATATGGCGAGGGGTGTGGTATTGAGCTGCGGGATCGACCGAGAAGCGTCGTCCCATCCCAATATCATTCAGCGATTGATCATCGTCGATCATGGCGTTTTCAAAGTCTCGGAAGACAGGGCCATCTCGTAGAGCATCCTGCGCGTGCAGAAAGTCTGGTCGCCCGTGCATTTCCATTGCAGGGCTCATCTGAGTTGTATTATGCGGGCTGAGTGAGCGCTCGATTGGCGCCTCAATTCTGGGAGGCGTTTGCATCTGGTGTCGATGGTCGTCCAATTCAGGCACCGGAGTACTGAACCTGGTGAGGTCCATGTACCTCTCGGATCGGGGTGATTCGGTCATGGCGAAGTCTCGGGAGGTGAGATTTCCGGAAAAGCGTTTATGGCGCCAGATTGGATATATATGTTGGTGTTTAGAATCGAGTTGCTCTTCTTATTGAATTTAGCACGATGGCCGGAGCAGACGTAAGCCGGTACGAGGTTCGTTCAAGGGTGACGGCCCTCCATCCATAAACCAGACCCTTCCCGAGGGTCTGGCGTTACCGACACACGTCTGATGGCCACAATAGGGGAATGATGGTAAACCCAGTTAGGGGGGTCTGGTGTCGCCCCCGCAGAAGACCCTGAACTTAGGGCCTGCAAGAGGGTGGAGGAGAGAGGACTGGGTGTAGCGAAGTCCCGCCAACTTGATGAGGTGAGGAGATGGGGAGCTTGGGTGCTCCAGATTTGCAGATAGGCGAGAGGACGAAAGTCGTCAGCTCGCAAGGGGGGATTTCAAAGGACGTTGAGATTCGAGGTCTCCAAACGAGATAGATTCGCAACGTGTAAAGGCTGGCAGTGGTGAGTGGCGAGAATTGGCCGGGGCCGGGAGTGGATTTTCGGTCACGGTCCACAATCAAGCAAGTTACCAGAGACCACACAAAGCGAGATAAATCGAGAAAGACGAGAAATATAAGAGGCACCTCTAGGGCGTTTGATGATGGGGGAGAGAAGGAAGAAGGAAGAAAACAAGTGGGGGGGGGAGAATGTCACTGGCAGCAGTGCCGTGAAAATTTTCTAGCGGGTCGAGTCTACAACTTCAATTAGGCTCTCACATTTTAACTATAAATTCTCTCTTTTTTATTGGTGATGAGGCATTTATCGGGAATTAATACAGTTCTCCGTGCACGCTTGGGCTTTTGCACTTCGGTAGTCTCCGTGGATGATAAGTGCAGCTTGACTAATGAATCCCTTACAGTCGATCTCCGGTCAGATCTTGGACCTTGGAAATATCAGGGATTTGGTGGAGGTTTGGCAGCGTATAAATCTAGCACTCTCTTACTACAGTATACCTTATAACAACCAATGCAAAGAACTATTACTCTTCTCTTCTCCAATCATTCCAGTCGAATTTGAGTGTGAAATTCCCCACTTGCCTTACTTGGTTCCCCCCCCCGACGTCGGCCAATTTTTCCCGCCTAAGAGTCATATTAGATATCAGTTCTCATACCCTAAGGTAGAACATTGGACTCTCTATACATCCCACCATGTCTTCCTTTTTACTCAGAATTCCTTGCTCCTCGGCAAACATTGGCCCTGGCTTTGATGTCATTGGTCTGGCTTTGTCCCTGCACTTGGACCTCCACGTGACGGTTGAGGCCAAAGAGACCTCGGAGCTCCCTTTCAACTGTGCCATCACCTATGAGGATCAGAGCAAGAGTGTCGAGCAGATCAGCCTGGACCCCGAGGTCAATTTGATCACCCGTGTAGCCCTGTACGTGTTGCGATGCCATAACCAGCGGGCCTTCCCCGTGGAGACCAAGGTGCACATCATCAACCCCATCCCCTTAGGTCGGGGTCTGGGTTCATCTGGCACCGCAGTCGTGGCCGGTGTGATGCTGGGTAACGAGGTCGGCAAGTTGGGTTTGAGCAAGGAACGTCTACTGGACTATTGTTTAATGATTGGTACGTGCCGTGATCCTAGGTTGTCTGACCGGGTCCAACTCGTGCATAAACTGACGTGTGTATAGAGCGGCACCCGGATAACGTAGCCGCCTCCCTCTTTGGTGGCTTCGTGGGTACCTATCTGAATGATCTCAAGCCGGAGGATGTGGCCCGCAAGGAGATCCCGCTCAGTGAGGTCCTGCCTGCCCCTGCTGGTGGTGTGGATACAGGTATCAGGCCTCCAGAGCCCCCGATGGCGATTGGCCATTATCGGAAGTTCCATTGGGCCCCGGAAATCAAGGCCATTGCCATTATTCCTGATTTTGTCGTGCCGACGGCCAATGCCCGTAATGTACTGCCAGAGACCTACACAAGGGCCGACGTGGTATGTTCGCTCTCGCCTTCGTATTGGATCCGCAAACACTAACACTGGCCAGGTTTTCAACCTTCAACGCGCGGCCCTGCTTCCCGCTGCCCTGGGAAGCTCCCCGCCGGATCCTGATATGATCTTCCTGGCGATGCAAGACAAGGTGCACCAGCCGTACCGCAAGACCCTGATCCCAGGCCTGACGGAAATTCTCCAATTCATGACCCCATCGTCTCAACCGGGTCTGCTGGGAATCTGTCTCTCAGGCGCTGGACCAACCATTCTGGCGTTGGCCACTGATCGCTTCGAGGAGATTGCTGACCGCATCATCGCACGGTTCGCTTCCAACAACATCTCGTGCCAATGGAAGTTGCTGGAGCCCGCTCAAGACGGCGCTACTGTGGAGTATAACTAAACGTCTGGCGCGCTTTCTTTCGTCATAACATGATCGATGTCCCGTCCGTTGCTCATGTCTCCGTGAAAATGTCAGACATGACAGGGCGGCTGCATCATGTATTGTGCTCCGAGGGAAACTCATCTTGGAAGGGCAAGGATTCTGATTTCCTTTTCCTGCTACCCACATGGGTTATGCAAGATCTTGGCTCACCGCTGTTCCTTGCGTTGCAGGTGCATGTGGGCTCTTTGACTCGGAAGTTTGGGCATGAGCTCACTTTTGAGTTTGTATCTTGTACAGAATTTGTGCAGGATACAGGCGAGTCGCTCACAATACTATGATTGCTCGGGTAGACGATCTGTTTATGACAACGATATAGAGAGCAGACTTCGAATGAAATCATGATCACACGTACAACGAAAAGACCGAATAGACAAAAACACTGCAGGGATAATCTGAGTAGCGATTATCAAACGAATCTTAAAAATAAATGTATATAGTCTACCGACTCTCTGATAGCTTAGGTGGTGTATACAGTAGCGTGGAAGGCGGTGATGCATGATGCGGCAGAAGACTAATGACACCATTGCGATAAGCTAGGGATTCCTCCCCATCGACCTCACCATGGATGAACTACTCAATCCGCTACGAGATGCCGTTGAAGGCCAGATTGTATGTTCTCATCTCCCTTTCGTTGTTTATCCACAATCCAGGCTAACAGTATCTTGACAGGACTTCCACGGCCAGCACCTAGCAGAGCTACTTTGCACCATTTTACTGATTATCTCCGGAGTACGTATACTGCAATCATGAATGTCTTCTCATTTGAAATCAGAGTGCTAATCTCTCTCATGTTATAGGCTGTCAGTTTCTTCATCGGATACACCTACAAAGACATCTACCTTACATTATGGAGCGGGCTTGCGGGCACACTCTTCACTGCCTTTGTCGTCGTTCCCCCTTGGCCATTTTACAACCGGAATCCTGAGAAGTGGCTAGGCTCACAGAGTAGGAACACAAATCCGGGCATAGTCGTGGACGGTGTGAAAGTGCAATAAGCTGTCGATAGCTTCAAATTTAGGACCGAGCTTGGTACAAATTGAAATGGAAAGAATTACGGCAATGCTTGCTCTAGTATGAGAAGCTTGATTTTGCCCCAAGACATCCACCGTTATGACGCCCATCGACTCTCTTCGGGGTTGGCTTGTATGATACGTTGGTTCGGTAAAAGTCCATGTGGAATGAATCATAGCCATTGTTTTGGCATAACACAATATCGTAAAATTTTATCATGTAGTGTCCTCGAAAGAGGCCCTGAATAAAACGCTTGCAAAATAAATCCAGTCTCCATCTCTTTACCGGCCGTACTTCTGGAACTCCCAGTCGCGGTTGTCCAGTGGGCAAACCTGGCGGGTCTTCAACCATCTCGATATGCAGTGGAAGTGGAAGGCGTGCTGAAGATGGAGTCAGTCTGGGTTCACAGGGTTCAATGCGGCAATACTCACGTTGCAAATACCCCAGGCGACGGTGCACTCTTCGGTTGTTGATGAGCCCTGGTTGGCCTGGCATTCGATGCCTGTTACATTGTCAGCTTAGCTCTGGCTGGGTGAGGTGGTTTCAACACGTACAAAGGTCCATGATGTGGTTTCGGCAAATGGCACAGTTGTCTACGACAATGTCCCAGGCCCATAGGGCAACGGCATTCCACTAGCCTCTCAGTCAGTATTGCTAAGGTGCTGCTTGACAAGCTCATTGCGTACCTTCTTGATCTCGAACTTCTTCTTATCTCCGGCACTGTCAGCTTTGGCAACTGCCTTGCCCTTGGAGGAGCCAGCGGCTTCCTTCATTTCCACGTCCGCCATGTTGTGAGGTTGGAGAGGGTCGAATCGGAAATGCTTGGCAAGTGGCAGCTGGGGGTGGGGGTCTCAAGTTCACGGAATCACCGAAACTGACGTAGGTGAGGCTGCAACGGGCCACGAACAAAGACTAGGGAGTAGAAAGAAGTAGTATAGAAAGGAATCTGAATGGAAACGGTCGCGATCAAGGTCCAGGTCTAGGTCTAAGTTCACTCTAGAGGTACCCAAGGCATGTTTGACTCTGTTTGACTCTGTTTGACTCGGTTTGCTGAAGCCGGTGGCGGCTCTTAGTCATATCCCCTCTCCAACTTCGTCACTTTCCTTCCTCACACCACCCAACATGCTTCTTCGTTATCGCATTTCTCTTTAGAGATGATTCCCGTGCGTTTTCTTTAACAGTCCCTTCCTACTCTTCCTAATAGAGGCGTTTCAGTGATTCGTCTTTCTTTGCCTTTGACCCTTTGACTCTTTCTCGACCTGTCACTTTCCTCCTTAGGCGCCATATTCTTAATATTGTCTACCCTGCTGAGCAGTGATCTGACGTGATTTTGCCGTGATCATCTCGTTGCTTTACTGCTTCGTCATAGCGTTGCTCTTTTCCTTTTTCTCTTCACACAGGCTGCCTATTTTTTAAGCCGATCAGTCGACATGTCGACCCAATCTCCTCATCCTCCGACCCCCAAGGGTTCGCGCAACAACCGCCGTCCACAGAAGAAGAATATGACTCCTCAAGCTCCGAAACCAGGTCTCCTCTCGACCCCGCCATCATCTCCACCGCGGAATATGAGCCCAGCCGGGGCCCAAACGGATTCAAACACCATGTCGAAGAAGAAGCCTGCGCGATCTACAAAGAAACCGCGCGATAACAAGGCTCCTCCGGCCCCAACCAACGGATATCAGAATAACAACGGTTATTACCAGAATAATGGGTATCAAAGTAATGCCCAACGACAACCCCCGACGCAGGCTGTTACGTCCCCTCAAATGAAAGACAGTGCAGCCTATGCAGGCCCTACGTTCCACGCATCTCCCGCTCCTTCGGCGCTTCCCATGCCCAGCTTTTTCTCCAAGTCAGCTCCTGATTCAGATCTCGTACCACCGATCGAGACTGAGACCGACAGCGATACCGCGGAGAATGAACCCGAATTGGACGTGACTCCCTCTAAACCTCGCAGCCGCCCCCAAACGACAGGCAACGAACCGAAACCCACTCCTCTGGACTTTCTATTCCAGGCTGCTGTGCAAGCCCGGAATACCAAGTCAACGAGCAGTCCTGAGGTGAACAAGCTTCGATCGCCTCAGACTGAACCCAAAGCTATGCGCTCCAACCCCGATAGCATGTTTGCTTTCGAGATGGAGAATTCCGCGTCTCCGCGCCACTCGCTTATTGGTCCTTCTTTTGCTCCTTCCTATCAGGACCGCATGAATGCTTTGCAATCCACGCGGGCTTCGAGCACTCCCCAATCCCCAGATATCTCTGAGGAACAGCGCAGAATGAAGACTGCAGAGCTGAAGCACTTACTTCTTAATCCGCGTCCCCAGAAGCCCCCCCTCGGCTCAACCAACACCTGATCAAGCTGCATTTGGTGCGCGTCCATCGAATATACCTCCTTATGCCACCCCGATGCGAACATCCTCTGGGCCCCCAATGACCATGTCGCATGGATCTTTCTCTGGTCAGCAACAGCAGCCCATATCTCACAACGCTGGCCGTGCTCCTTTCCCTTACCCCCCTCATTCCCACTCGCCGCTGCGCCGTGAGGTCCCGCCTGCTCATTCACCTTACGGTGTCTCGAATGGACCCTCTCCGGCTCCGTACATGGGTCCTTACATGCCGAGTCCTCCACCTCAACGGCCCAACTACACTTCTCCGCAGCCACACTACCCGGCTGGCTTCGGCATGCCGACCAGCTCCCCTTCTGCTGCCCAATCTATGGACACTAAGCAAATCGAGGATGACATTCGACGGGTTTTGAAGCTCGGTAATACCTCGAGAATGCCGCCCAGTGGAATTCAGAGCTCCTTTGCTTAGTGTCTCTGCAGGTCATGATCTGCATTCTACCTTGTTACTTTCTTTCCCTTCTCTGTTTCTTTTTCTTGATTTTTCTTAATTGTTTTCTTTTGCATTGGTTCATAGGGCATCCTTGACTGGTCCAAGGTCTCTCGGTGGGGTTCTTTTTTGGTCTTCCTTTCTCGCGGCAGGGTGCTTGGTGTTTCTTACTGTGGGACTCTCGCGGTAATCTTTACCATGATGATGATACACGGGACTGGCTGCTCGGTACATTGATGAGGCGGTGCTTTTTGCCTTCTTTTCTTGCATCGTTCGGCGTCATGATGTTTTCCAAGTGCTGTTCAGGGGAGGATCCAGCCAAGGATGGCTACAACACGTTCATTTCTTTTCCTGTGCTTTGTTTTCACGTCTTCCCTTTGGGAATTGTCACTCTTTTGATTTCGTTTCCCTGTTTGGTTGGTCGCACTCGATCAACCTTGTCTTTTGGTGGATTCGTGGTTGGACCTTGACGTCTTGCCTGTTTCCATCTGGTGTGTTTCACACCCGACACTCATTTAGTCAACCTGTTCCAGAAACATCTCTCTTATTCCAGTAGTGTAGACTGGTAGGCAAGGTCAGTACAGACAGTCACCAGAAGCAAGCCACACTGCAACGGTCAATGTGGCGCTGTGGGCCCTCGACCGAACTTAACCGGTTCACAGGTTCACAGGTTCACAGGCTCCCTTCGAGTAGAAACCAAATTGACTCTGCCGATCCTAATTATCTGAATCCAGGGTCTTGACAGATTGTGTGCTTTTGAATTTTGCAATTTGCAGTTTGCAGTTTGCAGTTTGTTTCTGTTTCTATTTTTAATTTCCCCCCCTTAATGAAGGAGTAATTGGTCGAGTGTCACTAGTAGTTAGTCTTCGCCACAGTTGCACCCCGATCCACCTCTAATTTTATAATGTTCGAGTGTTTACGGGGCTAAGGGGGTTAGAGGTTCGAGGTTAGAAGACTGATCTTGAAGGACTCCATTTCTCCATTTGAACAGATTGACATATCAGGCCTTGGCTGGGATGGGTCTCGTAGATCTTGTCTCGGGCTTGATGAAGCTTAAATCTCAACTGCAGGAACAAATGTGAAGCTCAGTCTGAGTGGAACGGATGCGGAAATAGCCTACTACACAAAACAGAAGTAGAAAACAAAAGAAAAACATGGCTATGATGGGGTGTCGACATCATGGGATCTGCATACCTGAAGTCGATGGATGCGGCCAGGGGGGGGAAAGACATAACATCATAACAACTTCTTCACACATTCACACTCGCAAACGAAACCCTACGCCATTCACCCACCCCGTCACCGAGGCCCCCAAGATATAAAGGAAATCTTATATGTAAAGGAAGAGTGCACCCCCTCCACTTCTCCTTCCTTACCTAATTCTGGCCTCGCCCCTACCCATCTCCAAAGAAATTTCGCTTCTCCGACTGGGTCGGGCCTCCTTTCTCTTTATGATCTTCACTTAATAAACGGCTTATCTTCTGTTTTTCACAATGGCCAATATGTGTGTCCCTCTCGGTCTCTGTCTCTGTCTCTTCCAGTTCCATCGCTGACTTTCTACAGGGTTGGTTCGGCATGGCGCTCCTTTTGGCATACCATGACCTCCAATGACCGTCATGCCTCCCACGACTCTCCCTACCGTACTGGACAACATGTTCCTCTCAGTCAAAGCCGCCATGAGCCTCTCACATCTGTCGCAACGAGCGCAATCGAGTCTCGCCCCGATCTCTCCAACCCGTACGATGACGAGCCGAACAAGGGTTCGACAACCGCCCAAACCTCCGAATGGAATGGCTCCCCCACTGATGACTCTCCCACGCGTCCGTACTCACCTGGGATGAGATCTGTCGCATCTCAGAAGCGACGATCCAATGACCAGGGCGAAGGCGCACCCGAGATCCAGATGCAGAGTTTCCACGATGGGGCACCCCCTCCACCACCGGTCGCTCACTCCTGGAGGAAAATTGAGCGCTGGTTAGAACAAAATTACGAAGAGCTCTTCGACCAGCTGTGCGAAGGGTGTACCCAGAACGATATCAACGAATTGGAGCATGAACTCGACTGCAGTCTGCCGTTGGAGTTGCGGGAATCGCTGATGTGCCACGATGGCCAGGAACGAGGTGGCTTGCCCACTGGTGTCATTTTCAGCGCCATGCTGATGGATTGCGAGGAGATCGTGCAGGAGTGGAACAACTGGAAGCGGGTCAATGATGAATATCTCAGCAACATGCATGTCCCTGTATCCAGCTCGGCGGCAAGCTCATCGGCCGGTCCGTCTCAGCAGGCGGGTTCTCCCATGTGGAGATCGGAGTTGCTGGACCGTCAGGACTGCCAGCCTCCTGGGGCGGTTCAAAAAGCATACGCACACCCAGCGTGGATTCCCCTCGCTCGTGATTGGGGTGGCAACAACATTGCGATTGACCTGGCACCCGGTCCCGCTGGAAAATGGGGCCAGGTGATTCTTTTCGGTCGTGATTACGACTGTAAATACGTCATTGCTCGCTCGTGGTCTGCATTCTTGGCCACGTTCGCCGATGATCTGTGCAGCGGCAAGGTCATTGTCGATGAGGAGACGAACGAGCTCAAGCTGAAGGAGTTCCGTTCCCAGAATGTCGAGCCCCCATACCTGGAGATTCTGCGCTGGAGAACGGATCAGAAGTTTGGCCGTCGTGCGCCTCGTCGCAAGGGTCCTGGTCCCAACGGTCTGGGCGTAAATGCTTCCGGCAACCGGTCCAGCAGCCGAGAGTCGCCCTACGGTAGCCCAACACGAGCTGAGGAACGTGGCCGCTCGCCGCACCGTTTCTCCAAGGGGGGTTCCGCCCAGAGCCCCAAGACGCAATTCGGCGTCTCCAGCCCTCTTGCTCGCGTGACTGAAGAAACAACGAGTCCTGTGGTTACTGCTGGACCTGCCATCTCCGAGGACCCCAAGGAGTCCGGGAATGGCAAGGAACCCCAGACAGAAGATCTGATGGAGGTGGCAACCCCCCAAATCTCCAACAAGGAGAACGAGGGATTCCCCAAGGTTGATACCAAGGAGAATGACAAGACTGATAAGACGGACAAGAGCGACAAGAGCGATGCCACCGCAGAATCCTCCGCTGTCCTGGACTCGGAGGTGCTGGGTGAAATGAAGAACGTGGCTATTTAGATGATGTCTGCGTCTCTGATTCCTAAATTTATGTTCTGTTCTTCAAGGGCATCCATGCGGATGGATGTTGCACCATTCCAAACCTGCTTTGTATAGAATTCCCCCCCTGTTCCTTGTTCTTCTGTTCTCTGTTCCTCTGTTCTCGGCTTCAAGGCATTTGTTGTAACTCTAGGGAGCTGGTTCTATCCTGCTTCTTTTCTCTTTGGTTTTGGTTGCCTGGCTTTTTGTTGATGGTCTTTGATCCTTTTTTTTTTTTGCCTGTAATTCTATGATGACAGTCTTAGTGCTTTTCTTTTCGTGTCTGGCTCCAATCCATTTCAATTTATTTCATTTCAACCTGTATCAGAGTTCAAAACTAGAGGTTATATCAGACATCACTAGGCATGGGTATATCAACTGAACATGATCTATATAAGTGAATTCGTTACTATACAGACCACACCAACATCAACTTCACCAACTTCATATCTTAATCCCAATCCCCATCGTCATCGTCTCCCCGATTTCTCACATGAGGATTCCCACTGCGAATCCCCCTCTTCCCCTTGACCCTCCTCATTGTCCTCCTCCCACCCTCATCATCCCCACTATCATCCTCCCGCACATCATCATCATCCCCTCCACCCAACTTCGCCTGCAACAGCACCCCCTTAGCAACCAACCTCTTCTCCAAATTCTTCGCCTCAAACCCCTCCACCCCATCAAATCCCCGAGCCTCAAGTCCCTCAAACCCAACCACCCGATCAACCCCAACCCCATCCTTGAACCCAATCACGCACGGCAGAATCCGAATCCCCAGTTTCTCCGCAATGAATGGCGTGTTGCGCACGTCTACCCGCGCAAATCGCACCTCGTAGTGCGCGCTCGCTAGCTCGCCGAGTCGCATGTCCATCACCGCGCACCGTGTGAAATCCGGGTGCGCGAAGTGCACTAGACAGCGGCTTGTGTTGGTTGTGAAGTCGAGCACGGACTGGTCTGTTGAGAGCGTTGGGTAGATCTCATTTTGGATGATGTTGGTGCTGCCGGGGTTGTGGCTTGTGCTGTGGTTGTTCTTTTGCGAGGCGAATTCTTCGTTTAGTTGTTGGATTCGCGCGTCACGGTAGCTTGTGTCGTCTTCGTTTTCGAGCGCTGCGAAGAGGGCTTCGTCGTCTGAGTCGGTCATTTTGGTGGGGTAGTTGGTACTTTTGTTTTTGTTTTTTGGTGCTTGCTTTGCTTTGCGTGGTTCCTGTAGGTGGTTCCTGTTGGTGATTCCTTGTGGATTGGGACTCCTCTCCTAGCCTGGAATTGTAGGCTGGAGTTTGTTGACTGGGTTGAGGTGTGTGTGAGGAGGGTTGAAGTGGAAGATCGGAGCTCCACAGGTTGGGGCTCGGTAGTTTACGCGCTGGATATTGGGGGGTGGATGTAGGCAAAGAGGTGTTTCCGCTATGTCTCCAATTGAGGACTTAGTATTGGCTAACAATGCTATAGCTTGTATATAAATTGAAATTATTTGTCAATTGTCTTGTCTGGCTTCAGGGGGAAGTAGTCGAAGCTATAACAATATCACCATTGGCCTACAGGACCCTAACTGACTCAATGATCCAGTCACAATTGCAGTCTACTTTGACTCTTACTTGCACGCTCTTATCCTTCTTCTTTCTTCCTGACTGGATGTGATCCTCCTCCAGTGTTTCACTATAAATAAAATTACATGCTGAGTCAGCCCCCTAAATCCCCTGCTTAGGTAACGCGCTGCTTCCGGGCGAAATCTGTTGTTGTCGAAATCTCCCTTTACTTTCGTCACTTCGTGAACACTCCCTTCTTTTGACTCTGTGATCCTGTGTGATCCTGTCTTGGCTGGTGCTTCTGTCATTTCAAGCCTCCCCCACCCGACTCCTCACTACCCAATCACCCAAATCCCCAACCGCCAAGATGGTCGAAGTCAAGAAGTCCGACGACTACACAGTCGAGATGGGAAAGCTCGACTCAACAGGAAAGCAGTTTGAGGCTGCACCCTCACCATCTCCCTCACCCCGCGCCGCCCCTAGCGCCATGTCCAACAGCCCTGCCCTGCCCGTTCTGGCATACTGCGGATCCTCTATTATGATGACCGTCATGAACAAGTATGTTCTATCGGGTCTAGACTTTAACCTGAACTTCCTCTTGCTATGTATTCAGGTATGTGAAGACAATTGTGGTCTGATTCTGAGAGTCGATTACTGATATCCAACAGTCTTTGGTTTGCATTGCCGCGATCCAGACCTGCAAGTCTATGGGTCTCATTACCTACCGTGACTTCAGTGCCGATGAGGCGCGCAAGTGTAAGGGATCCAATTCTGAGTGTCAAAATTCAGCAGCTAATCTTTTTCTTCTCTTGGATCTTAGGGTTCCCGATTACGCTCCTGTTGATCGGCATGATCTACACTGGCTCCAAGGCTCTCCAATTCCTCTCGATTCCTGTCTACACTATCTTCAAGAACTTGACCATCATCCTTATCGCCTATGGTGAGGTCCTCTGGTTCGGTGGCTCCGTCACCAGCCTGACCTTGTTCTCCTTTGGTCTCATGGTTGTCAGCTCGCTCATTGCTGCCTGGGCTGATATCAAGCACGCCGTGGAGAGCACTGGTGACACCTCCAGCAAGGTTTCGACCCTGAATGCTGGATACGTCTGGATGTTGATCAACTGCCTGTGCACCTCAGCTTATGTCTTGGGCATGCGTAAGCGCATCAAGCTGACCAACTTCAAGGACTTTGACAGTAAGTGGCCTTTTTAGTCTTCATTGGAATGCCTGTTGACCTCTTTCCTTCCAGCCATGTTCTACAACAACCTTCTGTCCATCCCTGTTCTGATCGTTCTCACCCTCCTGGTCGAGGACTGGTCCTCCGCCAACCTGGCCCGCAACTTCCCCGAGGCCAACCGCGACGGCATCTTCTTTGCCATGGTCCTTTCCGGAGCTTCGTCCGTCTTTATCTCGTATACCTCTGCTTGGTGTGTCCGTGTGACCTCTTCTACCACCTACTCCATGGTTGGTGCGCTCAACAAGCTGCCCATTGCTGTGTCTGGCCTTGTCTTCTTCGATGCACCGGTCACCTTCCCCAGTGTCTCCGCCATCGCTATCGGTTTCGTCAGTGGTATCGTCTATGCTATTGCCAAGATCAAGCAGAACGCCAAGCCCAAGACCGGTGTCCTCCCTACACCTGTCAGCGCCAGCAGCCAAAGCATGAGAGACTCGCTGCGCTCTTAAACCGCATTTGGCACTATGTATCTGACTGGTCAGCGCATATATCAAAAAAGTCACCGTCCAACCGCCGGTGCTATCTTTGCATGTGACATTATGATTCACGTTTCATTGCAGCCGAATTATGGGCCTTTTCTTGTCTGGTCCTGATGGAGGGTCTTCCTGTGATCACTTTAGTCGGTGTTGGTGTTTGATTCCTTCTTCTTCCTGTTCTCCTCTTCTTCCTGTTCTCCTCTTCTTCCTTTATTTCCCTCATCTGACATCTATAGAGGGAACTAGTGAAACAAATATGTTTTCTAGTTTGACATTCCCCTTCCCCCTTGATCTCGATCAAAGTATGATTTAATTCTTCTTTTTTGACATGTGGCCATGGCATTTATTTGTTCTTGTCTGTCTTGTTTCTGTATATAGCTATGCCACGCTCTGTTTTTGCCAATAGAACGTGTGTTTGGATAACTAATTTGATGGTTCTTGGAAATGATTCCAACCTATGTAAAGATTGTATAATAGTTTCCCAGCCTGTAAACACCATACTAGCATATTTCCATAGACTCAATGCCCCAAAATACTGAATATAAAAAGCGTTTCGATGAATATATACTCCGGATCTATGATTGGCCGAGCTTAACCCAGACCCGCGATTTTCCTTCTCCAATCTTCACCTCACCACCTCTTCTTTTATACTGGGATTTGGTCAACATATACCCAGGTATATATCGAGGTATCGACCAGTCTGCCATGCCTCGCAACAACAAGAAACTCAAAGGAGCTCCTGCTCCAGCCCGCTCCCGTGGTCCTGGCAAGCCTTCTGTTCAGCCTTCTCACCTTCCCAAGGGACAGAATGTAAATGGTCAGGGTCAGGGTCAGGGAAAGGGTCAAGACATGGAAACAGTCGCTAAGAAGGGTTCTGTGCAGGCGAATCAAAGGCCTATTGTTCCTTTTTTGAGGAAGGATCGCGTCCTGCTTGTTGGTGAAGGTGAGTTTTGTATCATCTGCTGTGTAATGCATTGTTTCTGTTATTGCTGTTTGCTTTCTTGTCTGTGAATATATATGTTTGGCTCGATGGTTCTATTTTTTCATGTGTGATTTATGATCACCATTCTGATCATGTTATATGATATTGGAACCAATGTGCAAGCATTGCCAGACAAGAACCTGCATGATATCAGCCAACAGCTGAGAAAGAAACATCTCAGAGAATACTCACTAACAAAATACCCCCCAGGAGATTTCTCATTCGCCCGCTCTCTGGCAACACAATACAAATGCCGCAATCTATGCGCAACATGCTACGATTCCAAAGAAACACTGGAAGGCAAATACCCGCATGTGCAAACCACCATCCAAACAATTCTAGAATCCGGCCAAAAATCCAAGAAAGACACAGAAATCGAATCAGAAGAGAAGAACGACAACGACAAGGATAACGACTCGACACCCACCCAAAAGGCCCCCAAAGTCCTCTTCTCAGTCGATGCCCGCAAGCTCGGCAGTCCTGGCGGCGGTGCTAAAGAAATCCGCACAGGCTTCCTCCGCCATGAACGCAGACGACCGGGCTGGTTCCAGCCCAAAACTCCCGATGCGCCTTATCTGCCTGGTGGACCGTGGGATGTGATCTGTTTTAATTTCCCTCATGTCGGCGGCCTTTCGACGGATGTCAATCGCCAGGTTAGGGCCAATCAGGAGTTGTTGGTTGCTTTCTTCAAGGCTTGTGTGCCTCTTCTTTCTAAGGCGCCGCCGCTTATGGATGCCGATGAGGACGAGTGGGAGGTATCTGAGTCTGAGGACGAGGATGACGACGAGGATGAGGATGAAGATGAAAATGGTGAAGAGGGTCAGGCTGGTGATGAGACGACTGGGAAGGGCATTCGGACTGGGCCTGGTCAGATTCTGGTTACTTTGTTCGAGGCGGAGCCTTATACGCTTTGGAATATCAAGGATCTGGCGAGACATGCTGGGTTGATGGTTGTTACCAGTTTCCGGTTCCCGTGGGCTTCGTATGAGGGATACTCGCATGCGCGAACGATTGGGGAGATTGAAGGGAAGAATGGGGAGAGAGGTGGGTGGAGGGGGGAGGATCGGGATGCGAGGATGTATGTCTTTGAGGTGAAGGAGAAGCCCAAGTGGAAGCAGAAGCCCAAGTTCAACAAGAAGACGCAGAAGAGGGAGAGAGAAGGCTCATCTAGTGATAGCGACTAAGGTGCATGCACATCTACTGTTGCATTTGGTTTCGTTGTCTGAAGATACAAGGCAATATATGTAAATTTCCCGCTTCAAATCGCTAAAACAACGCCATTGGCTGAACCAGGCCAAGTCAAGTCTCTACATTATATACACTTTCTTCATTTCGCTCTCGTCAAAGACCTCGCCCGTCGTTGGGTCCTTGACCTTGCCCGCTTCCACGGATCCCAGCTTGGTGCTGATTTCGATTAACCGCTGTTGTCCGTAAACACGGCCATTAGGTAGGACGATAGGGTCACTCTCCACGTAGCTCTTGGAGTGATGAGCGTATGGCATGGTGCGGGCAAGCTCGTTCAGTTCGGTCGAGCAGATCGGGCAGACTGACGTTGAGGTTGACTGTGAGTTAGAGCTGGATGATGTGTATGCGGAGTGACAAAGAGGTGTTTTGAGGGCCGAAAGTCCGGCTGAAAGTGCAATATGCAGCAGCGGCTGTGACGGTAATGAAAGTAACTCATGGTGAGTCTGTACAAAGAGATCTGATAACTCTTTCCAGCGGCCCAGTGAAAAAAGCGACTGTCTTCATTAGTACAGGATGTGTTTTTGCCGGAACTGATTTTCATACCTTGTAAGGCTCAACTCGTGTGTCTTGCTTGAAGACAAGCAAACCAGCAGCACGTCTAATCTCTGGATTCTGAGCTTGGTGATTCAATATGAGATATTTCTTAGCATGAGCAATTGCTTCAATCTTCTTGGTTTTATCCTGCGTCCGGACCATCTCGATGAATTGCTGCAGTCGGAGCTCAAATTCGAGGTTGTGCTGCAGATATCTCGAATTAGCCAGTCACAATACAAATACAGCCATGCTACAACTTACCTGGCTCTTCTTTAGTGCCGCTTTATTCTCACCACACCACTGCAGTGCTTCCTTCGTCTCTCCTCGTCGCAGGCTTTCGACAATTCGTTGGCACTGCGTAAAGACACCAAGATCCACAAGATCCTCCACTCCCCGCTCTTGGGCTAATTGCTTTGCACTTTCCGAGTACCCCGATCGCAACATATGGTCTACAAGTAGTCGATCCAGTCGTACTCTTGCCCACTGGTCGTATTTGACATCAGCTAGATTGGGGATCTTGTGCAGCGCCTCCAGGTGTTGAATGCGCTTGCGGGACTGGTTGTGGATTCTCTTCTCTTCTTCTTGTAACCCTTCCATCTTCCTCTTGAGACCTTGCATTCGGGATATCATCGCGTCGAGAGCGGCAAGTGTCTGATCGGGGGTTTGTGTGTTGGAGAGTGAGGCGTTGGCCGTGTCTCGGAGTGTAGGGAGAACATATTCCTTCTCGCGTTCGACGGCTCGTTGAACAGTCTTAAAATTTCTGCGGGCTAGTTCGTGTGGAAGTCGGAGAAGCGGTTGGTCCTATTTGGAGTTGTTAGAGTGCTGCTATCATCAGACGGTGCGGAGAAGTTACCAGAATGATGTGACTCTCCGGGTTGAGCTTGGTTGATGTCAGCTCTGCGGCCATGATGACCATAGGTTTACTTTATCTCAGAACAGGGTCCTCAGATCCGAGATTAAGTAGTTGAGTGAGAGATGATCAGAAGACGAGGTGGAGGGGAAGCTCCGGGATGCGGAGAGAGAAAAGTCACGAGATCCGCGTCATCGGGTGCAACGATGTAATGCGACTTTGACTACGCACAAGAGGTCTTGATTCTACTCGAGTCTACGGTGTTTACTTTCTTTTACGATTCATTGGGCATTCACATAATCAGCCTTCAATATGAAACTGTAGAATAGACTAACGAATTTCCCTTTTGACCCAAGACTCCGGAAATAGCAAAATATGGTACAGGGGACCTGATGGCCTTCCTGGAGTGCATCTAGTCGCTGTCGTCGCTATCGTCCGCCTTGGACTTGCGGCGCTCCTTCTTCTCCTTCTTCTCCTTCTTCTTCTTCTTGCGCTCGGCCTTCTCCTCGGCAGTCTCGCCATCGTGTCTCTTGCGCTTCTTGTCATCGCTGTCAGCCTCGGCCTTCACGGGCTCGGGGAGTCCTCCTTGGGGGCAGGGGTGATAGCGGGAGCAGCAGCAGCGGCGGCCTCCTCAGAGCCGAGAGGAGCGTTGAAGTCCTTGTACTCGCTCTTCCACTTGGCGGGAGTAGCCTCGTTGGCGCGGCCGTACTTGTCAAGCTGACCAGCGGACTTCATCTTCTTCTTCTCGAGAGCGGTGGGTCCGAGTCCCCAGCGGCGAGGGTAGAGGTCACGCTCCATGATGCAGCGCTTGACCTTGGCAACAACACCGTGGTCGCAGGTGGTGAGCTCGACAGTGGACATCTGAGCGATACCAATGGCGATGGCCTCACCCTTGGTGGTCATGAGGACGACCTCCTCGTTGATCTCAATACCGGCCTCGTAGCGGAGCAGACCGGGGATCATGAGCTTAGCACCGTAGCAGACGGCGTTGACAGCGCTGTCCTTGACGACAATACGCTTGTAGGAGGTGAGGAGAGACTCCAGGGGGCTGATGACCTTGCGGAGGTAAGACTCATCGCGCTGGTTGTCGTAGACCCACTGGGCGTCCATCACATCGTGAAGGGTGACCATACCCTTGGACTCGTCCATGGCACCGGAGCGGACACGACGGAGCTCCTGCATGTGGGCACCGACACCGAGAAGGAGACCAAGGTGAACACAGAGAGTACGGATGTAGGTACCAGCCTCACAGCTGACCCAGAAGACACCAAGGTGACGCTCGTTGTCGAACTCGTAGAGCTTGCTCTCGTAGATGGTACGGACACGGAGCTGACGCTTGACGGCAGAGATGAGAGGGGGACGCTGGAAGAGCGCACCAGTCAAGGTCTCCAGAGCGCGGGCAAACTGAGCCTCACCACCGGGGATCTTGTCGTGGAGACGAATGACACAGACGTACTCCTTACCAGCACCCTGCTGGGACTTGACCAGGCGGGTGGCACGGTCAATGCAGACAATCAAACATCCAGTGACCTTGGGGTCAAGGGTACCGCTGTGACCAGTCTTCTCGGAACTAAAGAGGAAAGGAAGATCAGTATTGATTCCATTGAGGGAGATGGAGAGTGACTTTACCGGAGGATACGCTTCATCCAAGCGACAACTTCGTGACTGGAAGGGTTCGACGGCTTGTCGAGGTTGATCACACCGGAACTGATGTAGGACTTGAGGTCACGGCTCAGAGGAGAAGAGCCAGCGGGGATAGGGGTGAAGTGACCAGTCCGGACGAGCACTATACAAGCAAAAATGTCAATGTCGGCTGGGTCAAGCATGGAGTTTTAGGGACAAGCGTACGCTTCTCATAGTTCTTCAGCAGAAGCGGCCAATCCTCCGTGTTAACGGTAGGAACGGACGCTTCAGGCTTGATGGCGTAGTCCATCTCCGAGGTCTTGACGACGGCCATTTTGGTTGGTTGTCGTTGAGGATTTGCGCGGTTGAAGCCCCGAAAATTTGGTCGAAGGAAATTTTGCGAGTGCGGCAGCTCCAGTGCCAAAAGGGGTTTAGCGCCCGGTCGTGGTCAGCCACACGTGACTTCTCTTTCGAGGCGTTCGATCGACGATTCTTCGGTCTTTTCACTTCTCCAATTGTCTTTGATTTAGTTGAATTGCGATGAATTAGTTATTGATAATGATACATTGTTCATTGATGAAGGAAACTGGATGTTGCTGCCAGAAATTATCACTATCGAGGACACTATGCAAGCCAGCGCGTCTGCCAGATGCAAGCCCATATGATTTACACATTTGCAAAGAGTTCTATCCAAGTCTGCGACCAGTACCTCGGCCATTCCAAGATCCCTGCACACCAGAGGCCCAGCCCCAAGAGGATGGGAGTGGTCCACTCTCAGGCTGATTGGCTGCTCGCGCTGGGCGACTGGCTGATCCATATCCTCGAGATCCAACATTCACGGTGTGTCGAGTAAAGTATCTCTCCAAGAAGGCTGGGACCTTAATGAAGTTTCGTCCGCCACCGAAGGTAGGGTAGATGCGAGTGATGAAGTCGTACAGATGAGCAGAGATGATGCCCATGCTTTCTACTAGAGCGGATTGCCACCCACCCATCACCATTGTGACTAGGAGCAATGCGTATGGCAGAAACACCACGGGGATATCGATAATGTAGAATCTCACGCGCTTGCCTCGATTGTCCTGGGAATAGGTGTAGACGAAAGCCATAATCAAGGCTGGGTTCAGTCAGTGTCTGGCTTGAAAAAGAACATAATTACTGTAAGCTTACGGCTTGTAAGAATCATCGCCCCGAAATAGGTACCTGCTGTGAGCTTGGGAAAAGTTAGCATTTATCAAAGATTGGACTACCAGAACGAGTATGTAGAAAGAATAGTGGATGTTATTGGAAAGAATAGATGTATATAAATGTAGGGCGCCCCCAAAACCAACAAGATATAGAATCATGTCGGCCATGTTTGAAGGCAATCCCACCATTCCCACATCGCATGCAGCACCTATATTTTGCGAATTGACGGCGCTGCACGAGATGCAGGGGTAATCTCCCTCACATTCAGGAACCGCTTCAGCTATATTGAAGTCTGGGCGGGCAGATAGGAGGGTAAAGGAAAAGAACGCAAGCAGAAAAAAACAGGACTCTAAGTCACTTACCATGAGGGTGAAGGCTACAAACAACAGGTATATGAAGAATTCTCCAGGTTGGTCGAAACGAGCCGAGCCAGTCTCCAGAGAACTGCCATAGTGGTACACTGTTGGTACATTAGCACCCTGATCAAGGACTGTGATACCGAGGCATCATACTGAAGTAAAGATCAAAGACAAAGGACAAGCCAGGTCCGGTTAGTAAAAATGGAGTGGCTAGCCGCCAAATTTGGGGGCGCCAGTTGAAAATCAGACTCGGAAGGAATAGAGCATGGTAGCCACTCATTAAACCACCATGCACTAATGCAGATTGAACCAGAGTCAAGGCTGTAAGAGTCCTGGAAGATGAGTTAGAAAAACGAGTTGGAGAAATGAGAGGTGATGTGCATACCTAGTGACTGGGGGAGCCCGCCAGAAGAAGTCCATAGCTGAAGCTGAAGACGAGATTTCTAGGTTAATTGATCACAGTGTGTATCATTGCACTTTCAGGAAAGCCAGGTTACTGAGTTGAAGAAGAGAAAGAGAAAGGAAGAGGTGGGAAGAAGAAAACGTGTGCAAAACTAGCTCCGGCGAAATTTATCCGACGTCCGTGATTACAGCATCACTTCCATCCATTTCGAGCCTCATCTATAAATTTGCTCGGCTTAGCACTATGATACCCTGGAACGTTTGATTCATAGTAGTTTATTTCACGAGTACAAGTCTCATTATATTAATATCATTACAAGCTCCTTGTCCGAGCCGTACCTCTAACAGCCAACCCTCCATCTTGGCTCTCAATCCATACATCCCAAGCTCCAGTATCATTCTTGGGCTTTCCACAAATAACCAGCTCCTCTCCAACAAACAGAGGAGCCAAATTTTTATATTCAAGGTTACTGAGGCAGAGGTTCACCTGCTTCAGGTGGTGTTGCAGCACACTCAACAGAAGGGTGAGCGTCAACGGGCCATGTACCAGCAAATCGCGATATCCTTCCTGATTCTGAGTATATCCCTTATCCAGATGGATAGAATGGGCATTGAACGTAAGTGCCGAGAACCGGAATAACAGCGCCTTAGTCGGCATAAGAGAATGGCGGAATGTCGCATTGGAAGGAGCTATTGTTGCCAGAATGTCAGCACTTTTCTACAATACACGAGACTAAATCAAGGGGAAGAAGTTGCGTACGTTTGACAATTCTGCTAGGCTTTCCAAATTGCTCTTTATCTGTCTCGATCTGTGCCCCGGTCTTCAACCGCATGAAGATGAGATCCCGATTCTCAATTACTGACGACTCCCCTGGGTTTTCTTCGTTCTCTTTCCAGATCCGATCCCGGGTCTCGTCGGCAGTTTCCCCCTCTGGCGCATTACCGACGCGCCGCTCAATAGTGACAATCACCTTCTCGTCTCCTTCGCGGCCCTTTACGGTCACATTGCGGATGGACTCAATGCAGACTGCGCGACTGCCATCTAAAGCAGGACTAGATGAGGGAAATCTTAAATTTCCCCCTGCCCAGAGACGCCGGTTGAATGGTTCTCCGGGGGTATGTAGTGTATCCGTACAGTCCGGGAGTAGTTGGGACAATGTCACCTGCGGCGGGAAGTAAATCAGGTGGTGCCCAATTGGTAGCGGAGAGGCATTCTGGATGGAAGGCAGAGTCGCATAATCGTCGGAAGTGGTAGATGGTGGTACAAGATCACGGAGCGTAAGGTTGAGCAGGTGTGAGGGCTGTGGGTGGAGGTAATCGTACGTCAACGGGAGTTTCCTTGAAGTCAGTTCGCGATGCAAGCGCTCTGAGAGCGAAGAATACGTGCGGCATCCATGCCTCCAAGAGAGCAGGGGTCGAAGTGGAATGATCATGGGGGAAGGGGAAAGAGAATAGTGCGGACATCGGGAAACGGATGATGTCTCAACCCCAGAGTTCGATCTCAGATCGTTTGGTCTGTTTGTTTGTCGCTCATTGCCCATGTTGGAATATCGGAGCCCACACCGCTCGGCGGATCTGGAAATGTTCAGCTGAGTGGATTTGCTTTTGTTTCTTCCCACACAAGTGCAATCATGACTCGCTTGAGGGTAGCCTTTCTCGGGCCATTGGCATCGTTCTCGCATCAGGTCAGTCATACCCCCCTCCGATAGATCCCCCCGCAGATCTGACGATTGACCCCTGATCTATAGGCCACTGCCGAATCCTTTGGCAAGATTGCCGCAGATCTGCTGCCTCATGCCTCTTTTGCAGACGCTTTTACCGCTCTTCAGCAGAAGACGGTCGACTACGCGGTGATTCCGTGCGAGAACTCCACCAATGGATCTGTAGTGCAGACACTAGATCTCTTGGCAGATCGGGATGATTCATATAAAGATGTGAAGGTATGTGGGGAATATTACCTCACGGTCCACCATTGTCTTCTCGCACGCAAAGGCGCGTATCCCGGTGGCTGGGCCGGCTACGACGGCTCCATCACCAAGCTATATACACACCCACAGGCCTGGGGTCAGTGCGAGACTTTCCTCTCGCGCCATTTCAAGGGGGTCGAAAGGCAAGATGTCTCATCCACATCCAAAGGTGCTGAGATTGTCTCCAAAGAGGAGACTGAGGAGAAGGGCGGTGCCATTGCCAGCCGCTTTGCAGCAGAGCACCATGGAGTGGACATCCTCCAAGAAAACATTGAAGACCGTGCGGACAACACCACCCGCTTCCTTATTTTGAGGAATGTGCTCGCTGAGCGTACAGCCCAGTATGAGCTCGATCAACTGAACCCGCCGACGCTGGATCAGAAACCTGCTCTTGATACCACACAAAAGACCTTGATCTCTTTCACCATTGATCATACTTCGACCGGTGCATTGGCTGATGCTTTGATCATCTTCAAGGCCCATGGTCTGAACCTCACAAGTATCAACACAAGGCCCAGTCTCAAGAAACCGTGGCAATACGTCTTCTTTGTTGAGTGTGGAAGGACTCCATCGGATGAGAACAAGGACGCTGTCCACAAGGCTCTCGCTGCCCTCCGACAAGTCACAGAAACATGCAAGGACCTGGGTACTTGGAAGGATCAATTGAGCGCACGCAATGCTTGAACGCATTTGTATATAATTTTAAATGCCGTTCCGTGTGATCTTTTGGATTCACGTGGAAAAGGGCACCATAACTACATCAATCTCGGTTTTCCGTATGAATGAACGACAAGATGACAAACTCGTTCTCTTTTTTACAAAGCGTACTCCGCTAGATGAATAGAGAACTTAACAGAGGCACCATCTATAACAACCCTTTCGGGAGCTTTTTGGAAATATAAAGAGCAAACAACGACTAAGATACCAGACAATGCCATTCTGAATAGATCGAGCATATACCTGGCCGAGAAATAACAATCCAACACCATCTGTCTTACATGAAGTAAGTCGAGCAAGCAGTGGTGGATGACCAAATGTTGCCGAGAATCAGATCCAACCTAAATTGCAATTTAAACCACTTCATATCAGACCCCGAGGTGACCTCGGTGTGCATATCACGGAGCTTGGATGACCCTGTTTCATATTAGAACAAATTGCGATACCGGTACGGTATGGAACACACCTCTGAGTGGCTTCATTGTGTGTGGACCAGGCCTTTGTTGGTTATCCTTCACGGATGCCTTGGTTCCATCACAGGAGCCACATTCTTGATCCACAGGGCGAGCCGTCAAAAGACCCGCCGCGGGAGCTTCTGGCCGTTCATCCTCGCTCACTGCGAGGGGGCAACGCCGTCAATCTAGTAAAATTAGTCATGAAACCACGGTTGGAGAAGGACATCACGCATACCATCGTAGAACTCATCGTCATCGCTGTAATCGGCGAGCTGATCAAAGTTGACCTTGTATCGGAGAATGGCACCGATACCACCGAATCCCTTGACGAACTGGTTTCCTTCACCAGATCGGTCAGAGACGAACTCCAGGTTGGCACCGAAGTCCTTGTAGGCCTCGGCAAGCCACTCGAGGAAGGAGCCGGAGTCAACCACCTCCATATCAAGACCGGTTTCCTTGTCCTGGAAAATCTCACGGTTGGCTTCCTGAGTCTTGTTGGTGTGGACAATAACCTCAGCACCCGCAGCGTTCTTCATGATCCAGCGGGTGATCTCCAGGTTCTCGTGAACAATCAAGATCTCAGCAGCACCAAGCTCCAGAGCCTTGAGGGTATCCTCAATACCATAGCAGACTCTGCCAGTATCTTGAGAGATCTCCTGGAAGTACTGTCCAATGAGCTTCTTCTCCTGGACAAACTTGACGTTGCTCAGAGTCTCGCCAGCAAGTTCAATAGCCTGGTTGAAACCGTTCTCTCCACCGTAAGAAACATCGACAATCTTGATAACCTTGGCCTGCAGACGGCCGTCGAACAGGTCGGACTGGTTGAGGTCGTTCTTGAAATCGGCGGAACCAGCCAAGACGAGACCAGCGACGTTGACCTTGTCGTTGGTGATATAGTTCTGGACGGCCAATTCGGCAATTTTACGGACGTAGTTGTGACGCTTTTCCTCACGCAGACGAGAGAAACGCAACGCGGATTGACCACCACGGCCCTTGACGATAATCAGTTTGGAACCTTTTCGAGACAAAGGGTACATATACTCACGTGCTTCTTGGGCAGATCGACAGACAGACGCTGAAGGATCTCACGGGTGTTACCGCTGAGGGTACCAAATAGAGCACCGTTACCGTCCATGATAATGAAACCGAACTTCTGGTCCGACTCCAGGAGCTCGCTCAGAGCCTCAGTGTGGAACTTGTTGTCGCAAAGGTATAGCGACGTGTTGATGGGCTTGAAGGGTTCGAAATCGATGTTAATCTTGCGCTCCTTTCCTTCGGCGGTGATAATTTCACCACAGTACACAACCAGTCCATTGGGAGGAACCTTGTTGTACAACTTGAGACGCTGCTGGGTGGATGTAATGGCTGACAGGACGGAGAGACGGTTGACTCGGGACTTGATGTTGGAGGCAGTACCCTAATTGAGGGTGGTTAGATGACGCTTGAAGATTTGTTCGAGGACAGACATACATATTCTTCAGCCAGCATCTTTGCGGCCCGAGAAATCTGATCCTTAGGGGCTGCATTTGCGAGTTAGCGTGGGACGGGTGGCTTGAAACCAGAGGGGGGGAGATGTACGGATAATGAGCGAAATCATGGAAGTTCCATTTCCGCGAGCAGATTCAAGACGCTTGATCAGCTTCTTGACCTTCCAGATCTCAATGTTCTTATCAGCTTCGTTCGGCTGAGGAGCGCTCATCTTGGGCGAGGCGGAGGACGATCAAGGAGAGGGGGGAGTATCAAAGGCCTTGCCTGCGGACGCCTGAAGATTTCGGGGTCAGTTGAGTGAGGCGGGCACCAAGAATAATTGATCTGACCTATTTTTTAATTTTCTAAAAAAAGGGTCAGTACAAGCGAAGAAGAAGCCAGTCCCAAGACTTCAATAAAAAATCCAACTCAAATCCACGGACCAGAACCGACACATACCTTGACTTGATTGACGTACAAAGGCAAATTTCCTCGTGGGGTGCGTCCTCAGTTTGTTCGAGGGGTCGGCTGGGTCCGCTGAGGTAAGCCAGGGCTTGTGACGTACTGGGTACTTGCCGGGCCATGGCCTTGATGCTGGAGACTCAGGTACTGGTACCTGAGTCACTCTGGGCATTCATACTCTCTGTGTTTTCAACCATAGCCTGGAGCAACTATCAGTTATAAATTATTGAGTGCTTTTGTTCTCGTTTCATCTTCCAGTTGGCTTGACTACTGCATCTGCATCTGCCTTACGTAAATATCAAACACTCTCAACGCCCCCGAGGTCGGACTCGAAATCTTGTTGGTATCAGACTCCCTGTCACTTGGGTTCTGGCCTCTATAACCACGGTGTTACTAAGTTGATGAGGTGAACTCGTTCAAGTTCACGTTATCTGGTCACTGCAATTAGTCACCTGCAGGCTTATCAAAGACCAGAGAGAGAAGAGAGAAAAAAAAAAGGCCCGAGATCCGCACTCCCCACACAAACTCTGGACGGGAAGCTCCTTGGCGCTAGACTCTTTTGATCTTCGAGATTCGCCTTATCTGAGCTATCTCGTGATAAGAGAGAGAGGGGAGAGTTTTCCCTTCTCCTCTTTTCCTTTCGTATTCATTTTCTCGCTCATCATGTCGGGGTCAGGCCAGGACAATGGCTCGGAAAGCTCGTTGAGAACACCAGTAACAGTGGTACCAAGGTCCTACGACTATGATCACCTGGATCATGGGAGTCCAATCGAATCAGGGACTTGGGGGAGAGAGAGGTAAGGGCCTGGCGCTCCCGTGGGTCATCCAGCTGACTAACTGGGGAACAGGTCGTCGTCGTTCTCCAACCGATTCCGTCAAGCGGGTGGTCCCAACAGTTTGGATAACTTTGCGCGTTCCTGGCAGAGAGCTGCCGCGTTCCCGGAGGTGATTCCTCGACGATCCTCGTTTGTGTCGGAGTCGGATGATGAATTTGGAATTGCTACTGGTGTGGAATATGCATCGAGAAGCAACCAGCCGTGGGGATCGTGGGGCCGGAACTCGGATTTTGAACGACCCCTGCTGCGGGATGAGTCGGAGGATGATGAGCCGATCGAAGAAGACTCGCATGGACCCGAGCAGTCCAAGCGTGGAATTCCCAGCGCGGGACTGCTGGCCTCTTCTTTTGATCGAAGTTTTGCGGCTTCGTATGGCACGATCTCCTCGCGAATGAGCGAGTCGACTCGGAGACATGCGATTCAATTCCACAAAGATCAGAATACCCATGTCGATGGTGCAGGAGATCCAGATCGGGGGCCATTGCTGGTAAAGCATATCCAGCATGAAGATGGAACGGAAGAGGATGTCATCGTTGGCCAATCTACCGTACCGCAGACTGTCTTCAACTCGGTTAATGTATTGATTGGTATTGGTCTTTTGAGTCTCCCGCTGGCAATGAAGCATGCCGGTTGGGTTTTAGGACTGACATTTCTGATCTTCTCGGCAGTGACAACCTCCTATACAGCCAAGATTCTCGCTAAATGTCTGGATGTTGACCGGAGCGTCGTCACTTATGCTGATCTGGCGTATATCAGCTTCGGACATCAGGCCCGTTTGGTTACCAGCTTCTTATTCTGCTTGGAACTTCTGGGTGCATGCGTAGCCCTGGTTGTGCTTTTCGCAGACAGTCTTTATGCTTTGGTCCCAGGTTTGAGTATCCTGCAGTGGAAGATCGTTTGTGGAGTTGTGTTGATCCCACTCAACTTCCTCCCATTGCGTTTCCTCAGCATCACCAGCATTCTGGGTATTATATCATGTACATCTAGTAAGTTCTGTGGACTCCGAGACACTTCACCAGAGACTAACACTATGAAGTTGTGGTCCTTATTTGCATCGATGGCCTCATTAAGCCTGATACACCAGGCTCACTGCGACAGCCCGCTAACACATTCCTCTTCCCTGCCAACTGGGCTACTATCCCGTTGAGTTTCGGCTTAATCATGTGTTAGTCCGCCAAAACCTGTGAAATGTTCGAAAAGCTAACTCTCGGACAGCACCCTGGGGCGGCCATGGTGTCTTCCCAAACATCTACCGCGACATGAGACATCCTCAGAAGTACGGCAAGAGTCTACGGGTGACCTACATATTTACTGTAAGACTTCTTTGAATCCACGTGTTGGAATAATTCTGACAAGACTAGTTCGCTCTCGACTGTTCAATGGCCATTATTGGTTGGCTCATGTTTGGTGATTTTGTCCAGGACGAGATCACTGCGAACATTCTCACGGTCACCCACTACCCCAAGGCCCTTTCCGTCTGTATTATAGTATTCATCTCAATTATCCCGCTCACCAAGGTCCCGTTGAAGTAAGTCCGCCTCTGGCTGATTCTGGATCAAACGAAGCTGACAAGAACATAGTGCACGACCTCTGGTTGCCACATTTGAGGTTCTCTGCGGAGTTGCAGGCAATGTGCCTACTGAAAACCGCAGCGAAACGGTTCAACAGATCTCACGAGCGGCGATTCGTCTTTTCGTCGTGGTCATGATTGTCATTTTGTCCGTCATTTTCCCAGCGTTCGATCGCATCATGGCGTTTATGGGTTCCTTCTTGTGTTTCACCATTTGTATTATCTTCCCTCTTGCATTTTACCTCAAGATATTTGGAAAGGAGATCAGTCGAGGCGAGCGCATCCTCGATTGGATTCTGCTTGTGATTTCGACGATTCTGGCTGCGGTCGGAACTGTCTTTGCTTTCTTGCCTCGGGACATCATTGCAAACTAGTTGTGATCCTAGCTAGCTTTCATTGCTGCTCGAAGCATCAATGTGTATGTCGTATAGAGTTCAGCCTTTGTTGATAATGATGGAGAAATTGTTTCTTGTCTTGCCAGACCTCAGCTCTTCCTTCTTGTAGACCTTAGGCGCGTAGGTACCAGAATGTTCCCAGAGATGGAATACTAGCTTCGAGGTCCGCTTGCTCTGGGTTAGACGGAAGCCCAAGCAAGTCATGATCTCTCCGAGTCTTTCTTCGTTGAGGTAGCGTGAGTTGTCGACACAGGCAATGGGGAGCACCAGAAAGAGTGTCGGAACAAGCTCAATAGGGCATTTCGAGGTCAAAAACTTGACGCATCGCTTGAGCATTTCACCTCGTCCCGTGGCGTCAGGAACGTAGTTTAGTACCAATGATAGACTAATCAGGTTGAAACGTTCCGCGTCACTGGATGGCAAAGGGCGTTCCATGAAATCTTGCTTGAGAATCCCGGGTTCTTGAGAGTTCAAGTCGATTCGAGTGACATCCAATGCTGCGTTGGTCGAGCAGGCGTTCTTTGTGCTCAAAGCTCCAACTTCAAGAACTCGCAGCTGAGGGATACTCTTGTTCCATTGACTAAGCTGTGGCTTGATCCAGTCAATGAGAACCTTGCTGGAATCACCACCGCGGTCCATTGACTGGCCTAGCTTGCTGGCGGTCTGGTAGCTCTTCAAGCCTCCATTGGCTTCAATTTGAGCATCGATGCTGCAGACCCGGGCCTCATCGCCAGCTGCCAGGGCTTGTGCCCGAGTCTTGAGAAGCCTGTGATGAGATCGAATGAGATTTCGGGTTGCTTTAGCTGACAGCGCAGCCTCCTTGGATTTAACGATTGGAGGCCGACTATGGGACAACAACATCGGTCTCTTGGATCGTTTGTGAGGGGCCATGTCGGAATATGAATGGTGCTGTCAGTTGTATGCAAGAGGTACACCTCAGTTACTAGAGTCTCGAAAGTCTTTTCACAGTCTGAATATACAAAGTGGTTGAAATATGCTGCAAAGAAAAGCTGGTGAAGAAAAAGCCCAAAGACGCCAAGAGTTATATGCGAGTTGATTGGCCAGGAAAATGACAATACTGTACTGTCTGGTAACCATAAATTACTTAATCATCGCCCACACAGGTCACCTGACCCACACAGCGCTAGGGTTTTCGCTAAGCGAATATACCTCCAAATCTTCGATTCCTGACACTGTGACAAGCATCATCGACAGCGACCGACGACAGCCATGGCCCCCTCCGACAACAAGACTGGTACGTTGAAACATGCATGCCTTGCTCTTCTATCGTGCCCCCAACATTGCCAATTGTGAATTTGCCGACTGGACGTGGACGACGATTTCGATATATGGATTCGAAAAAAATTTACGACATTTCGATATTGTGTTGCAAAGCGCCGGGAATATTGGGGAACACACTTGCATCACTATCGAATATGTCAACGAATCACATATCAATATCCTCTCGTTCAGAACCTCATACTCGTCCAAACGGCAAATTTCGCAAATGGCACACGACATGTGCAAAAAAAAAAAAAAAAACCTTCAGAGCACCTGGCTAACGGGCTCTCTCTTTACAGGCAACAAGAAGGCCAACGCTGCCGCCAAGGCAGTCGTTAAGGGCGCCTCGGTACGTAAAACTGCAAGATGAAGCAGACCAAAGAAATTTCTTTTGGAGCCTATCGCTAACGCGGTTGTGGCAACAGCTTCACAAGTCCCGCAAGGTCCGCACCTCGACCACCTTCCACCGCCCCAAGACCCTCCAGCTGTCGCGGTCCCCCAAGTACCCCCGTGTCTCCATCCCTCATGCCCCCGCTCTCGACTTCAACAAGGTCATCCTGTACCCCTTGAACACTGAGAGCGCCATGAAGAAGATCGAGGAGAACAACACCCTGGTCTTCATCGTCAACGTCAAGTCCAACAAGCGCCAGATCAAGATGGCTCTTAAGAAGCTGTACGATGTTGACACCGTCAAGGTCAACACCCTTGTCCGGTATGTTTCTTCCCTGTTTTGTGTGCCGTGTATATGAATCTTTGCTAATTCGACCTAGTCCCGACGGTACCAAGAAGGCCTTCGCTCGTCTCACCCCTGACGTCGATGCTCTTGACATTGCCGCCACCAAGCTGGCCATTGTTTAAATAAAATTCACGAATGGATTTGTTTGGGTTTTGGCGAACTGTGTTTCCACCGGGGTCTAAAATACCAGCCTGTGTTCCTCGGCTGTCCTGCAGCATCGAGTGCTGAATGATCAAAAAGAACATACCCTTTAACGCGTCTTTCCTGAATGTATGGACTTGTGTCCTGTGGGCCATGGCATCTGTGCTCCATTGTAGACATGATAACGTAGTGTATAAAGTAATCTGACATCATGGTCTGTTAGTGTATGTGCTGGCGCATGAACCTTTGCTGGTTGAAATGCGCATTCAGACCGAAAGTTCAGCATAGAGGTGGATGCTCCGGTATCCCATGTTGATCTTGGCTCCCACTCTCACCAGCCTAGGGCGTGTCAGAAAGCGTAGGTCTGTGGTCTACTATGTTTCTCTGTTTAGTCAATACCAATATCTACTCTTTACGATTATAGCACAAGACACAACCGACCTTGGATGTGCCCTCTATCCGAACTACTCAGCCTAACAAACAAGAACAAGAAGAACAAGTACAAGTACAAGATAATATCGTTCATAAATTGACTCTAGTATACAAGTGGTGAATATGCAATCCATCCATCAAACCCATACCCCAAAATCGATACCGACAGCTAGCAGTTAGCAGCTGGCAGCCTGTAGAACCCATCCTAGTCTGACCCAGATACATGCACCCAGATCATCACTAGTCATAAAGATTTCGAAAGAAGGCAACAGTCTCCCATCACATTATAGCCGGAGAGATGGAGGAGTATGCAGGAGCAAAGAGAAGATCAAGAGCAAATGTCAGTCACATTTAGTGGCCGCGCATGTTCTCCAGCTTCTGCAGGATGGACAAGCTCGTGTCCATCCACCGGTCAACGCAGTTCTGTGCGCATGTCTCCTCAGACTTGTCGAGAGTACCAGAGGTGATCTTGCTGGTGATGCACTTTTGCCAGCAGACTTCGTTCAGGTGGTGGACGGCTACAGGAAGTGGGTGTTAGCAATGGGTCTTATAGGGAGTGGGGGAGGATTGGAAACTCGGACACAGATAGTGGAGGAGTTGGGGAATGCTGTAGATATCTGATTTGCATAGATGAAGTGAACTTACTTTGTTGGATGTTGCCCTTCTGGGCTTCGTTGTTCAGGACCTGGTTAAGCTCCTTCTTGTCGTTCTCGGACAGCTTGGTGAGGTCAAGTTGAGTCTCCATTGTGAATGAATGTGAATAGTAGAATTGAAGGGAAAGAGGTAACGGTGAATGGCTTGTGAAGATGGGATGGACGAGGCCGTGAAGCTGGACAAGTCGCCGTTCAAAATCAAAGGCGGTGTGCAGTGGCACAAAAATGACGCGCAGTTTTCCCTATCGATAGGCGACTTTATGACTCCCTCATCTTCTTTTCGTTCTTAGTTTCTAGACGAAGAGTGCTGTTTTCGCGTTATCCTCCGTTCGTTCTCTACTTGCATTCTCTCTCGGTGGTGTGTATATTTTGTCAAATCGCCCATCATGCCTCCAATCCGCACCTCTCGCAATCGCAAGCCACCACCCGCCGGATTCGATGATATTGAAGATACCCTCCTGGAGTTTACCAATAAGATGAAAGATGCCGAGAATGCGTCGCATGAAGGAAAGAAGAAATATGAAGTGCTCTGGCCTATTTTCCAGATCAGCCATCAACGTACGTTGCTGCCCCCCGCCATTCAACCCAGATTACTAGGCATTATGCTTCCACCCTCATCTTGCGATTCTCTTTTTCAAGACCCCGGCTGACATCTAGTTTTGGATTGAACAGGTTCACGATACATCTATGACCTGTACTACGAGAAAGAGGCGATTTCCAAGCAGCTGTATGAATGGCTTCTTAAGAATGGCTATGCCGATGCCAACTTGATTGCCAAATGGAAAAAGCAGGGTTATGAAAAGGTGAGTCTCTTCTTTTTATCAGGCTCCTGTTGGGCCAACAAAAAGCAGCCTACTAATCAATATTTACCAGCTGTGTTGCCTGCGCTGTGTCCAGACGAAAGAGACCAACTTCAACTCGACATGTATCTGCCGTGTGCCCAAGGCGCAGCTCAAGGAGGACCAGACAGTTCAGTGTGTCAGCTGTGGCTGTCGGGGTTGTGGAAGCAGTGACTAAAGATGTGTTGACGTGGCGAATCAGCCATACGCATGGGACAAAAAGGGTCGACCACGGGCGTTTCGGTACTTGCATGATCTCTGTTCTTTGGAGGATTTCTGGGTAAAAATGTTGATAACCAAACAAGTAATGACATTCAATTGCTAACTACATTAATTCAATTCAATAGCGCCGCCAATGTGTCCCAGTAGTTTCCCATAATGACAGCCCTAAACCCAATATCCCAAATCATAAAACCATCGCTTGCTCATGTACATCTTAGCGTCGTCATTAAGGTCGTAACCAGCCATCCCGGGCTCGGTGGAAAAGCAGAACGGCTGCTGCGGCCCAACTCCTAAAGAAAAACACCGCCCACAAGACCTTGGAAACATCACCGAGTTTCAACTCCAGAAACAGAAACATTTTAAACAAAATCAGGGAATGCAGGAGAACGCAGGAGAACAGGAAGGGGGTAGTGAGAACGACAAAACATCAAATCAAATCACACAGGAATGGGCCTCAAGTGTGCCCATGGCAAAAAGAAAACAAGAAAGAGAATCATTAGGGTCTTAAAACAGAGTTGTGCTGCTGCGGTTACCCAGTTGGGGTCGCGAATGAAGCGACTTGGGCTTCAAAGTGTCTTCTTTGCTCATACCTCCAATCTTCTGGAAGCCTTGCAACAGATCAACGCCATCAACTTCGCCAGAGCTGTCATTCCCCTCATCGAAGAGATGGAAAGAGAAGAAATCTTCTTGGCCGGCATCTCCATAGCGGTGTGTTTCTGGGAGCTTGGATGGCGACTCGGGGAATATGGCGGACTTGGATCTGGGGAGAGGAGGCACTCCAAAGCGGCTGTTGATGTTGACAGAGGTGATGTCGGTGAGAGCAGAATTTCCACTGTCGGTTCGTCCACGCTTGACTGAACGCTTCTCTGGTGATCCATACGAGATTTGATCTGCGCCAGTGTCTGCAAAGACATCGAAGGTCGTATGATAGTGATCATTGGGGGTATAGCTTTCGTCTTGCAAGTTGAACGCCGGGCTCCAAGGAAGTTCCTGGTCGGTAAGACCCAAGTGCTTAATAGGCGAGTTGACCATTTGCTGGATTTTGCGACGGTGATTTCGTAGGTTGGTGTTTGGAGACACGGAAGGCGGTGGCTTGGCAGGCTTCTTGAATTTGATCACAGGAGTCAATGGAGGCGGCAGCATGCTCACGTATTGACTGCGCAGAGGGGAAGATCCAATGATAGGGTTTGGATTTTTGCGCATTGTGGGTTGGCCTGGACTAATGTCATGAGACGAGCTGCGCATACGCGCAATTTCCTCTTCTGCACGACCTCGCTTGATGCGCGGTGGTTCGATATCCAAATCAGAAGTCAAAATGTGACCGGCCTTGTTCGGCCGGAAGGCAGATGATTCCAAAGATGAGAAGTAACCACTGTCGTTCATTGTGATCGACTTGCGCTTACGAGGGCGAGGGGCGGGGGTGGGTCCAGTTTGAGTTGGTGTAGGAGGAGTATTTTGACGGGCAAAGCGAGGAGGAGCAATGGGGGGAGATGATCGAATAGTCTGAGGGGGAGAGGAACGAGGAACTGTATGAGCGGCAGGGATTGGAACAATATCGTCTGCATCATCTTGAAGAGCCGGGTCGGACGCAGGTAGAGTCGCGTCGGAATCCAAGTCTGGCACTGGAGGTGGCTTAGGTGTAGGAGCATGATGGGTAGGAGGAGGCGGAACAATCCAAGTGGTGGTGCTGGCAGAGTGAGATAACCCAAGGTCGCGCTGAGGAATAGCAGGAAGAGGAAGGCTGGACATGGTGGCGCGGCGCACTTGCTTATCCTTGAGGAATTGCGCTTCCATCCCAGGTTCAATGGCCCAGTAGTTACCCTTGCCTGGGTCATCCTTAGGTCGCTCTTGCTTGATGAAGGCCTTGTTCAGACTGAGGTTGTGTCGGATGCTGTTTTGCCAGCCTGGGTCGCTGTTCTTGTAGTATGAGAAGGTGTCTGAGATCCACTTGTAGATCTGCGCCAGGGTCAAGCGCCGATTGTTTGCGCGCAAAATCGACATGCCAATCAAAGTGGCATAGCTGTAAGGCGGCTTGGTGCCGTCATCTTCAACTGACGGCATCTCGTGCGGTTCAGGTAGACACGCCGTTGTCGCGTCGTCGCGTCGTTGCTTTTTATTGGCGCGTTCCTTCAACGGCGCGGCTTCCATCAGCGTGCGCTTCATTGGAAGTTTTGATTCATATGACGGTTCGGGGAAGTCTGCGAAACTGTCATTTGACAGTTCTTCTGGGCGGTGGTTTTCTTTCGCAGATTGCGGGTTGACACTGGAGAAGGTGGTGAAGAGAGCAGATTGTGGCATCGAGGACTGGGAGTAAATTGGGAACGGCGCTTTCTTCGCTGGGGAGTCGGTGGTAAACATGGGCGGAGTGGGCGCAGAGATGGGGACGAAACCGAGTTTTCCGTGACCCGGGTGCGAGCCTTGGGGGTGCAAGGCTTTCGTCGGCGATGGCCTGTGCGAGCGGGAAGCCGGATAGAAAGACGAATTTTCAATGGGTTGGAGTGGTAGCGGTGAGGGTTGTAGACGGGGCTGCGATCTGATGATCTCAGATGGGGCCAGCACTGAAGAAACGTGTGCGCCCGACGAACGCGTCGATCCCATAATCTAAAGGTGCAAATCTGACGCAGGACCAGTCGCCTGTCACTCCAGGGATCGAGAGACGCGTCGAAACAAGCAGGCGCGACTGTGACAACAATGGCCAGAGGCCGGCGAACGGCCGAACGGGTACGCCGAAATGTGACGAGACTGCGCAGAGAATTCCTCTCTGGACCAATGGTAGATCACAAGCAAAGACCAAGATCCTCAGGCCGACATGCAGACTCGTTGGGCCACAAGGCGCTAAGGCAGTTGCGAATCAGGTCCCACGGATAGCAAATGACTGGAGATAGGATTGAATTTGGAGTACTGTTTGGGAGGGAGAAGATTTGAAAAGTACTATTGGCGATGTAGAAGTGGAGAATGAGGATAGACGATAAAAGATTGATGAAGATAGAGAGGATGAAAGTAGGTAGAAGAGTGGAGGGGATACAGAGGGGAGAGAGTGTGTGAGTACAGGGCAGTGAAGATCAGTAATGGGGGGCCAGGTTTCCCAGGGACGATCGGTCAAGAATGGCGAGGGAGGTTAGGGAATTCTCGAGCAGGACCTAATCATATTATAGCAACTAAAGGCCAAAATCAAGAAAAGTGCCCGAATCGACGGAAATCGAGAGCAAAAGCGCAGAAAGTGGGCAAAGGCGGGGAGAGGGAGAGTCGAAGATCGGAAGTTGGAGAGAGACGCCCTCAAATACACGTCACGTATGGTCACGACAGACACGCGTCACGCGTTTTACTAGGGGAGCAGGGTTGGGTTAAGGTGTGGAGGAGAGTGGATGCAGTGTACCATACGGTATTGTATCAAGGGATCTCCCTTGCTCATACTTGGTCGATCGGATCCACTGGGGTCGAAGTATGTCAGGACTTCCAACTATTGAATTGGGGATGAATTGCCCTCAATGCGGTGGATCTGGATACTACAATCTGACCAGAGAGACTGTACGGGAGAGACTAGACAACGATCGCTGTATCGCCCATGCAATTACTGCGCCGCTTCCTGGTCTACGGTATACCATCTCTCTGGTATGTCGATGTAACCTGAAACGGCGTCAACTATCCCTTGTTTTAAACTGTCATCCTGCAGGCTGGGAACTAGTGGCCAATGGATTGCAATGGTCGGCAGATGCATGTGCTTGACACTGCAGGTCCAACGGTGTCAGATAATTGAAGATCAGTGGTCTATTGCGTGAATCTAGGGACATGTCCTTGCTTCAATATCAGAAACACCTGGTTGCAGATTTCACAATGTACCCCGAACGCCGGGGAGTCTGCATCCCTCGATCATGAAACGCTTCATGACATCTATATGAACAAAAAAAAAAGGAGAAAACGCCAAGTTCGATGCATCACAAAAAGAAAGAAAGAAAGCATATGCTGGGCTTCCCCCGAGTCCCCCTTCTTTTGTGGACGGTGACCCGGGACGCATGCTTTTTTTGTGTCTCTAATGAAAATAAAAACCCACGGGATATCTTAAACAACAATGACTCTTTGCCGATGCAAAGTTAATCCAAAAAGGTGAACATGCTCGTATGGATGATGTTCAGGGCACGGTCGGCGTCGCGTTCTTCGATCACGCAGGAGATGTTGATTTCACTTGCACCTGCGAGGGGGGAAAATCGGTCAGCCCCGAATCAAGGGTAGATGGAGGAAGGGAAGGGGGTAGGAGGTGGGAAGACAATTATTCACTAACCTTGCGAAATCATCTCAATATTCACGTTGTTCTCCCCGAGAGTAGTGAACATACGACCAGCCACGCCGATCATATTCTTCATCTGCTTGCCCACCAGACTGAGGATGGCCATCTCAGGAATGATGTCAACGGTGCCGTAGCGTCCCAAATCATTCAAGGCGCCCTTGAGGTCATCGTCAATGACCTGATATTCATCCCGTCCGTTTCCATTTAACAGGGGTGCTTCTGAATGGAGGGCCAGAGACACGTGGACCTCGCTAGTGGAGATCAGGTCAATAGATAGACGCCACTTATCCAGCACAGAGAAGATGCCAGCAAAGAAACCATGTGAAAGGGACCGCTTGTTGGAGTGGACGTTGATGACCAAAATCTTGTGCTTAATGGTCACTGCCGTCGGCCGCTTTGGTCTCTCGCGGAAGCTGGGACTCCGTGTGCGGAACAGGCGAGGATCGTGCCCAGGGGTGGTTCTTTCCAATTCGGACGTGGAATCAGGGAAGATGATGGTGCCCCTGTTCTTCGGGTTCATGACATTTTTGATGCGGATGGGGATCTTGGCGCGGATCACTTGTTCCATGGTGAATGGGTGAATGACTTCGGAGCCATAAAAGGTCAATTCGGCGGCTTCGGCGGGGGTGATGGCAGAGAGCAACCGAGCCGTCGGCACCTTACGAGGGTCCGCCGTGAAGATGCCGTCCACTTCCTTCCACACCTGAAGCTCCTTGGCATGGGTTCCGACTGCAACCAGAGCAGCACAGAGATCGGTGTATCCACGACCAATCTGTTCCAACAAACCACCGGGGATGGTACCAAAGTATCCAGTCATGACCGGTACTCGGTGCTCACAGGCCGCGACTTTCTTGCCAAAGGCAGTCGCCAAAGTGTTATAAAAGTCTTGATCAAGACCGTGGTGACCAATGGGGAAATCGATGATCTCGGAAAGGTCGACATATTGTGAGTCAACGCCACGATCTTGCAACAAGGCCGCCATGACACGGCAGCTCAGCTTTTCGCCGGTGCTGATCACCTTGTCCACACAACGTGCGCTGATCTCCCCGAGGGTCTGGGCGGCTTCAAGAACTTTGAGAACCCGATCACATTCTGCACTGATATCTGCGATGACCTGATCTCGGATCTCGGGCGACTTGACCTGGTCCTGGAGGGCCTGCACATGTTCCAACCGAACAGCCTCTACCAATGTTCTATATTCCCGCGATTCGGAGTTCTCGGCATCCCGTGCGGCTCGCAATAACCTGTTTCGCCAATACATTAGCCTCTTTGAGACCACTTGCCATGGAATTGGGAGTGACTCACCGGTTGGTGGTGCCCTCGGCTTTCGTGGAACTACTCCGTGCTGAACAGACAACCGCGACTCGGTTGTCTACTAGGCTGGGTCTGGTGACAGATGGTGGTCAGTTGGGGGATGTTCATGTGTGGAATTGAGTCATCATACTGGACCACCTGCTCAATGATATTCAGAGCGAACTTGCCGACACTAGTGCCACCAAATTTCTGCACGACCCAATTGCTGTGGGCCTGGGTGGCTGATTGTAGAAGGGCCATGATCACGTCAACCCGGAGTCTATTGTGGAAAGAGAAGGGGGAGAGTAGAGTGTAGTTTGGGGATGAGGGGGGGGGAATCAGCGAAAGCGGAGCCCTACCTCATTCCGCCGCATTTGCAAAAAAAAAATCGTGACTCAATTGGCAATAGAGTTTGACCGCCTGCCCAAAGTAGTCCGGCCCTGAAACGATGTCGGCGCCCCAATCACGCCATTGTTATTATCGTCTCGGAATAACACTCTTCCGGGCGTCTTTCTACAGTACTACAGTAGCCCCGACTAATTGATTACATCTGGTTGGCAAGACTGATTCTGTCTTGACAGACTCATGACGAGAGTGCTGCTGGCCTTCTCAGTCTTTTTCTAACTCTCTAGTAGCGTAGCAAAGTATCAAACAGAGTCATCGAAGAGTATCTGTAGCTCTGCCAATCAGCGGTCTGGTCTTTGGGATATTAGATCAACAACTTCCTTCTATCAGCCATGTCACCACGTCGTAGGTCGTGATGTGACTCTATCGTATGAAATAATATGCGAAATAGAGATCGGTTTTAATGGGTTGAAGCTCTCTACAGTATAAGGTACAGTAAAGGGAATTCACATCTTGGTGGGTCTCGGGAACGGGCCTCGTTTAGGCTTTAGGCATCAGATTCGTTTTTCTAGATATACTTCCAACCATCCAACGTTGCTTGGAGTCTCCTATTTGATATTTCCTTTGCGTTGCAGGACATACATTCGCCATCTGGGTTGTATCTTCAACAGGACCCATTGATTTGCACCGTGTCCGCACTGGATGAAAACTTCATAATGGCCGATCACAGCATCCCATCATGTCCATTTTGTCCATTCACAGATCAAGATTCCGACTTTGTCGCGCAACATATCGAGTTCTGTCACCCTGAATTTGGGGCTGCAGGCTTTGTGTCCGAAAGCCCCCCGGTTGTGAGTCCGAGGCTGTCAGCCTCCGACGACCATACAGACAAGTATGTCGATTGTCCACATGGATGTGGGGAGACGGTGGCAAGTGCGGAACTATCAGATCACTTGGATCTGCATATTATGGAGGGCATGGGACTGGACGATGGTGGAGCTACGCGGGCACGCTCAAATGCGAGTCATGCAGATGACGATGACCACTTGTTTGACGAGGATGACTCGTTTGATATGTTGGGCCTTAGCAAGGGAGTCAAGCGTGGGATTCAGCGAGATGTTTCGCGAGCAAATACAGCAAAACCATCACGGCCTCGTAGCCCGCCGAGCGCAATGGGCCCTGATGGCGCAAAGAGGTTAGGGGTGTGTATCACATGTTGATCGTCGACAGAGAAATCACTAATCCTTTGGCAGCGCTCGGAACTGGGTCCTCATGCGCATGAAAAGAAAATGCCATCGTGGCTGAGAAAAATGCTGGAGAAAGGAGGCCGCACTTCCAAGCAAACCCAAATTACCTCGGATGGGAAATTGTCGCGGCGCGAGACAGTGGAAAATGAAACCGACAATCTGATTCCAATCCTGGCTCGCTTATGTGAACAAGACAAATCAGTGAAGCGAGCCTTCTTCTGTAGCCCCAAGGTCCGTCATATATGCAAGATGCCTCGAGAAGGCGGGTTTTGTGGCTATCGGAACATTCAGATGCTCGTCTCTCATTTGAAAAAGACTCGAAGTTTCGGATATGAGCACTTCCCGGACAAGGGTCCGACGATTTTGGATCTACAGGATATGATTGAATCCGCCTGGGATATGGGATTCAACAGTGCTGGGAGAACGGAGACTGGTGGTATCAAAGACACCCGCAAATTTATTGGAACACCCGAGGTATGTAGTTTTTCCATCTCATGTCTGATACGTCTGCTAACTATACTCCAGGCACAGGCGCTATTCATGAGCCTTGGAATCCCGTGAGTCGTGATGGACAGTTCAGAAAAAAGAACACCGCTAATTCTCGTTCAGGTCCGATGCCAGCAGTTTATGTGAAAGTAGCGACCTGCGCGCCTGCGACGCACTCTACATGGATGTAGCAAACTATTTCAGGTCGGCATGTTCATTGGAGGACGAAGAGACCAAAATCTTCAAGACTGATCTTCCCCCGATATACTTCCAACATCAAGGTGGGTTCAACTTCTATACACTCTCTATCGTATATTGTGTCTCAGTCCCTTACCCAAAGAAACAGGTCATTCCATGACAATCGTTGGGTTTGAAATCCGAGGAAATGGCAGTGCTAATCTGCTCGTCTTCGATCCTATGTTCAAGACTTCCCCTGCTATGGAACGTATGCTCGGGGCTTATGTCAAGCCAAACGATCCTACACGCCTGCTCAAGGCTTACCGCAGAGGCACGCCCTATCTGCAAAAGTATAAGATGTTCGAGCTTCTCAAGTGAGTGGTTTGACCTTTTTTTATTGTATCATACTAACCAATTGCAGGCTATGCACTGTTCAGAACGCCGAGCCAACCCTTAACTGATACAAGGGTGCTCGATATATAATCATGAATAACGAGAAAATGCTCCGCTGTTGTATAGTTCATACTCGTAGTGACACCGCCTACCATGCCGCCCGTTATACTGTCTTGAAATCTCCATGGTATATTTCTAAAATTACTTTCTAGTTCATGATCTACTGATGATCAGGATTGATTGCATGTGAGAACATCAAAGTGCAATAGAGTAATATTAAACGCACCAAGCACTGTGTATAGCAGGAGATACTCCCAAGGGTTCTGCCGGCAGTAAAATTAGTAAGTTACCCCTCCGACGATAAGATAGTGGAAAATTAAGTTGACTTCATCGACAATCCATATACACTACTAGTACACTCATCCAGCCATGCGAACTTCTCCGAACGTGATCATTACCGGTACCCCTGGCGTGGGAAAGACCGTCCATTGCGAGCAACTCGCACAAGAGATCGGTCTGAAGCATCTCTCCATCAACCAAGTCGCAAAAGACCGTGGCTGCTTCGATGAATATGATGAGGAACTGAAGACCTGGGTGGTCGATGAGGATAAGGTGCGACCCTCCTTTTTGAGTGAATTTTCTGCTCTAGTGCTCTCCGATACGAGGGCATGTGTGCAAATCAATCACACCAATCCGCTCCGTCCCAGATTCCTCGATTCACAGAATGCTAATCTGTTTCGATTTCTAGCTTCTCGATGCCCTTGAAGATGAAATTCCTAGTGGTGGTTACTTAATTGACTGGCATGCTTGTGATCTCTTTCCTAAGTCCTGGATTGATCTTGTCGTTGTCCTGCGGTGTCCCACTACAGATATTCTATACGACCGCCTCTCCTCACGGTAAGTCAATTGGCTTTGTGTCCTCATACAAGATTGAAACTAAGATCTTCTTTTTCGCTAGGGGTTACCACGATAAGAAACTGGAAGAGAACGTCGATGCGGAAATCTTTGGCGTTCTGCTAGACGAGGCCCGGGAAGCCTTTGATGAGGAAGTTGTAGTAGAATTAAACAGCGAGCAGGACAGTGATGTGGAAGCCAACTGCCAGAGAATCATGCAGTGGGTTGAGTCGTGGAAGAAGACGCAGACCGAAAACGCGGACTGAATCCAACCATAGATACGCTTTGGCTTCATTTCTCATTGTTCTATATGGTCTATCGTGGCCGCGTTATATACCCATGGCGACTTACTGCTGACCTTCGGCTAGCCACTGCTGCAACTTCACTAGCGCCTTGTATCGGTGGGAGATCTTGTTCTGTCCCGGTTCTCAGTATGAATTGAATCGAGGTCAAAAGAGGCCTTCTTACCTTGGCTTCCTTCTCCATCTCGGCGTACGTCTTTCCATCATACTCGAAAATAGGATCCCAGCCTGTCATAGATCAGAACAAGATTTTGCAATTTTGGATATTCACTTACCGAAGTTGGTTGGGCCTCTCGGCCGCACAATGGACCCCTGTATATCGCAATTAGATTCGTATCATGAAATGACCATGTATGGTGAACATGCCTCTGTTCTGCCTTGGAAGATAAGAGGCTCCTCTCCAGGTCCCCGACAAAAGGCAAAGGTGCAAACAGCTTCAGCTGTTCTGTCCTCAAACCCGTCAAGCATCTTGTTCAGGCCTTCGTGGCCCAGGGCCTCCATGAATGATTTGCTTGGTCTAATCAGCAATAAAATACACCAAGTGATCTATATCTCTCACATGTAAGGTCCAGGAAGACCCTTGAGTGCATGGAACTCGAGAGCAGTGTCCTCGGTCAAGGCAGGTCCATTGATCTGCGCCACATGAGTATATATAGACTTCAAATGGCAGGCTACTCATTATCACTCACTGCTTCAGCGGCACGTCTGGCCTTTTCTTTGGCAATTTCCTCAATGGTTCCTTGGATCTCAGGGACATCAACTTCCTGGTTGTCCACCTCGATAACATTACCAAGGATAGCCCGCACTTCGGACAGCTTGTTTTTGTTTCCAGTGATGAAGTTAAGCTTGGTGAGAGTCATTTTAAGGTGTTGAACGGGTACTTGGTTTCAATTTGGTGAGTCTCGTTTGGAGGTTCGGAGTGTTGCGACAGGTAAAAGGGTCGAACTCCACCCCACCGTCACCGCTCCAATATATATCCGCGTTCTTCAGACGGACCAATTTCATCTGTTTAATAGGTCTAGTATAACTACAGGCATCCTCATTTACGCCTACAGAGCAAATCGTATATGCTAACACGGGGTAGTTCTGTCTATAGCCAAGAACGTTTCATGCAAATCACAAATGAAAATCATCGCATCACTGTATCTCAAAGCCATGAAAAAATCCAGGCAGGTCGTAATCCGTAGCTCACAGGAAAGTCTCTCTAATATACAACATACAGATCTATTCCTCAATTACCCCATTGTCCAATTCGAGCTTCTCTTGCTGCGCCATCGCCTGCGCTGACACAATCTCAGCAAGTCGCTTCAGTCGCGGTGTTTGGAGCCAGGATGGGGTATAGGTCTCCAAAGCCGTGATGACACGAGGCTCGGCGATCTCATACGGACCACTGTCCTCCATGTCGACTGGCGCTAACAGGAGTACATCGCTCTTCTCTGTGACACGAGAAGCAACAGCCTTCATGATCTCGCCGTTGATGGGCTGTTCATAATCTGCAACCAAGTACTGGTTCAGAAGTTTCTGAATCTGGTTGGGTGACAGCCTGGAACGGTGTTAATGGATGGATATCACAGACGCTGTGGGGTAGACTTACATCCAGCAAATATCTTGAATGATTTCAATATCATTCAGAGTCGCCTTCTTCAACTGTAGGAGCTTTGTCGCTTGCTGTTATGAAAGTTAGCAGACCGAGACTACAAAAATGGAAAGAAACATACCATCAGATGCTCCAGCTGCAAAGTTCCCTCTGGCATGTCGTGACTCTTGCACCACTCCTCAATCCGAGTGATATTATAATTGATTTGAAGACCACGTTTCCATGAAAGGAAGTTACGCCGCATGAGAAGATCGTTAAATGCGGTGACACCAACCAGACGCAACAGCTCTGTCACGGTTTGAGTGACAATGGTGTCTTCAAGATAGAATGCCTTCATAGCTTTGTAGACACCGTTCAAGAGACTGAGAAGGTTGTCCATACTGTAGGCAGGATTGTTGTTAGAGGGCAAAAGCTTTCCAAGGAAACGATTGGTTTCACTGGTCACAAAGCCTGGAAGTGACTGAGACTCGATAATCGCAGGCACAATCATCTTGTAAAGCTTTTTCTTCAAGACCTTCATCCATGTGTGGTAAATGTTGAACTCTAAGCTTTCAAGATCGTGCTTGACGATCTCTAGAAGACGATCGTACTCATAGTTCTCAGTCTTCTGGGCCTCATACCAATCTTCCGCCAAGAAGACAAACGAGAGCATCTCGTGTACGTTGGACAGCCAAAACGCTCCAGGGTTGATTGCATCATCACCATCGTGCTGCATGACCTCTTGCTGAATGGACTGCATAACATTGGCCAGGAAGCGTTCTGACTCCTTAACGAAACCATTGTTCCACATTTCGGATGTAACCAGGTTGATCAAGTATGCCGGGAAGAGAACCTCCTTCTCGGTAGGTGGTGGGGTTGAGCTTGGGAGAGGGATCTTCAGGTTGCGAATCAGACCCATACCGACCTCCTCGTTCAAGTCATCCTCCTCAGAGAGTAAGTTTTCGAGTTCGTACTCAACGGATTCCGATCCCGGAGAGATCACTGCGTTCTGACGAGCGGCCATGGAACCAGGGGTGATTGCCATTGACACGGGCCGAGGGTTGTAGGCACCGCTGAAGCGATCCGTCTCAATCTTCTCCGCACCAGCGCTGCGTCTCTTTGGTTTGGGCTTCTTCGAGGACACCAGGTTGATCAACGCTGGTGCAGGCGCTTGAACTGCGCCACCGTTTGGAAGATCGCCATTGACCCCATTGACTGGGACAGATCTCTTAGCAACCTCGAGCTGTTCCTCAAGCTCCGAGACGCGCTGGCGGAGGCCAGACTTGTCTTTTTCGTGATCGGCGTCAATAAGCTTGAGACGCTCCAACTCCTCGTTGGCGGTCTGCAAAGCCTCTCTCGAGAGCCTTTCTTCTTCTTGAAGGCGTTTGATGTTAGCTTGAGCCTCGGTATGGCTTTGTTGTAGCTTAGCCATCTCCTCTTCAATGGCCTCTAAACGGGCCGCTGTGATACCAGCCTGGTTTGCTTCGACCTGAAGCTCCTTGGTGCGGGCCTCTAGTGTGTTATGGCGACTGCGCCACGATTTCAACTGAGTGTCGTAATTTTCCAGCTGCGAGACCAAGGTCCTGTTTTCGAGTTTGAGTGATTGAATGCTCTGAGTCAACTCCACCACCTTGTTTTCGAGCTTGTAAGAAATTTGCTTGAGATCACGGGCATCCTCACGGAGTCGCTTGTAAGCATTTCTCGCTTGTTTGCCTCTCCAAAGGTTCTGAACAGTGATGACCTTGCGGCGATACTCTCTCCAGGACCTCAATTGACGCCATGAACGGAAGGCACGTTGAATGACCTTGGCTGCGTTCCCATGAATAGAATCCATAATATTGCGCCGACAAAGGAATCCCTTGGCAATGGACTGGAACAGAATGAAGTTCTTGCGAATCTGAGTATACCGCTTCTTCTCCTTCTGGCCACGCCAGACCCGCTGAATCGTGGTAGCAGCCTTGGTGCGGCGAATATCCTGGGCGCGTTGACGTGCCAGGAATCCCCGGATAAAGGCCTGGGTGGTGAGAATAGACTCGCGAGCATCGAGGTAGCGACGTCGATAATACTTGGCTCGCAGATTCTTCTGGATCATGATGGCGCATTCGTTCAACCTGGAAGTTCTCAAATTCTCCAAGAAAGCGAGCATACCAGCCCGGAAGAAGATCTTGGTGAGACCCAGTTGGTACTTGACCTTCTTTTCGTGACTAGCTTCTCCAAGGGCCTTTCGTAGAATAGCGTGACACATCTCTCTGATCTCCGAGGTCCATTGCGATGAATGACACAGCATGTAATAGCGAATTGCAAACTCCTCATATGTCCATCGAGTTGGGTAACCAGCAGTACTGATTCGAACAGTTTCCAAGACACCACAGGCTCTCAGCTGACTCAGGACCATGGGCCCCTCGAATTTCCAAGCTTCCTTGGCCTCATTGGGCTTGATGCAGCGGATGTAATGAACTTCAGTAGAGTTGATTGTGTGCATCAGCTCAATCAGCGAAGACTTGAAGATACCTCCGAGCGTGGGTTTGCGGTTTACTGCAACACCGATCCGGCGACCGGGTGCTGCCACGGGCTTGGATGAAACAGAAGCAGAGTCCTTTTCACGGACAGCAGCGGCTGTGTCCAGGATCTCCTTGATGAATGAATTCGAAGAGTTGCGCAACACCTCCAAATGTTCATCAGGCACAGTATCACGGTTCTTTTCAATGAAACCATCAGATTCATAGGTAACATCGACAGCGTAATGACAAACAGTGAAAGCGGACTTTCCGAATCTGGGTTTCTTGTAGAACTTTTGCTTCTCGCCGGCAAAGTGATGATGAAGCTTGGTAACAAACTGCTCATCGGAGCCCATAGGAAGTCGAGATTCTTCATCCAAAAGCGACAGAACACCAAGCTTAGCTTCAATCAAATCGATACAAGGCTGGTTATCCGAGAAGTCGATGAAAGTCCAATCGATCTCCTCTCGCACATATTCTTCCTGTTCAAGCTTGAACACATGCTGGTTGAACTCTTGCTGGAGCTTCTCATTGGCATAGTTAATGCAGAATTGTTCGAAGGAGTTTTTGGCAAAGTGTTCAAAGCCGTAAATATCCAGAACACCGATGAAGCACTTGAACTTTTCAAGAACCTCGTCCGTGGCCAGACGGCGATTGATCTTGTCCACAAGCCAATCAAACAGACTTGAATAAATGAATTTGGCGACTGAATCTCGGACGACAAGAGCTTGTTGCTGTGTCAAGTTTGAAGTAATCTTTTCTCCACGGGTGATGAGTTGCTTCTTGACGATCCATCTCGCAAACTCGTTGGCATCAATACCAAGCATCTCACAAGCGCGCACAAGGGCGGGCTCGGTCGATGAAAGGGACGATTCGGTACGGGTTGCTGTGATTTTCACGTTACCAAGATGAAGCAACGCAGCAAGAACACGGAAAATGTCGGTTTGGTCTTCCGTCGGAACACCGATAGTAGCCAGCGACTTTCTGGTGGCCTCAAACTCAGCCTTGTCATCGACACCGTCAATAGTCGGCGTGCCGCCTTGGTTGAGATACTCAAAGTCCTCGGCGGACAAGAGATTGAGGTCTTGCTTTTCTTGGTCCGAAGCACCGGCAACAAGCTGGTAGAAGATGTGGTAGTTGCGCTCCTTCAAGGGCTGGAAAACCAATCTGGACCGCTCAAGAAGATAGGTTCGGATTTTGGCACCAATAATATTCGTTCGGTCATCGAACATGATCTCGATGTATTTACCGAAACGGGAGGAGTTGTCATTGCGGGTTGTTTTGGCGTTACCGAACGCTTCCATAACCGGATTCGTTGCCAGGATCTGCTCTTCGGTTTCACTGATGGCGTCTGCTCGACTCGTTGTGTACTTTCCGGGTTGATCAGAGGATTCGCGGGTCGCAAAATAACGCATAATGTACTTGGCGCTCACGGTCTTACCAGCACCGGATTCGCCCGATACCACAATCGTTTGGTTCTTTCCATCACGAAGCATGTCACTGTTAAAAAGATAAATGAGCGAGCGAAGCCAGAATGGAAGGGCTTATGCTTACGCGAATGCTTCTTCCGCAATCGCGAACAGATGAGGCGCCTGCGAGGCACGTTGTTTTCCAGCATAGATTTGTACCATCTGTGGCACATAAAGCGAATCGACTCGGGCGAAAGGGTTGGTTGCAATCAGGACAATACCACTGTAGGTATAAATTTCCTTCTGTGCATAGCGGAGTTTAATGGCCTGTAGGACTTTAAAGCCGTCAGCTGGGGAAGCAGCACGTAACAGATCTAGAAGCGGTACAAACCAGCGGGTTCGTTCAAATGTGAAAGATTCGTCAGATCTTCGCTTGCTTCGAGCATCGCAGGGTTCATCAACGGGGGTAGTTTGGGGTTGTTGTCAACCTGCAGTTCTGATTGCGTGGTCTCAACGGTCCTTGTCTGTTGATTTCCAGTATCGTCAGTCACCATATCTTCAAAGGACCAAAAGACCAGATGCGCATCCAGTCCTTATAGATTTGACTGACCTCTCCGTTCTCGACCTCAAACACCAGCTGCACCTTCTCTCCATCCACCAGCTTCTCTTTCACCTCGGATGCCAACCATCCCTCTGTTGGGTCGGGCTGCCAGGCCCTCGTCCCAACCTCATAAATGTGCGCCATCGCAGAAGTTCGTTATTCGTATTGTAAGAAAAAGATATAGGCAAGAGCTCGGGCCGGGGGGGGCTTCTTTAATCTGAAAGTGTTTCGAGGGGAGAATGAAAACGAAATCAAGTCCAAAGACAAGAGGGACTCTCCCTCATCTCATGTTCTGGAGGGGAAAAAGGGAATAGCTAAGAAGAGGATAAGAAATAGAGTGGTTGGGGAGGTGGAAAGGAAATCAACCCTTGGAGATTAACAGCTGGCCATTTAGCGAGAGCCCCTGAAAGAGCTTAGGGAAATATACGGGGGGGCGTCCCCACAACCTGTCACCGCCATCCCTGTTGGACCACTCCAGTGTTTTAGATGTGCATGATGAACATGGATTGACATGGATTGACATGTTTTACATGTTTTACATGTTTTACTGGTTTGACTGGTCTGGTCGGTTTCAGATCTCTTGTTTTACTCGTTTGGGTATACTTCGTGGGCATGGGAAAAACATATTCTATCAGCTATTGGGGCTTCTAATCGCCAAACTCCCCCTTGACAAGAGCGCTGGAGGCGAGAATTACACACCGATTATGTCAAGTATTGATTGAATATTAGAAAAGTAGGAAAGGGATCAGAGAGACAAGACAGGCATCAGAGAAAGCATAGCAAAATATCAGAGGGCACGATTTCTGTCATTCATGTTGGGCATTCGCCGTCAACTTTTTTTCTTCTTAGTTTTGCTTGCACTCGGCGGCCTCCTTCTTGGGCTTGGATGAACCATCGTCCTGGAATCATGTTAGTGGGGGTCGAAGATAATATAGTTCGGGGGGCTGTACCTCTTCGTCTGTGTCCTCCTCGTCCACATCACGGTCTGACCCACGCTCGTCCTCGTCCTCATCGTCATCCTCGTCCTCATCATCCTCATCCTCAAAGTCGTCGGCATCCATATCGTCACCCAACTCCTCGAACTGAAGAGCCTCACCGGTGAACCAGTCGATAGCACGAGGAATGAGCTTCTCCTTGATGTCTTCACCGAGCTGGTAGTCAAGCTCCAGGCGCTCTTCAATGTCGCTGGCAACTGACTCATCATCCTCGGTGGGGGGCTGTGGGGGCGAGAAGAAGTTGAAGAAGGATTCGGTGGGCACGCTGATCTTGACAACGCGGGTCTGCTTGGTGTCTGAAGAGGGTTGTTAGATGATGTGAGATACTCCAGATGGCTTGACTTACTCTTGTTGCGCTGCTTCTTGCTCTCTAGGCGAAGAGTCAGGTCCTGGTCCTCCTTCCAGTCGATCTGGGAGCCATCGGCGTGGTCGTAAATGAAATCGCCACCGTATCCGTTCTCGTCCTTGTAGAAGTATGACTTGGAGATAGTTTTGTTGGTGAAGAACTCGTTCTCGGAGAATTCGAAAATGAGGCGGAATCCGGGTCGGTCAAGGTACTCCATGCGGATGTCGATGAGGTGCTTAAGAGCCTCCTCGTCGCGCTCGGTGATCATCTCGGCGAGAGAGATCTGGTTCTTCATAGCAGACAGCCAGAACTCAGGAATGCCGCTCATGGGCTCACCCTCCTCCTTCTTGGGCTCCTCCTTGGTCTCCTCCTCCTCCTCATCCTCCTCTTCGTCCTCCTTGCCGGCCTCGATCTCCTCCTCAGTAGGTTCGACACCACCGTTGACTATCGTAGAACGACGCTGGTACAGTGGGGTGAACTTGCCGAAGTACTTCTTCTCGAGCTCCAACACCTCTTCCTGGAACTGAGCCTCGAGCTTGGCGTGCTCCTTCTGAAGACCCTTCAGGCCAGCAACACGGCGGCGGACAGATGGGGGGAGGGATTCGATGTAGCCGGATGAGCGACCGACAAGTTGACCCAGCTTTCCCTGGATCATAGAGACAAGGGCAGGGTTGCGGGCGAAGAGAGAGGCAGCGGCGGCATTGTCAAGGGACTCTGTCAAAACATGGGGGTCAGTCACTGAGCAATGGCGACCATAGAGGGGTAAATGAGAGATTCATTACTCACCTTCCTTGATGCTGGAAACACCAGGCTGCTGGGCGTGGGAAGAGATAGGAGCGTTGTTGGCCGGGGTGTTTTGCGGGGTCCTGGATTGCCAGTCAGTTTTTTTTTCTTCACTTGGATAAGTAAGAAAAAATAAAACAGGAAGAAGCATACGGTGCGACCGGGAAATCAGCCTTCTTATTTCTGATGGGCTCAGACATGGTGAAAGTCGAGGGGTAGAGATGGAGGGGGGGGGGGGATGAAGAAAGGAAGAATTTGATACTAGTTTTGGGGGAGAGGAGAGTCTGGAAGATGGTGGGATCGTTAGCGCCTCTGGCCGAGGGGCTTGGCGGGACGCGACGGTTCTGGTTGAGAATCGCTGCAAAGGCTGCAAATTCCCCCCCCAACAATACTTATTTGACTCTGTCTTTTGTCTAATCTGGATTCTCTTTTAGTTGTTTATCTTCTTCTCTTCTCTCATCTTTCTTTCTTTCTTGTTCCTGTCTCAATTTTGACCCTGGCCCTGGACTGTAAACCAGGTCCCTAGTTACCCCTCTCAGTCTTTAGATGTGACTAACAATCCTACCTGTCTAACCATCTAGATAGGTAGAGGTAGACTCGATAGAAGTGGCCAGGTCACTTTCAACCCTTCTGTGTATACTTGGTTTGGTTTGGAGTTGGAATTGGGGATCCCCCATAACCCCCGGATATATTTAGAAACGGCCACACACCGGTAGTTGACTGGATGACGTTCAACGCTCGGAGGATGACTACGGCATCATACTATACAGTAAGTACTGATATGTGACGATGAGGATACCCTGCTGCATTTGTGTCGCATAGGACCATGTCATCGATATAATATCTGCAGGGTCGCATGTATATATCTGACATAGACCACCAGTTCTTTCCCATCCCAACCCTTTCAACGAGTTCAATAATCCACCCCAAACTCTTGAAAATCAGCAAAAAGACCACCAGAGAGATATGACAAAGGATAAGCCAAGGTAGGTCATATTGGATGTACAGATTGGTACACTTCCCTCATAGTATCGAAGCCATATAGATCCCATGTGAAAACCAATTCTCCTGGAATAGGATAGTGCGATTGGAATTGGGAAATAATCAGAGAACCAATCTTACCAGTCAATTGACAGCTGTTGGCTTTAGCGCATTAACATAGGCCAAAGGTCTCACTCCTCACTTGCATATGCTCTACAAGATTAACTACCCGGTAAGTTAGACCAACACAAGTGATGGACTTAGAGATGAGCAAAAGAGAGATTCAAAAGAAGACAAGTCCAGGGAAGAAAACCCCCAGAAATCAATGGATGAAGCTGGATACTTATATGTATTCCCTCTAGAGGCGGTCCAAGACTTGGCAAGTAGTATACAGGAGGCAAAGATGCGAATGCCTGTTCGGGTGAATGTAAGCCACCACGTGATGATAAGCCACTCCGCGGTGGGACTTGATAAGGTCGATCACACCCTTCCTTTCCACACTTGACATCCGACCTTTACATGGATTTCATTATTCAGGCAAACTGAGGTTATTATGGGAAATCGTCCACATTCACCTCCGGGGACCGGTCCCGTGGATCTTTCAATGCCTCGGAGCGGGATGCGGCGCGACTCCATGCGAAGCAGGTAGCTACTCCGATTGCACACTATGATGTGATGCCCACAGTGCTAATGTAGTATAGCCTGAGTGTCGTGTCAGATGTGGAGATGGCACGTAATGAGGTCAGTCATATACCCAATTTCGCGCAGATGGCGAGCTAATCGACTTCAGGTTTTCGATGGACCGATCTCGGAAAGCATTCCCTCCAGTGTTGTGTCATTTGCGCATCGCCGAAATCGAACGGGCTCTACCATCAGCTTTACATACTTTCAAGATGGAGAGGATTTTGAGGAGTGGTCGAATGAAGATGCGGTAGATGAAGAGAGCGAGATTGACGAGGAGTCAGTTCATGCGATAGGCGACGAAGATCTCGAGTCAGCCAGAGGGTCCTTTGTGTCAAAGAGATTGTCGATATCTCGCGACTCCGTTGAGCATCCACTTCTTTCTCGCTACATGTCGGCAAGCTCCTATGGACGAGACCGACGATCCGGCAACAGACTGAACCAAAAGGTCTATATCGCGTCAGAAGATTTGACTGCTGTCTTTGCCGGTTTCTCTACAAGTGCTGGTGGATTTGCCCTCTATGTCGCCCTCTGCATTTTGACTGGTGGATTTGCCTATCTCATCTTTCGGTGGCTGCCAAGATGGCGGGTACGACTAATTGGGAAATCGTCTCCCATCGGAAAATGCCAGTGGGTGGCAATCGAGGTGAGTACTTGAAGTTATTTCCCTGGAAGAAATGTTCTAATGCATTGCAGGATCAATGGAATCAGTTTACCGTACATGAGGTTGGCAGCCAAGCCTATGGCCGCCCTCTCTCTACGGTATTCGCCGATTCTTCGAGTCACACCTATGATGAAGATAGCGATCCGACTATTGATTTACTGCATTTCATTGACTATAGGTATTTGAGATTCTTTTATCATCCCGTCGAGGATAAATTCTCCTTGATCAATGGTTGGAAAGACCCTTCGTGGACAAATGCCAAGGGCATGCGAGTGGGATTGGATGCCGATGAGCGAGACAGTAGAGAACAAATATTCGAGCGCAACGTCATTGAGATCCATCAGAAGACTGTGCCTCAGCTTCTTCTCGACGAGGTGAGTTTCCCCATCGGTATTCTATGATAGTAACTAACGAATTAGGCTTTCCACCCTTTCTATATCTTCCAAGTTGCCAGTCTTGTTCTTTGGTCGATGGATGAATATTACTACTATGCCGTCTGTATTTTCCTCATCTCATTCTCTAGCATTGCAACGACCGTGCTTGAGACTAAATCGGTATGCTCGACCGAAATCTTTTATCTCATATCCAATACTAATGCATAATTAGACTATGAGTCGGCTCAGAGAGATTTCTCTCTTTGAATGTGATGTTCGTGTTCTGAGAAACGGATTCTGTAAGTCGATCTGGCGCTTTACCTCCATTCAAATACTGACTGTTTTCTAGGGCGATCTGTCTCTTCTCAGGAGTTAGTTCCTGGTGATGTTTTTGAGTTCTCTGATCCTTCACTTAACCAGGTTCCTTGTGATTGCATATTATTGTCAGGGGACTGCATCGTGAATGAAAGCATGCTCACTGGTATGTATAAGTCATTTGGCTGGTCTTTGGTATCTAACACAATGACAGGCGAATCGGTCCCGGTATCCAAGACACCTCTCACCGATGACTCCCTCAAATATCTTGATCTTAGCACCCCTTCTATACATCCTCAAGTTGCCAAGCACTTCCTCTTCAGTGGAACCAAAGTGATCCGCGCTAGACGACCTCAAAACGTTGATGACGACGAAGCAGTTGCTTTGGCAATCGTTGTCAGAACTGGCTTCTTAACCACAAAGGGTGCTCTAGTTCGCTCTATGCTTTTCCCTAAACCCTCTGGATTCAAGTTCTACCGTGACTCGTTCCGATACATTGCCGTTATGGGTGTGGTGGCTCTCCTAGGTTTCATTGCCTCATTTGTCAATTTTGTTCGGTTGGGCGTAAGTTTCACCCAATTGATAGGAACCTAGTTGAATTTCGAATACTAACAGAAATATAGCTTGCCTGGCACTTGATCATAGTGCGAGCCCTCGATCTGATAACGATCGTTGTTCCACCAGCTCTTCCAGCCACTCTTACAATTGGAACTAATTTTGCTCTTTCTCGACTGAAAAAGCAAAGCATATTTTGTATCAGTCCACAGAAGTGAGTTATAGTTCAAGGTATTTTGATGTGATACTAATTACCATATGTTAGGGTAAATGTTGGTGGAAAACTTGACGTTGTCTGTTTTGATAAAACTGGAACTCTGACGGAAGATGGGCTGGATGTGCTTGGAGCGCGCATCGTAACTCGTGGTCAAAAGTTTGAACTTCCCCCAAGAAAGGATATGGGGTCCCCCGCTAAGAGTTTACAGGTTTTCAGAATTGCTCTCTGAAACGTCTGATGGTTTCTTTCTCTCCCCTGAGACAGCGAACTCTGCATATGACCTTGATAAGCAGAGAAAGATCATTTACACCATGGCGACGTGTCATTCCCTCAGAGTAGTTGACGATGAGCTCCTAGGTGATCCTCTCGATGTGAAGATGTTCCAGTTCACCGACTGGGATTTCGAAGAGGGAGGAAACAATGTTTCGGACCGAGCCCACAAGTACGACACAATTGCACCTTCGGTTGCAAAGCCTCCCCCGCGTGCCAGTCAGCAAGATAATTCAGCTGTAAGTTGCTACCTTATTGAGAAGACACAGGCTCTAACACCGCCTAGAATCCCCTGGAGCTTGGAGTCCTACGAACCTTTGAGTTCGTCTCCCATCTTCGCCGCGCGAGTGTAGTGGTTAGGAGATTTGGTGACAATGGAGCAAGCTTCTTTGTCAAAGGTGCACCAGAAAGCATCAAGGATATTTGTGTTCCTGAATCTCGTCAGTAACTCCACCCTTCTGTATTCAGCTGTGTGCTTACTTTTGTTTCAGTTCCCTCGGATTATGAAGAACTTCTGAATTACTACACGCACAAAGGATATCGCGTGATTGCGTGCGCCACCAAGTATGAACGAAAGCTCAGCTGGATGAAAGTCCAGAAGATGACTCGAACCGAGGCCGAATCAAACCTGGAGTTCTTGGGTTTCATCATCTTCGAGAACAAGTTAAAACCTAGCACTGCCAGTGTGATTTCTGAGCTGAACGAAGCGGGCATTCGCAACGTCATGTGCACGGGTGACAATATTCTGACTGCAATCAGTGTTGCGCGCGAATGTAAAATGCTTGGAGCCGATGAGACATGCTTCATTCCCCATCTGATTGAAGGTAAGTTCCACCGCAATCAACCGATTTCAAATTTAACACACGATGCAGAGCCTGGTCTTGTATCCAAGACTTCTCTGATATGGGAAAGCGTGGACGACCCTGAGCTTCGATTGGACCCGAGAACACTTCTGGTAAAAGCCGACCTTTAATATGCGGGAGAAAAACGACTAATAAATTGCAGCCCATTGATACCGTGGACAATGATCTCTCTATTCCAGGAAACTCTATCGCCCCATTCAATTATTCTGTTGCCGTGACTGGTGATGCATTCAGATGGATGATTGATTACGGGAACGAGGATGTCCTCAACAAGGTATGTATAGCAATTCGCTAATTACCATTTGCCAATCGGAGCAAGCTGATATGTCTGGCTTTAGGTACTTGTTTGTGGAAAGGTATTTGCCAGAATGTCTCCGGACGAAAAGCATGAACTAGTCGAGAAACTTCAATCCATCGATTACTGCTGCGGATTTTGCGGCGATGGTGCCAATGATTGTGGCGCACTGAAGGCTGCGGATGTTGGTATTTCCTTGTCAGATGCCGAGGCATCTGTCGCTGCACCCTTCACTAGCCGCGTCTTCGAGATCTCCTGTGTCCCAACGTTGATTCGGTAAGTTATATGCGTTGATAGATGGACCAGATGTCTAACAATGATCACAGTGAGGGCCGAGCTGCTTTGGTGACGAGCTTTTCTTGTTTTAAGTTCATGAGTCTTTACTCCGCCATTCAATTCTCCTCGGTCAGCTTCCTCTACACTTCAGGGTCAAACCTGGGCGATTTCCAAGTAAGCGGTCTACCTACCAAACTCCAGAGCATTAGATAACTAATCATTCCCAGTTCCTCTTCATCGATCTTGCACTCATTATGCCAATTGCAATCTTCAGTAAGTGATCTCATGGTTTATAATACAGGTTTGTCTAATCAGACTTCGCAGTGGGTTGGGCCGACCCTGCTTCCACGCTATCTCGGAAGCGTCCAACCGCCGATCTGGTTTCACGCAAAGTATTGACACCGTTGCTTGGACATATCTCGATAGTAGTACTATCGCAGCTTGCCGTTTTTCAGACAGTGAAGATGCAACCATGGTCAGTGTCCTATGGTTTACTTCTCTTGCGCCGCTTCTAACATTTCCTAGGTTTATGCCGCCGCAGCTGGACATTGAGAAAAGCAACATTGTTAACTCAGAGAACACGGCTTTGTTCTTGTTCTCCTGCTTCCAGTACATCCTGACCAGTGTTATTCTCAGTGCCGGGCCTCCGTTCCGGAAACCAATGACGATGAATGGTGAGAATCCCATCTCAAGATACTTGATTATATTGACTGATTTTGTATAGCGCCATATCTCGTTACTATCATAGTTGACCTCCTAGTTTCGGCTTACATGCTTTTCAGACCTTCTCAATGGGTCGTGGACGTTATGCAACTGACGTTCATGTCTGACGGGTTCCGGAGCTGGTTGGTTGCGCTGGCATTGGGTGTCTTCGCTCTCGCCTGGATAGCGGAAAAGAACATTTTCCCTCGCCTGGCACAGATGATTGGACATGCACGCGTCCGCTTGCAACCAAACTATCACAAGAAGCGTCGCATGTACAAGGTGCTGTTGGAGGAGATGCGTATGTAATGCGTGCTGTTAAAGGACTCACACTGTATCTATAGCAATTACACATAAGATTTATAGATAGAGGGATATTGGGGGTTCAGACCCGACAAATATGGGTCTAAATAATAAGGCCCAGATAAAAATGAAAGAGAAAGGGTATGATACAATTCAACTGGTAAATGGCTATCATGAACTGGACCTGTGTTGAGACGCACTCTGGAATAACTCTGCGTTTACCGCCAATGCACTCCGTACGCAAATCGACCAATCCAGTCACCATTGTCTTTGACCACACATTGCGCAGTGGCCATTCGATAAAAAGAAAAGTCGACTATGAAATTCGGGGATCAATGGTCCCACGGGTGCTTCCAGCCCAACAGAGCCGGACCGTCCTTCTTGGCCCGGTACATGAGCTGCGCAGAAGAAAATGTCAGCATAGTGCACTTAGTGACTAGGGGGAAAGGATTGCTTACGAAGAACCACATGCTTGCGCCCAATGCGGTTGCAGTGAAGCGGTAGAGCGGGCGAACCGGGTGGATGTGGATAGGGTGGGAGGAGTTGCCCGCCATGACTGTACGAAGGATATTGTTAACCACGGTATAAGATCGAGTACGGCGCTAACAGCACTTACTGTATGTTGGGAATGACTGTCGTTGCTTCACAGAACTCGGGTGAGGTTGGAGAGTTCTGCCCTTGGACGGAGACGGGGAAGTGGCTGCACGTGACCACTGACGGCACTCAACCGCATCAATTATTTGATCTTCGACAACCACTTCGTTGATCCTTGGGCACTCTGGCCTGTATTGTCTGCGCCTCGCTTGGGCTGGTCCCTATTCAGATCTCAATATAGCTCTCTATTGGCCCTTGAGCAGTTGAACTCGACCTTTATTCTATTCAAAGAAAGCAATGCGACATCATTGTACACGCCTTTTCGCTTTCACTTGAATTCTCTTTGGTGTGAGATGACTCGATCTCTTACAGATTCCTGGAGCCCGACCTTGCCTTGGAACAGTACCACTGATTAAGCTCAACGCTTTTCACTCACCCCGACTTCTCTGCCCAAAACGCGCGCGACTTTTGGCGTGAGACTCAACGCGACTCCGGATCGAATCATACCATACGTGACATATTTGTCACGGGCGACAACTCATAGTGACTGAGTCAACATGGCGATCACATCCCTCGAGAAAAGCGACGACGGCCAAGCTCGGTTTCCCGGCTGTTCCAACATCCGTGACTATGAATTTGTCGGGAAGCTTGGAGAAGGAACCTTTGGGTAGGTTGTCACCGGGTACACACAAGCAATATTCCTGACCAAGCAATAGTGAGGTCTATCGTGCAAGATCAAAGAAAGACACTACGGTTGTGGCTCTCAAAAAGATCTTAATGCACCACGAAAAAGAAGGCGTGAGTGGATTCCATCAATCTTTCCATGGCCACAGCTGACTCAAAGCTAGTTCCCTATCACTGCTATCCGAGAGATCAAACTTCTCAAAGCGCTCTCGCACCCGAATATCTTACAACTTAAAGAGATGGCAATTGAACGAGGCAAGGGTAAGCTTGGTTCGTGCGTTTCCAGAGAGGGATAAAGCTAACAAGATATCAGGTGATGGGCGAAAGAAGCCCAGTATGTACATGGTCTTCCCATACATGGAGCATGATCTTTCAGGACTGCTAGAAAACCCGGCTGTCCAGTTCACCGAGCCCCAGATCAAATGCTATTTGATGCAACTTCTTGGGGGTCTTAAATATTTACATGCAGTATGTGTGACACCTGACACCCAATCTGCAACATATACCTAACATATTTGTAGAGCCGTATTTTGCATCGTGATATGAAAGGTAGGCCTTGAATCAGCCTGTGGCGGTACTAGAGCTAACCTAACTGGACAGCGGCAAACTTGCTGATCAGCAATGGTGGCCTTCTGCAAATTGCTGATTTTGGACTTGCTCGACCCTATGATGAGCCCCCTCCGCAACCCGGCAAAGGAGGAGGAGAGGCAAAGAGGGAATACACGGCTCTTGTTGTCACAAGATGGTACCGGCCACCTGAGCTTTTATTACAACTGAAACGCTATACTACTGCTATTGATTTGTGGGGAGTTGGGTATGTCTTTGTCGGAAGCAGAACATTACTTCGTTCTCTAACCATCTTTCCAGCTGTGTGTTTGGCGAGATGTTCAAAGGGAAGCCTATACTTATGGGCAACAGTGACCTTAACCAAGCGCAGCTAATTTTCAGTCTTGTGGGAACTCCCACCGAGGAGAACATGCCTGGATGGAGTTTGCTACCGGGTTGCGAGGGCGTGAAGAACTTTGGATTCAAGCGCGGGAACCTTGCCGACTACTTTAAGGAGTATGTGTCATCCATCACTCTTATATGAATGAAACTTACCAGTTGTCCAGCTTGAGTCCAACAGCCATCTCCCTTCTAGGAGAACTTCTCAAACTTGACTGGAAGAAACGAATTAACGCAATTGATGCATTGAAGCATCCTTACTTTACCACTCCTCCGCTTCCAGCACGACCCGGAGATATCCCTCAATTCTCAGATTCGCATGAACTTGATCGGAAGAAGTTTCGCAGTCAGCGAGCACCAGTACCTCCTGTTCCTGCCGTCAATTCAAGCGATACCCAGTCAAACAGTGGCTGGGGAAGCTCTGGCTCTCGCGGACCAGATTCCAGAAATAGTCGCATTCCTGGTGGTTTACGAGGCAGGCCAAATGGACCGGGTCAAGGAAACGCCCATCGCCGCGGGCCTTTCCCTCCTTCGCAAAGAGACACCGGGTTACCTCCGCGTCCCCCAATATCCGCTCACCCGCCATGGGATGGGACCCAAACCAACAGACCTGACGGAAGAGAAGATCAGCGGCGAGATCGATATGGCCAGGGCCGTTCAGGAACCAGACCGGGCAACACTGATTCCTATGTTCCTAAATATGGCAACGCTCCTGATCGTCCACAGGACTCTAGCGCCAATCCTGACTGGCGTTCAAACAATCGACACGATCACCGTCGGGAGCCAAGAAGGAGAAGTCGTAGTCCCGGTTACAGGGATGGGAGTCGCGGCTGATCATCCTACTGGTCCTATCTATGTATTCTAAATGCCGATGAAAATGTTATGATGGATAGAAATGAAAAAAAAAACCGTTTATGTCATGACTTTTTGTCTACAACAAGGGTCTGAAGTCCTTTTACAACCCCAACTTGCTATGATCTTAGTGATACAACCAAAGCACTCGAAAATAGGCAAGGAAGGACCAGTGATAAGGAGAAGCCAAGAAAGGGCTCAGACAATGCATGTAAAGTACACTCACAGCGAGAATTGCGTAAAGAAATTGTGGAATACTTCATATCACTGTCAACAGATTGAAAGCCCCTGTTGTAGGAAATGAGGAAATGATGGTTGCAATAAACATTCGAACGGCTTTTATGGCGTCCTAAAGACCAAGATTCTTGTGCAGTAAATTGTTTCTTTCTCCCAGGGCCCCTCGTTGAGAGTGGCCCATTGCAACCGGAAGTGAACCCCCATGACAGGGCTCATGTGTCTTAAGTTGATTAAAGCATCACAGCCTGAAAGCTAGCTTGCTAAGAGAAATATCCTCTAGTACAAAATGCGAGTCATGATGCGAGCTGATAGATTGTTAGCTTGGAACGAATCACAACTCAAGCAGGGAGCAGGAAGTAGGAAGTAGGAGTCTTACAGGGAAGGCTTTCAAAGCTGGTATACAAATCCTTGATAGTAGCAGTGTCCACGTCGCTGATATCAGCCATCAAATAAGCGACCTAGACACAATTAGTCTCTCTAACAATTCAGAGCTTGCAGGATTCAACTCACATCGCCTCTGCTATCGGTCATTTGCTTGTCGACGTTGTGATCTCCAATAATCTCGTTGACTGCAACATGTTAACTAGGTCATTTTACATTAGTATGATGCTGCACATACCCTTTCGCAAAACTCCAGGAATGTTCTTGTGAATGTAGATAACCTTGAATAGAATGTCAGTTTCAAAATCATCCTGGTATTGGACACGGTGCCACTTACGCGAGCGTGGTTAGGCTCGTCCATAGTCAAAGAACGGAGAACGACCTCGGGCAGGTTGACAGCGCCCAAGGTTGAGCCCTCGTTGACGTATCTAACCAGAGCCTGAGCAACTTCAACACCGATAGCCTTCTGGGCCTCATCAGTGCTACCTCCAATGTGGGGGGTCAAGATCAAGTTCTTCAGCGAACGCAGATCGGCTCCCCAGGTGTTCAGCTCATTGTTGAAGTAGTCACCGTTTCCAGCGGGCTCATTGGGATACACATCCAGGGCAGCACCGGCGACCTTGCCGCTCCGCATAGCGTCAATGAGGGCGGGAATATCCACAACAGTTCCACGGCTAGCGTTGATTAAATAGCTGCCGGTCTTCATCTGTTCAAATTGCTTCTGTCCAATCATACCCTTGGTCTCGGGGATCTCGGGCACATGGCAGGTAATGTAATCAGCCTGGCCCAAAAGCTCCTCCAAGGTTTCCACCTGGCGGGCAGTTCCGAGTGACATGATGTTGAGTACGTCGAAGTAAATAACGGACATTCCCATAGCCTCAGCCAATACTGACAGCTGGGCACCAATGTGACCATAACCAATGATTCCTGGGTGAAAAAAAAAAAAAAACATGAGCTGAAAAGTCAATGCATCCAAAGGACCCGTGACATACCTAGAGTCTTTCCTCGAATTTCCCAGCATCCGTTGCTCACCTTGTTCCAGATACCATTGTGCATCTCGCTGGAGCGGTCGCCTAGCTGACGCGCAAGCATAATGATCTCACCAATGACAAGCTCGGCAACACTGCGAGAGTTGCTGAAGGGGGAGTTGAAAACAGCAATACCATTCTCAGCAGCGTATTGAAGATCAACCTGGTTAGTGCCAATGCAGAAGCAACCAATGACAATCAGATTCTTTGCCTCCTTCAAAACGCGCGCAGTAAGCTTCGTCTTCGAACGGATACCAATGACATGCACATCCCTATAAGAAATGACCAATCAGCCACCACGCTTAATTCTCAATGACCAGATAACGCACCGGATCTTCTCAATCAGTTGATCCTCTGGGAGGGAAGACTTGAGGTATTCCACCTGGTAACCCTGTTGGGACAGGATCTCGCGGCCGGTCTGGTTCACGTTTTCCAGAAGCAAGACCTTGATATCTTGTGTGGCGAATGGCTTCAGGTGCTTTGCATTGACCAGAGGGACGATACGGCCCAGAGCGGAACCATGGCTGGATGGGGAATGGAAGGAGGCGTTGGGCGAAGCCGAAAGGTGTTGCTGGGCAAAGTCGTCCTGACGAGGACGGATATCTCTTGCGGAAGTCATAATTGAGGGAGATTTGGTGAGGGGAGAAGAATTGGAGAAGAGAAACGACCTTGGGAGTGAAAAGGAAGAGGTGAATCACCTTATGACTCTTAATTGGGCAATTAAGTAAGCCTCCGGAATCGGAACCGTATTGCAAATCCGATTGCAAATCGGGATTGAAGACAGATTAAGGGAGATCATTATAGATGATGAGAGAGAGAGAGAGAAAAGATAACTTGGAGACTAGTTTAATATGTGTACTACTGTAAAAAAATCGAAGATAGAACTGCAATGGTTGGATTTAACATCTTCAAACATCATATGGAGGGGTATGTTCGCGGGGCAAATCTTTCTTTCTTTTTTTTGGGGGGCTTTCCTGTTCTAATTTTCAACCAATCAGATGCTGGTGGCCCGTTAAAGCAATATCCCGGTCACGTGATCCTAGACCTGGAGGCCTTGCATCTTCTTGGTGGCATCATCGGTGCCCTTGGACTTGGTCTTGGTCTTGGACGAGGTGCTATCCTTGGGGAGCTCCTTGGTATAAGGAAGGAATTCGGGAGCGCCGGGAATGTACTTCCGAAGGACCTCGGGAACCACAATGCCCTAGACGTTTAATTAGTTATGAGAACATCACTGCCAGAGTTGGGAAAGTACTTACGTCTTCTCTTTGGTAGTTCTCCAGCACACAGCAGAGGGTTCGTTCGGTTGCACAAAGGGTGGCGTTCAGCGCATGAACATAAGTCTTCTTCAAATCAGTAGCCTTCTTGGCACCGTAGCGGATCTCCAAGGCTCGGGACTGGTAGTCAGTACAGTTGGAGCAGGACACAAGCTCCTTGTACTCCTTCTGGAAGGGGAACCAGGCCTCCAGATCGTACTTCTTAGCAGCTGCGTTGTTCAAGGCACCAGAGACAATGGCAACAATGTTGTATGGAAGTCCCAGGGACTGGTAGAATTCCTCCGAGGTGCTCATCATGTCCTCAAAGGCTTGCCACGAGTCCTCGGGCTTTGTGAGAACAAATTGCTCGATCTAATCTGTATGTCAGTATACAAAGGCTCAAGTAGAGTCCTTGAGGTTGAGCTCACCTTTTCAAATTGGTGAACACGGAAGATACCCCAAGCATCCTTGCCGTGTGATCCTGCCTCTTTGCGGTAGCAGGTACTGTAACCGGCATACCTATGTTCCCGTTTAGCGATGCAATGATCACAAGAGGGGCGCGTATCTTACTTGATGGGAAGGTCCTTATCTTGCAACCACTCGCTATCGTGCAGCGCAGACAATGGCTGTTCGGACGTGGCAATGAGGTACTTGTCGGTAGTCTTGTCCTCACTCTCAGTGACTTTGTACAGCTCCTCATCGAACTGCTCCAGTTGGGCAGTCTTGGCCATGAGATCGCGAAGCATGAATTGTGGGGGCTGGTTGGGCTTATAGCCCTTGTTGAAGAGGAACTCCAGACCGTAGTTGATCAGAGCTAGGTTGAGGAAAAGACCATAACCAGTGAGACAGTATCCGCGGTGGCCAACAATCTTCACACCACGTTCCGGGTCATATCCATCAAGACGAGTAAGGACTTCGTGGTGGGAAAGACAACCTGGCCTGTCCATTTGGGCATTCTCTGGAGCCCATGTCCTAATCACCTCGTTATCTTCCTATGCCGAACGATTGCTGGTCAGCTATGTACGTGCATCGAATACCACAAATTCAGCCCCAATACATACCTCATCGTTGCTCACGGGCACGGATTCATGGACATAGTTTCCAATAGTGCGGATCTTTCGGTCTCGTTGCACTTCCTTGTCAACTGCGGCCTCCTCTGCCTGTTTCTTGCGCTTCTCCAACTCCGCCTTTTGTCCGACTAGCTCACTTGCGTCTTCCTTGTTCTGATTGGCACTTTGTAAGTATTCAGTCGCAATCCCGAGGTTGGCGCATAATAACCTTCTTCTTCATTCCAATCTCCTTCTGGAGCGCATTGAGTTGAGAACCGATCTGAGTGACCTCATAACGTGCTGTGATATATCAGTAGCTGGCATCGAGAGAAAAGTGAAAGACATACCCCGACGGGCTTCCTCGTAGAGCGCAATCACTTCATCGACCGTTTCCTCGGGAGCAAAGCGTTTCTGCTGGCTCTCCTTGATCTTCTTAATATCACCACCGCGCTCGGTGACAAAGTCGGCAAGGTCGAGCATGTTGAGGATTGGTGTTGAGTATGATGATTGAGGGGTGACTCAATGTGTGGAGGGGTAAAGATGAAAATCCCCCGGTGCGTGGATACACGCACTCGTGGGCTGATGAAGCAGATTACTTAATCGGCAGAGGTGCCTCAAAGGTGCCCAAGGGAGTCTAACCCGCTATTTCCAATGAACGATTGTTAACATCTACAATCTGCGGGCCTGGGATTGCCTGTATTTAGTTCATTACTCTATACATGGTACCAATCCATGTCCACTAGACCTTAAGCTCATTATTCATGCAAAATCCCCCCCAAAACAATCGACCAATTCCAGAAACATAGACAAAAAGGGAAAGACAGCCCAACCAAGGGTTTCAAAAGAGCCAGAAAGTAATATCAATAGCACAAATCCTGCATCAAGCGATCAGCCAATAGGAACTGGACCAGAGAGTTCAATTGCAGCCAGGTAAGGTCCAATAGGATGATAGATCCATGGGGGAAAAGAAGTATCTCAGGTTATTCTCAATCTGCTTCACTTACCATCTCAGCTCAACAAAGGAATTCTCGGTATCACATCAAGATACACTTGTTTCCTCCCGTAGGCTGCGAGGGATTTGAAGTCTTCTCAACCTCTCCGATCATAAGATCAAAAGCCTTGGTGACATTGAAATCAAGGAAGGCACTGGCCTCGGTGAATGCACAGTTGACCTCCTCTGCTAATTGACGACCCTCATCCAGAGTAACTTGGCGCTGTTCGGGCTTAAGATCACTCTTGTTGCCTACAACAACAAGGGGTACTTCGTCCGCCCCCTGAAAGATGATATCTTAGTAACAGTTTTGGTTGGAAACGGAAAACCCCTGGCTTACCAAATGATTCAAAATCTTGTCCCGGATGACTCGCACCATCTCGAAAGACTGTCGGGAGGTAACTGAATAGACGATAATATATCCATGGATTCCAATGAAATGTTTCGAGTTCAAGATGCTGTATTCGTCCTAGAAAGAAATTAGCCAATATTCGGCAAGGACCTCACTCGAGACTCATATACCTGTCCAGCAGTATCAACAATCTCAGTCGCATAATCTTGGCCATTGTGTTTGATAATTCGGCTGAAGGTGTTCTCAATGGTAGGGTAATAGCTTTCGACAAAGTGATGCTCGACAAAGCGGACCGTGAGTGAGGATTTACCTGCAAGAAACGAAATAAATGTTAGATAAGCCTAGACAACATAGGACTGCATTGTATCCAAGAAGTTCATACCCACGGAGCGACTGCCGACAATGGCGATCTTCCTCTGCTTTGGTGCGGCAGGCATGGTGAAAGGCAATGAGAATCAGGAAAAGATGTGTAACAGCGTGGGAAATGAATTGCAAAGCCTTGAATTTCAATCCACAACGTTTCAAAGACAATGTCACTTGTTGTGAAGAGTGAACGTTGCTAGGTGGCAAATCCCCCTCGATGCATGCGGAGCTCCAACTCCCTTGGGTCCTGCAAACAATGCAAACGGACCTTTCTCCAACTCCCACAACGCCTCATGGTCTGGAGCGTTGACCCAGGCTATGTTACTATAGTTGATATAGGTCAAGGTGATGCTTTTTGGATATCAATTAATCAATCATTCAATTCAAACTGGACATTTTGAACACAAATAATTCATTCCAGACAAAATATGGGGTATCAAGGCGTTCCAACAGATCATACACTCAACGCCATCACTTTAAATTGATTGAATTGATTGTAGACAGATTAAGGTCAAGGGTGTACCGGTGCACCATCTCATCCGTAGAGTGCATCCGTCATAAATCGATCTGTCGAACCTGGGCCACAAGCTCCTGTAGCCTAGACAGGAATCCGCTCGCCGGTTGTCCTTTTGTCGGGAATTGGGAGAGTTCTTCTTCAATTTTCTGGTGGTATTGGAGAAACTCATCGACAGTCGAGGTCACTGCTACCAGACCATTTGGAACAAGTGAGTTCTTGATCTTCAACCGAGCACTGTTGTGCAGGCAAAGTGTCAGAAGAAGGACTGCTAAATATCCCACGGCGACATTATGATGTACTTCCAAGACCGAATGAGCCTAAGTAGAAGCAGTTAGCCTAGCCCAGAACGCAAACGCGATTGAAATGCTTACCATGGAGATGGAATCAACATTGGTCATAAATAGGTGTAGGAGTCGGTCAAGAAAAGAACTGCTGGAGTCAACGGGCCTGAGGAAAATTGATCTTGACTCTTCACTTCGTTCAGACAAGTTAGTGAGAGCGCCAAGAGCTAATATCACACTGTCCAGGGAGTTGTTTTCCTGGCCAAGTGCATCTTCGGTAAGGTCACCAAAATTTGCTAACACCACATCGACCAAACCTCCCACCAGCTCCGGGTTTGCGAATTTGTCGCAGAGCAAACCATCACTATTGGTGACATTGAGAATGACCCGGATATAGAGAGTGTTGATTTTTTGGCTAACAGGGTCCGCATGTAAGCTCTTCAGGTAGAGTAGGCTGTGGAGCCCGGAAAGTGAACCAAGCAGATCCTGATGTTCATTTCTGAACACGGCTGATGCAGTCGAGGCATCCAGAATTGCGAAGCCTAATCCTAGCTTTTGAGAGCTTTCGGTTGAGACTGTCTTCTGAGAAACACAGAGCGAGCTTTCTGATAATAGAATTTTGACCAATAATTTGAGAAGACTCGTGGAAAGGCTAGGACTCTCGCCTTTGGTTTGCATGATCGATATGGTCGATTTCATGCAGTATAAGGCCAGAATGCAAGGAGAAAGTTTTAGTAACGCAGGGTTGTGGAATAGCACCGAGGACACTTCCGGGACAATATTTTGAATTTTCTTCTGCAGGGGTCGAGAAAGTCCGTTGGTTTCGGCATCTTTCACCACTGATATATCATCCTGAATGTCCAACAGAACGGATGATGTCTCCAGAAGTCTAGGCCATGCAGAAGTAGCAAGCACATATGACAAATTCCCATCGGAGGATACCAGTGCGTATGCACAGAAGGCCAGGATAACTGGAATAACCCGAAGTTCAACTGAAAGACAATCCACTAATCGTTTGTCAAAATTGCACTCGACAAATCGGTGTCGAGCCCCAGTATCCAGGAGTTTGTGGCAAAGTAGAACAAAAGCATTGCATCGACCCGATAGCGAGTTTTGAGGATCTTCAATGTCTTCAAATATGGACTCAACAGCACCTCGGTACCTAGCATTTCCACCCGCCTGTCTGAGTTCATGAATACTGCGAACAGATCCATCTTCATTGGTTTCTTGATCAGCCACAATCACACGAGTCATCGGAGGAGCATCATATTTCAGCTGTCGCTGAACTGGCTTAGTAGGAAATTCCAGTTCAGAAGATATGTTTGCCGCTTGAAGTTCATCTGTCATGGAGAGATCGTCAAGGAAGGACCGCTGGCGTGCATATGTGACCTGGGATCCTCTTGCATGAGATGGTACAGGGGCAGGGGTATCTTGAGTCTGACTCTCGGGTTGACTGTCGTTCACAGGCACTTCGCTCAGAGGCGTATTGCGAGAACCTCGATTTGGAGTTAGCTGGCTCTCGGCAGGAATTGTTGGCGACGGTTCAACTGGAGAGCCTGTTATTCCCAGTGAGTCAATAAGCCTCCTTCGACCGGGAGTAACGTTCTCAGTGGCGATATGTGAGGCTTTGTGGGTTTTCGGCGAGGGCTTCCGAGGCTTGGGCGACTCAGTGGGCTCAGGATCTCTCACTGGCGAAGAGAATCTCCCAGGGCCCGACTTACCAGAAATAGAGAACTCATTCGTCTGTCGTAAGATTGACTTGCTGACCCCCGAATCATTGACCGCCCTCATGCAATGGATATCTTGATCTTTTTTCAATGTTCTCCGGCGATCTCGCATATTACTATGTCCACCGTCTACCGTTTTTGGTTTTGCGTCATAGGGAGATTCTTTTGAGGTTGTATGTTGTAGAGGCACAGGAACTTCTTTGTCTTCGGCATTATGACGCCTTCGCTTGCGCCGGCCGATAGGAGTCTGCGCCTCATCTGAAGAGGGAAAGTCATACACGCTGGAATCTTGGTCAAGCTGTGGTCGTGCTAGAGTGCTTGGGGTTGATTCATTGATGGATGTAGCCGGTTGCTTGATCTCATTCTTATTGCGCTGTAACTTGGAGGTAATCAATCGCGAATTACGCGAAGTACTTGGCAAGGTTGCTTCTTTGGGAGTTCTTGCGGTTGAGGAGGAACGCGTAGATTTGGCACTGTCCGGGCGAGATTGGCTCCTAGCAGCGGACCCATAGGTTACGGGCCTTCGATTCCGGGGACGTGAGCTCTCCATGGTTTGGCTCTCGGTGCAGTCGATCTAGGGTGGTCGGCGCTTCGATGCGCTGGCTTTGTAGCAAGTGTTGTCGCGTCAATCAAATTGGATTGGTTTTTGGTTTTTGGAGACGTCCACAAGACGGCAAGCGAGTCGAGCTAATGGGCTGAGGAACATGTAAGTGTTTCTTGGGGAGCCATATCTTTTGCAATGTGAAACCAAGCTGGCGCAAGCTCACAAAGAGCTGTGGCGTAGTATGCAAGGGCTTAGCAAGGCACGGTTGGAGGAAGCGGAGAATGCAAGTGATAAGAGGCGGAGGAGATGGGGCAGAATCACCCACTGTGGCATAGCTTCTCGACGATATAAAAGATAAGAAATCCCGAGTTCCCCGCTCTCCTCGACTTCTCTCTCGAATTTCTCTTTCTGTACACTTTTCTTCTGTGTCTTGAGCTGATATTTGTCGCCACGGGTTTAGTCCCTTGATCCATATTTTCTCCGAATACCAAACTCCCCCGGCTATCTGCAACCGATATCATGGCCAGCAAACCAGAATCAGCTCCATCTCCTGCGCAGGGTGTTGGTCCTATGTACCGCCCTGATGGTGAAAAGCCCACTGCGACTGTCTCTAAGGATGTTTCCTATGAGAATGTCCACGTGCTACCTCAAACCCCCCAGTTGATTGCTTTGTTAACGTGAGGCAAACCCATTTTCTGCAGCTGGAGATCACTCTAGACTCATATGTACCAAACAGGATGATCCGAGACAAGAGAACAGCTCGCGCCGATTTCATCTTTTACTCAAATCGCATCATTCGATTGCTGGTGGAAGAGGGTCTTAACCACCTTCCCGTTGTTGAACAGTCTGTCACCACCCCCGTTGGCCGAGCTTACCTTGGCGTCAAATTCGAAGGCAAAATCTGTGGAGTGTCCATCATGAGAGCAGGTGAGGCCATGGAACAAGGACTACGGGACTGCTGCCGGTCTGTCCGTATCGGAAAAATCCTCATCCAGCGCGATGAGGAGACATGCATGCCTAAGCTCTTCTACGATAAGTTGCCTGCTGACATTGCTGAGCGATGGGTTCTTCTGCTTGACCCAATGTTTGCAACTGGTATGTTGATCCTCAGAGTCCATTGGCCCAGAATCTCCAGCTGATCTGTTCCTAGGCGGTTCTGCCACTCTTGCTGTGGAGACATTGAAAGAAAGAGGAGTTCCAGAGCACCGGATCCTCTTCCTGAATCTGATTGCCAGCCCATCTGGTGTTGCTGAGTTTGCTGAAAGATTCCCCAAGCTTCGGGTTGTCACCGCTTTTGTCGATCAAGGGCTGGATGAGAAAAAGTAAGAACCCTGAGAGAGCAATCATGATTTTCATACTGATTTATTGGTAGGTACATCATCCCCGGACTGGGCGATTTTGGCGACAGATATTATACTCTGTAAGGTGTGTCATGATCCATGACAATTTACAATCTGTGGCCAGAACAGAGCCATTCAGAAGCATCTGTCAGGTCATTTTTCATGGGCATTGTTACAGATCACCTCGACATTGAGGCCCCCATACAAGATTCCGGGCCAGACTGGATTGTAGCGTAGGTCTGTATGGGTGTGCAGATATGTCTTTGAAAAGGAAGTGCCGGAGCACATACATCCAGAAAAACGAAATCTAGTTCTTTTGTCATACAAATAACTCATAAAATCGATTGTTGTTGGTACCGTTCCTTTTGCGCCATTCGCCCCATCGCACAATCAGTAATCATCATCAGCGTAAGCATCACCATGTCCTAGTTCTTCTGCAATATCTTCTTTGCTAGTCCCGCGGTGGCCCGGTGCGGCGCTGGGTGCTTCGTACTGGTTGGCGGTATCTTTGGCAACTGCGTCGCATGCATCCACCCAGTCGGAATAAACGTCAACCGGAGCGGAGAGGTCTAGAAAGCCATGGTGTTAGGCGCGGGTCGATGATCTCGTCAAGTAGCGTGCGACTTACAATTAATGCCAGTTTGGAACTTTTGGCCGCAAACTTTACATGAGAGGTCACCTAAGCCTAACTTTTTGTCTAGCTTGACGATAACAGAATTCTCATGGTTGCAGAAAAGACAAGAGAAGGCAGTTGGTAGGGGATCTCGCTAAATGCAAGAGTCAATCTAACGTGTCAAGTGTAGTGTTGAGAAGTGTGCGCGGTTCAATCACCTTTCGGGGCCCTTGGGGGGTCCGGCTTGACTTCTTGCGCTTGCCCTGTTCCAAGAATCAACATCTGGACCTTGCTATCAGGATCAAGGGGGTAATCTTGTATTACATACCATACTGCAGCTAAGTCTCTGCGACTCAAATGGGATTGCAGACAGACAGAGGTGAGGTTGATTAAGCTGTGGGGGAAGAAGGAACTCGTGCGGAGCAAGAGTATAGGGCCAAGAAGACTTACCCAAATCAGATCCGGAATATTGATGATGCGGTCACCGTCCCCTGATGTCACTTTTGGTGGCAATTCGCAGATCATGTGAGCGCACATGAGATGGTCGACGTCAAATTCAACGCGTCCGTCCCTGCGGATCGGGAGTATATTGAATATATTGGACTGTTATGATAGAAATGAGTCGCTTGATTTGCTTTATTGAACTTCATTGACTTAGCGTTAACTCACCCAATAACTGTCTTTCTTCTTCCATCTACTATGTCTGTATAATTTACATCTAACGTAACAAGGCCGATATTTGCAGAGTAACCATACACGGCAATAGGGCAATCATTAGCCAATTACCAGCCAATGAACCGTCACTCAAGTCCACTGGGACAATCGTAGACAATTCCACCTTGTTCTTTTTTTCGAAATGTTCGGTCACATGATTGGCTGATGTAATCTAGAACTAGGGCCCGCGTCTCGCTTAGCCGAGTTTTCTGTGGGTTTTCAACCCTCTCGCCGAGCAGTGTCGAAACCCTCTGAGCGCGTGGTGCGATACCTTTTGTCTGTCTTCCAACAACACACAGATACGACTCGCAATCATGGCTGTTGGAAAGTAAGCTTCCACCCTGCTGTCTTCTCTTGAATGCTTTCAATTCTATTTGCGCCTTGACGATTTCACCACACACTTCGCACGAATCCCAACGCTAATATTCGTCGTTTAGGAACAAGCGCCTTTCAAAGGGTAAGAAGGGTATCAAGAAGAGAACAGTCGACCCCTTCACTCGCAAGGACGAGTACTCCGTGAAGGTATGCTGAGTCTGCCACGCATTGCTGTCATGTTCCTTTGCTAACTGTGCTCGCCAGGCTCCTTCCACCTTCCAGACCCGCGAGTATGCATCTTGGCCCTGACAATGAAAAAAAATCGGTGTCGGTTCGGATTGGCTAATGAACTCTTCTAGTGTCGGCAAGACTCTGGTCAACCGCACCAGCGGTCTCAAGAACGCCAACGACTCGCTGAAGGGCCGTATCTTCGAGGTCTCTCTGGCCGACCTCCAGAACGACGAGGACCACGCCTTCCGCAAGGTCAAGCTCCGCGTTGATGAGATCCAGGGCAAGAACTGCTTGACCAACTTCCACGGTCTGGACTTCACCACCGACAAGCTCCGTTCCCTTGTCCGCAAGTGGCAGTCTTTGATTGAGGCCAACGTCACCGTCAAGACCACTGACGACTACCTCCTCCGTCTGTTCGCCATTGCCTTCACCAAGAGACGCCCCAACCAGATCAAGAAGACCACCTACGCCCGTTCTTCTCAGATCCGCGCCATTCGCAAGAAGATGACTGAGATCATGCAGCGTGAGGCCGCCAGCTGCACTCTCTCTCAGCTCACCCACAAGCTCATCCCCGAGGTTATTGGCCGTGAGATCGAGAAGTCCACCCAGGGCATCTACCCCCTCCAGAATGTTTGTTTCTCTTGATCGACTATCATTCCATGTACAGCGAGCTAATGTTGGTCTCTAGGTTCACATTCGCAAGGTCAAGCTCCTCAAGTCGCCCAAGTTCGACCTCGGTGCTCTCCTTGCTCTCCACGGAGAGTCTGCGACTGATGACAAGGGCCAGAAGGTGGAGCGGGAGTTCAAGGAGCAGGTCCTCGAGAATGTTTAAAGGTTATGTCATTTGAAGTGGTGTCACGTATTGGTCAGCCGAGGCAGATTCCTGTCTTCTGGTCATTAGGAAAAGAAAAAAGTTCATAACGTGTATGGCAGATTCAAACTGGCGTGGAACTTTTAGCTGCGCACCAGTCCTAGGCATGATTCCCAAAATTCAAGGGTAGTAGTCTATTCATGTTCCATCCCTATTGCAATTTCCTCCAGTAGATTCTTGTCCAACCACATCTGTGCTTACACATTTACATTCTCTTGGGCCCACAAGCGTAGTGTCCGTGTATCCGTGACGTCGGTTTCTTGTTGGGGCTTTCTCACTGTATGCAATTGATTTCCTAGTGCGTAGCCAAGGCGCTTGACGCTCATGGTGTTCATATCTCCAGGTGTAAGCTAATCAAATACCCTTGTCTTAACGACACCAGTCTCTACTCCCCAGAGGCCATCAACGCTACCGTGATTACCTAACAACTGCCCTAAATCTTTTTGCGACTTGTGTGCATTGGCTTGACTGCGAACACTAGTCGTTTTGATCCGGAGTAGGTTTTGGAGGTCTCTTTGAATTAGACAAGCTGTCTTACACGGAATGAAGTCGGACTATAATAACTATTGGACGTTGACTAGCTCCCTTACATGTAGTAGTACACTAGTCCAGTTATTTCTTGGGGTATACAGAGAGACAAGGAGGAAGCTATTCACCTACAAAAAGAGTCAAACATCCGCTGTGGCGACCCCCAACCCTTGCATGATCTCGGTGATCATCCGAGGCACTAAAAAACAAGCGCAAGATGAAGATACAAATGAGAAGGGCTGAAGGGGGACACAAAGAGCCAATTGAGGGAAAAACTTTGTAGTCGGTGTTGTTAATTGTGATACACACCTCTAGCCCCCTGTTGTACAGGCTCTATCCTATACCATTTGGATTAAATACAGTTGGCCTCTTCCGGTATAGCTAGCAAATCTTCGTATTGTCTACATTCACAAGGTGTAAGCCCTAAGAAAGAATTTGGACTAGGGCTCAAATTTATCCTGTTCGCTAAATTCTCTCTCTTATATTGATTAATCAATCAATCAAATTCCTATGAACTTATTGGAATCCAGTTAATATCGTTATGCTTGTGTCGCTGCTTCTTTCCAGTTGAAGTAATCACTCGTAGCCCATACGCCTGATCTAACTCCAGTACAAAAAAACGAGACTAGTTCTTAATGTGATGATACTATAGAGGTTTACGGATTAAGCTTATATGTAGAGAGCTGGGATTCCCTCTACACCAAGCCCCCAGCCTATTCCTGTCACTGCTGTTCGTTGCCTGGTCAGGCAATGTAAATTCGAATAGCAAATCAAAGTTTTTTTTCCCCCAATCGTATTAGCAGGCGCTTGGTGGTTCCCAACATGGATCTTTGGTCTATGAACTCGAGGTTCCTTGTTTCGTCATCTGACCGTTCTTGTCCAACAGTTCGATCATCCTTCATATTCCTACAGTTCTATTGTGGTATCAGTTTAAGGTATGGTGACAGGCTATTGAGGGTGGATTGGCGCCCTTCACGATTGAATGTTAGAGTAAAAGAGGAGAGTAGCCAATCGAAATAACCCAAGATTAGTATCCTAGCGATAATTTACTAGCAAAGAATACCAGTACGATGAAATCCCTGCGCATTAAACTCGATTCAGACTTGAAAACTACCCGCGGCCTTCTTTCCTGTAGCTCACAGAGCTTCTCTGTTCATTTAGAGCACTTGAAACTAACCCTAAGGAACCTTGAGCTCCCATCACACTTATAACAGAGCAAGCACCCTTTCTATGGAAATTCCACAGCCGACTAAGTTCCGTCAAAGCTGAGATTTAAACATGATTTTGTCCCAAATTGCTATCCCAATACAGCATTCATATGCCACATTTCACGGCTCTATATTCACATTACTATATCAGTAATCTAATTCTGAAACCCCCTCCCCCCAGCATAATGATGATAATATGAAATAATTAGTAATTAGTGGCTTATTGGCGCTTTTCAGGTCATCGATAGTTTAAGCTATAATGGCATTATATGCTTGACAATATAATGCATTGGATGATGAATAATTTGCATGTACCTTCCATCTAACGTACTACGGTATGCTGTTTGTAGAAAAATATGTGCCGTAGCTAACCTCAACCTGTATTACCACTGTCGCCAGCTTGAAGGCAGATTTTTAACCTCTCTTATCTAAAATCTTTTATACATAAAGATATTTTGAAAAGGAAAATGTTTAAGTTACCTGGTGCCAAGTATAGTAAGCCGCCCAACGTTCTTGGGGTTTAACCCATTTTGTTAATTTTCCATATCAAACTATGGGATGTTGCAAGTTGATAGGCCAGGATTTGCCCATTTTTGTGGTGATTTGTCAGAACTACCTCCTAAATAAGTGTGTTAGGAACCTCGGAACCTGATATATGACTCGACAACTAGGACCCCTGTTACTAGTTATAAGGACCGACCCAGTTCCGATGCACTAGTCATGTCATGTAAGGACAGCATTTGAATAGTAGTTCCCACGCTGATTCCTAGAATCAGCGTTCAGCTTACTCGCTGTCATATATCCCTATTATCAGATTTCATCTTGCTGTCAGGACCAGCATAGTTTGACAGGAAGACTGCGCCGAACGGTACATGGTGGCTGCGGTCACCTATAGCCTGTGCGCTACTTGATGTGGTGGGAGAGCATGACTGCCTGATGGCAGTCATAGTAACCTTTTGATTTGGTGTGCAACCTGCTAAGCTCTCCTAGTGGGTCGTAACACTCTGTCAAACTATGCTGGTGCTGGCATTTACCGGAGCGCGTTAATAACTGACTAATTTATTAGCCCTAAATGTCAAGGTCACGCGTAAAAAATGACTCATCAGAGCTCGATTAGCCTATAAAGGGGAATACTAGTTAAGGAAGATACATCGCGTTTTATTATTTATTAATGGTGATATCAAGAATTCCGTGTTTAAGTAAGCTAGCTATAAATCGCCGGTTCCTAATCTAACTAAGAGCGGCGGCCGCAGCGATACAGTAGATATGAATCACTTAGGTGTAGAACAAACAGGTGCCTAGAGAGGTTCAAATAACTTTGCTTTTAATTAATAAGCGTTATAGCTAAGAAAAATGATTTTAGTGGACTAATAATAGTGTTTAGGTACCGCTCGCTTACCGAATACGTTAAATACTAATTTAAATATTCATTATAACTTAAAGGTTAATGATATTAGTCTAGCTACGTAAAGGTATCTTTAACATCAAATATTAAGCTCTTGATTTTACAACCCAGTAGTTAGGGTATAAAGTCAATAGAGTAGAGTTTATAATAATTCAGTTATAAAGGCCTTACTATATTATAGTTAGTATAAGTATATCGTGGTCTTTAGTCTTACACTTTATTTGATATAGCGCTATACTTAGTATTCATGATTTATTCAATTAAGAATATTGCTTTCACTAAGTATAAGTCTCTTTCTCCTTAGATATAAAGCTACTTATTCCGGGTATTAGAAATCTACTATAAAAGTCTAGGCTAATTGGAATTAAATTTCAAAGTTCTTACTGGAAATATGCTCCATTTATGCTAATAAATCATAGGAGATAAACAATCTTATTAGAAATTTCTGAAATAGGTTAAGATTTTTGAAATTGACTAGAATCTAGACAAATAGCTTTGTTATAAAAATATAGAACGAGAATAAATTTTTTATTATCTAGGGCTATAACTTATCGCACTTACTACCGCGTTACGTCAAACGCGGCACTATATCATAGAATAAGTTATATTGTGGACTTTGTAGGAAAATCCTGTCGTTTTATCTCAAATTGAAGATATATACGTTATAGCTCATTTTCAATAAGATTACATAAGGAACAGCTTAACCTTAAATAATAATATTATTCTCACGTTTCTCCTTCTGATTTTATCTATTCTTAACTACCTAGTAGGGTGTCTATCTAATAACCGGTAGATTATCTTCTATAATCTCTCATTCTTCTCTTCTAATTACTCGAAGAATAAGATAGTTACAGAGAAAGGTAAGGATCTATTAAGAAACGCCTAAGGTATTTATAGTAATGCCCTATAACGGAATATACGCTGAAGTACAAATCCTATTTAGACTAGTTTGATGCCGATTCTTCATAACTAGGTAGGACTTCGAATTTGAAAAGATGTACAAACATAAGACTTGAATAATAATAATATTCACGATTTATCTGAAAATCAGTAATATATCACGACTTTTTCCCCTAGGAAAAGTTGTTGATTATATTAAAAATGAGATTAAACTATTTATATTATCGAAAGAGAATCGATTTACGGAGTGGTATCGGCCTGTTTTACTGAGATATAAGCCTAGATAGCACCTTTAACTAGCTTTTGATTCTTAGTCTAATTGTTAAGTGTCCGCTTTATATGATAATCAAGGTCTAATATGCAAAAGTTGTAGTGGTTACTGTGGATAACTTTGAATTTTTTACTACTTTCTATCTATAAATAGCTAGTTAAATAGAATATTTATATTGGATTTTCGAATATAATTAAAAATAGTTGATAGGGGTATAATTGCGATATATGACATAAAATAATATAATCAGAATATGTCTCTATGAATATTGCTTAGATATAGCGCTGTTTTCTAGATTCGTGTTAGGGATAGTATTTTAGAGGGGGGGGTTATTCCGTGCATCATGGATCGAGAGGAACTACGCGATAAGCATGCGGATTCCTACAAAAAAGATACTAAAGTATAAGCGAAAGGGTCAAACGAACAATATTATTTAATACTATTTAAAGCCTAAATGACTTACTACGTTGTCTACGAAAAACCTAGAAATTTAAACTTCGCGAAAACAATCGCTAAGGTATATTAAAAGGTCTTAATTACAGTCGATCCGTGTGCGTATCGTATCCAAATCCCTTCTGAATACCCTCGAATGTATATCCTTCTTTTAATTTCTCTTCTATAGATATAGCATAAAAGAACTTAGAAAGAT